AACAATTACTTCACACTTAGGGCAAAATATTGTTGTAGGAATTGATTGTGTGGATGAAAAACACGCTCTTTTGTCCTCAATTTTAGTCCTGCTGGGAATCGCATTTAAGGGCTTTGAAACTACACCCATCCCCCCACCCTGGAAACTGCAAGGGATTTGCTAGCCTTGTCAGTCTGGGGAATAAGGCATGAACAAATTTAATGTGGCCCAAAGTAACCAATAAATTCTTGAGAGTATAACCATGAAATAATTCTTTGAATACCACTTTGTGTTTCTCGATTGGATCTCAACATAATGATAGCTTTGTTTGTTAGTTTTTTTCATCAAGTAAAACTAATAATGTAGTTTTTATAATAAATTAAACAAGCCTGTTATAGTGTTAGTAAACGGAGGACACAAGCATTTTTCTGAAGTTTGGATGATTAGAAATTATTTTTTAGTTAACTTTCATGTATTGCAATAAGCAAGTAATTTTAGGTGCATAAAGTTTATGGTTTGGGTACATGTATTATGGCTCCAAAATGCAGGAAATTTCATTTAACAAAACTGAAAATTTCAAAATTTTTCAGGTGGAGGGGGGCATATCCACGAGGTCCGTAGAAGCTCAGCCCCTACATTTTTCACCGTCTGTAAGAAAATCTACTGACAACCTTATTATAGCAAAAACTATTGCAGTATTGTTTGAGTTTATTCCAAGGGGAGAGTTTTGGCCATGTTCCTTAATCCCCCGTGCAGGGCAATTGGCAGCATAAGTTAGTGTCCTTAACCCTGATTTTGAAATTTGCCATTCAACAATAAAAAAAAATAATACACCTGGGAAGTGGATGTCATAGTTTAGATAAACCAATGTATTCTTTAAAAAAAAAATGGTTCTGTCATGATAAGAGACCCCAAAACTGTTGGAATGAGATTGAACAGAGCATTGTAGAACTTTTCTCTCTACATTCTCTTTACATTTTCTCACTACATACCGTACAATTCCGAAAATAAGCCCTGGGGATTATATTTTTCAAAGGCCCTTTTTGAGGGGCTTATTTTTGGAGGGGCTTATCTACGGAGGTAAAGTTGCGTTTCAAAATCGATTGGGCTAGCCTTATAGTTGGAAGTAAATTTACCATTTTTGCTTTCTTTTACTTTGTGTTGCAGGGCAGTTTTCCAAGTTCAAGCCCCCGGGGGGCTTATATTTGGAGGGGCGATTTAACGGAGGGTTTTTGCATTACCGGTTTGGGGGGCTTATATTTGGAGGGGCTTATACATGGAGGGGTTTATTTTCGGAATTTTACGGTAATTCAACATCATTGAGGGTTATGAGAATAAAGAAAATGTTTTGCTCAAAATTTTCTCATTACAACCATAGAAAGGTGTAAGGAAAACCATCCATTTTGGGATCAACTTAAGGCTTTGAAGTGTTGAACAACAGATAAATCTTGGTCATACACATGTTTCACATCACAAGTGTTTAAATATAGCACCATAATATGTCTGTGAAGTCTCTTCTCCAATGAAACACCCTCAGAAATGTCTTCCTTTAATACATCGAGGCATACTTTCATGGGAAGATTATTCTTCAGTCTTGGAAGCTGTTCATTCTTAGATGAGTACTGTGGCACAAATGATGTCTCCTCATCTGCCGAGAGCTTTTGAAACCAAGGAACATCAGTCATTATGTGAACTGGTCCACTGGAGAATTCTCTACAGATTTGGTAGATGTCTCTGCTCCAGGGAAAACTGGCAGATCTTTCAGTCAAGCTGTTGGCTTCTTTAAATCCACACTTTTCAATAAGCTCACTGTTAATAGCGGTGACAGTTTCAACCCAGCTATAAATAGACAGCTTGGTGACTATACCTACAGAGTTTCTGTGATCATGTACTATGCAACAATGATAACCAAGATTTGATGAAAACAATTTCTGTTCGCATTCCACTGGGTCAAACTGCTCTGTAGGGCGAAGTGAGATAATTCGACTTGTGTTTGCAGGCAAACTGTACACTTCATCCAGAACACTTTTCATGCTTAGCACAGGACACCAAGAAAAACTTAAACGATTCAACAGGCAGTCTTGAAACTGTACTTGTGACAGGTTCTTGCAATGAGTGCAAGAGAGAGTACAAAGACTTGGGCAATTTACCACTGAAAGCTTGATGACTCCACATTTGTGCAAGGAAATGCTTTTTACCACTTGAGAAGTTATGATAAGGTTCTTCTCTTTATCAGCACCCTCTTCTTCAACTTCATCGGATTTCTTAAACATGTGCTCAATATGGAGGTATTCAATAGCCGGTAGAAGTTGAATAAATTGGGAAACATGTTCCAATGACAAGTTTTTGCACTTAGACAGGGTTAAATCACGTAATGCCATGCAAGTTAAATTTGGAGTACACCACAATGAAGCATTTCTCAGATTTGGGCAATTGCAGACGGCTAAATAGCGCACATGAGGAAACACTTGCAATGCCAATTTCATCCCTCTATCAGAGAGGGTGGGTGACTGTTCCCTTTCAAATGATAAACCATACTCAAGAAGCTCTTCCTCTGTATATCGTCCTTTCTCTGGAAAATCATCAATATATCCCAAATGAAGACACTCAAATCTTGGATACTCAGCATGAGCCATGAGCAATGCCGAGAACACTGCATCCTTGGTCAAAGAAGGCTGAATGATTAGTTCTTCCAACCTGAAAGCTGATACAAGAACTAAGTATCCTAGATCAACTTCCAGAGCATCATAACATGATGCAAGAGACACTCTAGTGAGATATCGAAAACTGCCCAGTCGCCAATTGTCCTCAACGACATGGCGAAAAATTCCACCTGGAAATGGAACACGTACAAGTTCTAGACGTTCCAACTGTGCCGCCCTCCCCAGTGCATTGAACAAAGGAATACAAGTCAGTGGACCAAATGACCCAGTGTCAAGGTCACCCATGCAGTTTTTCATGATGAAATGTTCCAATTTAGGACAGGAAAAATCTTTAAAGGGATCAGGGTCTGTGAACTTAACCCAGCGCAGTTGAAGAAAAGTTAAAGATTCCATTGATGGCAATGACGGCACGGTTACACCTGTTAAGACTAGCTGCGACAGCTTGACTTCCCTTGGAATTGACAAACGATTCAGTGGAGAAATTGGAAAGTCTCCTCCTCGATTCCGGAAGCCACCGGCAATTTCCAAATTTGGATTAATTGCCAACATGGCGTCTAATACTTGTATATTGGACGTACCGATTGATTTCAGTTTAGCACAAAAAGTTAGTGCTGATGTGATGCCATCTACGCTTAATGTATTTGAATGCCTTTGCTGACGTTTCGTTATTGATGTTGGATGTATTCCAAGTACAGTGTTCACCTCTGGGCATCGCTTCAACAGACGTGAAAAAATTCCATCTGTTATGAGAGGGGACATTTCTCCATACCACTTTCCCTCCGTAAAATCTACAGATTTTCTTGTCCTTAAATGGATTACTGCCGCGTTTGAAAGTTTCTTAGATATTGTTTCAAGGACAAGAATGTCTCTCAGAGACAAAGACGACATAATCTTAACCAAGATTTCCAGGGACAAGTCGTCGAATGAAGCAGTAAAACAAGCCATGGGGTTTTTATAACGTTTGAGCTTACTTCCCGATGGCTTATTCAACTCGAAATTTTCCAATATCCGATCCATTTCTGTAGTAAGTCCTTATTTCCATTTATAAGTTCGCCCTCTTTTCAAGCTTTTGGGCATAAAATACTTCAAAATACGTCCGCTCTCACAGGAAAGTAAAGAGAAAGCCAGCCATATTTTCGCTCTCGTTTCCAGGTCTCTCAACGAGGCCGCTGTGTTTCAATTTCCGAAAATATCCGAAGAGTTATCGACTTCTCCGACAACTGCGCGGAAATGTGAATTTGGATTGGGACATGTCACAGATAAAAGAAGGGCTTTTCGTAGGTACCAGGAAAGATGCCGTTCACTTAGCTAATTCCAGACAAGGAGATAAACTAAGGATCCTTACTGTGGACATTGAGTCTCTTGAAATAGATGGAGTCTTGACAAAACATGTGCCATGTGTGGACGAACCAGAGGCAGATCTCTTAAGTTTCTTTGACGATTGCTCGGAGTTTATCTCCAGTGGATTAGAAAACGAGGAGATTGTGCTGGTACACTGGTAAGTTTAGCAGTTCAGAAGTTAAAATGTTGGACTGGAGTCCAATCAGAAATGCTGGGACCGCTGGGACAAGGGACAAGACACGTGCACTCTAAACTCTGGTATACAATCTTGGGCCCTGGGGGGTGGGGATACTCAGCGACTCACCTGGGTCTTGAGCCCAGTGCCATATGAGTTACCACAAATGGCCTCAAGAGGTGGGTATTATCATTCTGGTCCCCAGAGCTGCAATCCTTTTGGCTAGCACAACAGATCGAGAGCTCTGGCTGGGCCCAAACTCAGAAGTCTGCAAATTGTGCGCAGGCTCAGAAATATGAGTTAATAATGGATACCGTGGAGACTATTGTGCTTGCAGCTCATCCTGGTCCCAGGCAGAGCTCTTGATATATGATGCTGACCATAACAATCACATCTCTGGAAAAGAGAATAATTGGATCACTTGTGAATGGAAGATTGAATCTCCCAGCCAGGTCTGAGTGAAACAGGTAAATGAGAAGTAGAGGGGAAAGTGATTTTGTAGCTACAATCGGCGACAAAATTGTTGAGACATTGTTCTTAAATAGGGTAATTTCGGAGAACAAAAGAATCCGCACCCCTCCCCTGTCCCCTTCATTCAAAGTTGGAGTGTTTGTTGTTTTCTATAGGCTAGAACAAGGGCAGAACACATTGCACAGAGGGGATGGGAGAGGAAAGCTATATTTCCTCCTTTTGAAGTTAATAAAACGTAAAAAAGCCCAGTTTTGGGCGAAGTGTCTCAACTCAATTGTCGCCGATTGTAGGTCTGTAGACAAACTTCTTGTACTGCCATTGTATTGCATTGGCAACGAATATGACATGTTTGGTTTTCTGAACTTGATGTCTTCCTGGTGGGCCTTCTTGTTTGGTTAAAAAATATATCAATAAATCATCAGGAACTTTTAAGAGATCTTATTACATGACATAACAGGTCTGTTGTGTGGCAAATTGGTCAATTCCTATACTAAACTTGCAAGAAAAGTGCGTGCAAGAAAGCCAAGAACAGGGCATGCAAGGGGAGAGGCGTCTAAAACCTTCTCTTAGGCAACTAGAAAATCTTAGTATTTTCCTACAAATCATATGCTTGGTACCCTAGATTTTACAGTTTCACATCACTGAACCCCCTTCAATTTCCTTGGAGCACCGCCTTGGCAAAACAATTTTAAATTCATATTTTTTGTTCTGCCTTTATATTAAATAATCACTGCATTCTAAATACTAGACCTTTTTTTTTCTTGTGTCAATTTTTCATTTTCATTTACAGCCTTTCAGGTGTGTCTCGAAGCACAGCTATTGTCTTTGCATATCTTATGAAGACAGATCAGATGTCATTAAATGAGGCATTGGAGTTTTTAAAGAAAATTTACCCCAAAGCCAAGTAAGAGTTTCATTCTTCATTCCTTTATCCTTCCAGATTGTCTATTGACCATCCTAAATGGTTTGAAATAGGCTGATGATGAATTAAAAACTCTAAATCAAAGTTGTTGTGATACCTGTGACATAAAAAATTAATGGCTCTAATTACAAGGGGGTCCATAAGTGTGTGGGGGTGGGGGGGAGGGGGGCTTGTTCATGTACAGCATGATCCAGGGCCTTTTTTTTGGTATTAGAATAACTTTATATTTTGGTGTTATTTTTAGAACTGCCTTTTAATAATTATTATTATCTTGTGTGCTGGGATTCTCGCGAGAAAAAAAATTTCCATCGCCCATACCAGTAGTGAATCATGTTATTAGGAAGGGAAAAAGGCTTTTAGGTCACTGTCACAAAATTTAATCCATCAACATGAAAAGGACCGAACAGCAGCAAAGAACAACAACAGAATGGTTTGCAATCCTTTTATTCAATTAAATACAGGGACAGACACACAAGGCATGCACACAGCAATAACATTCCTAACAATTTCATTGCCCACGCTTGTTGTATTTGACAGCATTTTAAACATATTGTGTACTTACATCTTCTTGTTTGTTGCCTCTTTGATTTAGTCCCAATACTGGATTTATTGAGCAGCTTCAGCTGTATGAAGCCATGGGAAATACAGTGGACAAAACAAGTCCTGTGTATAAACAATACAGACTGCAACTCTTGGCCAATCAGATACAGAGTGGGTTGATGTTCATTTACCTTTTATATGCCGTAAAATATCTAGTGAGTTCCTCTCAGCTTAGTACTAGAATTCAATCTCATTCGATCTATTAAAGGTTTCACCGCCGCATTTTTCAGGTTTGTGAGCACTGTGCTTTGCACTTTGATAATTTCCCGTGCAGGATAAAATTAAGTGATAAACTATATTTTATTATTATTATTTTTTTTTTTTTTAGTTTGAGGGGGTAAAAGGGTTTAATTTTTACAGGTGTGCTGATGTGTGTGACTAAATGTTCACCTGCAAATTAAACCCAATGGGGAAGGGGGAGCCTCAGAACTTACTTGTACATGTATGAACAGTCAGTAAGGGAGACATAAGGAAGCCCTATGAAGGATGTGCTCTAGCAGTGCCTAGTGGCCCCCACCAACTAACTTTTGTTCCTAGAAGACTAAAAAGCACCAGGCTTCCTTGAATTTTTCTTACAGTACAGCCTTGCCTACCTTTTGAGAGAGTTGGACCTTCTCTAATGTAATTATTGCATTATTATTTAGTACTAAATAATCTAAACAGACGTAATTGTTGTTTAATACCAACAAAAACCTTCAGCCCTGACAACTGTAGGTACATAAACTCACTAAACTTACTTTTTATTATAGTAAGGTACTTAAATATTACTCTGTTTTTAATCTGTTTTTAGATCAACAGTATGCTACAAAAGATCTCCTGTCTTCATTGATTGAAGAACTCAAAGACGGTAGTTCTTCAAATAACAAAAATTATAAATGTAGAAAATGCAGGTACAGCTCCCTATAGTTAAATGCATTTTGTAAAAAAAAAGACCATGTTGTTTTCATTCCACAGGCTACAAAGCTATTTTCCTCTCAAATAGAAGGGCCTATTGAGAAGAAAGCCTGAAAAAATTCAGGCTTGTACCGTATTAGAACCCTTGACCTCTACGATACTAGTGAAATTATCTACCAACTGAGCTACACACGTAACAAGCCACCTGGGAACAGCTCATTGAGTTATAAACCCATCAAAGGATGATGATGAAATATTGAATACATGTACCGGTATATGAAAATCTCAATTAAAAACAACTTTTTGAGGCTTTATAACGATACACTGAATTCTATTCCAAGCCATTTACAGCTTCTCAGCAGTCAACATTTTAGTGGCACTTGCACACTCTGTAAGATGAGACAGTGTGGTCAACTGTTTTGAGTTCTTTACACTCATGGGTGACTGTACAACAACAACTTTAGGTTTTACCTAGGAATTGTGATTCAAAATTTACAAGCAAGATGGTAAAACCATCCTCAGGCGAGTGTTAATCTAGTTGAGAGAGGTACACAATAGAAAGAAAGGAAAACAAAAAAAAATTTATATGCAATGATTACTAAGAACAACATTTACTGACAGTCAGTTCACTTCAGATGAATATAGTTATATTGAAAATATTCTCTCTTAAAATGCAATGTTATGAGTTCAACTCCAAAACAAAAGTCACTATAAAAGGTCAATCACATTCTTTCTTATATCCACTTACAGACTGGCATTGTTTACTGGTGGCTCCATTATTACACATGAACTCGGTAGTGGTCAGTTATCATTTAGGCGACATAAACAAGATTCTCCTGCAGTGACCAACGGTAGTGACACCCAGTGTACATCTTTGTTTATTGAACCTGTGAGCTGGATGCTTCCTTCACTTGAGGGAACAATTGAGGGAAAGGTAACTTATTTACTAATAAAATGTCCCACATAGAGGGAAACAAATATTAATCACTTTAGGGGTGTCAAGTAGAAGTATTTATGGTGAAAAGAGGGAACTGAGTATTGTTCATTCATAAGCAATTCTGAAAAGGTTTCTTTTGAGCTCTGTTTTGGCTTTAAGGTCCTCTGCTGGCTCTTCATCTTAAAGCTTCTACCATACAAGCCACTGTGTAATAAGGATCAATGAACAACTGAACTTGTGATTAAGGGAAGTTTTATTTTAAATATTACACATGTTTGAACCTGGGAATTTTTCTCACTAGGGCTGGTTCTCATTAACAACAATGATACAGTGCAACCTTGATATAATGAAGTCCTCGGTGTAACACACAATGTTCTTTACCCCAGTAAAAGTAAAATAATATACTATGGAAAAGAACCTTGATATGACAGTCCTTTGGCCCTTCATTATATCGAGGTTCCACTGTTACATTATAGTTTTCTTGCCCACGGCCAGTTTTTTTTGTACATTTAGCTTGTACTTAGCAACTAGTTGCTTATTTTTTGTTTGTTTATTTTTGTGGTTGTTTGAAGCTTTCTTGCCCCAAGTGTAATGGAAGACTGGGATCATTCAACTGGGCAGGTATAAATAAGTCTTTTTTAGCAGTTTACGTTTATAATTTGTAAGTGTATAATTATATAAATTCATCTGGAGATTTCTTGAACTTTGTTTAGTGATCACGCTATCCATGGTTTGCCATTGGCATTGTACTCCATGGTTCACCATGGCATCAAGGTACAAAATGAACAAACATGTCAGTAGGAGGGGTGGGAAGGGACAGTTTCGTTATAAAACGCTTATCTTAGATTAAAGTTTAAGAAAATAACATAAATTCTTTTTTGTTGTTTGTGTTTATCATTTTCGTTTCCTGTCTCATTGATAAGTTATGCTGTTTCTCACTGAAGTCACAGACTACATGTAAGTGGAAACGTCTCAGTTAATATTGTTAGAGATACAAGGAAATGAGTGAAACCTAGATTTATACCCCATCAGTCATCTGGGTAGTACAAGGTTGGGCTTCTACCTGAGGGTACAGTTCTTGTACATTGCTCTTACAAACCAGGAAATGGAGGAAACGTGTGATAATATTATGTTATTTCATTTTACTTTTTTTTTGTTTATGTATTTACATTTTATTGTATCTTATTATGTCATGGTGCAGGTATGCAGTGCAGCTGTGGAAAGTGGGTGACACCTGCTTTTCAGATTCACAAGAACAGGGTTGATGAATCCTGGAATATGCGCCTTTCAAACAAAAAACCAATCTGATGTTCGGTGAAGTAAGAACCCTTAACCTACACTGTGGTATAGAAGTTGCTAAGCAACGTGGTGTATCCTACTGATGTCACGTGACAACTCGCACAGCTGCTTGATAGACACAGAAACTTGGTTGCCGTAGTAACTGCGAATGTTACTTTGGCATTTTGGGAAAACGTCAGTGCACAGCCTTTGGTGAAGACAGATGACATAAAGACATATCTGAAGAACACGAGGACGCATCCTGGGATGCGCGTCTCTCAGAGAGGACTGTAATTGCCCGTAAATCATGTTCACGGATTTGTTCCGACAAAGCGCCAGCTCGGAACGTCCGCACCGAAAACAGCGTATAATTTTTTTTCATAGAAGATAATTGATTTTAAGAAGTCAAATGTGACAACCTAGATCTTCTATTTGAAACTTAGCGTATGAACAGTTTTCGGAGTGAGGAGGCTCGAAGCGAGATCGAATGAAGGTAAATAAGTAACTGAAAAAGTCAGTCTATTAGGCAGGTTTTATATAGACTCAAGGCATCAGTACTCGTTCACATTCCATGGGAATAGCCCGAGGATGTTAACTGACGTCATGTAATCAGATCACGTGCCTCGCTTATTCATTCGGGTAGCTGTTTTCTTTCCCTCCCTCCCCGCCCTGGGGGCTTCTCTCGACTCCTCGGGGCCGCCTCTCGGGTCGTTCACTAAGATTCCCAGCAGATCCACCGGCTTGTTGTCTGCTGAGGTCCGTGAGGGACACGGGGGGATATTTTTTTATTGTTATTATTATTATATGGCTAAATCCACGAGCGGGCAAGATGAAAATTCTGATTGGCTACCCGAGCGGGCAAAATGGGTCGCTCGGGATTTCCTGCGTTGATCCCGCAAGAAAAGATTCTCTTTTTGGCCATATAATAAGTCCTTTGTTGACCAAACCTGTTCTTTCAAGATGGCTGAATATTAGTCTCATTCTTTTTTGCGTTTTTATTGACCTCGACGTAGTCTTGGTCAATAAAAGCGCAAAAGAATTGACCAGTATCCAGCCATCTTGACTGAACAGGCCTGCCGGTCAATAACGCGTATATCTCAGGAGTGGATTGTAAGAAAAATAACAACAGGTACACTTTTAATCAGCGTTCGTTTATTCAAGCATTTAACTCCTTTAATTTAACTGCCTTATAATAAAGTCATGAGAAACGATAAGATGTACGTTGCGCCAAAACAGGGGACACCCTTTCATAAACTTTAGGCAATTAGAAAAATATATAAATACCTGGATTTTTGAAAACCGGGTTAGTAAAAAAATCAACTCATTCTATAACTTCGCAATTTAAAACAATGAAACTTCATCTAAAGGCCGATTAAAAGCCTTTACCTGACTATGGGCAGTAAGTTAGTGGTTACTAGAAGCATTTCAACGATTCCAAATTTATAATGACGCAAATTTTAGAACATTTATTCAGTAATCTGACTCCGTGAAATTTCAAACTGGTGTCATTTCAGACTAGAAATTTTGTCCCATCCCAGAGCTTTACATGATGCTCTCCGGGAAACTTTTCTCAAGGTGACCAATAACGAAAAGTAAACTGCTAAACGCCACCGAAGCCAGATTTAGGCGAGCACTGGTTTCAAATAACTGTCACTTGTGTTTAAGAGAGAATTGTGGGTAAGATGAAAAAAAAAACAAAAAACAGAGGGGGTGGGGGGTAGATAAAAATCCGCAAAATTCTGTTTACGGCCATATCTATACAAAGCCCTAACCACTAAACGAACAAAAAAAACAACTCAGTAAACAAGCTATTAGACAGGGGAAGTTGAGAGAAATTACACAATGTTCGCTAAGCCGGTTTTCATAACTCCAGGGCTGAGTTGCTCAAAGCATGGTTGGCTTTAACCATTGGTTAAGCAGTATCAAAACCAATACGTTGTCAAGGTATTAAACGCTGGTTAATGCTAACCATGCTTCGAGCAAATGGGCCCAGGTGGATATGTTGAAACTTGAAATATGTGTGCAGATTGGAGGCAGCATCCTTATCAAAAATTAGATGCAATATCCAGTCAGTTCCTATTTAAACACAGACAAAAATATCCACATTGAACCGAAAAGAGTCGAACAGGACGAGTTTATTTTAAAATAGTTCCTGCGATAAAGCAAAAAATGTATATTTTTAGTTACTACCTCTAGGTGGAGCTTTTATTAATTAACTAAGTTAAGTTATTTACTGATGATAACTTTAATGGTTCTCCATTATGCTTCTTTAGTTGTAAAGCTTCGTCGACCAACAAAAAAGGCACAAGAAGCATAGGCTTGCTCGCTTGCGACGACGGCGCGATTTGGGATCGATGCATCCCTCTGCTTCCTTAAAGTGAACCTCCAGTCCAACTTTACAGTGCTTCACTTTCGTTAAATTCTTAGTGTTGATCTCTTGGTTGATCTTTGTAACCAACTCCGACCCAAAAAGGCCTAAAACAGAGGAAAGAAGGGTTGAAACTACGAGAATTTGCTCGCTTTCCTAAGGCATGGTAGAGCGAGCAAAACGCATGAGGCAGATGACACGCGGATCGACTCGGAGTCGGAGATGAGACGTTTTCACGCATGCTGGCGTTTTTCACTCTCACTACTTTTCATGAAGAGAATAGGAACTACTTGAAGACTACATACGATTTTGATTTATTTCACGTTTTCTTTTTTAAGAGCGAAAACAATAAACTGAGTTTACTTTACCTGGGAGTAAGCTCTCTAGTTCTTGGTCGATTTCCCTCAGTCGCGAGCAGTTAATTTCCTTATAGAAAAGAAACGATTTCTCGTAGAGTGTTGTTTCCGATTCAGGCTGGCTCACTAGCTTCGCTGTTTCCTCTTTCTTGTAACCATGATTCTCAAGGTCCACCTCTTTTAACAAATCAAGCATTTCCTGGTCAGACATCTTCAAGTTTGGATCGAAAATTTTTATTTCCGTGGACTCTTTGGCACTGGCATCTGAAAAGAAGAAATAAGACATTATTGTGCAAAAAACTCTTGACGGCTCATGGGGAAGGACAGCAGTGTGGGAGGCCTGAAGGAATGGGGAGCGCAGGAGAGATGCAGGAATAGAAACGGCGGGAGATGGGAGTTCTGAAAAGGTGGTAAGCGAGACAGGAGCTCCTGGCGGGAGGAATAGAGGCTGGGCGCTTATTAACTTTTTCTGCCTTTAGGATGGGCGCTAATTCGAGGTTGGGCGCTTATTCGAATAAATACGGTAGTTAATGACCCTAGGATATATAGTATAGAAGCTGTGAGCATATTTTCCCAAGACAGGGGCAGTGACAAAAGGGTTCAACCACTGAAACTCGGGATACAAACGTCTTCTGAATATATGCCGACTCAGCTTCCCTATCAAATGATGGTTTCTTGCTGGAAAGGCCAACATTCTACTGAGATCGTTCTATGATATGTTACGTTTTGTCTTCTCTTCTCAAGACATGAAAGGTGGTTGGGGAACGAGGAGAAACGAGAAACTAACCTGCAATGTTCCACAGAGAACCCAGAGCGCATAACATCAGAAACGTTTTCGAGGTCATCTTGGACTCGGGCTGTCTTTCGCTGCCTTGGTTTATGCTAGCTGATAACCATACGGGTTCTCTGAACTTTTCTTAAGTTGTTATTCTCGTAAGAGTGTTTATATGCATGTGTGTTTGTAATGCGATAGTCGGTTGACTTTAGCGTTGTTTATTGCCAACTCTCTTGTAAGTGTTTATACAAACAGTGCTGACACGTTTTTTGGCATGCGTTGTTGAGAAAATAAAGTAAGTTCCCTTGTTTTAAACCGCACTTTCAGAATTACCGGATCACTGACAGGCAGGTGTGAGGGAAACGAGAGAATTTAGGAAAATAGATAAAAATAGTCTGGTCTTATTCAAATTGCCAATTTTAATAACGTGAAAGCTTGTGAAATTCTTTATGTAAAAATGGTCAATGGGTAAAAGTTCTTTTAAGAGCGAATTAGAGCGTTGTCTCCTATTAGGTAGAAAGAATGCAATCTGACGGTCACAGCTTCTCTTGCCTTGTTACTAAAAGTTTTTGAGTTTGTCAAGGGAATTTGCTGTAAACAGGCAGGTCTGCTTGTAATGCCATAGTCCTCCGTTTATACCTTGAATTTTCTTTTTGGTTGTTGCAAATGTCTGGCTATTTCATTTCATTTCCGCGTGTTCAGGTACAAAGACAACCTCCTTCCCAGGATAACCGGGGAGGCTTGGTACAGAGATAAACTGACACGTTTTTGGGCATCCCTTTTTCGACTGGAAAATAAAATGAGGTTCTTTTTACTCTAAAGCACGTATCATTGTTGAAGGCAAAAAGGAAATCTTTCTGGGTTACACGTGCTGGAGTACAACGCATTTTTTTTATTCCCTCAAGCCTCTGTTTCAAAGCAAGGCTAAGTGCATTGTATCAGATATGAAAATCAATTTTTCATTCTCATGCAAATAAAACTCATTTTAACAACAGCTTTTCTACTCAGCGGCATAGTTTTGAAAGTGAGAGTTTTTGAACTCGGAAATTGCCAATTTCAAGCAACTGGAAAACAATGATATGTGTGCTCAAGTACAGTTTTGAGCTTCTGAAAATTGTCGTGCAGTAGCTCTTCATTGGGGACGTCAGTGAGATAAAACTGAGTATACCATCGTTATAATTAGCTAACATTAGAAGTTCATTTTATCGACTTGTTGTGCCGTCAAAGACACTCATTTTACTGGGCCTCACGCTGAGACTGGCCGCCCTTTTTCAATATTGGGCCGCCGTTGAATAACGGTTATAAGCCACCTGCTTATAAGACTAGTACTTGTCGGGTTATAAGCTTTCCCAGTAACAGGATTCCGTCTATCGATAGTTTGTTTTATCATGTATGAGGGGTTACAACCGGTATTTTATGATATAGTGAAAAACTATACGGTTTCTTTGGCTTGGGTTGTTATCATTTAACTTTTACTGAGGTGACTTAGAGAGAATTTCTTCAGTTTATTTCAGCCCTTCACTGTCGGTTTGAAAATCCCGGCCGACCTTATTACACGTGTCTCCTTAAACGCGACATTTTCTTCCTCCGAAACCAACCACGTATCGCGGTTTGCTTTAGCTAACTCTGACTTCCCTTAGCTAGCTGTGCGTGTCTACACAAACGTTTCCTGGCACGTATTTAGGTGTACCATTCCCTTTTATGGACATTAAAATTAGGTTCTTTAATTCTTGAACACGTGGGCAGAATTACCGAGAACACGCGCAGGATCGATACAGGTGCCGGTACAAAGGAAACTGGAGTGAACAGTAGAAACAAACATCAAGTAGTAAGGGTCTTATGTTTTGTTTATCAATTGCAGTTACACACTCTTTTTGATTAAGGTGGCTCCGTAATTAATACAAGAGCACTTAGCTGTGACAAATTTTCCGTCATAACTTTTTGGTTATTAACGCGATGGCTGCGAAACTTTGCAAAGAACAACAGATATCATTCGGCAATAACACGAAATATTCCGATTTCATTGATGGTAAATATTTCTTGAGAAATTAGCGCTTAAAAGGACCCTACTGTTCAAAGAAAATCGCGTCTAGTAAAAAATTTTGCTGATATTTTTTACTGAAATTTCTGGTATCGGCTTTAATTGATATAATAAATATGCCAGAGGAATTTCAGAAAAATCGTTGGAGCAGAAGTCCGAAACTAAAAGTCGCTCAAAATTCAGCTGTGAAATTGTTTTGGAATTTCAAAAATAAATTACTATCGGGTAGAAGGAGCCACCAGTTTGAATTTTCGTGACAAGTAAATTCAACGTTTTCTAATTCTTAAAACAAAAGCCGATTGCCTATCGTGCTATTCTTTAAAAGGTACTGTTTAGTTGTAGAAGCACTATAAATTGCTCCAAACCTTGCTCTGAGGTAGAATTACTTGTTCTTCGACATTTTTAAAATATCCCATGGCAGTTTTGGTTCAAACTCCTGCTGCATACATTTTGATGTATTGCGATGCATTTTCAACGACTTTTACTTCTGTTCGTTGCTTCCAACTCAGGAAAAAAGTATTGAGATTGGACGCTACCTCGTACCAGAGCTCAGATAGAACTGTCCAGCACCTTTGTTTATGACTACAAAATGAGCACGAGCGGCAGTTCTGCGTGGAATTCGCACCTCACACAGGGGGGACGAACGACATCGATGACCATGCCTGTGAACCGAATAACATCACAGTCCAAAATAAAATTATCGCAAAAATACTGCCCGTGAATAAATTTACAACTCTGGAATTTTTGTCACTCCTTCCCTCAATGAATGGGTATTTTTTCTTGATTATTATGTTTTGCTCTGCAATACATGTTTATACAGATCGGTTCACAGACATGGGCATCATTGTCATTCGTCCCCCTGGCTGAGGTGCGAATTCCTCGCACAAGTGCCGCTCGTGCTCAGATACAAGGTAGCTTACAATCCCAATACCTTTTTCCTGAATTGGAAACAACGTACAGCAGGAAAAGCCGTTGAGGATGCATTGCCATACATCAAAATGTGTGCAGCAGGAGTTTGAACCAAAACTGCCAAGGGATATTTTAAAAATGTCGAGGAACAAGGACAACAAGTCATTCGAAGTCAGAGCAAAGTTTTGAAGCAATTTATAGTGCTTCTAAAACTGAACAGTACCTTTTAAAGAATAGCACGATAGGCAATCGGCTTCTGTTTTCAGAATTAGCAAACACTGAATTTACTTGTCCCGAAAATTCAAACTGGTGGCTCCTTCTCGCTGATGGTAATTTATTTTTGAAATTCCAAAACAATTTCACAGCTGAATTTTGAGCGACTTTTAGTTTCGGACTTCTGCTCCAACGATTTTTCTGAAATTCCTCTGGCATATTTATTATATCAATTAAAGCCGATACCAGAAATTTCAGTAAAAAATATCAGCAAAATTTTTTACTAGACGCGATTTTCTTTGAACAGTAGGGTCCTTTTAAGCGCTAATTTCTCGAGAAATATTTACCATCAGTGAACTCGGAATATTTCGAATCATTGCCTAATGATATCTGTTGTTCTTTGCAAAACGTTAAAAACCGGAAAATTTGTCACGAAAAAGCCACCTAAAAACGTCACGAAAAATAATCAGCGACACGAGAACATAGCCGTAAATTTTTTTCTTTATCTCAGCGTTTTTATTGTTAGCTAAATCCCCTTCTTTGTATAGTTAAACAGATCGATTAAAGGCGGAGCCTTAGAGGATTGTTTACAGTGGAAAGTGCACTTAGCTTATCCGGCTGGCATACAGACACTCCACTCAAATAATTATGCTTAGCCCGCGTGCAGTTAACTTCTCATCAACATGGAAATTCCCGACTTCGTGCGCTACCCAGACAAACTTGTGCAGTCTAAAGCCTCTTTCACACAGGCCAAAGCTTAGCCTGTTTCAAACGTCGTGCTACTGCTGTGCTAAGCGAGTGGCTCGACTATAACTCGACTACAGCACGACACTATAGCACGACTTGGTTTAATTCAGTCGAATAGAACGGCTGTTGCCGAAAACAAAACACAAAAATAAAGAAACGGTTTAGCAAACTTGTGAATGTATTCTAAGGTAGTTATAATGTATGAATTAAGTTCGGCACAGGGCACAGCGGTAGCACGACGCTTGTAACCAAGTCGAGCTACTGCCGTGTAGCACGGCAAGGTTTGCCGTGCTACACGGCGGTAGCACGACTTAGTTTCAAACGTCGCGCTACTGCCGTGCGTGCTTAAGTCGATCTGAGTCAACAGTTGCGTAGCCTGCGTTGCAGACGTAATTTTTAGTTTCGTCTGTTGCGCAGGCTAACAGTTATGGCAAAAAAATTTTAAAAGGAAAAAAGAAAACTAAAGTTATACGTGTAAGATCTTCAGTTGCAAAGGGAAAAGCTGTTAAAAAAAAAGTACTAGCGGCGCTCAAAAAGCTCTGTTTATAATTAGGAAATAGACTCCCCGGTGTTGATCTCTTTTACGCCGTTCAGTCAGTACGTTCGTGTCTGCCGGAAGATGTTTTCCGTACGCTTTGAGACAAGGCCGGATAGTACATGGTCTTTTGAGGTGATAAAATGGCATCGAAACCATATTGCATCCAGGGATCCACAACTAATTTCGGCAATTTAAAACGCAGTTAAGCAAAATTGGTAATTTTCAATTTTTAATGGCAAGCATGACGACACGTGAACACTATAATGTATCTCTGATTTATATTCTACAGCCTTTCCGGATCTCCACTAGTCGATTCATTGAAACGTTTACCACATAATTTCCCAGTAACACGAGTAACATACGATCTTTTAACTCAAATTTACACTGTCAAATTGTCAACAAGCTTTACCACTCTTGTTTTCTAAACTGCCAAACGTGGGAACGTCTGAAAGATGTTACTGTTATCAAGATAATGAAAATATAAGAATCAGTCAGTTCAAGGTTATCTGAATCTAGTTCAGGAAACAAACAGAACGCAATTTTGGGCCACTCAAGGACCACCGATTTTTTTTTTTCAGATGAAGTCACTGACAGCTAAGTTCTCGAACAACAGAAAGGCACGTTTTTTACAGCCTTCATTATGCAAATATTAAAGAGGGGCGATACGATCGTTTTTTGTAGATTTACAAACTGATAGTTTCCGTTAAACGCCACTAGAAAGATAATTTCAAAGAAAATTATTAAAAATCTTTCGACAAACCTAGTAAATTTCCGAATATCTGGTCGCTTTGCGAAACTGAGGTGCCAAACGAAGAGAGACTTATGAAAAATGTACCACTTGAAAAAAGTTTTACAATATATAAACCTCAGAAAGAAGAAATGAAAAATTGCATTACCTTGGGGTAAAGTTAATGTATATATACATAAGACTCTGTTTTCAATATTTGTTTCTGAGATTGCTTCCGGTAAATAAGCGTCTGTTGGATACGGTGAAGCAAATCACGAGAGCTCTATCAAGTTCAATCACGAAAAACGTGCTTCATCAATGAGAATTCGACTATAACAATCAATTTCGCAATTCTGTCCGTCATAAACAGATAACGAGCCAAAAGAAAAGAAGAAAGGTAAATTTGATTTTTTTGACTTAGAGAGAAGAAAAATTACAACATTTGCCGGCAATATCAGACAGGCGAGAGATGCTTAAGCTGGAAGTAAGAGACCACTGTGCAGCTGTCCCGGTTCCTGGATATCTTCCAGTCTTCACCGCCACCGTATCAGGGCTTTTATCACTTGTCGCTGTTCCTTGTAACATCTTCGTATGCCTCACTATCGTGAAGAGCCCTCCTCAGTTCAAAAGCTTACGCACACCCTTCACTTACTTCATTCTTAATCTTGCTGCGACAGATTTGCTCATTGGCGCCGCAACTGAACCTGTCTCAGTGGTTTATCACTTTATGGAAGCGTGTTCTGTTACCTCTCTGAAATTAATCAAGATTTTACACGTACTGTATTTCCTTCCGTGTACGGTGTCTGTTTTCAGTATACTGGCATTAACCCTTGAGCGCTGCTTTGCAATTTCCAAGCCTTTAAAGTACAGACAAAGTGTGAATAACTCCAGAGTGTTGTTTGCTTCGGGCATAATATGGCTTTTGTCGGCCATTTTCCTCGCGCCTTATTTTTACCTAGGTTACCGCACCTTTGCGTTCTTTTTCGCAAACTCTGTGATCCTTCTAACAATATGTGTGTCAGTTACTGCGTACTTGAAGATAATTAAAACCATTCGACACAGGAAGAAATTCCGCAAGGAAAGTTTACAGGGGCTGTGCAGGGCTAATCGAAAAGCAACGATATTTGAAGAGAAGCTTACCAACACATTCACTTCGATTCTGATTCTGTTTGGAGTTTGCTACGTGATACCATGCATTCTGATGTACCTTATGAATTTATGTACGCATTGCTCTTGTGATTCCATTCACTGGTTGCGTGACACATCTTTCCTTGGCGTGACTTTAAACTCTGCGATTAATCCTTTTCTCTACGCATGGCGCCTCCCGAGCTTTCGCCGCGCCTTGAGGACAGTAATTCCCGGATGTGAAAGCAATTTGCTGTTGGCTGCGGGTAACCAACCAGAAGTTCGTTCATCACTTAGAAGAACTTCGGTTGTTGCTGTTCCGTTGCAGAATGAGCGAACAGTACTTTAATGTTAACATTCACGAGGGAGATGACGCTGAAGCAGTATAAAACAAAGAAAGAAATTGAGGGCCAAAATGTGAAAGGAAAACTCCATTCAGCTTTGCAAGAGCACACAAGAGTTTTTAAAAAAACAAATTGCTGATCAGCAAAATACCGTGTATTTTTAAAAATGTTTTTATTTTTTAGTTTGCTTGATTACCACATAACAGATAGCACGAGCATTTGTTGTAGAAACTTTTGATTGCCAATGTCATACACGTAAAATGCTATATTCTGATACAGCGTTTCGTGTCTTACTAATATCAAAAAAATAATCCTGTTTTGACCCGTTACCACAAAGATAAACAATCATCAAGAAAAACACTGATAAATTACCCTAGCGATGATTCACAAAGCCATTCAAGCTTAGTTTTGATCTCTCTCACAAAAGAAATCCACGCAAGGAACTTGTATTTACAATGAAAGAAAAGATTCGGCTGATTCAATAAAGAGCAAGAAGCAGAACGTCCTTTCTGTAAAAGAAAATGAAAAGAAATAAAAGGAATTAGCTTACAATTATTCTTTGTTTAGGGCTTGCTATACATAGCACAATTTCTTTGAACTAGTCCCGCCTCATATACGCGTGCCAAGATTGAACAATTCTGCCGACCAGATTTTTAGCAGGGTAAGCAATTTTTACGAGCAGTTTTGATCCCAGCATAACGCCCGCAAACTCGGTCACATGTTTGCAGAACAAATTTGCTGCAACGTTTGAGTTTAAAGACAGCATCATTATAAATCCTGTGGCGCGACAAATCAAATTCAACATCTTCAACAGAACTTCGGGAATTTTGCTTTCACTTGTAGCAGACTGTTGCTTGGTATTTTTCGTACAGGAGTGACAGAGTTGATTCTTTGAGAGAGGGAAAGGGGACAACAGGTGCATGCAGTCTCTCTAGTCTTTCTTCACATTTATTGAGAGGATTCTGGCCACGCTCGCGCCTTCAGTCACGTGCGTGGTCAATTTTGTGTCTCGCGCATTTCGCTCGACAGACTAAGAAAAAACAGGGACTGCTGGTAGCTTAGAAAACGGAACAAGAACAACTGACCCGAAGAAACTATGTACATGTAAGCGTTTTCAGGTTGTGAAGACCGAACTATTTCACGCGATAATTTCAACATAAAACATTCTCTTACAAACAGAATGGCACTATATTTGATTAACCGCTTTCAAATCCCCAAAATATTGCTGAACATAAGTTGTCTACGTGAGACAAACCAACAGAAATAATAATAACGTCAAACTTGATTGCCCAGGGTACTCTCTCTTCCTTGAAGAAAAAGAGAGGGAACCTGGAAACAAGTTTGCGTGGGACGGTACCTTGACATTACAATGAACGCCAAGGGTAAGGAAATGGTCACAAATGGATAAGCCGCATGCTGATTTTTATTCTAGCTTATCGCACACTTCCCATGGCGAAGATCACGACTTCTACCAAGATTCCTGCCATTCTTCGACTGTAAATATTTATGCACCAAAACAACTGTAAAAAGGGAGAATTCAAATCTATGCGAATCATTCGGATGGAAACACAATTTCGAGTTTCCAGTTTCGTTTGCTTTTCCCACGAATTTGTCCATTGACGCGAAGAAATTTCCTTCGCCGCGCACCAAACGAAACCACCAGCTGAGAAGGTTGAGTACAGGTAATACATCCTTTCATTATTTTGAGGTGATGCTTGTAAACGGTTTGGGAATGAGGCTTATACTCTGACGTTGACATAATTGTTACTCACACAATTCACAAAAACTTCCCTCTATTCCACCAGACGACGTGCGAGATTTAACGCCCACCCTGAAAAACGGTGCCTAATCATAACTACGACCTAATGACTATTTTCATCTCTGGCTCTGGCCTCTATCTTTTAAATGCTCATTTGTCGGCAACTCTCTCTTGGACCGGCACAAAGCCTTCATCTTAGAGAGTCCACCTTAAAGAAAGTCAGAGAATATCACCAACTCTAGGTGTCCGTTTTGTAATGGTAATAGGACTGAGTGGAGTACAATTCAGGGAGTAATCGGGCTAGTAATTTCGATTTGAAATCACGAGCCTGATTAGCCTTGAATTGTACGACACCATCAAAGTCGAATTTCTGAAATGGTGTGGGAAAGGCTAGATCTACGAAAATAATTGTCGCTTTGCCTTTCTAGTAGAACACTTGCTTCTCAAAAACACAAAACTCTAGACTTAAGAATCCGCAATGTTCGCGGCGCATAGCTTCGAGTTTCGAGAATCGAGTTTTGAGCATGGAGTCAACTTAAGCACTTACGTCACTTCCGGTACCACATGCGGATGGGTTGACTGCGTCGAATCTTTTTCTGGAGCTGCAGGACACCATAGAGCAGAGCCTCAGCAGTAGGAGGACAGCCTGGTACATAGATATCCACTGGAATGATCCTGTCACAGCCACGAACTACTGAATAGGAGTAGTGATAGTAGCCACCACCATTTGCACAGCTGATGATAAAACAGGGGATAAAATTTAGCTCTATTCACGCCTGCTATTAATTTTCTCATTTTGTCTTTTATTTACTGCACCCTTCATCACACGCTGGGAAATTTTCTCTTTGCTACTATAAGTTTAGGTTATCGGAGAAACAGCTGTTCTCTTGGAAAATTCGGTGGTGTGAACAGGAAAAGCTACTTTTCTATTAACCTTCCTAAGAGTTATCAACATTAATTTTCTCCTACCAACATACATACATCATCAAGATAAACTATTATGAGAATTAGTTAAAAAAAAACAGGGAGAATGCTTTGATCTTTAATCCAAATCTCGCTTGCAAGGAATTAGGAAGGAATATAGGTCAATCTGGAGAGTCTATATGTGGACATTGGGGATTAAAGAATTTTAATAATTTTAATAATTGCGGAATTTTCATAATGTTAATTTTTTAATGAAATTATTGAATTTTTTAAAAATATTTTCACAATTGTCCAAAATGCAAAAGGCACATAAGATTACATGTAATAGCACAGCAAGGGCCATACAAGATCTTAAAACCTAACCCACCTTCCCATGGATATCACCCAGCGTGGTTCAGGCATCTGGTCATACACCTAACAACAAAATTCAATCAGAAAAACAACTTAAATAACTAACAGTAACTACATGTAAGTACTGGTAAAATATTATTTTACTTGTCCTATTCTCTCCTAAACCATGTATGGAATTTAGATTATTTGCCACTCTAATGTTTAAGTCTGTGGGCAATAATACAGTGGAATCCCGATTTTTTCAGCCACCTTGGACAAAACAAATTGGTTTAACCCTTTAACTTCCAATAAAGACCAACATCAATTTTCTCCTAACAATATCAATATGTGTCCAAGAGAAAAGGTTACGAGAATTAATAAAATGATCACCCCAGGGAAAATTAATGCTTGAATCATTGCTGTGAAATTTTCCCTTCTTACCATTAAAAATGAATCGGTTACAGGTTAGTGTGCTACGCCTTCATGTATGTCTGGATTTGTTGTTGTTGTTGTTGTTTTTTTCAAAATATTGAATATAAGATCTAACCCCACACCGACAGTGTAAATACCTCTCATCAGACATGGTTGCCACAGCCAGTGGTTTCTGAAATTCCCTGACTTTTTCCTGACAAATGTAAAATTTCCCTGACCAACTGAATTAACAATTTCACAAATTATTAGGCCTGATAATAGACTCAACTCTTCCCTCACAGCCATCCTCACAGCCATCCCCTCCACCCTGAGCAACGTGTAGTGTACATGAATAATAGTTTGTCAGTTAACATAACATGCAAAAAAATTGATCTTCTTGAAAAGTCAACATCAGCTTGTGGTTCAATTTCATGCACAATATTCCACCAACTTCAAACTATTCATGTCCATAAATTTACAAAAGAATTTTTAATGTTAGAAAACAGTAAAGTAGAAGGAAAAGAATAAATATATACTCTCAAAATTCTACTTTTCCCTGACTTCTTTCAAAGATTAACTTTTCCCTGGCTTGAAGTGAAATTCCCAGACTATTTCCTGACCTGTGGCAACCATGTCAGATCCCCTGACAAAGCAGAAAAGCTGCCTGTCATAGGAGCTGGCCAGTTTCATTGTACAGGGATGATCCTAAAAACAGCCACCAGTAACCAGCAAGTTTAGCTGTCCATCTATCAAGAGGGCTTTAACTCCAAAAGTATGTTATGTTTGCCTCAGGGCAAACTGTTCTTAGAATAATCGCAACAACATACTGCCTTTGTTTTACCTTTCTCAAAGCTGGAGCCATCTTGTTGGTCAAAGTTCCAGCAACAATCATTACATCAGCTTGACGCTGAACAAAGCAGAAAAATATCAAAAGCATTATGTCTATAAAGACATGCTGGGTGCAAGTAACTGTACGATATCAGGAACAGCAGTAAAAGCTGATAATCAGTGATACTTTTATTTCCTGCGATGAAGGTTATATATGGGACTAAGAGTATCAGAAATAGACTTTTACATCTTTTAAGTCTTATAATGTTTTGACAAACTTCCCCTGTCTGATCATCTGAATGATTATTCTCTTGAGAAAGTGTGTGACCACAGGGGGTTCTTAAGTCCAATTAGATTACAATAAATGATTAAAGATTACTTTCATTGCAATGTGTGGGCATGTTTTCTTTTGGTGGCCATTTTGAATTTGCAGTCAGCTGGCATGAGTTCTGGGACCAAGCAATCTTGGGCGTCCGGGATAGTTGGATATTCCCAAAAATCTTTGGAAGCTTCTTGGTATGGCAAGCAAGCATACCTCTTAAGGATTTTGAGGCCTCCCAGACCTTGCACAAGCTGTCTACAAAATTCAAAATGGCTGCTAAAAGAAAAACCACCCAGCCATAAAGTAAGTATTAACCTTTATTCATTTATTAAGATCTAATTGAGAGCCTCATGTGTATGAACTTTAAAATACTTACTGGACTTGCACGGAAGACGACACCAAACCTATCCATGTCATACCTGAAAACAAAGAGAAAAATTGAAACACATAAACATATTGGTGAATTCTTATGGAACAATCCCGAAGGTGAGAACTATACTCTTGCATTCTGTGCATCAAGGTTTTAGTGCCATGAAAAGCAATCTCAGAAACTTGAGTTGTTAAGAATTAAAATAACTTGAGAAATTTGGTTGGAGCTTGATCCTATCAGTTCAATAATTATCTTCAATGAAAAACTAATTTTCTCATTCTTAGGCTTTTGAAATAACTGCAAAACTGAAGTGAGCTTACAGTAGCACTCAAAAGTAAGCTACCACTCTCTGGCCAGTTGGAACTCATCTCAAGACACAGAATTCGAGTGAGAGACACAACAGTTGTCTTGTTAGAGGGTTTAAAAAAGGTATGAGTATGAATCAGTGGTCCATGCTTTGCTATTTTGTCCATGCATAGATCTACATGTACATGTATGACATTGAAACCCTACCTTGGAGCAGCAAAGTGCATCATTTCAACAGCACAACATGCCAGACCAAATGTCATTGGCCACAAAGAGCCCTGCCAAAAGAAAATCTCCTGTCACATTTGCTGTGATGGGATTACACAATTACATTATGTAGAATTAGAAATATTATAAAACACAAATTCTGTGTGTGATATGGAAGAGACACAATACAGGGCTTGTAAAAAAAACTTGACTTCCAACTTGTCCTTTGGCAAAGCAGCTATCACATTTTACTTGTCCGGGGCCACTGCTTGCTTGTCTTAATTAATGATGTTGTCAGAGGATGACCTGCCTGGACCACCCTTGCCCAGTTGGCAGCAAGTAAGCTTTTAAAAAGTTACTTCCCCAGCAAAAAAATCTACTTGTCCCTGACTACTGGAAAGGACTTATTTCGAGCCCTGGTAATAGGACAAACAACATTCCAGGGTTTTTCTTCTACCTACGTGTATAGTTTAGGGGGTATTCAAAATTGAGAAAAGTTGAATAATGTTACAGTTGTCAAAAGACAATGATTATGCCTGTTTTATTTGGTACTTCAGAGACCTAATTCTCCATTCAAGTACTGGTAGCATGATCAGACTGAAAAAATATGACAGGTCTGAGTTAAACAGAAAAAAACAGCAAGTAAGAAACTGGTTTTTAAGAGCCTGTAAGGATAGAATTTGCCAGTTAAGCCCCCTTAAAACAAGAACCTGTTTAAAATAAAATTTGAAACAAATTCTTATTTTCTAACACCTATGAAAAAAATTCTGTACACTTGGGCAAATATTGGTAACTCAACATTCAGGATCATCTTTATAGACATAGGTGCCTTATCACTCCAAATGCCATGCAAATGCCAACATTGTTGAAAATCAAATCAAATAAATTGTTATTAATGTAATACCACCTAAGTTACAATGTATGTTTACTTAAGAAAAATAAGAACCCATTTAAGAACTTAAAAAGCTTAAATTTGAGCTAATTGCCATTTATGTAAGAGCCTGTATAGGCTAACTTGGGAAAATGCAGGTTCTTTAATACTTGCGGGTTCTTACTGTACATACATTATCTACTGTACATGTTTCCTTACCCTGCGTGCCCAGTTGACTATATCATCAATTTTGGCAACAACAAATTCTGCAAGAACAGAATTGGAATGATTAATTTTTCAGTGCTACATGTCACATGTTTAAAGAAACAAAATATTTAATCAAATCAAAATGTAAACAGAAGAATTCTACAAGGCATACAAACCTGCAGCATTGTCCAGACGTCCTTTTGCTGGTGCAGCTGCCGCAGTGCTCTGATTCTTACTCACAGCCACGAGTCTAAAGAAGCAAGAAAAATGGTAAGTACATGTACAACCAAAGGCAAGACCCATACACGGCTGAAGGTAACCACAGACAATTCACTTGGCCACAAAAGCAATCAATTTGCTTCAATATTATACTTTTAAAATATATACAATTTACATGTAATTTAATAGTGTAACTAATTCTGTTCTGGAGTTCTTTTGTTAAGGATAACTGAGCTCCACTTTCACTTACCCTTGAGGACCTGCCCTCCAGACAATCAAGTTGTTAAAAATTCCACGACTTATTGCTGGCAAGGCACTGCGACCTGCAACAATAACAATATTAATAAGCGTGTGGAGATCTACACTGTACTAAAACTCTCAATCTTCCTCACCAAATTTGTTACTACACTAATTTAGGATATACATGCATCTATAGCTTGAAAACATTTTCTTTCTGGCAAAATAAGGTGGCTGAAAATTGAAAACCAGTGACTGTCGTATTACCTTCTTGAAACTGTGGTTTTACAAATGAGCCAAGGATTTCCAGGACTTTTAAAGCCTTGAGTTTTTAGTTGAACTTCACAGAATTTCAAGGCACATAATGGACTATGAGTTGAGATCACTCTAAATTTATTTTCATTTACATACAGCATAGATTTACATCTTAGGCTTCTCTCAGAAATTTCTTTAATTTTTGCCTTGTATCCAAGACGGGACATTTGCGGAAATCTGCTGGCCCCACTGTGGGGAATTTCAGATGTCCAAAAAACAACAAGTTCTCAACAAATTAATGCCAAGGGAACAAGGGGAGATTGAGTGTCAGGAATGCTTTGAATTGACTGAGCTATAAAATAGTCAACTCTCACATTGCAGACACCTCACTAATACTGACTGCAGCTAAATCCCAGGCAAAATTAATTTACAGACATTTGACTGAAATAAATTTCCTGCTTTTACAGGGACAACAACTCGAGGTCCCAACAGTGTCCACTATATAGGGAGTTAACTGTAAATAATTATTGATAGTTATTGCTGCTGTGGAAAATTTAGTGAATGTGCACGTTCATAAATCATTAACAGAAAAATCAAAGTACAAACATAGATATACATTTTACTGCCACTGGGATGTACAACATAAATCAACAAACATTAATCCCTTGAAAAACATGCACAACCACTAAGAAATTAAAATCGACAAAAAAAAAAGATTGATCGTCAAATTTTATCGGTTTTTCAAAAAAAATTGTTTTCAGAAGGCACGTTCACCATTCAACAAAATGCAAAATAAGTGGCCAGGTATTCTGAAGTTTATCGATATATAAATGAAATGAAATTCGCCGGGTTGGCTGTCTCCAATCTATCTGTCTTTATTGTACACGGGTAAATATAAGCAAAGCAAAAAGGATGTCTGATGGCTCCCACAAAGACCATTACCAAGCAGGCATTTTTGTAACTCGTGTTCACAATCAAGTATAAATGCACGTATTAAATACAGAAACAAAGCATGTCAGCTTTTTAATACGTCAACAGAAGCTAAGGCCTTAATATTGCCGGAAAATTTTGCCACTGAAAGATCAAAGCTACCACTTTATGAGTATCAATACGAGTGATAAGAAAGTAATTGGGCTAACACCAAAACGTTGCTTCGATGTATTTTAAGAGCAAACTAGCCCAATTTCAATTGAGAAAGAACAATCCAATACTACTCACCTTTACACAGTGCAACCGCCATGTTGGATCTTACATAATAGCCTCGATTCGAAGTAAAGTTTCGAGAAGGCTGGGCACTATGGTCGCCGGAAGTCGCCGACTGGGGAAAATTTTCGAAATCAGAGTCGGAAAAACCGGAAATTTGATTTCAGGCAGGTTATAAAGCTACGGTCCCCATGAACAAGAAATAGATGATGAGAACGCTCATCAATAGCAAGGCAAACTCGCAGTGAAGCTTAGACGTTAATGGAGGCGGCATTGCAGTAACCTGCGATCGGGTATAGCCTGCTTTAGCCTGATAGCAACTCGCGTCTCCTTTCGCGTGTTACTCTCACGTGACTTCTCGCGACTTCCCCAAATGGAGAGCTTGCTCGCAGGCTAATCAGGTGGGTCCTTCTTCCCTTTTATTTTGGGAGGTGCCCTTTGCTTTCTGGCAGATTTTCGTACTATCCCGAAAAAAACAAACAAACAAACAAACACATGATGAAGAACGCCTGGTCGCAGTTTATAAAGGGGGGCGAATGAGCCCTCTCCTATTCTCCGCTACTGTTCCCACTGTGAGAACGCTAAAAGGCTTAAACTCCTGTCATAATGAGTCAGGGTTTAAAGTTCTAGTTTGGGCCACGGACCATGTCTGGGTTGATGGCTATACTGTCCGCAATCCTAAGCTGATATCAGCTCATAGTCTTAGTTCAGGAACTGGTGGGTTGCAAAGGGCCAGAAACCCGGAGAGAGCAACTTCCATGTACAGTGGAACCCGGTTAATACAGACACTAAGGGGACATGCCATAGTGTCCGTATTATCCGGGTGTCCGTATTAGGCGGGCTTTCAGAACTCGGAGACTGAAGCAGACATTTTTAAGAGAAGACGTTATTTAATTTCATCTTATAGCAGTAACTGTTAGTAACAACTTCTCAATCAGTAAAAATAGAATACAAACTGCGGTAATGACATGATGAAACAATGCATGGTGCATGCAAAAAAATAAGATTTTAAAGACTTGACGTTTCGTATGTAACAACAAATCTTCAGAGGTGACGGTTAAAAAGATTACAGTGAAATTTAAACATCTAGAAAAAGACTGGAAACTAATAAACAGGTAAAAACAATTACTAATGACAACAAATAATGATGACAGACTCAGTTTGAAGTCTGCGGGAATTATTCAATCAGTGGCCATTCCCTAACAATTTGTTCAAATTTCGGACTTTTCTGTCAAAATACCAGGGTTTTTTTCATCGTCATCGGAAAAAAAACAGTGCAGTCTAATAGCGGGAAAATGTCGTAGTTATTACACTTGAACAACGTTAACAACGCTTGTTTTAAAAGAGTGTGGGACTCACAAACTTAATCCGTCGGTGTTTTTCGTTTGAAAAGGTCTTGAATTAGGGCAGCCACAGTTATTTGGAGTATTCTTCGTGGATACGTTACTCCCAAAAAGCTAAGCTACAGCTAAACCTAAAAGTTCTTGCAACTTATGACAGGGGCCATCCTCGACAGATAACCTGAAAAAGTAAACAGAGCTCTTCCTCAAATACTTTATCAAGAAAAGAAGAAAAATTTATTATTGCTTTCTTGACGCAATAATGTTAAACTCGCCCGAGACTGTCACTAGGTTACAACCCCATTTCCAGGTTGATTGTTTTCAAGAGTCCGGTATCCGAGATACATGACTATAGTGCGTGAACTGAGGACTGGTCCACACAAAGGTGGCACTGTTGGGTCCATTCTAAGCCCTGGCCACCGGCGTATCTCTAATGTATTTGTATTCCCTATACACGAACCCAAAATTGGACACTTTTTTCCCAGACTAAGAAATAATAGGGAGCTTGAGAAAATAACACGACGACAACGGTAGCGAAAACGTCACTTGGAAATTGAATTCGCGCTGTTTCAAACTTCATCGCTACAATTCTACCTTGTTCAATTTGTGGGCGATTTTTCTGGAGATAATCCTGAATGACTTTATCCAAGATCAGAAACAGGAAAAGGAAAATCGTTGTCTTGCATTTACGTCCTCCATAACACGTGTAATCAGGAAGTTTCAAGTCGCAGTCGTGTAAGGACGGCAAAGAAATGTGCAACAAAAAAGCGCGGTGATGCAAGTGCAAAGTTGTTGTTTTGCTAATCTAAAACTATTGCTTGTTTGCCTTTCTCGTTGCCCTCGCCGTCGTCGTTGATGCTTAAGCTCCCTTATAATGAGAGGAAGTTAACACCAAAGAATTCAGGTAAACGTTACTGGATATGCACACGTACTTAAGTTACTTCCGGTACCACATGCGGATGGGATGGCTGCGTCGAATCTTTTTCTGCAGCTGCAGGACACCATAGAGCAGAGCCTCAGCAGTAGGAGGACAGCCCGGTACATAGATATCCACTGGAATGATCCTGTCACAACCTCGAACTACTGAGTAGGAGTAGTGATAGTAGCCGCCACCATTTGCACAGCTGATGATAAAACAGGGGATAGATTAAAATTACTTCAACCGGTGCCTTTTGATTTTTTGCACCAAACAAAGCGTATGGCTCCCCTTCTCGGTCTTCACTAAAAGTGGAAAAGAAAAGCAAATTGCTTCTGTTACTTCACATTTTTAACGAAACTATTCAAAACTCAGATCAGATCTAAAACTCAACAGGGTCATTTACAGGATTCAGTTTGATTCACTTCGTTTGTGAATTGTCTGATCTTTTTGAAGATGAACTGAATTTGCCTACGAATTCTTGAGATTCCGTCTGCCTTTGTGCCAGTGGAATACTTGTAGTGACTATTCAGACTCACGAGAATATACTCACAAAGAGAAAATTAGGATTAGTTGAATATATTACGGAACTTTTAAGAGTGAAAGGAGCACTGGAGTAATGATATTTATTTATTTATTTATTTGTCCATTTATTTATATATTTATTTTATTGTTTTTAACAATTTGTCGTTAGGCATGTTAAGAGCAGTCAGTTCGATTCTCTTGCACAACTTACCTTCCCATGGATATCACCCAGCGTGGTTCAGGCATCTGGTCATACAACTATATATAAAAAAAAGAATCACAGGAAAACGATTAAACCTACACTTAAATTAAGATAACGACAGACGATTAAATTTGTTTATTGTTTATTTTTTTTTTTTTCAGAATACGCGTCTTGCGTGGCTCACGTGTGGATCTCTAGCAAGGTTGTACTTACGCTTTTCTTGGTCGCTGTCATATTTTCAACCCACCTCTTTTTTTCTTTGTCGCCATAAGGCATTTTAGCTGTCTTGTATCATTGCTTCAAGGCATGTTCACCTTAACAGGATCTCAATCTCTATGAATACGACAGCTTTCTTATTATAAAGTGCTAAACGGTATATTACAAATTGCGACAGGCATTACAAAGTACGATGGAAATATCACAAATTGCGAGAGCTTAGTTTGTTACAAATCGCAACAGCTCTCTTACTGCAAAATGCTACATGGTTTATTAAAAATTGCGACAGGTCGTTTCCACAGCACGACGATTATTACAAATTGCGACAGTCAAGGTCCTGTCGAGTGCATTGCACCCTCCCACCTTTCTCAAAGCTGGAGCCATCTTGTTGGTCAGAGTTCCAGCAACAATCATTACATCAGCTTGGCGCTGAAAAAAGCAGAAAAAAACTGATCGTAAGTATATGAGGAAACAATGAGTTCAATAGACGCAAGTTTCCGTTCGATATCCCAAAAGCTTTTCGAAAACAGACAAAGTGATTTGCAATATGGTGCAGTGTGTATTAATTACGGGTACTTGTTGTCTTTAGGGTAATTATGACCAGAAGAGTCTTAGTCAAAGAAACTATATTTTCCTCTGGATATCAGACCACTAGATTTAATGTTTCAATGACAAGAACAGTGAAAGAAAAATTTGAAACTTAAGCAACTTACGGGACTTGCTCGAAAGACAACACCAAACCTATCCATGTCATATCTGAAAAAAAGGAATCAAAAGACATTTACGCAAAAATTCATGCCACAGAAAAAGCCATTTGCCTCTGAAAGAGAAGATCAAAAGATTGAACGAAAATCTTGTGGTATTTGATGGAAATCCCAAATCGGCTGACTCTTAATCACACACTTTTAACCCTGACAAAAGAAAGTGTTTCACTGACTGCTTCCTGCTCCCTATCTAGCCTGCATGGCAGGCGTCAAAAGGAGAAGGAGAAGCCCAGGGTGGGGATCTGATTTTTCCCCTTCGCAGGCTATTCTCTATCCGACATCACCAGACATGGCGCTCCACTGCCGGGTCTTATCCACGACAAGATAACCACAGGAGAATTCAAATGGTGATGATTGGTCGAAGAACGAGGTGTTCTGTTCACAACAGCGAGGTTACCGTCAAGGAATGAATAACTAGGCTTTGACAAGCCAATCGTCGAAATAACGGGCGGGTCGTATGGCTGGGATTCCTGTGTATTTTATAATTTTTTACCTTGGTGCAGCAAACTGCATCATTTCAACGGCACAGCATGCAAGACCAAATTGCATCGGCCACATAGAGCCCTACAAATACGAAACGGAAAGAGTCCACGGCTAAGAAATGTAGGACCTAAGAGACGATCAGATAATTATCTCCCCATGGAAAGGATAATCCGGGTTCCGAAATCCGTGAAATCTTTGTTTGTGGAATCTGGAATCCTGGGCATTGGAATCCGGCGGAATACAGTTAAAGGAATCTGCCGCCACAGTGTACACTATATCTGCTTGCGACAACAAAATTCCGTCCTATTTCGTGTTGTAGCCTAAGCGATCCTTAGTCACAAAATAACCCGACGTGTACATATAGACACAACAATGTGATGTCTAAATGAAAGGCCAACATAAAAACAAAACTAGCCTTAACTGAAAAGCTTACCCTGCGTGCCCAGTTGACTATATCATCAATTTTGGCAACAACAAATTCTGCAAGAACAGAATAAGAATAATGACTTTAATGAATACTAAGTAACTTCAGTTACATATGCATAATGTGATACTAATCACCCTTTCTTTCAATTTCTTTTTATTAATGTAACGTTTTAAATTGGGTGGACTAGCCCGTATGGTTCTTCTGTTCCCTTCTTCTCCTTCCCCGCTGTTATCTTGTGTTTGTGTCAGATTATTTTGTATGCAGTGAAATGGATTAAATTTAATTAAATTTTTAAAAAAATTAATACTACCGTACGCTGTAAACACACAACCGTTTACATATAAAAGAACCATAAGGAGAATTTCTGATGTCGGTAAAGTCACTTTTTATTTTCTGTCTTGAGGAGCGTTATCTTTAACGGTAGGGGCTGGAATTACGGCCTTCCTAGGTATTAGAAATTTGAGTCCTGGCACAGCTCAAGTTTGTTCAGGCTCAGTTTGGCAGAAACGCAAAACATTTCCAACAGTGACAACCAAGAGATAAATGAGCTCATTCTCTCTTGTGTCAACGCAATAAATTATCAAATACTCCAGCTGCCTATCCCCATCTCCCCACCTACTTCAAACAGTAGTTACTCAGTGGTTACTGCCCTGCTAAAGGCTTGCAGTGCGTAACAGATTAGAATATATTAATTTTAAAAGCCGGATTCCCTGATAACCTGCAGCATTGTCCAGACGTCCCTTTGCGGCGGAACCAGCAGACGCTGCAGTAGCGCTCTGACTCTTATTCACAGCCACTAATCTAAGGAAGGAATAAAAATAAAAGATTACCAAGTCTCAAGATGTTTAAAGTTAAGAGGGATCATTTCCAAGAAAATTGCGCGACTGCATCCGTGATGCGAGAAGCATGGTCTGATTACTGAGTTACTGGGGCGGGGTAAACTTGAGGACTGATGAGCTTGGAAAATGGTGCCTTCTGACAGATTCGCCTGGCGGACTTTTTCTTGTGAAAAAACAAACAAACAAGCAAAACGTATGAGCAAGGGTTAGTCCCTTACATTGGCCACTGTATTTAGATTTAACAAATGTCAACTGTTAGCCATTCATTAGGTCCTATTCAGCAAACATGTACTACACTGACAGTATTGTAAACAATTTTAAAATTCGCCACAGACGAGAGAGGATCTCTGGCCATAGAAAAGTCAATTTACTAACAAAATAAAAACGCATAAATCAGCTTAAGAAACGCGCCTTCACTTACCCCTGAGGCCCTGCCCTCCACAAAATCACGCTGTTAAAAAATCCACGGCTTATTGCCGGCAAGATGCTGTGACCTATAAAAACAGCATTATATTTGTTTACTATTTCTCTCAGTTTGTACGCAACTTTTGAAAAATCAATGTTTTTGTTTCTGTTTTTTGGGTTTTTGTAATTTTGACAATTTCTCAACCACTAGTAAAAGGCAACAAATGAAAGTGAGGCGCTTGAATCTGTAGTCTGTCTTCGTTTTCTTCCCCTGGTTTTCCATACCCAAATAAAACTATCAGTTCGGTTTAAAGCCTGGACGAAGAAAAGGATCTATTAACCGACTAGTGATGAATTAAACTGATAACTGACAATTTTGGATCTGTGCGAAAGCAATGACGGCTCCAGTGGTGTGCGTAAGTTTGCTCGAGAATAAAAGGAAAGTTCAGACCGACACTGATGTTCATAGTAACCCTGAGTCACCTTGATTATCAGCAATGTTTAGAGTGGCGGGGGGGGATTAGTTCGAAGCGGTATGAGTGAGCATACTAGAGGAGACCGGAGCATGCTTCCCCGGGAAAGCATCAAATTTTGTTGTCTTGAAATGACTACAAATGCATATAAAACTGTTGTTATATTTTACCATGAGGTGAACCCGCGAGAGGACACAGGATAAATCGAATCTTGACAATCTTGTCGGAGAAACAGCAAATTAATGCTGGATAGAAACAGACGTTGTTTTGCATTATGGTTGAAAATCCAACGGTGAACCGTCTTTTCAGCCTTACAGGCTGAGTGACAGAAGGAATATTTAAGAAAAGTGTTTATGAAAAGTTTATAACGATGTTCACATGTAAATGAAAAATTTGCATGTGAGTTATGGTTGAATCTCAAAAATAACGCCGACAAAACAGTTTTTCCGACCGTTTCAAAGAGTATCCTCCCCCTCTTCTCGGCGGTCCCCTTTTAAACAGCGCGATAAATCGCTTTGACTTTTGCCTGAAATCAACAGAGAATCTCTCTGACTGAAATATGCTCCTTCTAACAACTTTGGATTGCTTTTCCGTAAAAGCCACTTTCACATAAAACTTTACCCTAAAAACATGTGACACAGAGTAATATTCCAGAGGCGTTGATACCCACGATCAAACAAAAAAGCCGATCGCACCGACACAGCGGACTTCACTGAGGGGCCGTTGAGGGAACTGTCGAAACACTCGAAACCCCCCATTAACTCCCCCCACCGTCCAAACATGAGTGAAGTAGTCGCTTTTGTAGGAATATCACAGAGGGATATTTTGTCTCGGAGGAACATGATCAGCTATCAGCAGTCCAAAGCTGAGAGATCTCACGCGACCTCTAATACTCCTAAACTGGTCACGACGCGTGACAGGTGCACGAATAGAATAAATCTTAAAAAAAGGCCATTGCTTATCAGAAGTTTTCTTCAGAAGCCCATTATCCTCTGACCCCTATATTCTTTGTACAATTTCGAGTTTTTAACATCGCATATATTTTAGATCGTATATCGGACTGAGAGTTGACTCGGTGCTATGACTTTCGATATTCAGAAATGTCATTCTTCAGGTGATTAGAACACGAGACGCGTATGCTAATGACGAAAAATAAAATTGTAAACAAGACTATTAGTCAAAAGCCGAGCAAGCTGATGAAGTTAGATGAACAGAGGAAAACACTGGGGAATCAAGTAAACACGGCAATAATTACTGTTTGACGCCAGGAAAAAATTACCATTAAATAGACACAGAAAGAGGCGATTTTTTTTCTTTTTTCAGCTAAGTGAATTTTGTAACTATTTGGCATTAGCAGCAACAACACTCACGTTTATGGGCGAATTCAATAAATGTATGATTTGGGTACGCAAACTTGGGAGCAGTACACGGTTATTTTGCAGCGTATAATGCTACAATAACATTTAAATAGAAATGAATAATCTTAACAACAACAATAACAATTCTCCTTGCAAACCGCTCTTCCCAACAAAGACGTGACTGGGAGCATGCAGAGCTGATGTGTTCTTTGTTTCTATAAAAAGGCTATGTTTCTACAAAAAATGTCTCCTGGTAGCTAAAGATGTAGTAAGATGCACTTTTTAGGGCTTAGATGATTCCACAGCGATACAGATCGATTCCATTCTACTTACCCTTCCACAATGCAACTGCCATCTTGGATTTTTCTTACATAACCGAGCAAGTCAGGTAAACAATCGTACAAGCCAGCTCACGCGAACGCATACTTGGTCACGCATGCCTATTTAATAGAGTCACGCAAACCGACGGATAACCCTCTCGAGCCGGATGATAACCGAGTATCATAAACACAAATAAACCGCACAGGAAAATCTTTCTGAATAGAGGGAATGGTTGAAGAAGATTCGCCCTTAATTTTTATTTTTCAAGTATTAACCCAGTCCGGATTATTGCATTTGTGATCTTGGCCGTTCCTTTTGACCATGGATTTAAAGTTATGAAGTCAACAACCCGTTGTCTCTTGCTGTCCCTTTCCCCAACCCTAGGCAAGTTGCATGGAGGTACCTGTTTCCCAAACGTTAGATAGTGCTATCTACTGGACTGCGTTATCTACTCTATCCAGGTTGAACAACTGGGGGCTTGTTTATTTGCCAATTTTGGAGGTGATTTGAACCAACCACCTTTTCGGTTTCTATTCAATTACATTTTAATTGTAATAACTTGATAAAAATTATGGTAGCGACTGATCGATAATTTGCAGGAATTTTTAAATGCCATAGTCATGCCAGAGGAAACTAGTGTGTGTGAAAGCTGCGTGACTATTTGATGGTAAATATACCGTTCTGCTAGTTTTCACCTCTTTTTGGGCCAAGGGGTATTGACCACCTACTGTGACCATGAGATGGGGCATTTTTGAACAAACGCCATGCACTTTTTACCTGGTGATAATGATGAATTGACCAGTAAATATTACTGTCTTAGTGGCCTGCGTAGCAAGCGCGTGGAAGAAGTGGGCCCAAGAATGAACGGGCGCGCGAGAGGGAGACACGCGAGGGGGGAGGGAGCCCTCTCCCCTCGCGTGTCATAAGTAAATGTAATGGGACAGAAGGCTTCATGCTTAAGTAATTGGACAGTATGCACAGTTACACAAGCTATAATAGGAAGGATGCCCTCTCCCCTCGCGTGTCTCCCTCTCGCGCGCCCGTTCGTTCTTGCGGCCACTACTTCCAAGCGCCTGCTACGCAGGCTATATCAGATGGGGCAGTTTTGAACGCCACTTTTTGCCTGGTGACAATGATGAATTGACCAGTAAACACTACTGTCTTATCAGCGCAGTATTTCTAGCTGGAGCATACTCAACGAAAGCCTTGTCTACAGATAATTAAGTAGACAAATCCTCCCCTAAATGTTCATATTAAGCTGCCACAGTTTGGGCGGCTTGGAGGAGTCGCGAACTCGTTGGTCGCCCCAAAAACTAATACGTGAAAAACATGAAGCTAGATCTGATCCAACGTTGGCTCAATTCCCACCGATCCGAATAATAATGCGTGGTAGAGTTAACGAATCATCGAAAATTACGCACTTTAATGTCACTTTCTATTTAATTGCCTTGTCTATATTTTTTCCCCACAACACACAGCCTCAGCTAAATCCAAAACGTTCTTCATTTTAATTTCGTAAGCGGATGAAAGGGGCTTTCCATTTTGGAGGTTGTGATGAGCTTCAAAAAGTAAACAGTCTTGTTTTTTTTTCTTAATTATTGTCACACAATTCATTAAGGAGAAGAAACAAATAGCTTATTTCGACGCTGTAATGTTAAGTTTGCCTAAGGTTTAAAGCGCTGGGTTAAAATCATTGTTCGGAATTTGCGTTCTTGTCAAAAATAGAAACCTTGTGAATCTCGCCGGTGAAAAGTAGCATGCTGAGTGAAACTGATATTCATCTTTATACAAAACTGACACAAAATCCATTTAATTTCACACATTACTAAATGGTTGCAAGCAGCTGAATAACACTATACCCCTGCTACACAAAGAAAAGCACCAAAGTGTTTATTCGATTTAATTCGTGCACTTTGCAGGTGATAGAAGAACGCTGTGCGTTAGAAAACGAAAGCCGAAGATTTACCATGAAACCGAAAGTCTTTTTCTTCTTTCAGGTCAGTTCCTTAAGCTTCACTGAAGCTTGTTATCATGGATTCAGAAGCTCAGTTTTAATAATCCACTGGCAAAGGCTAATCAGCAAACAAGCAAGAAGTTTTTGGTGTGTAAGAAACGCACCGCCTGTTTGGTATTAGCTAGAAAAAAGTATTGTATGTTAAAAAGGAAAATAAGTGCCAAACCGTTATGATCTTACGACTTTTTCTTTTATATTAACAAGCGGAAACCCAGGTACACCTGAGTCCTTGCTTCATTTTTGAAATGAAAATTTGGTAGTCAAGAATATAAAGTATATTACGTATGACGGGAATCCATCAAGAAAAAGATTTATTGATTTGTTGTTTCGAAACAAAAATAAGGAGGTTAGTACATTGGTTGCACTTGAGCGTCTTAGGGCCGAAATGACAAGAAAAACGTCCTCTCCGATCCTGACAAAATCGAGCAAAAAAAAACAAAAGGTGAAAAAGGCATATCGAGTTTATGATCGCTAATTATAGTCCGATATCACTAAATGAAGATAACATGAATAAATTGGCAAGAAGTCTGATATTATCAAATGAGCCCAATTGATATCTCATGTATAGCTCAACTTTTTTCCTTAAATTTGTCTTATTTTCACACTGACAAAAAAATGTCTAGTGATTCTAAATCAGTAGGCCTAACATAGGTCTTGGAATGAGATCAGTGCAATCAGATAGGAAATCGGAAGTCTCTAGGCACTGAGGCCGGCGAGAAAAGCTCGTTTTGTTCATTATTATTTTCTTTTTTTTAAGGGAGACACTCACCACTTTGCGAAGTATTTTGGGAAAAAGAATGATGTCAAGATGGGTTTGATGGATAGGGGGTTCTTTATAAGTATTACATCAAAGGCAGCAACCAATTTTAGCAAAACAGATATTAACTGACCATCCTAACTGAAACGAAAATCTAACTAGCTGAGGCAAAAATCTGAACGCACTTTTACAACCAGGAAGAAATGAATCTAGAATGAATTCAATGAAAATTGACTGGGCATGTGGGTGGATCACGACTGGATGCAGACATTTGCTTCAGAGTAAATTCCTTTTGATCGCTGTTCCGAAAAGATATCTAGAAAATCAGTTTTTACACATATGGGAGGCATGCTTTAAAGTAACTAACCCATTTAACTTATCTCTAGCAGCTCCAGTTTCTTTTCATATCGCCAGTCACTACGGCTGATGCAGGTAGGAGACATCTCGTGTTATCAAGGACCTGATATAACTCCCACCATAACAATTAACAATTATTGGACGAGGTTGAGCGAAATATCGTAATTTGTTAGCGGTGAACACTCAGAAGGCTGAGCCAAATAATCGATCTGCGAGACACTAACATATCACGATATTTTTCGATAACCGAGTTCAATAACTGTTTTATCATTCGGTCATCGAGTTTGTTTTTTAACGAATATCGCTTTCTGAAAGGTCAGCGAGGCGATCTGACATTTTCAAGCAAGAGCGTGAGAGAAAAGCGTGGTTTCATTTACTCATGAGGCAAAATAATATTTGCAGCCAAACACAGTTGGACGACATCGCGCATGATCAGACCATTATTTGGAGGAAGTTTTGCAGGTCCGGTGGTGGGCTCTCAGCCAATGAAAAGGAAGAAAAATTTTCATCGAATGATGAAACGTGTTATTATTCATTCAAAATATTTCACCGATTCTGATTGGCTAAAAACACAAGCATAATTCACCATAACCAGCTACTGATGACCAAATTTGGAAGAATTTTGCGGCTTTCGGCTTTCGTATCATATGAAGAATTATGTAGATCGAGGAGGGTGTTATCCGCCTCGGCCTACGGCCTCAATGGATAACATCCTCCTCGATCTCCATAATTAACAATTAATGAATGAGGCTGAGTATCTTATGAAGAATTATGGAGATCGAGGAGGGTGTTATCCGTCGAGGCCGTAGGCCGAGGCGGATAACACCCTCCGAGATCTCCACAATTCTTCATATGATACGAAAGCCGAATTCAAAAATTGTTTTATTATTCATTCAAAATAATTCCTAGTTTAAAAACATGGCTAAAACATGCTTACCTCCAACGATCCATCGATGTTAAGTTCATCTTCGATAGTGCACGTTTAGGTTTGTCCAGCTCCGCAAATATTCTGCAAATAGCAGATGTCGCCCTTCGAGTTGTGTTCTTGCTGTTCTTGCCATGTTTTTACCTTTTTTTTTTCGCCTAGTTCTTACTCTTGAAACGAGTGAAATGTTCGCCATTTTTCAAGTTCACAACGAAAACAACTCAACCTCGTCCCCAGGTCTTCTCGGTTAATGGTGCCTTAACCCGCGAAAACGCTGCATTTTTGACGTCATTTCCTCGTTAAACACAAAATTCTTCCAAGTTTGGTCATCAGTAACTGGTTATGGTGAATTAAACGTGTGCTTTTAGCCAATCAGAATCGGGGAAATATTTTGAATGAATAATTATTCTTCTTAAGATACTCAGCCTCATTCATTAAATTGTTAATTATTGTGCTAACCGGGGAGAGGAAGAATAAGGTATTTCCGAACGTGGCATAAGTATAGTGACACTTTAAACCTTAATAAGGTAGCTGAGATTTATGAAACTTGTTCATAGTTCATGTGTCTCCCTGCGTTTACTTGTTAGTTTAATTTCTTATTGAAATTTTTAATTGCGCTAAAGAAATAATGAAAATGACGTCACTCATTTTCAGTCGCAGAACTGAATGCCTGTGTCAAAGCCGCCTGAGATTAATTGGGGAAACAACGTCATATTACAGTTTTCGTTCTTTCTTACTTTCGATGATGCGAAATACCTTCTTAGCTTTACGGATATAAATGCATTTTTTATTTCTTTTAGTTTGTCCTTTTGCAGTCGATTTGGCTTTCTTGTTGGATGCTTCTGGTAGTATCGGACCCGATAATTACAAGCAAGTGAAAGCGTTTATTATCAAGCTCATTGAATATTTCCCAGTCTCCAGCGCGGGTAAGAAAGTAGTGCTTGAGAAGTCTTTGCGATCATCAGTTTTTTCTCTATTCTTAAGTCTCTCCTTAATACGGCATTTTTATAGAGAATATTTTAAAAGGGGTTACAGACAAGAAAACTCAGTTTCTACCTGTTCCTTGATTATATTTACAGGTACTCACGTGGGTGTGGTCAGTTTTAGTTCGAGCGCAAAAACAGAAATTATGTTTTCAGCCAAACAAAACGTGAAAGCAATAAAGGCATCGATTCTGAACATTACATATTACGCTGGCAGCACTCAGATTGATCTGGGACTCGAGGAGTGCCGTACGAAGTTGTTTGCTGCTGGCGGTGGAATGAGATCAAATGTACCTCAAGTCCTGTTAGTAATTACTGATGGAAGAAGTACTGGTCAGTCCATGCACGAATTTCTTTATTCTTAAATTTTTTCGTAATTTAACATTCCTTTATGGTTTTAACAGAATCATAGTAAAATTTATGCCGGCACTTTATCGACATTCAAACACGATGCGATAACTTACCAGCCTGTGAATACGAAACTGTAGGGGTTTTTCCCGGCCTCCAAGTGTCTCTTGTAGATCATCGTATCCAACACTCCGTTAATTTTCCTTGATGTATTCTGTGATGTATTGTTCTTTAGGCTCAGTTGGTCTTCAGTAAAACGTAGCGGCCTACTACGGCACAATAAAGCAGAGATGTTGTCAGTTGTTATTTGTGTGTTGTTTGGAAGCCTGTTGTTAAGAACAGAATCGAATTTTAGCCCTTATCTGCATTTCCTTAGAGCACAGATTTATCCAAATCTTTGACATCCTTGCAATATTCAATCAATTTTTCGTATACGTTAGACAACTTTAAAAGCTTTCATGCAATGGACGCGAAATAAAGAAATAATATAAAGCAATCATTTTCACATCAATAGCTTCTCACTTAGCTTCGCTTTAAATCAGAGGCTTGAGGCAGTTTGGAATGGCCTTTAAAACAGAGGCTTAAGGGAATGGTCTGCGGAGGTAACAGTCCGTACCAAAATCCTTATTGTCAAACATTCAATCAACAGGGTGCCCCATTTAGTCTTGAGTAGTTCTTACCATATGATTTTTTTATCACACACAGGTGGACATGCGGCGTCAAAGCGAGAATCTCAGCTGCTAAACAATAAAGGCATTGTCGTATTTGCATTGGGATTAGGTTCCCTCGTGAACTCAGCTGAAATAAACGCCTTGGCGTCTGAGCCCAATCACGTGTTTCATTATTTGTCTTTCAGACAAATGTTGCCAACAGATAACGGATTAAGGATTGCACTAGCTCTGTGCTCAGGTAAACAACAGCCTATGTACGCAGGAGGGAGTGTTCCTCTTGATTGGCTTCCCTTCTGCACGACGCTGCGAGAGCGATGTTTTTGGATCGCCATAATGTGACGTCATACTGTCGAGCAGTATGACGTACACTGTGTACTGTACACAGTATCCTGTGTTTTCGCTTCATAAATGAGAATAATAAGATGATCGAATCTTTGGGTGGATTCATTTGCCGCAGCATACGCTTATAGCGGTCCATTTAATTGCCCGTTGAAGTTCTTCAGAGGAAAAAGTGACAATTAACTACATATAACTGGCAGATCTGACAGCAATACTGGTATCAGGGGCGAATACACAGAATACAGGTATTTGTAAGAGGGTTTGGCTGATACCAATCGGCCAAGAAGAAAAAAGTTAAGCTTGATTTGACTTATGCTGTCCCCAAAACGTAGCAAATGAGGTAGGATGAATAGGAACCTCTAACGCCGCAAATTCTTACAACGCCACAAAAAAGAATGATTACGTTACTTCCCTAAAATCATGTGCTCTCATTGCCATGCAGTGCTGTTACTTATAACTCAAAAATAATGTGCAAATTACATGACTATTCTAACAAACATCTTAGTTCGGCCGAAAAGCGGGGGATGGTGGGGGGGGGGGTCGGGTACTCGCTACCTAATCCTGGCCACCCTAAGTATGCTGCAAACGATTCCACCCTTCTCATTTTTAGTTGGTTTCTTTGTTTTCGGGTGGGGGAGGGGGTCAATATTAAGTATAAGTCATATTAGTTGAAACACTTTTGACACGAGTGTGATTCAATCTTGTTTGTATTTAGTTATTTAATTATGTAATACTCATTTAGTTTTTCATTTTCATTCTGTTTATTTTCTTCATTTTTTTAGTTGGCAGGACTTCCAATGCGTTTGTCCACCCAGTGGTTACTCATCGCTCACTCAAGAGTCACACTCTGGCGTCACGAAGTGCTCACGACGACTTCGAGTGCGCCCTCTTCTGCATATCACACAGTTCGTGCTACTCGTTCAATTTTCACTCGCCGTCACGCTACTGTGAGCTCAGCTATGCCAGGAGAAATCTTGCTGCTGGAGATTTCGTCGTTGATAGAGACTTTGTCTACAGCGAATTACAGTTTGAATGAATGCCCAATTTGGGACAGCGAAGCTAACAAAGAGTGATACTCGCTGTTATAGACCTCTTTCATAATCTCCGGCGTAGTGATGTATTCTTTTTTACGAATGATAATTAGCCTGCTTTCTGACCTCATTAGCATGTGTAAAATACAAAAGAATTCTTACTTTCAACGAGACCAGAAACGCTTATTTATATAGATATGAAAGATTAGCTTATGAAAGAGGTCCATTCGTCTTTTCCGAAGTATAAACGCTTGCTTCATCGTTCTTTTAAATTTGTTGAAGAAGTATCGACTGAAGTCATTGCTTAAAATTGTACAGCGCTAGCTGTCAAGTTCTAACCCTACTGACTCGTTTTCTAGTCTTACTTGTAATTGTTACATATAGCTGTACTTTTTAAAGCGTGTTTCCGTTGGCCTCTTCGAGGTCACTTGGAACTGAATAGTGTACGGAGTTGTATCAGATCGGCTAGTAAATTTGGAACGTAAATACTCAGATCGAAGCAAGACGATTGAGGGATTTGAAAACCATTAAGGCTTTTAAAATGTCTGCTGGGTACTAAGGGCCTGTTTACATGGAGGTGGGGGACCCCAGGTAGGGGAGGTAATATTTGGTGAGTCACCCCACCTATCATGTAAACGTGATCATATGTACAGGCGGGTTACCCCACCTAAGCGGGTTACCTCACCTACCTGGGATACCCCACCTCCATGTAAACTAGCCCTAAGATTGTTCCAGTTTATTTACACAACGTCACACCCAAGGCACCATCTTAGCGAAAACTTGTGCCCCTGGGTTGAAGGTAGATATCAAGTTTCGCTGAACCATCAAATGCATATTCAATTTCACTGCCCAGGCCAGTATCATTTGAGTCAGTGCCTGAATCATTATCTTCACCGTTAGGTGAATACGGTGGAGTTTTTAATGGGAGCCTGTTTCCGATGTTTCCATACATGACGTTTTGATTTTTGTTAACCGACATTCTAGACTGCTTGTTATTGCCGGGAGGAACGCTCAAGGAACGACAGCGACCACGCCTTTCTTGAATGTGCTTGTTGCTGTCATGTACAGCACACTGAGATGTCGCGCTTTTAACGAGTGTTTTGTTGACCCTCCATCCTTCCTCCGACCTCGGACACAGCATTTTGAGGCCTTCGTCAAAGTGTTTACTTCCGAGCCAGTTTTTATCAAACTTCACCCCTGGATGCAACTTTCTATCTTTGCTATATTGTTCTGAGGGTGTTACGGAGTCTCTTTCGTGGTAAAATTCTCTGCTTGGCAAATCACTTTTCTTGTTGTAATTCGGCAAATTGCAATGGCCATTCACAACGATCGCTTCTTTCAAGACCATCGCAGTGTCTACGGTGTGTGGTCTCCGAGCTGGTAAAATTCCCCGCTTTATCCTCGCTAGAGAGTTTGGTTTCCTCATGTCCTCTAGCGGGTTTATGGGTGGGAACTGTTTGATTGGTAAGGCAACACAGTGCGTCTCTCTAAAACTGCTTGATCTCACATGATCAAGATACTTTCTTGTAGGCAACGTACTTTTAGCACGTCTTTTAATTTCCATATCATGAGCCAGGGTCCCACCGCAACCACAAACAAACCGACCAGAAATATTTTGAAGGCTCTTAAAATCGCCTGGCGATGCTTTTGTACAATCCTCTATTTTGGTGTTGTTATTTTCGTCATCAAATGCCTTCTCTTCCAATGTGATTTCTAACTTGCGCGCGCTTTCGTTGGAATTTGATTCAGTGAGCTCTTTATTGTCGCGTTTTAAAGACTCAAGTTGTAAAGTTTCCTTCTTTTCCGTAGATTTTCCAGTGATGACGTTCTTTACTACGGCACTTACAGATTTTGAGTTGTCCACATATTTCCGCACAAAAAATGGAATAAACTCGTCGTCCTCGACTTCAGTGGCATTATTTTCTAGGAAATTCGCAGCCCATGTTCGGCAGACAAATCCTTTGTGAAGGGTTCCCCCAGCTTTTCTCTGTTTTATCACTTCCTTGTCGTTACATCTTGCCTGTTTTGAAAGTTCGTTTACATCCTGTAGATCGTGCTTGATGCTAAAATGAGCCTTTGATCGTAAACTCCCTGTGCTCCGAAGTCTTTCGTTGTGTTTAGTAATCCAGGTGTTAGCCTCTCGAAGACGCAATTGCTTTCTCAGGTCTTGACTAGTAAGTCTTCGCTTTGTCTTCTGATTGCCTGGATAAGGACACGCGTCACTGGTGGCGTGATTCACTAGGATTGGCTGAATGTAAATATTGTTGCTATAGCCTTTCCAGCCCTGGACGAGAAAAGCAAGAAACGAGCAATCTTAACAGATTTTTGAGTGCAACTTATCATGAAAAGAATTCACTTGGCCCCGTCATATGAATGAGTCGACGAAAATTTAACGTTCATAGACCTTATGCTCTGCTTTCATTGAATTGCCATGTAATTTTTAACCCTTTTGCCTTCTGGAATTGGGTGCAGATTTTAAATGTTTCCTGTGGTCTGAAATAGGAAACAGTTTGGTTTGGAATAAAGTATGGCGTTTATAAGACGAAATCATTTACTTTTATTCATCTCTTGAAAAGAATTTGAAGTCCCTCTTAAATATCAGACGAGCTTGAGAACGTGACTCAGAGTGTGCGCGCAGTAACGGTCTGGTCTGATATAGTAGTAAGTTTAAGCAACAGGACGGCAGGAAGAAGAGGACGGCAAAACGCTTGCGCTTGACGAACGTGTTCCGTGTTTTGTCGTGATCTTCACTAGCCCCTTGCTGGTGAACTTTTCACGATACTCCACAAATTGAGAGCTTGCTCGCAGGCTAGATCTTCAATAACATCGATGTTTTCTGGTCTTTTACAAAAAGATCTGTTTAAAGGAAAGTGAATTTTTGCGAAAAGTTATTTCAAACAAAATTATTGTCATGCTTGTCACACAAGGTTTGCCGTCTTCTTTCCTCTCCCGTCCTGTTGCGTACGTTCAATAGTGTTTCAGAATTTATCTTGGACAGTAGTCCCCACCCAAATGTTGTGGGAGTATTCCCCGGGCTATTTGAACACCAAATGAATTCAACATTTACCTCAAGAACGTCGGGTTGTTCCGTATTTAGGCATTCATTGTTAACTTTTTCACGGACCACACAAGAAAGAATGGGTGTAACGGGTGGGTTTATGGGTAGGTGAAGGTCCTCAGTGTCAGAGTCACGTGTGTCATCAGCCTGTCTGGGGTCCTCTGGGGTTGATAAAGCATCAGGAGTCTGGTTTTCAGAGGTTTCTATGAGCTTGGCCTCATCATTCTCTGGTTCTGGAGGTTTAAACGTCACAGATACTTTCATTGGTTCCTGTTCCTCAGGATCATCAAAATGGCTTTCTTGATCTTCTTCCGCCATGCTGAAAGTCGGATATAAACATGCAATCAATCAATCAATCAATCAATCAATCAATAATCTTTATTTATACACGATAAGTATTTAAAGCGACGCTTCGCTCGCGGGGTCGTGTCTAAATAATTAAATAAGATAACTAATGAATTAAAAAATAAATACGATATACACCAGCGACGCTTCGTCTCGCGGGTGTTAATAATTAGTCGTGTCTAAATAATTAAATAAGATAACTAATGAATTAAAAAAATAAATACGATATACACCAGCCAGTTCAGGGTCTTGATTTTGGGGCCATTTGAACACAATTGGCCAGATTCTTTTCAGCGATTGACATTATACTTTCAAATTCTCAAATTAGTCAGGGTTTACTGAAAAAACCCCCCAAGATAAAGCGTTTTAAATTTACTGTTTTTAATGCCTGGCAGTCTGACGGATAAAATCTGTTGAACTGTAATAGGTTTTTGAAACAAGGCCGGTTCTTTTCAAAAAAGTCAGGTAGAAAAAAAGGTCGTTCTGTTAGCCTGGCAGATAAACTGTGGACTGTACAAGACCTTTGAAAATGTTGCCAGTGTTCCCTTCCAAACACATTTTAAAGCCTTTAGTAGTTGATTTAGGTTACCTTATATTTCTTTCAGTCTTTGAAAAACATTTTTCAAAGCAACCGAAAGAGTCATAATACTCTCAAATGCATCACCATGTAGACACAGATCAGTAGAATTTTCTTTATTTTTATAGTCCGTACTCATTTTGTTTTTCTTATCGTGAGCTTTGTGACCGATAATTTTAATCGTTTGATCAGTGCACTACTCGACTTCAGTTGCTTTGAAGCACATACTATTGCAAACCAAATCCAATATGAGATATTTTTCTAGGGATTTGTTTAGCCATTTTATCACGTTGTCTGTAAGTGCGAGCCTTTGTTTACGTTAACAAATCTATGAATTCGAATTGTTTACGTTATTTACAAGTATCGTTAACTTTTTGTTAAATACATGATTCATTAGTTACTTCAGATTTTATTAGTTCGGTTTACTGTAAGAAAGGACACTTGTAGGTAATCAGTAGGCCAATTTAAACCGTAATTTTTTTAGTACGCACACTTACCTCACAACTTTCACCCTGAACTATGTCCTTCAGTCAATCCACAGAAGAATCGAAACCCAGACAGTCCTTGATGTTTCAAGCGAACCTTCTAACTTATCTCTTTTTGCTTTAACGGAACAATGAACCCAACTTCATGTTTGGTAACCTTATTCCAGAGAAGGACTGTGTTCGGCAGTTTTGGATAGGCGATTAGCACTAAAACACTTGAAGAATCGAACAACACTCCTAAGTTTGTGCTAACCTTTACTCATAAGTCGTTCTCTTTAATTATCTGTACTCTGGTTAAATAATTATCATCTGTTCTTTTCATATGTTAAAAAGCTATTCAATAGTTCTTCGCTTATAATTAGTCTCTTACCTTTTAACTGGCTTTCTTTCCTTGAAGTAAACACAAGAACAAAAGACATAACTCCTATTCAAGTATCCTGCCATTGGTTGTCATGGGAGCGACTTGCAATTAAACCCACGTACGTAAAATTACATTTTCATTTCTACGAGTTCAATAGAGTACTGTAATGCATTGTGATAGATCCAGAACGGAGATTTGAATAGAAACCTGGCTCTTATCAAAATCAATACAATGTAATAACATGATAAAATTAGCAACGCTAGCACGGTTATTCGTTAATTAAATGGACCAACTTCATTTAAGAGAATTAATCCAGTTCATTAATCTTTAATAAAATCTCTTTTTGGCCAGGTGACAAATCTATTGAGCAAATTCACGACAAGTTATTAGAGCTCGTACTGATTAACAGAGCTGTCCAAACGCAATTGGATATTGGTTTATTGACTCCTATAATTAAATTGAGGAACTGGTGCAAAATACCTTATTCAAACACAAATCGTCGCAGCCTTACACATAAGCTCTAAAGACGTTGTAGACTATTGAATGTATGTTTGGTTACCACTGTTTTCAAACGGACGCTTGGCCGAGTTTTAGGGGCAGACACTGTTTCAAAAGTAAGGAGATGCTTGCTCTCTTCAGGGAATGAAAATTCACAGTTGGTACAATCGTAAGCGATGTGATAAATAGTTTGTTCCAGGCCCCGATGTAATTGGTTCCGCGAAATTGAGAAAGCGAACACGAACATAAATTTACCCAGATCACGCGCTCATATATTTTCGCGTGCCGGCTTTCACTTACGCGTCATCTCTACTATCTGAGAGCCTGGAACTAGCTATGTGACCAAATAAACGTTTCTTGGAAGAGGAGGGGGTTGTCACTGGTTAAAATCCAAGACTTCTGGACAAGTGGAAAGCGCGCACCCTAGTTATCCTCTCTGGTCAATGTGAGGAGAGAAGTTTCGAATCCGTATAAAGCAAAGACAGATTTTTATAGAATATATTTTCCTTGTGAATCCAAAAGCTCTAGGCACTAATTTGTTTTCATACAGGAAGCCTGTTAAGGGTGAAGGGAAAAAAAAAACGTCAAATGGAGTGTTTTCATCCTCAAAATATTTTGTTATCTTCCCATTACGTCAATGAGAGAACTATGATCGACATAGTTTCGTTTTCGACGACGTCTGAGGAAACGCTAGGGATTCTTACAAGTTTTATTTATAACTGCAAGATTTACTGAAATAGTTGTTTATTCGACGAAAACACATTTGACATAACATTATGACTTATCACAGCAAAATAAACAAAAAACGGGCTCGAAATACGAATTAGCCTTGTAATATGGATATATACAGTAGAACGCCGTTAAGATGTTAAAATTCTAACTCTAGATCTTCTTGTAACAAAATATATGTATTTTTAACTTTTTGAAGATCATTGTTACCTACCATTATTGTTATTATTGTTATTGTTATTATTATTATTATTATTATTATTATTATTTATTTATTTATTCATTGAATGAGTAATAAAACAATTATTGGATTCGGCTTTCGAATGATACGGAAAATTATGCAGACCTCTTCCCTCCTTAATCTCAGACTTACTCTTCGGATCATACTCTACCTCATCTAATAATTGCGAACTATTCACAAGTTATCTTTGACATTCACGTAAGTCATATTGTCATATTTCTGTTAGACTAAAAGCAGTCTTTAAAGCACTAGGCGTACCAAGTGAGCATAGAGGGGCGAACCCGCGAGACGAGTTAGACGAGGACCAAACCACTCCATGTTGTGCGCGCCACCCCACTAAGTTTGAAGAAAAATAAGAGACTGCTCATACTCTACCTATCTACTAAATGTGGACACTCAAAAGCGATGTCCAACAAACTTTAAGACATACAGCCCCAATTTTGAAGAAATTAAACGCTTGTAAAAAAATTCCGCCGTCTGTACTGCATACCATGACTCAAATGATTACTATCTCTGCACCCACAGTACAAGTTTTAATCTACAGAATCCGGTCCCATTATTTCTCAGCGACCATCTCAAGTTTGTTCAATGATAAGCGGCATCTACACGCCGAGGTTCATAGCTGAGAAAACTGACAGTTCTCCTAAGCAATATCTGTAGGAGGTTGGAGGGAAAGTCTTTCCTCCCCGTTCACTGGATTAAAACCTTTCCCAGTCAGTCCATAATCGCCGTGGCTGGTGATAGGCCTAAACTCCTGACGGCCTATTTAAACTTGGAAGTACGATTTCACGACTTACATACTCGTACTGAGGCTTCATTCTGATTGAAGTACAATTTGAAATTATACGCCTTTCTCTTTTCTTCGAATTCAGCAGGTCATTGTTTGATTCCATCGACCAAAAGGTCTTGTGAAGCAATAATCACCGACTTCAGATACCAAGAGACAGTGATCCCGAATTAGTGGCTCTACGAGAAGTCCCACCACTCCTGCAAAGAATGTCCCACCCCCCATTCCGATGGTCGCAAAACCCATAGCAAATTCTTTGATGCGAGCATCAGTCTCCGAAACTACCACGAACGCATTAGTGAAAGCCGCGCCTGCTTCTAGCCCAGCGGCAAAGATTAAAATGAAAACGATCCAGACGTCATGTAAGAATCTGTACCATGCGGCTAAAAAGAAAAATACTAGTTGACCAAACAGGAGCAAAGACAAAACCCATATTTTCCGAATAGCGAAGACATTGACAAGGCTTGGCTTGACCGACGCAATGACAGCCAGATACGACCTAGCGATAAACTCACCACTCAGGAATATGAAAATATAATATCTGTAGTGAACACGCGGGGGGAATGGAGCGCTTGGAAAAGCCATTGTTGTAATCACGGCTTGAATTATCACATACTCGGAAATGTAGCAGATAAACAGAGATATTACTAACGGAAGCGTCTGCCCAACGGCCGAAATTCTTTCTTTCCATTTTAAATCTGTTTTGTCTTTAGTCTCGTCAGACTGGGAATCTAATTCCGCAGTCTTTGGAGAATGTTTTTTGTCCATGATTGCATAACATATGAGGTAAAGAAGAGGAGATCCAGCTATAATCATCATAGTATTATTTGGTGACACGCAGCTCCATGTTGTTAGACCTGTGAAAAAATAAGAGGAAGACGGTCTTTTCAGTAGAGGGTTGCGTTCCGGACTACTAGGACCTAATGCCAATTTTCCGCGTACTCTATACCAGCAAACTGAGTCAATTCACCCCGACTCACAGTACAGGTTATTCATCGGAAAAACTAAACCTAAATTAACCAGTGCAGACGAATAATGTTAAAAGGTTTAAAAATGATGCAATAAATATCCTACTCGCTTTTCGATAGACATCCAGGGCTTGTGCATTACACGACGTAGGCTGTCTTTGTGCGCTTACTGTTCAAGTGCGTTATCTCTTGTCAGGAGTAGTCCATTCGTAAAGAGAATTCTACTATTATTCCTGGCAGAACTGCCCAGTCAAATTAGCTTATTTCTATGTACTACTGGCTTGGTCACCAGTTCTTTCTGACATTTGGCAAGCGTCCTTAAAACCCCTCCACCCCCACCCCTCTCTAGCTCGCAAGTCAAGACGATGAATGACAGTACTCCAAAAACGGACTTTAAGAAATGCTACAGCTGCTTTAATTGCCCACAATGCCACTTCTTTACCCCGCAAAACTTCCGTAAAGAAGATATACAAGAGACAGCAATCCGTTTTGTTGAATTGGCCTGGCTGGAAAATGCAAATGTCCTCCAAGATTGCGGACTGTGGTTAACGTTTGGTATGCTCGTAGTTGTCATACATCTCTATTTTTATTATTCTTCGGTACAACCTGCACCATCCCCAGCCCCCTGGGGTACCACCTATTGATCTTAAGATTAGGGGTGCAGTTTGGATCCTTTGCCTATGGTTTTTTAAAGCCAATGGCAGACCTCGTTGCAAATGGTGGACTCTGCCCACACGGAGGGAAAAATATCGTTTGCCTGGCGACCAAAACTGGAGAAATTATGGTCAAAAGAGCAAAAAAAATGTCACATAAGTGCCTTACCTGTGTAATACAAAGGTCCCAGTATAAATCCCGAGCCAGTACCAGCCGAATATGCGGCAACCGTTACTTTTTCATAATAAGCCGTAAGGGTAAAAAACGACACTTCCCCAATTCCGGCCCCTAGGGATGTTGTACAGATTCCCACTAGCTTAAGGTAGACCTCCTTGGCGTAGACAATTATAAACAGACCTGCTGTAAAAAATGCATAAACTGCCACTATTCGCACAACATAAGGCACTTTGTGTATAAAATAGGGCGCAATCATCGTCACTAGAAAGTAAGGACCAACGTTTGTCACCAAAACGGCAGCGGTAGGAATAAAAGTTCCAGCCAATATGTCCTGCGCTCCTGAAATTATTACCGAATAAACCGTATAAATTAGCGCTCCGAAGGCATAAAAAGCTAAGAGATTCTTAACTTGTTCCTTTTTCGGTTTTTGAGTTCCATTACCCTCACTCTCCTGTTCTTCGTGGCTTAATATTTCTTTGTCGTTTTGCTTATCTTCCGTCCCTTCGACTTTCTCTGAAGAGTCAGTCTCCATTTTGACCTGCCGTCTGTTGTAGATTGCACCAAGATGTTAATATAATTGCTCTCCCTTCCTTTGATCGATGATTCGAGTCTATAAACTTAAATAATGTTCAAAATCGTAGCCAAATTCCACGTATATTTCACCAAAAAAGACGATATTTCTTAAGGAAAAACGCTCGGCTCACGTCATGGCAGCCAATTTTTAGTAAACTGATTTTGATTGTCCAGAATCACATTCCGGTCGCTTACGTTATACATCCTGGTGGCCACAAGAAAGACTTACTAATAAAACAAGGGCTCACTTATGCCACCATCTTCACGAGAGAAGATCCTTAATCCGCAAATCCAAGATGAGAATTTGTGCCTCCTTTGAAATGATCCACGGGTCAAATATGTTGGTTTTAATTCCAATGATTTCCGAGCAAACTGAGAGATATGAATGCAGTTGACAAATTACGTTATATTTTTTAGTCTTCCGATGATAATTGACGTTTTCGTCAAAGAAAATAACAACAATGACAATTTGAGCAGGTGGCAGTTGTCCACCAGTCCGGACAAAACAAGGAGGGTCCATGTACAAGGACCGATATGAATCATGGGAATTTCTACAGACAAACAAGGATATAGAAGCTGTTAAACGAAACAAACAGTCGTTACATTCGATAGTTTGTTTGTTTGTCTACTTGAGTTAAAACTGCCAATGAATTAACTGGTTTTTAAAATATATAAATATTTTTAGTTCTACATCTTGCTGATCAGAGTTGTTTCCATCTCGACGTTGTTGGCCCGCAAACAACAAATTTGACGCGCTTAGCGCTGTCGGTTATAACTGTCGTATGAACTGCTTTGAATTCACAATTCACTCCGCACATGCGACAATTTTCATGGACGGGTAAGCGTACTTAATTAGGGAGAAATGTGAGAGCACTTGTTTCGTTGACTTTAATAGGAAATGTAAACAAACGACAATATCTCAAAATCTACTCATTAACAGAGGACGAAATTTTGCAGAAATCCTGTTCATGTTGTATTTCAGTCAATGAAAGCGTCAAAAGATAGTTTGAACAAAGGAGTTTTGTGAAACAATCAAGTTTCTCAAGAAAGCCAATTTCTTAAAAAAACTTCAAAAACTGTTTGTTGCATTTTGGTAATAAGTTGTTTTAAAAAGATGAGGGTCACTAATTGTTTGCTGTGTAAAAATTTATGAGAAAATCTAATGACAGGATTTTGAATGAAGCTAATAAGTTCAAAATTTAAGGATTGTTTTCAAACAGCCATGTTGCCATGACAACGATCCAAATCCCACTTTTAAAGTTATAAATGTCATGTCTCACAAACATATTTTTCCTGCAAAAATTTGAGCTTTACACATGCAACGAGTCTTAAATAACGCCCCAATGAATGTTAACGATCCACAACCTAATCAAACGGTGTTCAGCCACCTTAAAGTTTGTTTCCTCACCCCGAGGTATTGCCTCGTGTAAGCCTTCAATCATTTCACACCTTATTTTTTCAGTTCAACTCCTAGTATCTAAAAATATTCTGTTTAGATTGAAATAACGGTAAAGAAGGATTTTATTATTAGCGAAGTTTTCGACGACATCGTCGTTCCCGTTGCTATAAATTTCCTTATTTATTTAACTTTAACTAATTTAATTGCCATCAGCAAAGCTAATCCGGCAATATATTGAAACTAATTTAGGTGGGGTTCGCCGGTTATTTATCCGATATTTACACACAAGTAGTTTACGACCTGGGTGTAATTTTCAACTTTAAAAATGATTTTTTGGTTATACCTTCGGCAAAGAGAGTCGAACGAAGGAACAACGGAAATGGAACTGAATGGAAAATTTAACCCGTTATTGACAATCAATCACACTTTCAAAAACAATCGCACCTTAAACCCACTGCCTTTAACTCCTTCAGACATCTTCATCCTCTAGGGGAATCGATATATCTAACCATTAATTATGATAGTTTATTGTATATAGTTACACTGAGAAAGTCAAGATCTGTACAAATTACAGACCTCCTTTTGTCCTTGTTTATAGTTAATGACTAATTCATCTACAAACTCGTCCACCCTGGGATCGAGTGAAACAGAAGTTGCTATTGGTTACCACACTTAAACAGTGACGGCGCAGCCAAGGCTCGACCAGCAGTCCTAATAAGCCAGCAGTAACCGCCCCAGCGCCAGTCGCAGCAGATGCATAACCTAACACAAATTCTCTGGAAGTAGGATCCTCAATTTCGGAGTAAATTGCCAACATGTTGACATACATGACACCAATTATTATGCCACCAATGAAGGCAAGAATTAAAACTATTGAAACATCACTCAAAAAGCGGAACCATGCCGCGCTTAAAAAGAAAACTAAAATAGAAATTTCAGCCGCGGCAAGGAACCATATTCTCCGGAAAATAAGCTTCGGAGCAACGCCTGGCGTCAAATACGATGCCACGATCAGATACGATCTACCGAACAGTTCACCGAAAAGAAAAACGAATATATAATACTGGTAGTGATCTCGGGGTGGAAATGGTGCACTCGGAAACGCTATAGTTGTGATCACGGATTGGATGATCAAGTATTCTGCGATCCATGCACTGATTATAGAAGCAATGATTGGGCAAACTCCTTTGATAGCCAGTAATTTGTCGTCCCATGTCAAATGATTATCTTTACGTTCTGTGGTCTGCTCGTCTATAGGTGAATATTGAATTTCCTTCCGCGTAATTCCTGTTGTGGTCTTTTGTTCGCATTGTGAGTGTTTTCTCTCCATTAAGCCATAGAAAATCAGCAAGAAAATCAAACTGGCCGCCATGATTGAGATAGTAAGAGATGGAGACAGACATGCCCAAGTTGTCATGGCTGTGGATTAAAAAGGAATCGATTAGTCAAATTTAAGTTTTGTTTACGGACCGCCACAAAGTCATAACAGTTAAAGAAAATTCCGGGTCATGCTCGTTTCGGCATTTTAGCTAGAAAAAGATACTCCTTAAACGCAAATTAAAGCCAAACACAGGACTGACTTCACGAATAGTCGCCAGTCCAGGTTCTCTTGACTTAGAATTTAACCTAAAATGATAATTTACCATCAAAATATTCCTCTCTAGTCATAGAATAAGGGAGATAGCGAATTTTACGAAAGAAAAATGTGAAATTTACTTTAATTAACTATCTTGAAACTGGCCCAATATTCCCATTTCATGAATATCATTAGCTTGAATTGTAGGCAGCTGTGTCTTGAAAATTAATTTTACTTTCTTTGTCTATTTAGCTAAGTAATGATGTTCGACACGACAAAACCTCACTTTGCAGATACTCAAATTGCTTTCAGCAATGGAAACTTTGCGAAGCAAAGAGTTAGCCACTGAAATCCAAATATAAAAGCAAAAAATTAACTTCTTTGGGAATCGAAAGGTTCAATCAGCCGTACTAAGGTCATGAAACTTGAACATACTGATTCACGAATCTCTGGCGAGGGAACGCCGATTTTGTAAAAGACTAGATGCAAATGCGATACGAATGACAAAAACATTTGAAATTAAATTAGAAAGTTTCATAAAATAAGATACCTGTGTAATACAATGGCGCTAAAGAAATACCGGCCCCGGTACCAGCCGAAAAGGCGCTGACAGCGGCGTCATGATAGAAGGAAGTCATGGCAATAAACGATAACTCTCCCAAGCCAAAACCAAATGAAGACAGGGATATTCCGAATAATCTCGCGCCAACTTGCTTGGAAGCAACAACCATGATTAGTCCGGTGACCTCTAGACAAAAAATTGCCAATATACGAGGAAAATAAGAGATTTTTTGGATGAAGTACGGCGCTACAGATGTTACGACGAAATATGGGCCAACATTCGCGACTAATACAGCGGATGTGGGAACAACCGTGCCAGCTAGAATATCTTGAGCGCCAGATATGATCAGCGAATAAATCGCATAAATCAGAAAACCAAAAACGAAAAAAGAAACGATCGTTATTGGCTTTTCTTTCTCTCGGTTGTTTTCTGTTTCTTCCGGGAATAGATCAGCCATTTCTGTCGTTTCCTCGTTGTGTTCTTTTGATCCATCTGCCATCTGTGGGCGTTTAAGGTTTGCGTTTCTTAGCGAAGAAACTTCAACGGAGATTCCTCTTTAAAAACGCGTTCCAACCCTTTTTTTTCACCCAAGCTTAGATCATTTAGATCATCGGTAAGGATGTATTAGGTAGTCCTGAACGTATTTTTCCAACTCATTCCTCTCGCACAATTTTTAAACGTTCAAGGCGATCTATAGTAAGACAAAGAGATATGTAAATTTTAGCAAATCAAACATAAAATTTTCACTATTTACATACGATATTTCAGAAACACACTTATTTACAAGTCATTTATGCCTAAAAGCAGTAGAGTTATCTGAAAAAGCAACAAATTTAACAAAAACTAACCAATGTTTATGCCCGAGTTGCAGATGCTCTCAGATAAACTATTTCTTCAATACCAGTTTTAGCCAATCACTGACTAATAGGTAGTTTTTTTCGCTTTGATTCACTCTTCGGTGAGGAAGTTCTATTTGCAGCACATTCATATTTCCGTAATTACATACAAAAAATAAAGGTCTCGATGCTATCAATTTCAAGGCCTTTTTGTAAATTCTGGAGCAGAATTTATGCCGGTTTAAAGGGTAAAACAATGAGTACCTGTTTGTCAGACAGTCAAATGTAAAATCCACCTGTTTTAAAACTAATTTTGGAGACCAAACAAAGGGCTTCGATTGCGTGGGGTGTTTTTTTTTTTTTTTTACTTTCCCCGAATCATTGAGGACTGATAGTTATTCCTAGCACAACCACATTGATTTATTCATTGCTATACCATGCATGCTTACCGGGGGGAAAGAACTTAAGGTCCCGTTTATAGGGAGAAAAGTTGTCCAGGGTAGAAGGTTCAGTGGCTTACTCGAGATACCCTGGGCAAGCAAACTTGTTATACGTTTCCTTATAAAACGTGGCGAACCGTTCACATGAGAAACAAGAAGTTGGCTCGGCTGGACGGGTTACCCGCCTAGCCTGTTCACCCTGCTCCTAGCCGCGCCAACTTTCCTCCATATAAACACCATGGCTTGCCCAGCCGGGTCAACTCGGTCAAGGCGAGACAATCAGAGCATGCGTGAGCGCCGTTGGCTCGGGCAAAGGGGTCTTTTTCATTATAAACATTTGCTTAAGTCTTTCCCGTCTCTCCCGGGAAAACTTTTCTTCGTCAAAAGAGGCTTAAGTCTCCTTCGTCGATGCCGGTTTCAGGTTACTCTCGAATGGTCTATTATTCCTGTTTGTAATTAATTTCTGGTTTTTGAAGCAAGTTAGCTTTGAGAATGTCTGAAAAGATTATCCAAAAAAAGAGTTTTTTTTCGTCCAATGAATGATTGATAGCAGTACCTTTTGACAGAAACTGGATGGACGAAGTCAACTGGCGGACGGCTTCAACATCAACTTTCAAGACTTCCTTTTATGACTTGACGCCATAATAAATTAAATGCAAGTATTGCAGCATGTGATATTGTTGCTGACTGTTTCCACAAGAACACCATGAATTACAGATAATACTCAACCTTATAAAATAGCCAGTTTTTTCGCCACATTCCTCTTCCTAGGAAAACATTTCAGTGAAAGGCATGGATAATACAACATGCTGTCCCTATCGACAATCCATCGAAGTGACTAAGTCCTGCTGTCCTTTTAAGGAGTGCGTTAGCAGAAAGCACACCTTGGTGATAGTTAATTTGTACAAAATAACTGAAAATGTTCCTCAGAGTGAGGGATATAGGTTATCAACACTTTCATTTATGCAACTTCTACTTGACTTACGTCACAATCTAAAATAGAATTTCTCGATCTAATACGCGCGAGCTGTCATTGTTTCCATAATTGAAAAACGATATATTATGACAAAGCTACAACCAGTTGCGAAAATACTTGAGACACTGTGCCTTATTTTAACCTGTTTATCATCCTGTGTTTGTGATCCCCTCCTCCCCCGCTGTTTTGTGTTTACGTCCTCCACAATACGTGAAAATAGGAAGTTTCACGTTGTAAGCGTGCAACGCGTTAACTCAAGATATTTGTGCTATTTTAGCTCATTGTCAGAAATATCTAGCGAAATAGCAACAACAAAATTCCTCAAAAATTGCTGGGTGTCACACATTCTTCGTTAAATTTCGATTTCTTTTAAGTTGTCTTAGATACTTCGGTGATATCGGGTCAAATTTGCAGAGATTACCCACTCAGCGGTATCATTGCTACGATCTTTTCATGTACAGAGACGTATTTTAATAACTTGAAAATAGAGTGATAAGAATTACAGTCGACTCCCGATAACTCGAACCTTCAAGGGAAATCGAAAAAAGTTCGAGTTATCGGGAGTTTGAGTTATCGGGATCTCGAAGAAAATAGCCGAGAGTAAGGTAAAAAACAGTTTTTACTGCACAGTGAACATTTAATCACATTTAATTGTAGAAATGTCAAGTGAAAATTAAAAGATACTTCTAGATTATAAATCAGAACGTAACGTAACAAAACATAACCTAAATAGAGCATGCGTTTTACAGTTTTGAGAAGTAAAGCTGCTTCACGTTAGCCTGTGGCAATCAACATCAGCCTCCACTAGTAAACTATACTCATACAACACGTCAATAGGAAATCCAAAATTCAATGTTTCGGACGCCAGTAGACGGCTTTTTTCCCGACTTTTTAAGGGCTCAAAACATTGTTCGAGTTATCGAGGGTAAAATTATATAGAGAACGACCTGAGGGGAAACGAAAATTGGTTCGAGTTAGCGGGAGTTCGAGTTATCGAGGGTTCGAGTTACCGAGGGTAAAATTACAGTGAATGTATGACGGAAATTCAGGGGAAATCGATTTTGGTTCGCGTTAGCGAGGGTTCGAGTTATCGGGAGTCGACTGTATGTTTATGATAGGACAAGCATGAAAAAAGCCATCCCTAGGGGATCGATCGATCATTGTTTTATCCTTCTCAGAATTTCGCAAGCTTGCTCGTTTAAAGCAACATCGTGTCGTTGGATATTAGTAAAAAAGCATCCCACGTTAAATGCTTACTTTGTCGCCCAACCTCAGAAATTTGTATGGTCTAGTTGTGGATTGTTGAGAAAGGGTTTCTACCAAAGGTTTGTGTTAGTTGAATTCTTCAATTTGCCTACACGCACAATCAACTGCCCTTTGTTTTAATGCAAAGTTTTCAGGTTATGTTATGGGCCATGCTTTTTGTTTTTTTGTTTTCTGATCTCTTCGTTTCCATATAACTTTGCGCCCCAATGATTTTCTTTCCAGGGAAACGAGACATTCACACTGACAGCCTGGCAGCCAAAAACGTCAAGAGTCTCCCCACCCACAAACCTCAATCAATTTCCTTGTGACTCGTGATTTTCATCTTCCAGCCCCGTGAGCGATTTCATCAGAAGAATCTCAAACCCCAAGCCACCCTTCACAAGAGTATTGTCAGTGAATCATCAACCAGAAGCCCGACGCAATCAGTGGTCAGCACTTGAAGAGTATACTGTGGCATGAACAAGAACTGCATAAAGACACTGAGCTGATACTGAGCCCTGCTCTAACTGAAAGCACACGTACAGCACCATTGCAAAATTTGAAATATAGCCCATAGCCAGGCCCGTGAGAGAAAAGCAATGTCAGAATCTGGCAAGAGTGATCAACAGGATCACGAAAATATGCTTACAGTGATGGCATTCTTCGCATGTGGAACATTAATTTACAATGGTTTTTCCTTATTCATTACTGCTGCCCAAGATATCTTAGCTGGTACATATATTCAGTCTTCCATGGTTCTAATTGCGTGTATATTGCCGAGTTTTGTTTTCACTTTAATTGCACCTTATTTCGTGCAGAAAATTTCATACTTTGCTCGGTTTATCACGGTTGGCTTGGCATTACTCTGTGGTCTACTAATTCTTGCTCTAGCCGAACAAGTTTATTGGAAACTAATAGGCTTAGGAATAGCTTCAGTGGGCTACAGCATGAGTGAGATGACAGTTTTGGGTTTAACTTCTTTTTATCGTGAAGTCGCCTTGACTGCCTTTTCCGCTGGAACAGGAGTAGGTTATGTGATAACACCCTTCTACTACACAGGTAAGATCTGATTGCATTATTATTCATTCAAAATATGTCGTCGTTTCTGATTGGCTCCAATCTCCCGGGAAATTTTTCATAACCAACTAAGAACTTACCATATTTGGAATTGATTGGAAACGAGGCTGCTAAGGCCACAGACCATCGCCAAGCCGCCAAAAAGCTGTTTGTTCACGAGTGAACTAAAAAAAATGGCGTTGACGGCTATCCGAGGACGAAATAGCTGATTTCTGACCAAGTCTGAACGGAAGAAATACAAGAATAGGCAGAGGATGTTATCCACGTGCACCTCGGCCTTCAGCCCTCTGCTGATAACATCCTCAGTCCTCCATCTGCATCATTTTTGACATCTTACTAAGCCTCATTAAATAATCGTTAAGCAGCTGTTCATAGGCAAAGTTGCTGTCACGCTATTTGCTATCTTTTTAAAAAGCTGAAACGTTTTTGTATCACTTGATGTAAAAAAAATGCATGTACAGATTTGATCAGTTTTTCCTGGCCTTTTTTGCAACGAATGAAAAGAATGGACACGGATTGAAACTTAATGAAATAGTTGCTCCAAAAAATTATTATGGTTATTGCTCCATGATGAAATTTTCTTAATATCTTCTTCAAAATTCTTCAGGTCCATTCCTCTTGTGTATGGGTAAAGATACCAAATAGTGACTTCAGCACAGAATTGACCTTGCACAGCTATTTATCATCGTACGTCACATAGCGCCTTTTATAACAGCGTAATTTTATTTGTCAGAAGGTATAATGAACGTCAATGAAGTATCTGCATATGAAGTTGACATTGAAGGGGTCTACAAATTAATTTAACAATTAATGAATGAGGCTGAGTATCTTATGAAGAATTATGGAGATCGAGGAGGGTGTTATATCCGTCGAGGCCGTAGGCCGAGGTGGATAACACCCTCCGAAATCTCCATAATTCTTCATATGATACGAATATAATAATATAATTGTTTTATTATTCAGTGAAAATAATTCCTAATTTAAAAACATGGCTAAAACATGCTTACCTCCATCGATCCATCCATTTTAAGTTCATCTTCGATAGTGCACGTTTAGGGTTGTTCAGCACCGCAAATATTCTCCAAATAGCAGATGTCGCCCTTCGAGTTGTCTTCTTGCTGTTCTTGCCATGTTTTTAGCTATTATTTCGCCTAGTTCTTACTCTTGAAACGAATGAAATGTCCGCCATTTTTGTTTCCACAACCAAAACAACTCAACCCCGTCCCTAGGAACAACTCGTATCCTAACAAATGTTGCTAGCGCGTTCTTGTCTTTTATCAAATCATGGCATGACGTTAAGGTCTCTAAATAAAGGCCCCGAGGGGGTGTCTCATTTTTTGTCTAGGATTACTCTGGCGCATCGTTTTTTAAATTGATTACGTCTTGGACGTGCGGCTTCGGTTTGCTTCATGACCCCAAGACAATAACCCCCGTAGTCAAGTATTAGCTGCATAAGTGAGTTGTAAAACAAACTTCTCAGCTTTCAGTCACAGAAATGTATCTGTTCTTTTCAAAAGGCGAAGTCGCTTTCCTATATTCGATACCGTTGTTTAAAAACAGTTGTCTATCTTTATGCCAGGTAGTTTAGTATCGGCTACAGAATCAAGCTGAACCTCAACTGTTCTCACATTAAGATTTCTGCCGTTCAAGCAATTAGCCCCAAACTTATGCTGTAGACAATCGCTTGCAGGGACGAGAATCATCAACAAACGCAAACGCAAACACAAGTTACATATGAGCCTCTGGGAACGAAAACTCGAACCCCTATGTGGAAGACGAGCTCAGAGCACTAGCCTACTCACCAATTAACCGACTGCTGCTTCAGCCACGAACACTGAGATACACTTTAGAAAATAGAAGTAGTTGATTATGTAACTGAAAAGGAAGCCGCGTACTTACCACGGAAACTGCGAGGTACTGTTCTCTGTGACGAAACCAGCAGTCAAATGAAAGTTATGCTGTTTGTTAGCTGTAATCAATGGTCAATTTTCTGTACGTGTCATAGAACCTTGAAATCTCGACATTTTGACACTTTTTCAATCGTGAGGTAATGAACCGTTCACCTGCTAGATCATTCTTTCTGTTGACATTTGCTTGAAAAAAACAATCTTTGATCCTAGCGCACTTGTAAAACGGATTAAAGATAAGAAGGCAGTCTTTCCCAAGTCACTGATATCGTATCAGAGGATTATAGTTTTTGTTTGATATTAGTCAAAAGTAAATCAGCTGCGGTAAACTGAAGATACAGTCCAGTTCAGAACATCAGGTTAAATTTTCAAAGCTATTCCCGGCATTGGTTAGGGTTGGTCACCCAGTGAAGGCCTTTACATAATGGAGACCGCAAGAAAAGGATGGGGCGTTTTGTGTATTTTTAGAGTCGGGGGTATTCATTTTTAGAGCCTATTAAAAGCCATCTGTGCATGAGTTTAAAAAAAAGCCATCGTTCATAATTTTTCCAAAAAACTTTTATCATTAAATAGTTTGGAAATGAATGAACTGACGATGAATGGCGAGATTTTTAATTTTAGACCAGAAGTCACATTCCCATGATTTTAGAAAAAGACACGTCATCCTAGCCTGCGAGCAAGCTCTCCTATTTGGGCGAGTGAAATGAGTCTCGCGAGAACGCGCGAGCGACTGGCGAAGCCCCTCTCTCGCGCGTTCTCGCGAGGCTCGCTTCGCTTGCCCAAATACGGAGACCTTGCTCGCAGGCTACGTCATCCATGTTCACTGAACTCTGCGGTAGCAGTCACCTGAGTTTGACTTTTGGGAGCCTGTTGAATAAATCTCAACAATTCGTTCGAGAAGAAATATCGTATGTTTTCCTGACAGTGGCGGATAACCGTCGAGTCAGAAACTCGGGCATTCACGTAGTTGTTGATTATGTAAGCTTAAATGATTTTTATTGAGGGTCGCTGACTGGATTCAGCTGTACGGTGATGCCCTTCAGACCTTCTCGATTTTCTAAACATCAGCCGAAGCGGGGTAAGTCTGTTTTGGGTTCCTTTGTATCATCTTTAAATGGATACCTATTATTATTTTAGCGCAAAAACGTGTTAAGGTCGACACCGATCACTCGAACATTTTATAAATTCTCAATAACTGCTAATTGTGTGAAAGTGTAATGTTCATGGAGAATGTTGATGGAGATCACTATTTCTTAAGCCTGATCGCCCTGAAACAGTTCAGTCACAGTTCAGTTTTTAAGGTGGATTGTAATGGATATTTTTACACTGATTAAATCTGTGAAGTTAATTGTTTTAAGGGTACGAGGAGTGTAACCACATGAATCAGAGATTTTTAGTAAACAAAGTAATTGCACTTTTGAGCTTTGGTCAAACTCAGGTGGTTGTGAGTTTTAGGTTTAATGTTTAGACTATCATGTTTGTGTTTTTGCGGTGATGCGAATCTCAATTTGAAATGCCTGTATTTGTTTTTTTTTTAAGTTTAATGATGGGAATTTGCGCTTTAATTGAAATCGAGTTTTTTTTCTTTTGCCATGATTTAAAGGTACTTGAAGTTATTCATAACTTGTGATCAATAATAGATGGTATAATTGTTAAGAACTTCCTTGAATGCATTTGAGTGTTGTTGAGAGAAGATGGTGATGACCAGCCTTTAATTTTACAAACAAAACTAATCCTAAAGGAAACATTGGTGATAGTGCATGTCCAACATTAAGTAAAACAGTTTGGCCTTTCAGATGCAACAGAGCAGCTTAGCCTTTTGAGGCCGTGGCTCTGTGAGAATTTTATTCTCCAGGTGTCTCAGACGGAAATAAAAAATAGCTTTATCTTTAAGACATTGTTTAAGTGTTTAGTTCCCAGTATTGTATCGTGTTGCTCAAGTGCTCTTTCAAATATTGCAAGTGTTTCGCTTACATTTGAAGTGAGGCCTTTAAAACTAACGCGTCAATTTTAAAAGCTTTTGCATAAGTCAGTTTCCGTTTGGCGGTTAGTGTTAGTTGTGGCCTTGAATGAAGATTCCATAAAAAGGTTGCGTTTACATAAAATTATGGAGATCTTGTAAGCACGAATTGAAATATATGAAATGATTCATAAATTGTTTTGAACTGCGGATGAAGGTATGAAAGTGAACATGATCATCGCACACTTAAAAAAAAACACTCCTGTTTAGTTGCCCTGGCCTTTTGGAAACCTAAAGAATGACCGTTTAGCAATAAAAAACCCAGATATGATATGTACCTACTAACAAATGTTGCTAAAACTCAAGATGTCCCGCTGGACGGTACCATTTTCTCCGGTAATACCGGCCAAAAGGATAGGGCCACTTTTATGAATAAAATATTCCTATACAGATATCCTAAGCTTGTAGAAACCTACAGAAATCAAGTTCTACAACACCGTTTAACAGTAAAAAACCCAGATATGATATACCTCCTAACAAATGTTGCTAAAACTCAGGATGTCCCGTTGGACGGTACTAACTAGGTTCATGTGACAAACATCATGCGTACTGCTAAGACTATAATCAGTCGATATGCGCTTATGCGTAATTGTAAATTGTAATTGTAATTGTAATTTGTTTACCTACGGAGCACTAAGGAGTTCATAAGAACTCGTTGAAACGTGTCCGTACGTTCCAGATCTGATTGGAATTTAAAAGTGTTGGTTTTTAAGGAGAGGGGAAAACCGGAGTACCCGGAGAAAAACCTCTCGCAGCAAGGGAGAGAACCAACAAAAAACTCAACCCGCATATGGCGTCGACGCCAGGATTCGAACCCGGGCCACACTGGTGGGAGGCGAGTGCTCTCACCACTGCGCCACCCTTGCTCCCCAATGATCACGTTTTTTACAAACTTTCCATTGTTCTCTGTAGCTTTGACAACATGTGTGTCTAGGGAGCGGAGGCCGTAAACCAGGTTCACGTGAAAAACGTCCATATACTGCTAGGACTAGAATCAGTCGATACAGTATATATGACCTTATGCGCAATCAGTATGATTTTACTAACCGGTTTTCCATTGCTATCGATCTGTAGCCTTGACAACATGGGCGTGTGTGTCACCACAGATCGCGATTGTAATCATGGCAGTCGTCTCCCTTCTCATTCCTGCCTGTTATTACATTATGGACAAGAAACACGTGAAGCCTCCCAGTCCCTCAAGTGAAAAACACGCCGGGGTAGAGTACACTGCACTGGACGCTAACAAAGGTAGCTATGAAATGCTGAACTTGCTAATATAATGCTAATGAGGTGATTTACAAGAGCTGATCTAGACAGGGACCGAGGGGGCTGAAGGGGCCGAATATCTTTATGATCTAAAGAATTCTTTGTGATCTGTCCTCTAGAGCCTTTTTGCATTTAAACGCTCTCAGAGTATATTTTGTAGCTAATTGAAAAGACCATTGTAGCTGGAAAATCCTTCAGTTTTTCTGGATCCGTCCCCGCATGATATACCTCGAGGGATATCATTAGATTAGATCGTCAGAATGTCCGTTGCATGTCTTTGACACTCGATTTGATTTTACCCATTTTTTGACGGAATGGAATACGGGAAATGTTTATCACAATATTACCCGGTCTTTTGGCCAGTTATTTTCTGTGAATATGAAACTGGGTTAATTTGGTTGAACTGGTGTTTCAGTGTAGTTTAATCCGGTAGACCATAACATAATTTTGAAATCCGTCTTTCAACAGAGTATGAATGTGAAGAATTGGACAGTCAAAGAGATGACAAAAATAATTCAAGAGACTACCACCTTTCAGTTCAAGAAAAATTTGCTGTTATATGGAAGATGCTGCCTGATTTAATAACAATTTATATTGCCTGGTTCTCAGAATATCTCGTTTATGTGTCCATCGTAACAACACTAGCATTTCCAAACGCTCCGTTTAGTACACGTGACCATTATCAGTATTATATATTTACGCTCACGGGCGGCGAGGCGGTTGGAAGGTCCTATCTTGTGATTTTATCATATATCAAAGCTGAGTGGGCTGAAAAAGCTAAGATCCCTTGTCTATGGGGTTTGGCGATCATCCAAGTTTTTCACCTTCTATTCTTTATCCTGGCTGTCTGGTACCGCTTTTTACCCAGCGTTTGGATCATTTTACTGTTATCGTTTTCCTGCGGAGCCGGGGTCGGTGTTTTCTACGTCAATGCAGTAGCGGTTTTCAAAGTAAAGTTTGAAGGACCTGAAAAGGAGTTCGCCATGGGGTACTTAATAGTGGCTATAATTGCAGGTGAACTTGCCGCAGCACTTCTTGGCCTCTACATCGAGCCAGTTTTACGAGAACACTGCACCATGATCCTGAATAACACTGGTCTCTGTTTTACGAGATCACATTCCAGCTATCGCCTCTCCTCATCATGTCATGTAGACAACAGCTACCGTGTTGAAATCCCCAGTTAAAAAAGCAAAACAAAAAATATGGTTACCTTACATTCAGTAGGACGAATGGCACAAAAGTTGCTTAAAACATCTCTTTCATGTAGCTGGAAGTCCTATCACTTTCGCGGTTTCACTTCTTCAGACAGCCTCCTTCTCAGGCGCTTCACGGTTTTTCGCATGGTAGAGGCGAGCGCGAAACGGGAGTGACTGGTGATGAACAGCAAGGGACCATGGGAAGGGTACAGCGGTAGGCGAAGCCTGTTGTCTCCTTCCCGCCTTCCTTTGCGCGCATATTTTCATCGAGAGAGACGTCTGGGTGCGAGGCAGCTTCTTCCGAGCAGTGTTACTGACCTAATAAAAAACCTGGAGCATCATAATTTACCTCGATTTTAAGAGGGCGCATGCCAACGTATGGTGAGATACAACTGTAACTTCAGGATTACTATCAATGATGTTATTATATTAAAAGAAGAAAAGGAATAAAAAGAGTGTACTGTAGTAGTTTTAATGTCGATTGAGGTTCTTGATCGTCGTCAATTTGATGACTATAGGTTGACTTACATAAAAGTCATCGATGTCTGAATTAATGATGCTCCATTTAGTTCAATTTTTTAGGGGGAAGAATTTTTGGAGATGCGCGTTCTTAACAAAACTGAAATTCTAAGGGGCCGTTAGTAAGATATGAGGCGTTTCAGTTAGAGATCGGGTATTTTTTTGTTTTTTCTACGGTATGTATAATAGCAGCCGCAGACATTTATTACATATTCTTTATACAGTCGAATGCACATATAATTTTTATTTCTTACCGACAACAGTGATAAAACCTCCTCTTACAAAGACAAAAACAGTTCAAGATCGACTCCTCTTTATCCCCCCCCCCCCGCCCCCTCTCTACAACGTCATTTTACTCCTGACTCCATGCCACGAAAAGCCTGAGTAAGCAGCAGTTCAGTAAAACTTGTCCTGGCATGAGGACTCACGACCAACGAGAGGTTAAATATTCTATTTTCTATTCTTGAATTTTAAACTAGAAGAATAAACGGCTTTTAACAATCTTTTCATGTTTCTTTATCATAACAACTTTTTTGCGCCTAGAATTCTGAATTTACTTTCGAATTAAAGGAGACTGACCGGCCAATCTTGATTTCCCATAAAGACGTGGCCTGCTCGGCACTCTTAATTTGATAAATGGGAGAATGAAGAAAGTGCCCCGTCAACAGTTCTTACCATCATTCGCAATCTGCGCTCTTTCACGACTCAAGATGGCGGTCGATCTCAGTGATCGGTTTCGACAATTGCATGGAAAAAACAATATCGGACTGTAGACAGTCTATCAAGAAATGAATGCCTGATAACAATTCTAAATCAGCCAAAACTGAATAAAGGTGAAACCGGTCGTTTTGATACGAACCTCATAGAAATTTCGGTTGTAATTAACAAGAGAGGAACTTCATTCTTTCTTGAGTTAGCCAATAAAAACGGAAGAGAAACATTTTGCGTCAATATTCTTCTTTCTTTTAGCCAACTACGCGCAACTATTTACACTTGACTGCACGAATTATCGACTTGAATCGATACAAACGTTTGTGTCGAAACGAACGGTGAGCGAAAAGAAGCAGAACGCCAACCGTAGCACGGTAATTAGCATGTGTTTTTCTGCGGAGGTCTTTTTCGTTTACTCAGTTGAATAAGATGTCTTTTGTGCTCAGTTACCATGTCTTACGCGGACAATCATCCATTTGGAATTCCTCAGATTCCTTTGACCGACTGAGTACCAAAGATTATGTCGCATCGAACATGCTTTTATTGTCCAACAGGAGAGTTATAGTTAAGATTTTTAAAAATCCAAAAGCCTTTTTTAAATTTTAATCGTCATTCAAATACGAAAGTTGGGCTCAAAATGTTGCTATTTGTTTCCGCCAATTAAGGACCTATGATTGATTTTATTTTGCTCAGCATTAAATGGAGTGTTTCGCTCCATAGTTGTATGAATACAAAAGTGTGATCAGAAGTGCCGGTGTAATCGTTTAAGTCGTTAACCAATAAAAGTTTTATATGTGCCCCGAACCGTAAACATCTCGAAGACAAAAAGAGCATTTGCAAAAGTAATTGAAACGAAAGGTTGGACCAGAGTCGTATACTGAACAAAGGAAATGCAAATTTTTATTTCTTGATGAGTGCTGCACTGCAAGCAATCAAAACCTCATCAATAATTCGTTTGCTCCTTTCCCGCTGCAGGGTACAGCTCACTTGATTGCCAAAGTTTACTTGTGCGAGAATGGTAATATGTACCATTATTCAGGCAAAAACAACTCAGAAAATGATTTAAACCTCGATTCAGTACTTATGGTTACAAGCAAAGAATAAGAAGAAAAATTTAACATACTGATGAAGACGAAGTCTAGGAACAGCTGATTTAGTTTGAAAGCCAAATCGACAACTACACGGAGGGAAATTATTAAAACGCAAGACCAACACACACAGCAAAAAACCGGCTGACTCTAAACCTGGAAAGAGATGGAAGAAGGCAGCAAAAAGACTTTGGCACGATTCACTGACGACGGCGGCTTTAAACCAAATCAACATGAACGTGAGCGTTTCCGCACGGTGGCCGCGTTTTTCGTCTTTGGAGCTTTAATGTACGCTTCATACTCCCTCGTTATTGCTGGAGCTCAAGATATTTTAGCCGGAACATTTATTCAAACTTCCATGGTCCTCGTGGCGGACATAGGACCATACTTTGTTGTTTCATTAATCGCTCCTTACTTCATGCAAAAAATACCGTATTTTGTCCGCATCACAACAGTTTTCTTGTCTGGAATTAGTGGTTTACTGATCCTCGCATTCGCCCGACAGGTTCATTGGAAATTAATTGGTGTAGGTATGACGTCGTTCGGTTTTGGAGTCAGTGAAGTTACATTTCTAGCGCTCACATCGTTTTATCACGAAGTAACATTAAGTGCTTATTCAGCTGGAACTGGAGTTGGTTTTATGATAGCTCCCTTATATTACACAGGTAAGTAGTATAACAGTTTTTTTCCTTGAGTCTAAGAACAGTTTGACCAGTCAATCAGTAAAATAATGAGGCATAAATATCTTGGCGTCTTTAAACAAACCATCTCAGTCTAGACGTTCTTGTTCTAATTTTCTAACAAATTTCATATTTAGATGCATCTACGGATAGCTATTTGTCAAAAGACCGTAAGATTTGAAATGCATGGGAGATCATTTGGAAACAGGTGTTCTAGTTAACATTCAAATTCAGTGCATTCTTCTTTTCAATATGAATGCTTTTAAAGTGAGCTCAAAAGCGACAGCAAAGAAATTAATCATTTCTTTTTCACATAACTGACAGTCAAATAAATGACAGCCATTTTGAATGCAAAAAGTCTAGACAAGATAGAGAAACCCTTCCCATTTCGTCATCAATCGAACATGACGCTAGATACTTTCTAAACGATGATTTTAAAAAACGTCAAGAAACGACTAATTTCCCCTATTACAGGATATCTCAGCTTCACTGTTTTGGAAACAACAGGTCTTGAACTATAGTGGAGCAGTAGATAATTATTACTTTTTAACGAAGCTCCTGTTCCACTTCATTGCTCTTCTTGAACTTCCATTGATTGAAAATAATAGAAATCTTTAGCATCACTTTTTTCTTGGGAAACCGCCAAACCGCGAACTGCAGTACACTTTTGCAGTTTTACGCTGTCAGGATTTCGAATTTTAACAAAGCGTTTGTTGTATATAAGACTGCCATGTTGTTTTTCGTCAAGTCTCCGTACATGTAGTTCACTTACCGGTTATAGGCGATGTACGGGATATCCCCTGAAAAACATGAAGAATTCATTCATTCATTCATTCGAGTTCGAAAATCTAACTAGCACATCACAGGCGTGTGTAGAAACTTATCTATTGCCTTTAAAGCGCGTGTACAATTTTTAACGTCGCCGAAAAACCTTACCGTAAATCACTTATAATTACCGCTAGAAGCTCTTCCTGCAGTGCAAACGGGAACTGCAAGCGCAAGACTGTGATCACGTGACATTCTCTGGTTAACCATGAAAAACATGAAGCTAAAGTCTCTCATAGCGTGCTCACAACAATGGAAATGTGCATTAATAGTAATTATCATTCATTCAAAACTTTTTTTCCGTTTCTGATTGCCTCAAGTCCTCAGCTAATTCTTCATAATCAGCTAGCGTTGACCAAATTTAGAGGACGTTTGCGATCTGCAGTGAAATGACGTCAGAAGTCCAGGATAATACTGGAAAAAGGGACAAAAACCGAGATGTCCCGGAGACGAGGCTGCGTTTGGCTGCGAACGTATTTCCAAGTATTTCCAGCCGTCACTTCTCTCCGGGTGGAGAGAGGTGACGACTGGATATACGTCAGGGATCGCACGCAAGGTTGCGTTAGCTTGAAGAAAAAAGGATTTGGCTCGGTGTGATCTCAAGAATTATGGAGATCTCTGGGGCTTTATCCGCTTGATTCTTCAGATCATTCTCATGAAGGTGGGGGACCCCAGGTAGGTGAGGTAACCCTTTTAGATGGGGTAACCCGGCCTGTTTATATAATCTCTCATATGGTCTCCCACCTATTATATAAACGTGACCAATTTAAATTAATTAAATTAAATTAGAGATTATATGGACAGGCGGGTTACCTCACCTAACTGGGGTCCCCCACCACCATGTAAAACTTTACAACTTTCATTCTAGTTTTTAATCAATTTTAATTTCCTTTCTCCGCTACAATTAACGGAGTTCATGAAAACCGGCACTAACCAATTTGGCCGTTGGTCTTCTAGAGAAAGGCCTCTAACAAGGTTCCTCAAACACTCTCTTAGCTAATACTAACTACTTGTTGTTAGTCTTGCTCTGCTGTGATTGGCTGAGAGTGCTGAGTCACTAGCGCAAAATATGAGTCAAAATAGCCTACAACCCAATATTGTCAAGCCTCGATTGTATGTGTGGTAGGGGATGCTCGGTGATTGTATCTCATGTTATTTATACTTTTTTCATCACAAACACATATCTTTATTGCTAAGCAACTGTTTGTTTTTGTAGCCATGACAACCTGGGCCTGTGCATCACCAAGCGCTACAATTTTGGTCATGGCAGCCATGTTACTTCTGATTTTCGTCTGCTATTATGCCATGGACAAGAAACACCTTGAGTCTCCCAGTCCACCTCCAACCAATGAAAGTGACAACAGGGGAGAGTACACCGCTTTGGTGACTAAGGGTAAGCCCTATAAATTTTATTGTTTTATTTTCTGTTGTGACCAAAAAACTGACTGATAAGCCCATGACATGTGTTCTTATTCTGTGTAAATTCAACACTGCTTCCTCTATAAGAAGCGTCGTCTTAAAGAGAGGCAAATAAAATGACTGAAGAACGGTAGGGACCAACTCTAGTTGTCCTTTATAGGGAAGCAAGTTAAATACAAAAAAAGAAATGCTGAAAGACAAATAGCACCTGTAAAAGCAATTTGATTAATGGTCACCGACCATAACATCTCGTCCACAGACTCAATAGTTAAAAATACATGGTACCATGTGAAAATACTGCTGAAGAGGTTTCATTTGATCATGAATGGTCACACCATAGGATTTCATCCACAGACACAAAAGTTAGAACTACATACTAAATATATAGCACCTGAAAGTACTGCTGAAGAGGTTTCATTTGAATGGTCACACAATAGGATTTTATCCACAATCTCAAAAGTTAGAACTACATTAAACACTGTAGACATGTGAAAGTACTGCTGAAGAGGTTTCATTTGAATGGTCACACAATAGGATTTCATCCACAGTCTCAAAAGTTAGAACTACATTAAACACTGCATGTCAAAGTACTTGCTGAAGAGGTTTCATTTGAATGGTAGCACCAAAGGATTTCATCCACAGACTCAAAAGGTAGAACTGCATCAGTAAATAAATGGTACCATGAGAATTACCCCCAAAGAGGTTTTATCGAATGGACACACCGCAGGATTTCATTCACAGAGTCAAAAGCTATAACCACCTTGCGTACCTTCACAATTTACTCTGGGAGTGAAAGGCTTAAGAGAAAGTTAATTGTACGTACTATGTATTCTCACAGAAGATACAACTGGATCAACCACCAACGAAGAAGAAGACTCCAGCACTGAAGATGCTCCTCTCACTTATCGTGAAAAGTTCATGGTCATCTTTCAGATGCTTTCAAACCTGACACCCCTTTACATCGCATGGTTCTCAGAATATCTGATCATTCAATCCGTCTTGACAACACTAGCATTTCCCAACGCCCCCTTCAGACCACGTGACCACTATCAATACTACATCTTTGTGTTCCTGGGAGGTGAGGTAGTGGGAAGGTCCTATCTTGTGGTTTTATCCTACATCAATGCGAACTGGGCCGAGAAAGCTAAGTTCCCGTATCTATGGGTTCTGTCGGCAATTGAAGTGATGCACCTTATGTTCTTCACCTTAGCAGCCTGGTATCGCTTTCTACCAAATGTTTGGATCGTATTATTCCTGTCATTTACCGGAGGTTTAACTATTGGTGTCCTTTTCGTCAACGCTTTATCGCTCTTTAGGGAAAAGTTTGAAGGTCGCTATAAAGAATTCGCCATGGGGTACCTCGTTGTGGCTTTGGGCGGAGGCACATTCACGGCCTCTCTGGTGGGTCTTGTTACCGAGCCCCTGTTACGAAACCGCTGCAAGTTGCTTCTGAATAAAGATGATTTCTGCTTCACAAGGTCAAAGGCCAGAGAAAATATTATATCGCACTGTCTCGTAAAAACTGGTTAGCTGAAACTGCAAGACCAGAACTGATTACAATAGCTATATATATGTTGAACATCCTTGATGTCATAATTTTTAGACCCAACTACGCTTTAACAAACTAATGCTGTAATCTCTACAACAAGCCAATCCTTTCTATAAAAGCCCCAACCCCCACCCTAAACATTCAAAATTCATTAAGCCAGGCCCTTTGTAATAAGCAACTCTTCTAATAAGGGACCCATCTTCTACACAGTCACTAAATGAAAACAAAATTTTCTGAGAACTGTAACCATCACGGACGGCGAAACTATGGGGCTGGGTGGGCTTAAGCCCCACCAATAATTTTACCGGGATTTTTTTTTTCTTTTCTTCTCTCTCCCTCCCCTTCCCCATCACCCCACCTCTCCTTTTTTACATAAACAAATGGACTTCTAATTTTGGTGTTAAAGCAAACAGTTCTTTGTTAAATGAAAGTTTTTTTGCAGAAAACTTTCAGACTGGCGATGAGATCATTTAACAAAATTTCTTGTGGTTGATAGAAATAAACGCTTTTCTGGTGACTTCAGAAGCTCTAAATTTCAATATCCCTGGAATTGTCCCCTAGACAAGCTCGTGCAAAGCACGAGCTAAGCCCCACCAGTAAAAAAACATGCCTCGCGGTTCCTGACCGTATCTAAAGTGGGGGAAAAGTTACAGTGTAAGACAAGAAACTAATAAAAACAGTTTGTAAAACCGAGGAATTGTGCGTTACAGTTGTATCACTTAGGAGATAAAATGAATTTCCAAGGGTTTCCGCTACAGTTTTAACCAAGCACCCTTTTTTTCAAAAAGTCCTCATCTCCAATGAGTCCCCTTATCAGTACCAAACCCCTCAAAAATGGCTGAGCAAAATAAGCATCGGCTCCTGGCATTAGGATGGGTTATTAGAGAGCTTATAAAGAACAAAAGTTCAAAATAGAACGAAAGGTAAATTGGATCTAAACAATGAAATTGTGCCATTCAATGATGCAAACTTCTCCTTATTCGAAGGTAACCTAGCTCCTCTTAATTTTGTGTTAAACTTGTTAACATTTCCTGATTTCCTGATATCCGCTTGAACTCTGACATTGTTGCGTAACTTTCTAAATATAAGGATTTGTATGGAGACGACTGAAAACGAATGTTCCTTTACACGTAATCTGAAGAGTGAAAGGATTTAAATGAAATTTGGTTCAGTTCTAACAATCTACGTTTACTTATTAAGTCAGCGCGGTAAAATGAAAATTTCTGAGCGAGCTATACATGTAATGAAAAATAATTCAAATAGATAAAGCAAAACATTTCTTCCTGCAAAATATTCCAAAATCGAGATTGGACTTGATTTCCAAGCTGAAAGCGTACGAACTCTGTTTTTACAGTTCCTGAAAGAGTTCTTAAAATGTTGCCAGTAAATTAGATCAAGAAAAACAAAGTGCATGGTCGGGTTTTTTATCACTGACTCTTGTATTACACATTCCAGGTTTATTTACATTTATCTTTTTAAATTTATTTTCCGTATCTTACGGTCCCCTTTCTGGTATTGTAAAGTATCCCTTTATTTGATAAACTTTCATTCCAAGCTGCAATTAATTTTGAATTCATCATTTTTTTAAATTAAAATTTCATCTCGATTCCATAAGAAATATTTACTACTTTCTTAAACATATTGTAAATTCATGGAGTAGATCCTATCTCCTTTGAACTGTAGGCAAAAACAAAGAATGAAAAATACGATATCCAGTGAAATTTATGAGTTAGTTAAAATGGGACGGTTAATTAAAACACATGAAAAAAACCCAGTGTTTTTCAAAATTATGTTTTGGAGGCGAGGGCCGGGGCAAACGTTTCATAAAATGCGGACAAAAAAATGGTTGTAACTACTGCGATTTCCTGAGTAAAATAAAGAAAAAAAACGTATAAAAAACAAAATATAAGTCGAATTTCCACAAGATTATCCAAGATAGAGCTCTCTTCAGTTACATTTGCGGTAAATAAAACTCAACAGTGATAACACCCTGAGTTTGGTAATCGGGAGAGCGTCAAATTCAATTTTCGCACGTTTTAAATACACTTCAATTGCCATTCCCTTACAAAGTGTGCGTATATAAACAGAGAGCTTTTAACGCAAGTATCAAACTGGTCAAAATTGTCGCCAATCCAAGAAAAATCGGTAAAATGATCCACAGTCTATGTAAACGACACACCACAGACCAGGAAGACTATGATTTCACCAAGACGCTGTTGTGTATATGAAGTAGTGGGCACTTTTTTGATATTTTTTTAAGCATTTGTAGTACTGATTTAACATCAGAATTCTTTATTTTTTGAAATTGACTTGAGTACAAATGTTGTGGGAATTTGCGCTCGCTTTAATACGCCCAAAAAGCCAGCTGTTCTACAAACCACTAATAAGTTCCTTGGCTTCTGTTGTGAATCTAGCAAAGCTCAGTAAAAGATTTAGAGACGATTATTTGGTCTTTTCGGTGAGCCTAATAAAAAATTTAAAAAGTTAGCCTATTTTCTGTTACAGGATGAGAATTTTCGTGGGTGATGCGATGCAATGCACGTAAACCGTCTCGACACGTGAAAAGTCACTTCTTTCATTTTTGATTACAGAACGCCATATCACAACGAACGTGTCCCTTGAAATTAAATCTAACACAAATAATTTTCACCTTCTGATAAAGATAAAACGAAAGGACAAAAAGCGGAATTATAGTTAAAATTGAAAAGCAAAAATGGTTGGAACTTTGTACCAGGAAAATTTTGCCATTAATATGTTTCGCTAATTGTATTTTGCAATTTCTTTCATAAGGAGACAATGGTTGTCCTCGCAACATATAATTTGGTAAATTGATTTCATTGGCAATTGAATAGAAGCTCGAAAGGCTGTTTAACATAGGATATTTGAATTTTTCTTTTAATTTTTTTTGCATCATTAGTGTCTTGAAGCATTAAGGCAACAAGACTTGTTGGCGCTTGCCGATGGATGAATAATGGCTAGCCTTCGATGAGCTGAGCTGCAATTGAATTAACGGGAACTCGTATTGTTGCTGGTATAACTGCTTGATAATGTCAAAATAGAGTTTCGTATAATTTCAATTGATCGACAACACAGCTGACCACCGGAGACGGATGTTTTCTTTATGTGGGCTGAATTAGAAGTGGTGAGTTGGCTTCGTCAAGACTAGTTGAAGCCCATAAAAATTGTAAAAAATTGTTTACAAAATTGAAGTTAACACCTCCAAAAAGCAACTCTCATACCGTACGCGATTTACCGCTTAGATTTAAACTTAGCTGAATATAGTTACCGATGCTTTTAGCGGAAAACTTGCTTAAGCAAGAGGGCTGGAAATGGACTTTCTCGGAGATGGAAACTTTAATGATTCATCTCGTGTCAATGGCAGTTCTTTCACCTTCAACAACTCAGAAGACAGCAAAGTGCGGTCGGCTTGTGATGGAAGATTTTCCTGGACGGTACATGGTCCTTTAATCGTTGTTTCCACGCTTATCGTCATCTTGAACAGTATTGTTCTAGCTTTGATGCGCCGTAAAGAGCGTTTGCAGACTTTGAGCAACACCATCCTCGCTTCTCTGGCTGTATCGGATCTTATGTCAGGACTGTTTGGTATTGCACTGTTTTTTGGCTGCTCAGTTGCAATTATGGCAGGACATATAGCTTTGTGCGTGTCGTCCACTTTATTCATGCGGTTCACCGCCGTTTCAACCGTTCTACATTTTTTGCTTGTCGCCTGTGATCGCCATATCATGATTACATTTTCATTACGCTACCAAGCGCTCGTGAACAAATGTCGTGTACGAGGCGCCTTAATCGCGATTTGGCTAATGTCGACTCTGGTCGCTACTGTGGAGCTTACTTGGTTTGAAACCAAAATTACCAAAGACAGTATGGAAAAAGACAAAATTTACTCGATTTTATTCATCGTCGTTTTTCTCGCAGTGCCCTTGCTTTCTATACTCTGCATCTATGGTCATATTATCGTGGTTTCAACGCGTCACCTACTCGCGCTGCGAGCGCGTCGCACGAACTTAAAAGACGAAGCTACCAACGCGCGATCAATCGCGCGCGATTTGCGTGGCACCGTAGTTTTGATCTCCACGCTGGTTGTGTTTGCAGGTTGTTGGCTCCCTTTCTTTCTCATGATCCTGCAAGATTACCTTGGTGCCAGAATTATTTCCGCCACCTCGTGGAGGCTGTGCTTGTTACTCTTTGCTCGTTTTATTCCACCCGTGACAAACCCTGTTTTGTGCGCGTTATTCAAGAGAGATTTCAGGGACGCCCTACGAGCATGTTGGAAGTCTCTTAAAATGGATTTAGTGGGATTCACTGGAAACATATTTCATAAAAAGTCAAGAAAACAAATAAGCAATTCTCGTGGTAGATTTACAAAAAGCGAGGACAGCTCAGCAAATAGGAATCTCACTATAATCTCGGCGGCTGCGATACCTTCGCCACGTCGTGAAATGTTGAGTATTGTAACTTATAACGTAACTTCGGTCTAGTTCAGCTGCATATTATAAGTATTTTCATTTTCAGGGTATTAGAAATAAATAACTATGGCAATATTGTTGAAGACAGTCAAAGGATAATAATTTCAGTGTCTTACAAGAAAAGATTAAGTGTATTACGAAATTATTCAGATGTACCTATCTTGCATTAAAAGAAGACAAAGTTTCCTTGTGAAAATTCTACTATGTTAACAATAGTGTTTCTTATGTGATTTCGTGGCGATTTTGGCAGATTTTATTAAGAATCTTTATTTAGTGGTAACCGCAGGACGCAAGTGAAACAACACTTGTCTGCCGAGGAAGGTTTTTGGCAACTAGGGGTAGAGATTACTTAAACTTCTCATCAACATTTCGGAGCGTCGATTAAAAGCGCGATTTGAAACTATCGCACGAAACAAGCCGTATGTGTGAGTGAACAAGGCGTTTGACAAAGCCAGAAAAGTGACATTCCCATTCAGTTTCTGAATACTTTGATATTGGTTTAAAATGCGTCTGCATTTGGGGCCTCTGAGGCTTCCGTCTATTTGATACATGACACTTATAGATCATTTCAAGGAAGTATCTTGAACTTTCCTATTTTGAGTTCTTCGATTTTTTCCGTTAGCCGCCAAATGACGCCGTCGCTTTTTCAGTGATCCGTCAACTTAAATGTGTTTACGTTCGAATTTTATATCAGTTTTCGAAATCTCACAGTGAATACGGCAGGCAATCTCACTCGTCCATATACTGATATGACTCGTCCGTTGAAAACGTAACTTGAACAAACTTTGACGCGATTTTCTTTGAACAGTAGGGTCCACTTAAGCCCTAATTTCGTGAAAAAACTATTCACCAGCATTGAAATCGGAATATTTTATATTATTGCCAAATGATCTCTGTTGTTCTTTGCAACATTTCGTGGCCATCGCGTTTAAGACAAAACAGTGGTAACGAAAAGTTCGTCATAGCTCAATTAGCTTTGCTGATATTTTTGACTGAAATTTCAGGTATCGGCTTTTATTGAGATAATAAACATACCAGATAAATTTCTGAGAAATCTTTGGTACAGAAGTCAGCAACTAGAAAGTCGTTCAAAATTCAGCTGTGAATTATGTCGGAATTTCGAAAACGAGTTGCTCTGAAGTAGAACGAGCCATGCACCAGTTCGAATTTCAATGTTCGCTAATTCTTGAAACAAAAGCCGATTGTCAAACGTGCTTTTCTTTAAAGAGTACTCTTTAGTTTTACAAGCACTAAACATTGCTCCAAACCCTGCTCTGAATTCGAATGACTTGTTCCTTGACATTTTTTGGAATATCTTCTAGCAGTTTTGGCTAAAACTCCTTCTACATACATACATGCATTCTCATTTTTTGCATCTTCACGGGATTTTACCGCTGTGCGTTACTTCCAATTCAAGAAATAGGTAATTGGGATGATCAAAAACTACCCTGTATTAGAGCTCAGATAAAACTGTCGAGCACCTTGGTTTGTGACTGCGAAATGAGCACCGGTCGGCGCTTTCTAAGAGGAATTCGCACCTCAGCCTGGGGGACGAACGACAATGATGCCAATGCCTAAGAACTGATCTGTATATCCCAAGAACGAAAAAACATAATAATCAAGAAAAATACTCCCCAGCCATTGAAAAAAAAAAAAGGTCATGAAAATTTTAATGGTTAAAAATTTATACACGGGTAGTAATTTTTTTAGATAATTTAATTGTCCATTGTGCATTGTGATATGACTCGGCTCTCAAGCATGGGCATCATTGTCGTTCGTCCCCCTGGCTGTCGTGTAAAATTTCTCGCAGAACGCGCCGCGCGTGCTACAGCGGAAATAGCGCATGAAAAACCCCTGGCACCCAGGGTAGAAAAACAAGAGTCGATAGAAAGGATTAGTAAACTTTTATTTATCTTCCTTCTAAAACAATATTTCTAATGGAAAAAGAGGAAGGTCGCGCAACTTATCCAGATGAAATTACACAACTATTCTCTGGTTACAATAACATTAGTTAACCATTCATGATTTAAGTGAACTACGAAGTACATACTTCTTGTGTTAGACACAAAACTTATTTAACTTACACGGTGCAACATCTTAATACTAGAACATTTCCTTATCATCATTCTCAACAAATTCTCTTAAGTTAAACGGCGGTATCAAAATACAAGACTATCAACTAACGTCTGGTTAGTAAAGAGTGAGTTTTAATGGATGTCAAAAGTAATCAACGCACAATTATTGCACTTTTGTAACAATTGTATTACAACGATTTGTGATTGGCTAATAGTATACCGCGCCACTTTTTTCACGAGCGCTTGCTACCGTTTGCTCTGTGTTTTGATTGGACCATTAGTTTATTGGTTTTTGCACCTTTTTTATTCGACGGTGATTACTTCTCGGCACTTCAGTTTTGGTTTTACACCATTGACACTTTAATGAAAAACTAGACTAACTGCAAAACCATTCAAGCTAGGACCACCAAACTTAGCGACTTTTCCCTCAAATTATCTGGGAACATTTTGAAGTCACCGTGACGTGAATGTCAACATTGACGTTACCACGGCAACCAAGTTTTGGCCGCCATGTTTTTCAAAATTTGCATTTTTTTTTCTTATAAAAAGGTTTTAATTCTAATTTCACCAATGGTATCATTACATTACACTTAAATTAGCATTACTTTATCATTGTTATTGTCACTGCTGATGAAATCCAGGCTTTTTAGAGACCAGTTTGAGAAAATACATGATTTTAAAATATGACCAAATGGCAGATGCTGAGTTTAATTTTCATTTATCTAGGAACTGCATATTTTGCTGATTTTTTGCTTTCTAAGCAACCTTTTGCATTTAAATCAAGTTTTCTATTAAAAATCACGCGATTTTGGCGGGTTTTAAGTAAAATGGAATACAGTACAATAATTCAAAATGGCGGATCCAAGACGGCAGATGCTTCCACTTCCTTTTTTAGTAACAAATGACGTCATCATGACATCACTGCTTTTGTTAAATTAGCCAACTTCTTAATTTTATGAAACACCCTACTATTTGTAAGTTTTACAATATGACGTCATAATGACGTCAGATTACGTCATTGTGTCAATTAAGTTACGCCCAAAAGTTGGAAATGATGAGTACATTTTTCTCTCTAAGTTTGGTGACCGTAGCATGAGCGATTTAGAAGTTATAGAGGGGGTCTCTGAAGCCACCCCGGGTTGTAGGAAGCGAAAAAAGTATAGTCTGAATAGGGTTAGAAGTTAAAACGGCTTCACGGGCGTAAAATTCGTCATCAACCTAATCAGTGAAATCCATGTCGAGGACTTTTGCTCTAATAGTAGCCTGAGAAAACCGCCGACATTTCGCAAAATGTCGGCTGTTTTCTCAGGCCACTCTAATAGTAAGCTACAAACAGTAGTTCATTTGAAACGACCGTGCAAAAGGTAACTGATTAACTTGGCGAGGTTCTTCTACAATAACAGATTGATTTTTTGCGCGCTGATTAGTCGAGATCTGTGGTCGGTGATCACCTTGACGCAACCATGATAACGCAAGAAATAAAATCGCGAAATCCTAAACCTTAGCTTCTTTCACAACTTGCATTAAACAGCTTTGTCTTTCTTGCTTTTGAATTGATTATACACATTCTTTCTTTTCTCTTTGCTTTTTACTTTATCATCAGGTAGTATCTGTTTTGTACGTAATAGAATTAATTTGGCACGCCACGACTAGCGTAAACAATATTATGGCAATAAACGTTTTGTCTTGTCTAATAGACCACGGAAGTTACGTCATGGTGGCGTAATTTCTTTTTCTCTTTTTATCGCGCGCGATTTCCACTAAACTTCACCGGGAAATGGACGTCAAAAACAGTAATGTTACAGTAAAAAACAAATCAGTCGACAACAATTTTCAATGGTTTACAATCTTATCGACTATAAAAATGACGTGAAACCACTCGCCGGCAGTTCGTGGTTCCACTTGATTTTGAAGCGTTTCGACGTCATTTCTATAGCCGAAAAAATTATATACCACAGAAAATTGCTGTCGATTTGTTTAACTGCTTGTTGGGCAGTCATTAAATCTAAATCTAAATCTGTGCAAAGCTCCCACATCGCATATAATATGTGCACAGAATACTATTAAAACGAGGATTTGTAGATTATAAAAAAGAGAGCCTTCAGTTTAGTATTAATATCCCTTAAAACACGAAATCAAAACTAGATAACCAAATAAAACACTAAGTTTGTTCTAGGAAATAACTATCATACAACACTCTACAAAACGTTCCATATCCAACACCCTTTATAAGGATGGTTTAAATAATACTGTGCAGTTTACAACCAAATGGTTGCTATTTTTCTTTGTGTTGCTTAACACCTAGATTAACATCTAATTTCTTTTTTTTAAAAAATATTTTTACTTTACTTTCAATGTTAAGCTTTTCTTTAACCACGGTGGAAACTCTTATCTTTTTACTCCGATTTGTTAACTTTTTCCAGCTTTGAATTAACTAATTGTGTTATTGAGAAATGTACTACAAATTACATACTTTAACATGTTGCAACTGTATTTTTTAATTTCATTTTTGTCTTTGTTTTGTTTTGTTTTGTTTTTTCTCGTTACTTATACTTCGCCGTTGGCAGCCATTCTTTACCTCCTCTAAAGGTATTACCTTTAAAATAACATTAAATGTTATTTTATCTATTAAAATGCCAAGCGGTTGTCACCCTTGCTCACTTGACCCACCGTAAATCTTTTTTTAAATTTATTTTAAGGGTATGGACAACACTAAATAACTTCTAATAAAAAGTATAACGCAAGCGCAGACTTCATCATCTTGCGCGACAAGCCTTGCTGTATGGGGAAGGGCCGAAAAATGGGCCCTTTTGAGCTTATATGTTTTGCTTCCCTATTTCAGACAACGTAAAGTTAGGTCAGAGAACTGTTTCTTTTAAATGTCGTCCTGTCAACGTATAATAGTGAATTTACGCAACAGGACGGAAGAGGAAAGAAGACGGAAAACCTTGTGTGACAAGCGTGACATGAGAAAAACTTTTCTGGGGAACTTCACCCTCCTTTAAACAGGTCTTTTCGTAAAAGACCAGAAAACAGTTATGTCAAGTGAAGATAACGACACAGCACGCAAGTATTAGCCATGCAACTTTTGTCCCACACAAGCGTTTTACTGTCCTCTTCTTCCTTCCATCCTGTTGCGTAACCATCACCAGCATATGAAAAGACCAAAGGCACGTCCCCTTGAGAACATCATGTGGTCTGAATTTTGAATAACACACATTAAAGCCGGCAAGTTTTATATAGAATTGCACTTGCATCGTAGGCGAAGTATTATTTTCTTATTCCAAACTCCACGCACCCAGAAAATCATCGCGAGTTCAGAGTTGAGAAGAAGACCGTATCGAGTTAACTTTCGCAAAGACTTCTGGGATTGCTACCGGGTACGGGTCAAACAAATTGGCCAAAAGGTGAATGGAGCTTAGAATGGAACGTCTCCAATAACCATCCCAGAAGTCTGAGGTAATATGAGAAGAGGATGCCCCTATCACTGGGGTTTTGGGACTGGGGATGCCCAAAACGCGAGGATGCCCATATCACTGTAACAGAGAATTAAATCTAGACGAGACAACGCACTACTGCTTGAAAACACTGACATCAAAACTCATCACCAACTCTCCCTCGGACACTACTGGTACCTTAACAGCGGAGAGGGCCATTTGAAGAGAGCGGATAAGAGCTGTTGGAAGATCATTGGGGCCGATAGACCACTTCTGTAATAAAACAAACAAAAAAACAATCAGGCTGGGTTACAAACATACTTTCACACAAAAACTAAACTTTCTTTGCCTGTACAGAGAAACTGCGCATTACAGACACCTGCTTAATACGGACACCTCATTATTACGCACAGTTTGCTTTATCCCTGGGGGAAAGAAAGCCCTTACATTTTCCCTAAATCAACCCGCTTAATACGGACACCTCATTATTACGGACAGTTTGCTTTATCCCTGGGGAAAGAAAGCCCTTACATTTTCCCTAAATTCAACCCGCTTAATACGGACACCTCATTATTACGGACAGTTTGCTTTATCCCTGCGGGAAAGAAAGCCCTTACATTTTCCCTAAATTCAACCCGCTTAATACGGACACCTCATTATTACGCACAGTTTGCTTTATCCCTGGGGAAAGAAAGCCTTACATTTTCGCTAAATTCAACCCGCTTAATACGGACACCTCATTATTACGGACAGTTTGCTTTATCCCTGGGGAAAGAAAGCCTTACACTTTCCCTAAATTCAATCCGCTTAATACGGACCCCCGTTAATACAGTCTATAATACAGTCCCACTCTGTTAATACGGACACTGACGGGGCCATAGATAGTGTCTGTATTCATGGGATGTCCGCATTAAGCGGGTTGAATTTATAAAAAATGCAAGGGATTTCTTTCCCCAGGGACGAAGCAAACTGTCTGTAAAGCAGGATTTGACTGTATTAGAAAAGAATAAAAAATGCTTTGATGATTTCCCCAATAAAAGGAAATCGCCTTGTTTAAAAATGACCTATCAATGATATATAAAAAGTTTTATGACGAAGGCTAGACAGAAACTTAATATTGCGGATTCACATAAACGTAAACAGTTCCTTCTTATTTGAAGAGATTTTTAAGAATCTATTCAAGTCTCAATCGCAGTATTAAGATTCTTCGATTTGCGTTACCTTGCAAATTCGATTAACGAACGATATGAGGTGGATAATGGCCTTCGCACGCTACCAACTGATTTGTCAGTCTGTATTTTCTTTCATTGTCATCCCAGAATCGCTTTATTGAAAACCGCAAAATTCAGTATCTACAATCCTCGTCACATAAAGTTGGGACACCCCGTGCTGTACCCAAATTCCGACAAAAAGTTGTGCCCCTTCCCTTCCAGTGTTGAATTTTTTCTTCTGACATTGCAACTTGCAAAAACCAACATTGAGCCGGCAGAAAACACCACTACTGTCCCAACCAATGTGACGAGTATTGTAGCTACTGTCTCAGAATATACCAGGCGTTACTAATTACCTTATAACTTGGTTTGAGCACAACACGTAGCTGCAGGTCCAGATGTTCTCCAGCTTTCATCTTACTCTCATGCTTCATAAGAGGCTCGGTGCATGCCCTTCGAATGTTTCCTTCCAAAATATGCAGAATCTTTGTATGATCTTCAAATACTTCCTTTAGAAGACCAATTTCACTTCCGTAGCCCGAGTACCGAATGTCGATGGTTGCGAGGCCTGGGTAGTAATCAGCACCAGGTTCTTTTGCAGGTGTATCTGCCGAAGTTGTTGGCGCTGGATGTGAGTTGGTCAATGAGCCGTTCAGTTCTGTTTCAGGCATGTCATCATAATTTATATCTTGCACCCAGCGCAGTTCAAAGTGTGAAATATCAAATCGATCGCCCAGGTAGAAGTAACAGTTGGTTTTCTCTTCCAAGCTCTGGCGAAGCTTCTGTGTGTGGCCTTTAGAAAAAAAGACCAATACCCCGTCTAACGAGAGAAAAAAATCATAACGAGTTGAATAAACTTAGGATCTATAGAGGAAGGCGTGTTTTCTGGTTAGAGAATAACCTCTGATCAGGCGGTCCTTCCGCGGGTTAGTTAGAGTACTAGAATTGTAACATAAGGGTCTTAGCTCCAGCCCACTTATCTTATCTTATTTCGGTGAGTAATTTGCATCTAAATATTTAATTTAGCCCAAAGCGCTATAAAAGACAGTCCCAAAAGCCCATCAAAAAACGACAATGCAACAGAAATATAAGGAGAATTTTCGGTTAGTTCGAATCCGCCAATATTAAGGTACAAACTTCGTCATATTTCCCGTCTAATTTGTTCGATTTCGTTATTTTCTGCACAGAGCGCGTGTCAGCTCAATTGTTCGCCATCTTATCGAGAGCTTGGGTTGCCTGTGGGACTATACATACTTACCATCTAAAAGTTCGCCACCAAAGCTAAGAGGTGACGAGGCATCCACCCCAAGATGAAGCATCAGAAACCCGAGACCTTGAACTGAAACAAATAAATTAAACTTAGAAGGACTTGCGCATTCCTTAGTCACAACTTGTGCCTACGTAGGATGTGCTCCCTTGCTTACAAAACACAAAAAAGGAGAAAAAAAAAACAATTCCCCTTTACGAAAGAGAAGGAAATTGGGAGGTAAGGGTTGGCAAAGACTTCTGGGACTGTTAGCCATGGCTGTCCGGCGCATGCCCAGTAACGATCCCAAAAACAAGTGCCGGACGCAATTTCGGCCCCAGTTCCTTTCTCATTTCTAAAGAGGCGAATGGGGATTTTGAAAAACTTCATTTATCCAGCAGCGGAGCACCTGATTGGTGCGATGTTGTTTGTATTGATAGACTCACCAGAAATTTGTCAAATACATTTCATTCGAGTGTGAATTGAAACAGAGCCCTTTATATTTGCCGCGGCCAAAATTCAAATCTTCATGGTTTTCAACAAAGTTGTCTGCGTCGAAATAGTAAAGGGATTCTCTTGTGCCTTCGAAAACATAATGGCAAATGGTCGGCGCCATCTCTGTCCTTTTGAGGGTAAAGATTGGGCTGATCTCATGGAGCTAACGAACGAGCAAGAATACTGTCAACCGACGAGAACCTGCGGAAAAGATTAGAAGCTGTTTTCTCTCTCCAGTCTTCCCGTGCCGCCCGTCCATCTGGGCCACTCAACTAACTAAAAAGAGACGTTAAGTTCTCGTATCTACCTGACGCGCAGGCTGGGTTTCCAAAAGACTGTATAGATCTGCCTCCACGTTCATTACAGATAACCACCTGGCAATTATCCACATACGGAGGTATATCAGACACGAGAGGTACAGTGGCTGTCTGGTTTTCCTTCTTAATGAGACGATCCAAAAGGTTAACTACCTGCAAGGTATGACCAAGAACTGAGAACATTCTTGTTTCAAGAAATATGTAAGGAAATAGAACGAAATAAAACGTTTTAAATTCTCGTTCCTCTCCAAATCAGTCAAATCAGTCTCTCGTTGTCTCTGATTGACCAGTTAACAAATCGACAACAATTTTCCATAGTCTGTACTCTCCTCAACCATAGATAGAAATGACGTCAAAATGTTCAAAAATCAAGTGGAACCACGAGCTCATTGCAAAGTTTTGAACATTTTGACGTCATTTCTATGGTCGATAAGAGTACAGACCGTGAAAAATTGTTGTCGATTTGTTTTTGACGTTTCTCGGAAAATCCAAGCGAGAGAAAGAGAAAACAAATTACGCCACCATCGCGTCACTTCCATGGCTATGCAATCTTATCGATCATAGCTCTTGACCAATCAGCGCGCTGAAAATCGCCCAGTTATAATAAAAAAGGATTTTTCAACGAATCAAATCTGCTTCGATAGGACTTAGCGCTCAGGGCTCATACATTCTTTTTGTCACTTCAAGCTTTGCAATGATTTATCCCATAAATAAGACGTCCCAAATCAAGTTGCCCCTAGATCTCCGAAGATGGATATGTTGCAGTTAGTTTTATTATTGGTTTAAATTATGGGCCCCTTCTTTTCTGCTATTGTACTGTACGATAATGAGATTAAAACAAGAGAGAATACATAATTCAAACTACAAAAGATATCTAAAGCAAAATCCGTGTAAAAACAAGCCACAGCCGCATAAAAAGCAAAGCATTTTCAAAAGAAATCCCGTTTATACTGGTTACCCAACATACCGCTGTTTGGCCACTGTTTGGAATCTGTAGAACCACTTTATTATCTTCTTTGACAACACACAGACCAGGAACCATCGCTTCAGGCACACTGTTTTTCTGCAATAATTGAAAGAATAGCAAAAGCAAAGTTATTGTTTCAGCGAGATCCAGAATCCAGAATATAGCTAACTGGTAAAGACGGCCATGACCTGTGCACACGATAGCAACGTCAGTTATAGGAAAAACCCTCAAAACTGATGAAGGGAAGTCAAATTGTTCGAAATAACAATTAGTCTTAACATCAATAGCGTTAGAAAGTCTCTTTTAAATTAAAGCAAGAGAGAACGAGCTCATTGTCCCTTAAAATGGTCACATTCGTTACGCGAACTGCTTTACAGGTCACTAAATTTTAAACTCAAAACAGTAAACTGATCCTTACGGCAGAAAGAGTGATAGAAAAAATAGACAAAAAGAACAAAAATAAAGTAGTAAAAAATTCAGGCTTGTACGGGATTCGAACCCTTGATCTTTTTTCAGACTTTCTTTTCGCAACTGCGTATATAACTGCGAGGATCATCCTTCATTTCCTTATATTCACTCCGCAGTTCACATATATGATTTTCATATATTCATAACTTCATCATCATCCTTTCACGGGTTTATAACGAACCAATTCAACGACCTGCTCCCAGTTGGCTTGTTAGCTTAATTGGTAGACCACTGCACCGGTATCGCAGAGGTCAAGGGTTCGAATCCCGTACAAGCCTGAATTTCTTTCAGGCTTTCTCTTTGCAACTGCAAACGTTGCGTATATAACTGCGATGATCATCCTTCATTTCATTGAATTGTATTAATAGACATCTAATACGTCTGTAAGCGAGCCGATAAATGTGTAGATCAAAAAGTAAGAAATGTTTTCTATTGGCTAAATCGTGTCCCATGTGCTCTTTCGCATAATCCTGGTGAATTATGTTCTGTGACCTAGATTCAGATTCCTTCTTAACTCGGTGACAGATTATTCGTGCACGAGAGTGGAGATTCTCGAGACATCCACGGCTGGAGACTGTGCCGATAAACCTTTAGGCTGAGCCTTGATTAGACTTGCTTATAAGTCGAGCTCAAATTTTTTCACGAGCGCGAAGCGCGAAGGGTAGATTTTTTATGTTTTCCTCGGCAAAAGCGGGCGAGAGAGCGCTTGTGCCAACTACCGGAACCGGAAATGAGAAGCGAAGGACTTTGAGAAAGTTTAAGCCTTGATATAACTTTACATTTAAATAAATGAAAGATATAGTGGACAGAATGACCCTCTGAGTGACAAAAATGGTGCAAGAGGGTTCTAAGCCGACACTCACCAAGCCTGCGTGGCATGGCGGTTTTGGTTGGGCGCACAAAGTAATAAAGGCGGGCGAGGGCAGACAAACCGCGAGGAGATTGGCGCGGGAGCAACAAAATCGCCATGCTACGCAGGCTAACACTCACCAAATACTTGTTCATGGCAAACACTGTATGGAAGAATCTGTCTTGATTTTCATTGCCAAGGTATATTGGCTTGCGATCTCGACAATTCCACAAGGGGAAAGGGAAACCTGAAGGAATAAACAGAGTCAAATAAGAGCATGGACGAATGGACGAACGTTTAAAGTAACTAAGCGGAGACATAATATTTTCCAGTCTACTTTAACCAGCAGCATGTATGGGCGAAAAGCTTTCAGGCAAAAAACGTGGCCCAAAAAGTTTCCGCCCCAGGCGAAAATTCTACTTCTACTTACATTTCGGAAGATAGAAATCGTACGCCAGGACGGTATTATGCATGTCCAAATAATAATCACAGCTTAAAAAAGACAGGATAACAAAAAACGTCCGAGCGGTTTTCCGTTATAAAATCGTCTGAAAATTCTTTGTCTGGATGGTTACGCAGTTAAAGTGTAGCATTAGGGACACATTTTTTCGTTGATAACATTCGTGACACGTTGATCTTTAAGGGGTAGCATTAGATAGTTTATTGTGCACTTTGTAACTGCTATGATCTGAATGGCAAGAACGGAAAAAATAACCTACAAAAACTTTTAAGAAAGTGAAATATTTAACAACAAATCCTTACTCTTCATATCGTATCCCATTCGAAGAAGAAGTCTGCTGGGAGTAAACATGGCCGCCTGTAATTCAAGTCGTTTCACGAGAAGTCCATACAAGAAAGGTCCCTGGATTTGCCTCAGGCCAGGAGGTTTAGGCTGTTGTAAGGCAAACAAATCGTTTAAATGGTTTGCACTTTGGTAAACTTACCAGGGAATATGGACTACGCACGAGAGATAAATGGTCTGATATTTTATTCCCCATTCGTCGCAAGCTCATGAAGGTACCGCGTAGACAGAGAAGAGACGCAAGCCAACCGGAAGTAGGGCGTTTTCCTCTTTAAGCTAGCTCGACACTGTTAAATTCGTAAAGCTTAGTGTCTTTGCTCTTATAGAAACGACTTGCCCAGAAATTTAAGCGAAACCACTGCCGAATTTTGCAAAAAAAGACACTTCCGGTCGGTGTGCGTCGGTGACAAAGGTCTTTGCCTAGACTCCCCATTTAATAGTGGAGAGATGACCACGCTTCCCCCATCAAGAATGCATCGAAAATGCAAAGCACCTGTACTCTGTTGACCTTAGTTGCCATATCATTATTTCACTTTCAATTTCTTGAACTGCGTACACTTTCAAGAGTGTCGTTTCCTGTCTTGATTACGTTTCAAAAACAGCAAGTTAAAGGCTTATCCCTTTGTGAAACAGTTTGCTCGCCTGCCGTGCAGTTGTTCTCTGACTTTTGCAATTTTTAGTAACTAAAAGCCTACCTTGACTTCACTTGAAACAAAGATGAAGCCAGCATCATCTAAGCTATCAAGGAACTGATCATTGCTTGACAAATAATTGCCATGCTGGAAACTATTGCCTGTCAAAAAAAAAACAGAAATTGGACAAATAAACAACCTTACAAATTCCACTAACAGTAAAGATATCTAGTTTTCTGAGAAAAAACATCATCACTTTTCCCTTACAGAAGTGATAACAAGAGTCTGTCAATGAAATATTCTTTGCGTAAGTTGCATATTGCCCTTTTGTTAAAAAAGTATCCATGATTAATTCCCGCAACAATTTAGAAGAAACCATTTACTAGCGCACGCTGCGCCCGCTGCACACTGACACATCTGCAAAATCTGATTAGGGAGCTTAGCAACAAGGTCAGCGACGGCTGCGTAAACTTCAGTTAAAAAGTAAATTCGTGGTGCTTCAAACTTTTCGCGTTCAGTTTGTCCAATGTTGGTAAATTTTTCTGGAGTTAAATTCTAGAGGACTGTATTGAAGTTTGGGAAGAGAAAAACAAAGTCGTTGTCTTGGGTTCACGTCCTCCACAAAACGTGAGGCTGCGTGCAAACGGGCGCAACAAGTCCCAACATTGTTGCGCCAACAATGTTGGGAGTTGTTGGCAGTGGTCTGCAAACGGATGCGACAACTCCCAACAAGTAATGGACCTGCAGTGCATCGTGGGAAGAATACAACCCATAGGTCTTTGTAATCCATGCGTAATCAGCGTGCGTGGCCCCTACAATGTTGGAAGAACCGTGAAAACGGATCCAACATTGTTGCGCTACGCTTCGGCGATCACAGAACAAAAGAAATGTTGGGAGTTGTTGGCTGAAAAGTTTGACCGGTTTCAAACTTTGCGCAACAACTCGCAACAACATGCAAGAGGGTGTGCAAACGGACGCAACATGTAACATCCAACAATGTTGCGTCCGTTTGCACGGGGCTTGAAATTAGGCACTTTTACGTCGTAGCTGTGCAGTGACGGCAAAGAAATGAACAAAACAGCGTGATGCACGTGCAAATTTGTTGTTTTACCTATTTAAACTTACCTAATTTTGATGCCAGGTGTAAAATCCCTCTGTAAACCCTTAAAACCTCTTCAGGAAAAATCTCCTCCTTTTTTCTCACTTCCAACATGACGACTACCTCCAAATGACGAAACTTGTTCAGTCCTTCACTTTGATAACACCACACCAGAATCTCTCTATTTTTTTCCCTAACTGTGAAGAATCAACAAAACTGTTTGAAGATCAAAATTATAATACTGCGAGAAGTATCTGATTGACAAGGCCCCGTCCAGACGTATCTGTTTTTGTTTGAAAACGATATTTTTTCTCCGGTTTGGCCTATCGTCCAAACGTATCCAGTGAAAACGGGTCTTTTCAAAAACGCTCTCCAGCGCAGAGATTTTTGAAAACGCCGGCTTTTCGTTTACGTGTGGACGGACGAAAACGGAGGTTCTCGAAAACGATGACATCATGCATCATATACTTCTAGCATGACGCATGCTCGGTAAGGGATGCTATCTTATTTACATCGTTTTAGCGTTTTCGTGTGGACGGGCGAATACGATTCGAATACGCTACATATTATGATGCGTACTTTCTTTGAAAAGGGAAAATAGAGAATACTTCATGGAAAGTGCTGGCGTACGGTATTTACGCACGAGTTGTTGACGTATCAGAAATCGAACGAGTGAGCGCAGCGAACGAGTAAGATTTCTGATACAAAAACAACGAGTGCGTAAATACCGTACAAAGCACTTTCCATGTGGTATTGTGTTTATTATATACATACTGAGTCATTCATCATTTTGCGGGCCTTTTTATTTTAAATCTTTCAAAAATGCTAAAATTTGCCGCTACACACTTACCGCAAAATGACAACGAAAACGAAGTATCAGCTTTTTAGTAAAAACGTTTGTTAAAAACATAAATGACGGTGAGGATATGAGGTTTAATCCAAGAACTATAAGTAATCTTAACTGTTTGTTCTCAATGCACAATTGAAAATGAGTGAATTTAAGTAAAATGGCCGGTTTCAATATAAGCTTAAGCTTAAATGAAAGGCAAAGTAGCTCCGACAAAAAGCACAACAAAAGCTTACGTCTCGTTCTGTTTATCCCTTTCCGCTGTTGTTTCACCGGCTCTCTACCGTATTTTTTTATCGACAGTGAAACAAACGAAACTATTCCACCCATTTCCGAAATGTTTTTCACTTTTTAGCGAGAAAAACTCCTTGAGTAAAACTTTTCTCGTTGATAAATGTGTGCGAAGCGGCGCTGCAAGCTGCAATAAAAGGCGGGAATTTTGGCGCGAAACTCCTACACCTCTGTGGCTTCTGATTGGACGTATCATTTTTCTCACACGTGAAAAAACATCGTTCGCGATTCTGATTGGACGTATCGTTTTTTTCACGTGTGAAAACCATCGTTCGCTCCTCTGATTGGCTATAACTAATTTGCGTACGAAAATTTACGACATAGCTTTTTGGTGAGTATTTCTCAGTATGTATATAATAAAAAAATATCTGGATACGTGTGGAAGGAAGGGGCCCTATTTGCTTATTGCCATGTTCTTTGAGCAAATTCTTGAAACTCGGTATTGCTCGCCAGGAGTACCGTGAAGGATAATCTTAGCTTGCGACTCAAGTAAACTCTACATTAGGCAGCAAGGATTTGCAAAGATGGTTAGTCTGTGGCCATCTGTGCGAGAGATCCCGCGTTCGACTGCAAGGCTGGGAAGGTTATAATCAATCAGTGCCCGTTAATAAGCCATGAGCTATGTTTAAAGTATATATGTACTGGATTGCTCTAAGTTCAGTCTTGTGAATATTCCGTGTGGATTATTAACTCTACTTTCATACCTTTCATTTTTTTGACATGAACTATGAGGTCGGCGGCAGCTTGAATTTTTACTCCATCTGGCAAATCTGTAACAGCAACAATATCAATTTGAAACAACAATGTCCATTAAAAAAAACTATATACTTAACTTTAAACATCAGTCTGCGTGATGATGGCCAATCGTAATGTACTCTCAAAAACTACGTTTAAAATAATTAAACGTAGAGGAAAAATGTAACAAGTTAAGAAACAACTGAAATACAAATACCTCAGAAATTTAACCACTGGTAACTAAGTAACCTGGTATAGCACAGCGATCTATTCTGTTAGAGCAAACTCTCTCATATCCAATATTTCTTATTGATAGCTTAAGTGAACACAGTAAACTGACTGTAAACTGCTTTCTTGACTCCTTAATCAAAAAATATACAAAAAGCAGAAGAACTGTCCTGCGAGTAAACTGTCGGGGAGCGGGGGTGGTGAGAAGCTCTTTTTAATGACCCCCCGCCCGGCCCACTTTCAGCTTAGTCGCATAAGACAAATGAACTGACCTCTCAAATCCTTTGCCAAGGACTTCTTGTGCATTTGCAATTTACTTTTTCCTTGAGTCCTGTAACGCCAAGTGATAGTTCTCCCTGCTCTTCGTAGTGGAGGTTTGAAATCCTTTGACTCTGCACCAGTCTCATCACTAAAAAGGGAGCTGCCATCGTCAGGCCTTGGCCGCTGGCTCTCTTGGTTTTCACTGCCTTCTCTTGAGCTGTTTGCTGCAGCATGCGGAGGCGACCTTCGGGTGGGTGATGTAGCAGTTGTGGAAGGTGAGGAAACAGATGTGGCGCTTGCTGCGGATTTTGTTTGGTGTGGTGATGGACTGACAGTTTGGGAGGACGAAAGGGGAAGGGAAGTCGGAGATGGATGGCCCGTTGGATGTGGTCGAAATTGGCCTGCTTGGATTACAGTGCCCTCTCTGAGGCTGTTTGCTGCAGCAGGCGGCGATCTTTGGGAGGGTGATACGGCAGTTGTGGAAGGTGAGGATCGCCGAGGAGAGGATACAAATGTGGCGCTTGCAGGTTTTGTTTGGTGTGGTGTTGCGCTGACAGTTTCGGGTGAGGAATGGGGAAGGAAAGTCGAAGGTGGAAGACCCGATGGTTGCTGTGGAGATTGGCCTGCTTGGTTTACAGGTGGGATGGAAAATTGTTGCTGGAGGGTGACAGAGGGATGGCCCGCTATTATGGGTGAGGAACTGGCAGTTGAAGGGAGTTTACCAGGCACTGAGGTGGCTTGAACGCGTGACTGGGATAACGAAGGTGATTCCGGCAGAACACCTCTTGATGATTCACTGCCTACAGTGCAAGAAGCTTGTCTGGAGGTCAAAAGTGGTTGTTCCACACTTCCAGCATAGGAACTCTGCGCCGACTGAGTAGCAGTTTGCCCAACGTGTTGAGGCAATACACTAAAGGTTGATACTGTCTCAGAAGACGTTTTGTTAGCAACTGTGGTTTCTCCCCTCGGGCCTCCCAAAGCCATAGTATTCAAAGGCTTTGTTGCTGCCTGGGACAAGTGCAGAGAAGATGGCGGTTGACTTGGTGGCATTAGAACAACCGGAGCCTGCTGTGGAGTAAACGGAGCTGCTGGTACTAATACTGGTCCTCCTTGTAAGGTTGGTGCGACAGGGTTTACAAAGAGAGAAGATGCTGGTACCCACATGTACTGGTTTGCTGGTTGTGCAGGCTGCATCACACTTTGGGGACCCTGTGGCTGCTGGGGGCCCTGTGGTTGTCTAGTGGACTGCAGTGCTGGGTTTTGAGCTCTTACTGATGGAATAGATAATGGCTGATAGGGAACAGCACGCTTGGGCAAGCTTCTTTGTGTCTCCTGACTCAATGACACCATTCCTGAGCTGGATGCGATTGGTATTTGCTGGGACGTGCCAGGCATGTTAGATTGGTTTCTCTGCAGTCCCGGATTCAATGGCACAGTGGTAGATGATGTAGCTCTTGATTGTTGTTGTGAGTTCCTTTGTGCTGGAGTACCAGATATCACAAGCCCTTGGCCGGGCGCATTCACTGTTTGAGACATGTTCTGGCGGTCTGCTGTCTTCTCGATTTTTTTTGAACGATGAACTAAAAGAAGAGAAAAATATCTTTAAACTTTACTGTCTATAACGAGGACCTGTTTTTATAAAAGGCTTATCAGTCACTTGATAAGCCAGGTCCAATCGTTTAGATGATAGGAGACAGCTAAAATTCTTTCGGGCTTTTTTTCCTTTAAGCCCTGGGTACGAGGCTGCATGGGAACACTCCTCTTTCTCTCTCTGTTATTGTACATATTATTCTTGTAGATTGTGTATGATATTAAGCACGTCTACCGTTTTCTAAAATGGGGCTGATATATTGAGCGTGACACTATTAATATCTCCACACTTGAGACAGTACCAGGGTATGCCATAAGAAAAATGCACATGCACGTTTATCGTTTTTCTGAAATGGTGCTGATGTATTGAGTGTGATACTATTAATATCTGCACACTTGAGACAGTACCAGGGTATGCAATTAGAAAAATGCACATGCACGTTTATCGTTTTTCTAAAATGGTGCTGATATATTGAGTGTGACACTTTTAATATCTGCACACTTGAGACAGTACCAGGGTATGCCATAAGAAAAATGCACAAGCACGTTCATCGTTTTTCTAAAATGGTGCTGATATATTGAGTGTGACACTATTAATACCTACACATTTGAGACAGTACCAGGGTATGCCATAAGAAAAATACTCATGCAGGATCTAAGCAAATATTGGATCAACTAAAGTTTCTGGGAAACTGCCCACCTACCCCTCCCCTAAGTCAACATTAACACTTACTTCTCACTTAGGGCAAAATGTTGGGTTAGGGGAGGAGTAGGTGGGCAGTTTCCCGGAGAGCTAAATTGATCGCAAATATTTTGGTGTTACCTTCTCTAATAGCCTCTGTACATGAGGGACACACTCGTCCAACCTTGTGATCCATGTAAGGAAAACTAGCCAGTTGTGAACAACAATTTTTGCAGAATATCTGGAAAATTATTTTATCTCATGAATTTTAAATGAACTAGAACTTGATCAGGAGGCAGCGTGGCCCAGGGGCCAGTGCAGCAGACTCACTTTCAAGTGGTCTCGGTATCGAGTCTCACTCTGGCCACTTCCAGAATTTGTTCTCAGTTGGTCCAAGTTCAAATCCTTGGCCACGCTTGTAAAGACTGCCCCCTGCCAGTTAGGGTTTTTAATCCCGTTATGTTATATACTACTTATTTCCAATTATAGGGAAATCTCAGAACTTGGCCTTAATGTATTGACCTCGTGAACAGACTTGTAAGGTTAATAAGTTATTTAATATATGGCCTTTTCATTATGGACCTGAGCCTGCGATCAATCAAAACCAATAACTGGTCAGTGGATAACTTCAAAACAACACATCAACTCAATGAGTTGTACACTTGAGCCTGCAATACAGTCATGTGACACTGGTCAGCAAATACCCTTTTTGACAGAAGTCAATTGGACATAACATGGGTTTTCATAGGGATGTCCACTATCAAGTTAAAAACACATCGTATATGCCTTGGACACCTAGCTAGTAATGCCCAGTTATTACAAGAAAACAGCTAATCAGAGTGTGCGTACTATTGTAGCCATATTTATTCCAATTATGTGAATGTAGTGCCTGTAAACTAGCTGGATAAGCTAGAGTGTACTTCCCACTTTAAACAAACCTTTTGCCTTAACTCGTAAAAAAGCACAAGTCTGCTCAAATAGTATATCTGCTGGTGGTCTGGTGCTCATCCCCCAGAGAAACATATGTAATGTTTCAGTGAAACATTGTGTAACAGCACCATCTACTATATTTTTCTCTTCAACACTTTCATGTCAAGATGAGTTTCACATACTATATTTTAAAACATCAAGTACCATGGCTGTAGCATGGTTGTCACTAAGATTTCAGGTTGCCTGGTAAATACAACAAGTAGGCAGGGAATCAAACAGCTAGGAACTTCTTTCGGTTCTATTTTTCTTTTATTTTCCTTTTAAAGTAGTCACGGAAGACGTTCATAGTAGCCGGGGGAAATCCCCAGCCCCCGCCTCTTAATGACAGCCCTGCTGTAGGAAGAAAAAATGTAAGCTGGGGGCCAAGGTACTCCCATATACAGTGTATGGGCTAGATAGGTACTAGTGCCGCCCAACAGTGTATGGGCTAGATAGGTACTAGTGCCGCCCAACAGTGTATGGGCTAGATAGGTACTAGTGCTGCCCAACAGTGTATGGGCTAGATAGGTACTAGTGCCGCCCAACAGTGTATGGGCTAGATAGGTACTAGTGCTGCCCAACAGTGTATGGGCTAGATAGGTGCTAGTGCTGCCCAACAGTGTATGGGCTAGATAGGTACTAGTGCCGCCCAACAGTGTATGGGCTAGATAGGTACTAGTGCCGCCCAACAGTGTATGGGCTAGATAGGTACTAGTGCCGCCCAACAGTGTATGGGCTAGATAGGTACTAGTGCTGCCCAACAGTGTATGGGCTAGATAGGTACTAGTGCCGCCCAACAGTGTATGGGCTAGATAGGTACTAGTGCCGCCCAACAGTGTATGGGCTAGATAGGTGCTAGTGCCGCCCAACAGTGTATGGGCTAGATAGGTACTAGTGCCGCCCAACAGTGTATGGGCTAGATAGGTGCTAGTGCCGCCCGATAGGGTTAGGGTATTGTTTTGGGTATCATTTTTGCCTATTTTGGCATTTGTGTTGCAGGTGTTTTCCTCAGATTGGGTACCTAAATTGTATCAGCTAAAATTTAAGTGCTTAAATGCCCAGCTACACAAGTAACAAACTTCTCTTACAGCTAAGCTATATCCCCTAGTCAGAGTATTAGGAAAGCAATTTCATCTATTTTTTAATGAAGGTTTATATGCTGCTATTAAATAGGGTATCAAGTTTCATATGTCTCATCCTTAAATAGAGTAAGAGTTTTTAAAGACCATGGGCAGCACACACCTATCTGAAATTTATGGGATTCCCCCCCCCCTCCCCCCTCCCCAGGGGCAACAACTTCATATATTTATAGCAAAAGTTTAAAACAACAGCTAGCAGCTAACCTTTCCACAGGCTCTACAATGATGCTTCCTCAGAAACACAGTAAATCTGGCATTGCAGTGTGTACAGTTGGAGCAGGCAAAATCAGGTATCCAAAAAGGTGCAACTTTTCCTGGCTGAAATTAAAAAGGAGGTAGAAAAATTATGTAATAATAATTTAACAAAATTTACAGTATCATAGAACCCCTATATAAAATGAAGGGCCAAGAGACTAGCAAAAAATGTTTACTATAATGAGGCTCTTTTCCATCTAACACTACTAGGGTGAATTTGTATAGGCAACAGCATGATTTGTAGTGATATTTGGCATAAATACCAAGGGTGATATTTCAAAATTGTTATACATAATTTTCCATTTCAATTGACACTTTTAAGAAAAAGTTGAAGACTCACCTTTTTAAAAAAGCATTTTGTTCCTCTTAGATTGTAAGATTGTATTTGTAGCTTACTAGATCATAAATAATTTTCAGCTTAAGATTTTTAAGATTTTGCTAACAGATTTTATCTTTTTAACTTTTAGCCATTAGTTTTTCTATTCTATATCTATATTATGATCTTATTTTATCATTTTTATTACCATAATTATTCATAATTTTTATTATTAGTAGTATTATTGTTTTGTTTTGTTTTGCTTTTTTTCCCTATTAGTCAGGTCTCTTAAGGTCAGGATCGTTACAGAGTTGACAAAAGCACCAAACTTTGCACAGCGATAGCTTATTGCAGTACCATGAATATTAGAGGGGGTGCCCAATGCAAATATGCCACTGAAGCGTGCTAAACAGGATTTAATTATTGTAAATTTCACCTGCTGGGGTCCCTGTGGTGTTTTGATTGAAAATTGTTATTTAATACCTTAAATCACTCAGAATGCTCTTCTCATGTTGTAAACAACAATTTCACTTGAACATCTGGCATTCCCATCCATTATTAGCTTATTGATTGTATAATTAAGTTGATTATTACTGTGCCCTTACAACAAGTCCTCAGTCCGCCCACATTTTCATAAGTCATTTCTAAGATGGCCCCGTCTTTGCTTCATAACTTGCAAGTACTCGGCTTCTGGGGTTCTCTTCCCCTTTTCTAATGTATTTCAATTAGAGGAGGCCTTATTGTGTGGCTTAAGCGTTATTTATCAAGTATTACTTGGTATTACATGTCACTTTAAGCTAAAGAAAGCGTATGGCATAGCGATTCACGCACAAAATTTCAGGAAAAAAAGAAATTGTCAAAGAGTCTGTTGTATCACAAATTATCAGAGGTTTATGACAGCTGTTCATGAAGAGCAAATAACGAAATGACAGAACCCAGAACAGTTCTTTCCTAAGGAGGTAATTAATTTTTCAGCTAAACATAGGCCTGGATGCCTTTCAGTCTCTCTTTATCTGCTGGACGCTTGTGCATGTTTTGACAGAGAAGAAAGCATCGTGGCACAAGTACATATCATTTACAATTCCGGCAGTTTGTCTAAGCTTTACAAAGCAAAAACTAACAACAAAAAATCTGGTCTCATAAACGAAAAAAAGAAACAAGTTAGCCCAAGCTTCAAAAAACAGCACGGTTCATCATGAAGCCTATACATTTGGCACTGAAGCACTCATGTCCAAAATAATAACAGGTTATCAAGTCGTAAAAGTGAGACTCAAGTGGTACAAGATTGACTCAAATGATAAATGGTTTAACTGCTGAAACTGTAGAAAGAGGGCCGGACTAACTTTTAGTGCCTTGTATTTCAGTTGTAAGTTTTTTCTGACTGACCTTTTCATTCTTGATTTAAGTGTATTGTAATTATTTTAGTTAAAGCCTTCTTCTATTCCTGTAAATTCCTCACGTCTTTTTTTTTTTGCTGACCTTAGGCCATTTAAGCCCCCGGCTTTGGCTCTTCTTGTGTATTTTGTCTTCAAGTGTGTGATATGTATTAATGAAGTAAGTTAAGTTAAGTTAAGTTTACATGGAGGAGGGGACCCCAGGTAGTCATGGTAACTAACTTAGGTGGGGTATTAACCCGCATGTCCATATAATCTCTCATTTTAATTTGATCACGTTTACATGAAAGGTGGGGTGACCCTTTAAGGTGGTTAGCTCGGTCTGCAACACCGGGTCACCCTCTCAGCTGAGGTTAAATTTTGCCATGTCAACGTTTCAAGGTGAGGTAACCCAGGCTAGTCGGGGTCGGATTCGTGATACATCAAATTCACGCAGAATTCACTTTGGCGCCGGGTGGCTTCACATAGTTATTAAAGGTAACGATAGAAAGCCACAACACTGAAGATTGCAGCAAGAGCAGCAAGTGAGCGCAGACGTGGTTTGCTAGCATTTTTCTTATTTACGTGCTTAGCGACCATTCAATAATGTTGAGAAAGTGTACCCCAGGATGGCGGGGTTGTAAGATTGCATGTAAAGGAAGGTTATTTTTTTTTTGCTCCACCTAAGCAGGTTACCTCACCTACCCGGGGTCCCCAATCTTTATGTGAACAGGCTTTAAGTCTCAAGAACTGTGAAACTGGTAATAAACAGCATACCTAACCCGGGACTAGCTGTGATACTACTTCCATCTTCGAAAACGTCAGCATAGCAGCCAAAGGAGCCATTAAATCGGTGTAACACGAATATTAGATTGAGGTTGTTTCATGCATCTCGTTTTGTAACTTTTTTTGTGTTCGTTTTTGTCACCATCTCTAAATTTCAATCATGTTCAAAACACCCCTATTAACAACATTCCGTAAAGCTCTTTAGAATGATATTCACCAATAAAAATAAGGTGTGACTAGGTGCCGATTTCTAGGCTCCTAGTGTGGCAACATAGGCATAATAAGTGAATGCAAAGTTTTGCGGTATGTAATCTGTCAGAAATCTGTTTGAGTGGTCAAAGATGGGGCTGATGGGCTTCTTTATCATGACCACTCCATTATTATAAGGGACCAGGCCATAATTATTGTTGGCCCTTGCTTTTTTTGGTATTTTCTGTAATTTTACACAGCATTATTTTGTGAAAAGTAGGTAACTGAATTGCTCTTGAGGAATTCATTATGGTAAGATTTCGTAACCACGGGGTATTCGCCTAACTGCATCAAACAAATTACATTCATTTTCATAAATGATAGATCATTGGTTGGCTAAAAGAGGCTTTGTTCCTGTAACTTTCAGCTCTTCTGAATTTAGTTTGTTTGTAAACTGTATCGCAAGCGACGACCTTCCTTTTTTTTGAAAGATCGTATAGACCTACCATTAACACTCTGGTGCGAGGGCTCTGAAGTGAATGAGCTCCTTACAGGTGTCTAGGCATGCAGGGACCTCATACACTTCTTTTTAAATGCAAATGTGTAAAAAATAGAGTGTTAAAAATTCCCGGAGAGGCATGTTTTACAACCTCGCCCCCAGGGCTTAATAAAAAGGTAGAAAAAGGTAAAACGACCATATTTTACGTCAATCACTCGTGACAGTAATAATAACTAATAAACTTGAGGTCAACGGTGTGCTCCTTTTACCCCTCTCTCTGCATTAATGCTCCGTTTTAAGGGTATTTAAAGCTAGTGAAAGGTACACAGAAAGGAGAAAAGCTGAAATAAGGATGTGTTGACACCGGAGATCGAACTCGGGACCTCGCGCACTGAAGGCTGCGCACTAACCAACTGTGCCACCCTTGCTGCTCCTTTTCCCCCTGAGGACGAGATTGACGTGTTTTTATCATTATCTCAAGGACAGGGTTACCAATGAAGCAAATTATAATCTAATCTTAGCTGCACAATTACAACGAGGGCGCGTTGTCAGTTACGGTGCATGAGGTCGGTCATGTGGCATGTCAAAATTTAACGATTCTATCGTTTAGGATGTGATACATTTGGGTTTTTTGTTATTGTATGACATCTTTGAAAGCTGGCTTTGTGATCTGTTTAAATTGATATGTAATTATATTATCACTGGCAAGTCTTATCAGTGACACTGATAGCCATACAGTGAACATGATTGACCACACTTACCGTGTGGAGACTGGGCACTAGTCAGTATTATGTACATGGAAAACTATTTTGAATAGTGTAACAACAACAAAACATTACCAAATTAAAAACTTAAAAACTTGAAACAAATGTTTTTTAGACAAATCAAACAAGAAGAGTACTCACCACAGGGCACCCAACCTGCTATTATAGGTGAAAGTTAACCCCCCCTTTTATCTGTAATTAGGACCATTTGTAACGGGCACCCCCTCCAGTATTAATCGGCAGGTGCTAAGGAAGCTCTGTGCCAAATTTGACACTTTTGTCACGTCTGTAACGATCCGGCCTATATTTTGCACTAAGAGACCTGACTATATGGCGCATTTGAATATATTTATATAGATATTTGCGCCTTATAAGTTTTGAAATTAATTAATTAATTACGTAATTTCATGAGCCGCTAGGCGAGTGAAATTTGAGACAATTTTGAAATATCACTTGTGGTCTTTATGCCAAATATCATGTACAAATCATGCTATTAATTGTTTATACTACTACCCGCAAAGGTTTTGTAATTTTCACACGTAGGAATTTCAAATTAAACTGAAATACCACTGCTCTAAGATAATCAAATTGCAGAACTTTCTCATGTAGTAGTATAAATTTAGTTATCTTATGTAGTAAGCACTTCAATTACATTTTGTTCAATCAGTTAAAACCCACACTATCTCCATGCAGGGTCTATTGAATTGAAGCACACTGCCCACTCCTGGTAATTCAAATTTAAGAACCAGGGGCCCGTTTCTCGAAAGTCCCGATAATTAACGGGCCCGGTAAGCTGTCTCCGTTTACATTAAAGATCGAGGTTTCAATAGTTTTGCATCTGACACGATAAAACTGTCAGTTAATGAAACAAAATAGAGTAGTTTGCTAGCCAGGAGCCGTGCTCTTATTCTTTATATTTCGATTTGAATATTTGATTTCGGGCCCGTAAAGTTACCGGGACTTTCGAGAAACGGGCCCCTGGCCCACACAATTTTCAGTGATCCCCATTGCCTGAGATGGGTATGGATATTTTCTGGAAATATACACAGAATTGTAGCAGAAAACTTACCACTCTTCGTTTTGGTTTTGTAGTTTCCGGCAGTGTTTCCGTGCTTTCCAACTGTGTGTTATGATCGACCGGAACTACTTCTATTTTGTTTGGCTCATCATTAGGTAGAGAAAGCATTTCGGCAGAGCTAGCAGGGGTATCAGCATATGTGGTCTCGATAACAGTAACCATGGATTCACTAGAAAGCCGAGGCCTAGGTGACCTTGGGAGCGGTCTGTTCAATTCAACACCTGATTGGCTTACTGATGGGTGAACCTCTGCTGAAACAACTACTGCCGTGGAATGATCTGTGACACCTTGTTGCTGTCTCTTTCCACGCTTCTTTGGTGTTAAATCAGGAGTGAACGGATTTGTGGCTGTGCCAACATGCCCAGCTTCTGGAAAGGCTTTCATCTGCTTAGGTCTTGCCCCTGATGCTACACTTGATGGAGTGGGAGGTCCAAATAAAGACTGCTGTAGTGATTTATCCAAACCCGGGTTGGATAAATCTTCAACTTTGCCATCACCATGCCTAGTGTGCAGTGCTGCCAAGTCTTTTGCAAAAGGATTTGTACTTGGAAGGCTAACTGTTGGAAAAGTCAATGGGGAAGATGTTTCTACTGTAGTTGATGATGTGTCTTGTTCTGTGACAGCAGAGAAAGCCCTGTCAAGTTCACATGATGGTACCCACTCAGGTAAGCCCTCAATGCTTACCTTAGAACTTTTATCTGCTACTGGTTTGCCATTGACTTTTGTAATGTCCGGCCTCACAGAACTTGAACTTCCTGCCTCTGAATTTTTGCCAAATGTTGATATTGTGCTCAGTGAAGAGATCTCACCAGAGTAACCCTGCATCAATGAATCATCAATCTTATTTTTGTCACTTTCTTCATTAATCTTCTTCAAAATAGCATCCTTCGTTGCTTCATCAAAATCTGGAGATGTCAGTGGTAGAATAATTGGAACTCTTGCCTTAATGCCATCATTTTCTGCACCAGACACATCCACATTACTCTCACTGGGCAAGAGAGATGACAAAGAGACAGGTTGTAGGACTAAGACAGGCTTCTGCTCATGCATGACAATCTGTGGCTGATAGTAGAAAGGAAGCTTGGATGATCCTTTGTCTTTAAAACCCAAGATACTATCCAATCCTTCGCGATCAAATCCTCCCCCAGATGTAACACAGATCGGTTCGTTAGCAAGGTGTTCCTTGTGTAAGTGTTTCTCAGGTTCAGTTGAGGTTTGAGTCCCCGTTGACTGTATGGGTGACAGCCTTTCTGTGACATGAACACCTTCAGCAGCTGGTTCATTTCTGCCTTCCTTCTGCACTGGGTCATCACCATTAACAGTGTTAACATCCCTGATTTCAGTCACTGACGAGGAACTTACATTGTCATCAGGATTTTTACCATCAATGTCAAGCCTTCTTGAAAGGATAGTGTCGCTTGGTGCAACTTCATCTGACAACTCACTTCCTGTTGATGTTAACTCCAAGTTTGAAGAAGATGAAGTGACATGATCATCGTCTGATGACAATTCATAGCTGGACCTTTTGGAAAAATCCTTCTCTGTTTCAGTTGTTCCCGACAAGAGATTTGTACGAGAGTTGGCCTGCATAGAAGGCGTTAAATCTTCAATAGATCTGTTCTGGCGGCTAGCATCAATCTGAGCAATGGAAGTTCCTGAAAGCTCATTGTTCTCTCCATCCTCAATCTCAGAGCAAGTGTCCTCAGCTTTGTTTGACAAAAGCTCTGGCAGTTCCTCGCTGTCACTTGAGCTAGCCTCACCATGTACATCACCATAAGAATTTCTACCCACAGTATCAAGCTGATCAGCTAATCTACCATGTTCAAGAGACAGTTCAGGCAACTTAAAACCCTCAGTATCACAAAAAGAGTTACTTTCTGTAGCTTCAAACTGACTATCTGGAAAACATTTATCCATGGTCGACTCCATTTTAGGTAAATTTTTAGCTTCTAATGATAGTTTAAGCAAGTTAGACACACTATCAGAGTTATCATTTGCACCTTCAAACTGAGCGTCTGCAGACTTCTCCCCCGTGGAAGGGAATTTATCAGCTTGTTTCTTAGCCTCATCAGACAATTCAGGCAGACTAGTCTCATTGTTTAAGGATTTATCATTTATAACTTCCAACTGATCAACTCCAGAATTCTCACCCATGGAAAGCAGCTCATCATCTGGCTTGTCACATTTAGAGGACACTTCAGGTGCCTTGCTTGTAAAGCTATTGCTGGTACTCGAAATGTTATCTGGAAGTTTTTCACTGTCAGAGTTGTAGCCATTTTCACCATTTTCCAGTTCATTTAAATCATTTTCAAGATTCTCTGAAGTGCTTTCCTCATGATCTTCTCCTTTACCTTCATTCTTGACAAAAACCTCAGGTTGATTACCATCAAGTTGTGCATCTCCAGGCAAGACTACATTACCTTCATCTTTGACCGATGGTTTTTCATCAGCATCTGGAGTATTTGAATTGGATAACATCCTCAAAAGAGCATTATATTCTTCTTCAGAGGCATTCTTCATTGCAATTACCAACTTTTTAGCACTTTCAGCCATTTCAGGGTTAACACCTAGTGTCAAACTCTTAAGTATATCACTGGCATTAGAGCTTTCAGCTTTTTTGTTTGATTCATCTGCCATGACTCATTATTTGTACTTCTGGAGCAAATTTTGTGTAAGTTATGTGCAAAAATTCACGAATCTCTTCTTAAACTCATCTGCAAGTGAAACAAATAATACAACAGTAAGATATGAAATACTTAATATATGCTAAAATTATATTTACGAAATGATGATTCACATCTTATTGATTTTCTGTGCAAGATGAATGCATTGCATTGAATTGTCTGTCAGGTTTTCACAATGGTTTATAAGTGCAGGCTCTTTAGAGCATCAAATGGCAAGCCGGAAGTAAACGAAACTTGCACAATATTTTTTATTCGAAACTATTATTTTTTTAAGTTGTACAGTTTCTCTTTTTTGACAACAGAATACCCACGAAATCCAAAATGCATCTTAATTAAACAACACTGCCGACAAATCAAAAGCAAAAGTGCGCAAAATTAGAGGTGGACTTCAAAACAACAGTTCACATCCGTGCGTGCAGCAGATGCAGATGTAGTTCGTTTGACCGACGAACAACATGGTAAACTAAACTAAAAAATCTGCACAGTTGATCTTAATGTACGCTAACTTTTTTCCACTATCCATACAGCTGAAAATTGTAAAGGAACAAACAGTTCGTAAGCAAGCATGAAGGCATGCAAGAATGCTGGTCAAAACTTGTCCGAAATGAACCGAATACATATGGTATATAGCTTACGCATGCAAATATAAACGGACAAGATTTTGCTAACAAAATTTTCATTAAATACTCAATCAAAAGCGAGGAGCTTCAATACAAACTAAAATTGAAAATTAGGAAAGAGCGAGTTCCTGTTGTATTTTGCTTACAATGTCGAATTGTTCACACATCGACAGTAGAAGCGAGCTACCGCGAGCTATCTTGGTTATTGGCATTCAGATCATATGAGGGTCCGAAGATCGATTGTTAAAAATAAGCCAAGAATTTGTTTAAAAACAAAACCTTGACTTACCTGTACATCTCCTACATCCTCTGAAAATTGACGTGAAAAGTGAAATCAGTTAGTTTGTGCTGCAGTTAGTATAAGATACAAATTACTTGGAGAATTTTAAAAGCTCACTCAGCCGCCATGTTTGATATTTGTGGCAACAATGTTGACGTTACGGGTAGTGGGGAGTGGGGTAGCTTTTGTGGTTGACGTGATCCGATCTGGGGGTAGGGTGAGGTAGTGAGTTAAGGTAGTGACTTGCTTGCGAGGGGGAGGACAAAGTGCAAAATGTTTGTGTACTACAAGTCCAAAAACACGGTGGCCCGTAAGGGACATTATAATATTTTTTTTTGGCTCAAGTTATCGCGCGATAATTAGTAATGGTAACAGGACTGAGTGGAGTCCAATTCGGTCTGTAATCATACGAGTGATTAACAAAATCGGACGACCGCGTAGCGGGAGTCCGATTTGTTTAATCACGAGTATGATTACAGACTGAATTGGACGACACGAAGTTCTGTTACCAATTAATCATAACTTTAACAAAATTTGTGATACAATAGGCTATTTTTTAAACCAAAACACAAGAAATTCGAAATCCTGTTTTGCTAGCAGTGAAAAAAAAGCCATTTAAGCGCGCGCGTGATGGCGCGTACTGTCCAATTACTTAGGCATGACGCGTACTGTCCTATTAAACTGTCCACAGTAAAGCTGAAATCAGGGCAGTTGAAAGCCAATCAGATTTGACAATTTTGTTATAGTGATGATTAGTCAGTTTATCGCGCGATAAATTGCAACATATCACATGAAAAAGAGAAGCTGGAACGTTGCATGCATGTATGTATGCATTATCTTGATGTTGACCCTTTCTTTATCATACTAAGAAGGAGTAGTAGTCTAACTTTTAAGTCAGCTTAATAGGGCTCATTTGAGTTGCCAAGCTAGATTTCCAAGCAAGGATTACAGCATTTTAATCCTGAAGGAAAAGGGGAGTAATTAAGATTTACAATTGCTAGATATATGTAATCAAGTATCTCTCGTTTCAAAACTATACAGTGAGAATCAAGCCAGGTTACTTCTTAGCTTCAAGTTTAAAGTATTCCATTGTCCAGCAGTGGTCCCTTTTGTTAAGTGAAGTGAATAAAGGTTATGTTCTTGTTATGTATTTACAGAAAAGGACTGAGTTCTCCGGCGGATTAGCATGCGCAATAATTAAAGGTTAACATGCGAAAATGCAAGCGGTGACATGCCGCACATCCATACCGGCGTGAAACCTTGTGATGACCTTTTGTATTTTAGCTCTAACGAGCATTTACTTCAGGGATTTTGCTTTCTTGTTGGAAATGATAGGTGGTTCTTTAAAAATTTGGCGAAGTAACGGTTGGTTTTGTATAAGATTCCATTTTTTCATTAAAACTTCTTTTAAAGTAGACACTGAGGGCTGGTACTGTGTCACGAAAGGCAATATTTCTTTTTCCTCTTTGTTGTTGTGTTTCAGGAGTGCAGACTCCCTCTCTATGAACTTTATATCTGATAGAAGGTTTTCTATCATAGTTTGTGGGTAGCCTTTGTCAATCAAGCGTTCTTTGAAATTTGAGTTGCTAGCCTTAAAAACATTCTTATGAAACACTGGCAACTGTTAGAGAACCAACCTCTTCTTAGACAGAGATCTACAAAGAACCTCCAATTATAACGAGGAAGGTCTCTCAAAGATATACTTGTAAAAGCTAAACTCTGAGAATTAAAGGCTATAAACACGTGGGTGGAAAGCGTGAGTTAGGCTTCTCTTTATCATGTGATATATTAATTGCAATTTATCGCGCGATAAAGTGACGAATTATCGCGCGATAATTTTCTCATTTATCGCGCGATAATTTTCTTAATTGTCGCGCGATAACTGTTTATTTTATCGCGCGATAAGTTTGAATTATCGCGCAATAACTTAAGCAAAAAAAGAAAATTGTAATGTCCCTTACGGGCCACCATACAAAAATCAAACCACAGCCGAAAAAAAAGGAAAAATAGAGAGAAGAGCGTAGCCTGAGAAAAATGCTGACATTTTGCGACACAACCATTGGTTTTCCCGCAACAAATACACTTACACTTACTTCATTGGATTTTCTTTACTGACATTTCTTTTCTCTTAGTCTTTTTGCCGTGGGGATCAGTAAACTTTTCCCCCTTTTCCCCTTATATCCGTGCGCATTAGATGATATATTTAAATGCTATTTTGCGCGTTATAAATGATATATTATTATTATTAGTAGTAGTAGTAGTAGTAGTAGTAGTAGTAGTAGTAGTAGTAGTAGTAGTAGTAGTAGTAGTAGTAGTAGTAGTAGTAGTAGTAGTAGTAGTAGTAGTAGTAGTAGTAGTAGTAGTAGTAGTTTGTTGCTGTGTTTTTTTCTTTATTAGTGTTTCTGCACTCTAAGCCACACCCTCAGACACACCCTCCAAATGACCCCCTTCTCTACTTAACTTTGAAAAACATCTAAAACTTCCAGCTATCCACCCGTCCCACTTTTCCTCCAAGTAGCTTGATTACGCAGGAAAACAGAGAACTACAATAAGAACAATTTATCAAATCACAATTGTCCCTAACACTCTTTATTACCATGTTCACTAAATATTGATTTCTTTCGAAACATTTCAGAATAATTTGTGCAACTGGATCAGTTCTTTTCACTGAGATACAAAGAAGTGGACACTGAGAAAGTGAGCTTGTGAAGCTTGTCTTTGGCCTCGCAGTTAGTTACGCCCTTGTCAGTTTGGCAAATTAGAGATCGTATCACTCTACATTCTCTACTGTTACACTTCGATCTTTTAAAGTTAAGCAAAGTACCAAGACTGAGGAAAATCCACTTCTCAGAATAAAAAATCTAGCCACTTTTAGGTGAAAAAATCGGCAAAAGACGATTTTTATGTTTGTTGATTAATAACCAACTTTTAATTGTTAGAAGTTTTAAGGCAACACCGTACGATTACAAGATTTGTTTTTGCCCTAAATTTAGAACCGTACGGTACCTCGTTAGGGTCATCGGTTACCTCAGTTAGCGCCAGAAGTCAACTTTTTCATGGCTGATATTGATATTGGCCAAGGAGTCAAGGCCCGCGCAGCAGTTTTTCAAGTGAGGGGACCGCTAAATTCAAGTGCGGTAGGAAAGGGTCGTAGGAAGGCGGGGTAGGTGCTGGCGTCCTGAGGCGTCTCTGTGCCTGTTTAAATTTGCGTTTTCCACTTTTCAAGAAACAGCCTAAAATTCCTGTCGCTCCTTTACAGCTTTCCAATCCCAGCTTGCCAAATCGCTTGTTAATTAGCCTGCGTAGCAAGCGTTTCCGCGCGGTTTCGGAGCAAAGAACCATGAACGAGCTCGAGAGTCAAAGACTGCAAAAAACCGAAACTCCCGTTCCTCGATCGTCGTTCCTCGGTCTTTCTTTGCTCCGAAACCGCACGGAAACGCTTGTTACGCAGGCTATGTGTTTATCAGTTTAGATCAATTCGAGCACCTCTAGGTGGTTACTGGATTGCAGGCGGGATTGTGTAGGATTGCTAGGATGTGCTAGGATATTACTATCAGAATATCTAACTCATCATGAACATCATGGAAACCTACTGAATTTACAAAACCCGCGAGGTAATGGTTGCATAGAACAGCAGAGGCTACTTATATTTCGTGCGCCACAGGCCAGTTCCTGTCGAGAAAAAAAAAACCGATTCAGCGCGCAGGCAAAGGAAAATATCTTCGTTAACGCCCAGTTTCCGCTTTGCTGGAATTTATGCGACGATTAAAGCCGCAATTTTATGGCATTTTCCAATCTTTATAAAGAGCCTAGGGTGTATGTAAGAAAAGCTTTAATCGCCTCTGCCCTATGTTTTTGGTAATTCAGTCTGACGCAAAATAGCCATGAAATTGCCGGTTGTTTACAGGCGCAACACTGCAGTGAAACAGCGAACAAGTATTGGAAATGGAAGCACATTACTCTCGTCTCATATACAAAAATCCGACATCAGTCCTCATCTACAATCATTACCCTACCCTATTATTCCCTAATGTGGACGGTTGTGAACGCCAGATCCTTAGACTAGTATCAAAATTTAGCGAGGAACCATTGGATATATATTTTTATTTTACACAAAAACCACGGGTGGGGTCCCAGTCCCCTTGGGACCCTCCCCTTGCGCGTGCCTCGCTATTGGAAGATCTGAAATGATGACTTACAAAGTAGAGAGGGCTAAAACATTTCTTTGACAGGATTATTTACATCATTTCCTTTGTGCTCCACAAAAGGACAAAGCGGACCCTGGGTAAGGAGGGCTAAATAAGCACTTTAGGGAACTCGCTAGAACAGTGAGCGAATGGTGGAAAAACAATTCCTCATACTGCAAATCCAATCAAAATGGGAAAAAGTAAACCTTGTAATATTCCAATCCCTATACCTGTTTACACACATCCAGAAGACTATCTTCAACGCAATCAGGAAACCGCTCCCAAAGTAAGACAAACGTACGAAATATTTTTCAACACTTTTTTATTGCTACAGATTGTTACGAAACAGTCTATCTTCTAAGGTAATCTGCCCTCAGTTTTATGCCAGCTAGACAATGGAAAAGGGCGGTAGATAAATTTTTGTATATATGCTGTGATAGTAGCGTAGGAATTAGACGACGACGTGCGAGAAACACTACGTCACTTTCAGTTGTTGACAAACCACTTCTGGCCAACTCTGTCAGAGGTATGCCCACGATCTACATGCTCACCCACGGTCCATCGAGACATCTCTCTCAGGCCAGTTGTAGACACGATAGTGAACCACCAATAGGCATTGGACTGAATCTTCACCTCTTGTGGGTTGGGGGCGGACATCATGCTGATGTGGCTGATTGCTTGTGCAGCGACGTTATTTCCATCTGGAGAAATAGCAAGATTTTGAGCTTTGTATGCATAGCCTTGCTTTTCATTTCCTTGGACACAGCGTATGTCTGCTCCATTTCTTACAGCATCCACCAGAGATTTCCTGTCTCCGCTTAAAATCTTTCCGGAGGGATCATTGGACAGGGCATGGGTCCAGCTTCGGGTATCAATGAACCACTTTACTGTCAGCCTATATGTAGAATCACCTCGGTGCCTGTGTTCTCCGACATTGTACCTTGTGGCGCGAACGGTACCTGTGGTGGAAACCATCAACCAAAACCAGTAGGCGTCGTTTTGGAATCCAGTTAATCCTTTCTTGCTGACATGTTTGATCGCCTGAGCTGTAACATGACCTCTGCGCACAGAGAGATTGTCAGCCTCGGCAGTGTAGTAATTCCAGGCAGGGATCTGGAAACGTACACGGTGTCCTGACAATAAGGCTGACGTAAGTGCCTGGCGGCTTCCAGATAGGTAATTTCCACTGTCATCATTGGAGAAAACTTCCCTCCAGCAGCCATCTGAAAACCATTCGATGGCCACAGTATCTTGGGTGTGACCTCGTGACGTGTGGGCCCCAACATTCCAGCGTGACATGTCACGTAATCCACGAGTAGTCACCACGGTGAACCACCAATAGGCATGGCTCTGAAACTGGATCAGGTTGCCGCTAGTGCGAGTACTTATGTGGTCTAAGCTTTGCCCTGAAACGTACTTGGCACCATTAGTGTTAACTGCCACGTTCTGGAGAGGAAAAGAGTAACCCTTAGTGCTAACACATCGGATTTCTTGGCCATTCTGAACGCTCGTCACCAGGTCATCCAAGTCACCTTGCTCTTTGTTTCCATTTGCCTGGTTTGAATATAATGGTGTTAGGAAGACTGCTAACCTCTGCACGTACCATTTAATGCTTGTCCTTAAACCATTGGTTCCACGATGTGTACTGGAGCCAACGCTGTACCTGGTCATCTGCATCTGTCCGTTGGTTGACACGTACACCCACCACCAGTAGGCGTTATCTTGAAACCTGTCCCATGATGCTTTACTGACATGCTGCAGAAGTTGGGCGAAAACATGACCAGCGTGTACATGTATATTATCCGTCTCTGTACTGTACGAATTTCCCAAGATGACCACGCGAACGCGTGCACTTGATAACACGGCAGATATCAAGCCATACCTCCACCCGGCAATCGTGTTGCCATTCTCATCGTGATGATACGCCAGGTGCCATGGAAGTGAGCATGACCTGCATGAAGTTTCAGCTGAAAGGGAGAAAATAAGGATAAAAAACTTTGATGACCTCTTCTGGCTATCCGCCGCTGAGTTTTCTTCGCCACACTAGTATGGGACTCAATCACATGGAGCACCTAGTACCTAGCACGCTGCCTGGGCCTTTTGGCAAGAAGGCGGATAGACAAAACTTTAGAATGAAACTTCACAATAAGTCATCAAAATTCTCGCTGGAGCCCTTCCTCCCTATAGTGGGAAGGCATTGAAAAGTGTGTATGTCAAGAGATTTGACTCTCCTCACTAGTTAAGAAACCTCACGCAAAAGCCTGGGAAATTTTCTAATAATGGGGATCCGATTCAGTTCCTAAATTTACTCAGGGGTATAGAATTAATTATCTTGTCAGTTTTCTCCTCATGAATCATTAATTATTTGAAGATTTTCTAGGTAAATACCACGTAATGAAATTTATATTTACTAAGAACCGGAGAATGAACAGGTGGAAAAGAAGACAAAAAATCACACAGAGGATACCACATTTTCCAACTGGGACAATTAAAAACGCAGTTCAGGGGGTCACATTTGCTAGTTAGCCTCGCTTTTTACTATGGAGTGAATACTTTCCTCAGTCAGGGTCACCCATCGAGAATATAGTTCAAAACCATTCAAACATAGCATTGTTGAACGTATTTTAGTATTTAAACGGCAGATATAGGCATATTTTTATCCCCTAAAAATTTTTCACCTGTTCGGATTTCCTAGCTGAAAGGCTAGTGATCCGAAAATTATAGGAATAAAAACTTACCTTTTCGAAAATTTCAGCCAGAAAAAAGGCTCCCGAAAATTCTAGGTGACCTTTTTAGGGTAAAAATCCGTTAAAAATGGGCAATTATACCATTTTTTAGATGTTCGAAAATGCTAGGAGAGGCAGGCAAGCAAGAAATTTTACAACAAAAATGTTCCGAAAATTCTAGATCTCAAAATCGTCTTCCGAACAGATATTTTCCAAAAATTGACGTTGGATGCCCTTGCTCAGTCGAAGAAGAAACTTTTGAGACGCCAGTACAGTGTGTTGACTTACTCCTTGAAAGAGTAACTTTTTTTAGTTTTGGTAAGCTAGTCTCTATAAGTCACGTAGATTAATTAGTGGTTATCGATTTTTTTTTACTGCGTTTTTTATCAGGTCGACTCATCTGACTTATAGAATAGAATGGAACATAATGCAATACTTGCGACTTGATCGGACATGATAAGGTCGTTCAGTCTGTTGTTTTCTTTTTACGTCGTTACGGTTATTATAGTGCGGATAAGAGTGACCTACCCTGAGAAGTTTGGCATGATGCTGCTTCCAAAATGATGACTCCCACGAAAAGCAACAAGCAAATCCCGTTCATACTTGATGGGGTGGCTTGGCAATGTATGACCTCGTCAAATGCAATACTGAAGGTAAATGGTTGATCTAGCGTGAAGCAGCTGATTTATCGTAGCTAACGCGTTGACGTCAACCATGACAAAATTCATGATGAAAAGCGCTTAAACAGGATCCGATTTATAATCATACGTGACCTTTTTTCCCCAGAGGGGGGTAGGGAAAAATGTATGGTAAATGCTTTTTGCTTTTAGTTGATCTAGCTAGTTTAGAGGGACCTCACTGAAATAATTATAAACAAATAATCAATTTTAACACAACATGCTTAAAAGACCCAACTCGCTGGCTAGTTATTTAAGAGTCAAGGCCAAAAAGGTAAATTAGGCACCGTGACTATAGACTACGAGCAGTCCCCCATTTTTCCTCAGGGATAGTAGAGCGAGCGAAACCGAAACGCGCGTGAAAAATCTACCCCACCGTGACTACCTAAGAAAAAATCCAGGGGACTACTGGTAATCTTTGTCGTGACTACCAGCTCACTGGTTTTAAGTTTGACCAGGCGTAAAGGCGAGGGAGGCAATTCCATCCAGTGCTCGCTGAGGACGTTTCGCTTGGAGGAACGGGACCTGACCTTCCATACTGTTGACCTCCAGAATCCGGTCAGTTTGGTCGACGGAGCAGTTACATTGTTTTACCACAAATGACAGACAAAAACACGGCCAAAAAGGTGACCACTCGGCAACATGCACAGCTCACTGGTTTTACCAAAATGCCGGAAGACACGCAAAATTGACCAGGCGTAATTTTTTCGCGTTTTTCCTCCGGCGAAACGGGACGAAGGCGAAGAAACGGATGTTTTCGCAGGCTAGAGGCAAGCAGGAAGCGAGCGAGGAGCGCCAGGCATTATTTTTTCCGCGTCTTTCCACTTTGCTCCTATTAAAACAAAACTTTGAGACTAACATTTTCTACCTGGATATCAATTTACTTCCGTGATGTACAACAATCTTAAAACATTAAAATTCAAAGCGATTTTTTTAATTCGCCAACTCGATTAGTTCTTGTGTTTCCGGATTCAAAGCGCTAAAAAAAAATCTTCAAGAAGACGCGGTCCGAAATTTCAAGGGAAACCTTGCTTCCAAACAGATATTTACCGAAACTAATCATTGGATGCCCCTAAAAAAGGTCAGAAAAAAACGTGACAAGGTTTTGTCCTATTTGTTTAGAGTGAAACATTTCATAACATCTTGGCGTGGTAACATGACCTTTTTAATCGTCGTCAGTTATTTCTAATACAACCGTGAAACAGTAATAGCTTTTTTTTTTAAATTTAAACATATTTTAAATAATTACATTTACAATACTACAAAAAAACACCTTAACAATAAACATTAACAGAGTAAAGCAAAATTAATTGTTAAATTATTACAGGGCTAAAGGAAAAAAGTACAACAGGGCAATGAAATAATACGGAGTTAAGATAAATAAGGCGTCAGTATCCACTTTCTTTTAAAGAATTCTTTGTTGCTGATTTTTTCTTCTGTTTCATATTTAGCGATGATCTTCGCCCTAAATCCATAAATGTTTGGATGGATTTGTTTGCTCCTACAGTCCCACAAATAGAGCGGTTTTCCAATAATTATAAAATAGTTCAGCAGTTGAAGTAAAGGACCTTTAAAGGGCAAGCATTTTCCGTCAAAATTCCAAAGAGCACATTTTCCAAGCAGAGACGAATTAAGGCACCAAAACTGAATTCAAACTCAATCCAAAACTGTTTAGAACGTGAGCAGTGATAGAACAAATGGGTTAATGATTCGGGTTGATTGTCACAGAAAGTACATAAATCATTTGTTTTAAAACCTCGAATACATTAGCTCTACATCTACTCTGTAAATTTCGAGCATAAATAAACTACATGTATGTATGTATGTATGTAAACCTATTTTATACAACTTGTATTTGTGTAAAGAATTGAGTTAATTACTTTGCACTGGAAGGCTTTAACATACGATTCGACAACGATAGAGCGTGGCAGCTTAAATATTTGCTTCAGATTGTCGCTGTTAAAATGAAAGTTACTCTGTAATTTTTGAATAATATTGGGCGGTTTAGCTTTCACTTCTCTGATGAGTAGGTTGTAGTAATTCTTTGATTTCCCTTTAGTAACATCAAAATTATTGTCACCCACCACAAATGTTGGAGAGTTGAAGGATACGTGTCATAACAGATGATAGGTTGATTATTGCCACCCGTTAGTTACGTACGTAGTAATGAGAAAGAGATTACCTTATTAAAGGCAATTTATAGCTTCGTGTAATCAACGCGTATTTCAAAAAATCGCCTTTGTTTAAGTCTCGTTAATTTTAGTTTAAAAAAAAATACAAACGGCTCTCAAAGCAGGATTTTATAATATATTCTTTCAGATGGGGATCTTCGTTTATATGCTACAGAAAATGTACACACCATGAAATTAATATGCCCTGAGCTGTGATCCGTAACGACTTGACTGCCCGGGGGGGGTACTCCCTGATATGGGCTATATAGGTATGTGCGGCCCCAAAGGGTAGGGTTTTTCAGCCGTTTTGGTCATAAATTGGGTATCGATTTTGGCTATTTTGCCGCCATTTTGGTCATAAATAGGGTAACGATTTTTGCACTGTAGTCTTGAATGCACTTTTTTAGAAGAAGCTATTTCCTTATCATGTCCCCCTAACCTAATAAAAGCAGATAAACATTGCCTTTAACATTGATCTGAACTAGGGAAATAATTATAATGCAGGTCTGAAGCAGGGTATTGATTTAAGGGTCAGGTCATAAATAGGGTATCAAATTTTTGGTTAGGTCATAAATAGGGTAGGGAAAATCGCAGATTTTGGTCATAAATAGGGTAAGGGTTTTGGGAAGCGGGCCGCACACCCCTACCCAATTTTTCTGCGAGTACCCCCCCCGGGCTTGACTGTCAGTTTGAATGTAGATGAACTTCTCCTGCAATCATGCCTTGCCGCATTTGCACGAAAATTCTCGCCTTACAAATCAGGAAGTCAGAGCTTGATAAAGTTGTTTGACCTAATCACTGTCATCACTAGTCAGGATTTGCCAGGGGTACTCTCAACAAGAGCGCGATCGTAAATGCTATCTCAACGCAAATTGTTAGAAATGAGCAAATTCGTGGCGTATTTTCTACACTTGTTGATCCTAACAGCATATGCTGAAGGTAGGTTTCTTAATATCAACTTAATATCAAAAAATTCTTGGATGAAATTATCATGTGCGTTGATGATCGAAAGTCTTAGGAGAAAAACCCTAAATTGATCCTTACGGCAAGAGGATTGAGAGAAAAATATTCTTTATATGCAAGAAAACTCAATGGTAAACGTACCGTAAAGTATAAGCCCTCCAAACTCGTAACGCAAAAAACCCTCTGATAAATCGACCCTCCAAATACAAGCCAACGGCGGCTTGTACTATTGCCCTCAAATTCAAAATAAAACAAAGCAAAAGCTGTACAGTGACACATAAATTGTTGCATTTGCCAAAGAACTATTACGTGTGCCAAATGATTGCAGTCAAAAAGTGTCACATTATATTACTGTTTGCGTAGCTCACCCTTTACCCTGCGAGCAGAGGCCCTTCGATCTTCCTAGATAAGTCGGGAAGAGGAAGGGGGTATTCACCCTTCAGTCTTGGCTTGGATTTCCTCGGTCCATAATAGATAAAGTACTTGCATGGCTGAGGTTTAGGAAGATCTACGCCAAACTTGCCGAAAATTACTGACATAAATTTCCTTCCAACTATAAGCTAGCCCATTTGATTTCAATTGCCTCCCAGTGTAAGCCTAGCCAATTTTGAAGCGCAAATTTCCCTCCGTATAATGCAGATTTAGCCAGGGCTAAAAGCGAAGCTCTCGATAATTTTTATAGTTTGCTCAAACAAAATATAAAATCGTGTAATGCTACGCGGTGAAGGCAACAAGAACGGTGAAAAAAATAACAATAGGGCTAATTAGCTAAAAAGCAACTTTGCACGAGCAGCAAACTTTTTTCTTACATTCTTTGCCGTTGTTTTGCACGACTGCAACGTGAAACTTCCAGAAACTTCCTTGTTACACGTTTTATGGAGGAAATGTCGGACGTGTTCTTGTTCGCTTTTTTTTCCACTGTCGCTCATTTTCCGTGACCCTGGTGGCCGCTAGCATTCCGTCGCTACAAAATTTCATGTTGTTCCCCCAACAAAAAGTGTCTCCTAATTTTTTTTTTCTCTCTCTCTCTCGCTCTAACGCTAGCTCCTTTTCTCGTTGATCTTCGCTGACCTGTCCCACTATTTTCTCTTTTTCTCTGTCTTTCTCTTTCTCTATATTCCAAATTTGTGGACATGACAATATTAATCTAGACTTAACACTTTAGACAACACGGATGCAGAAACATTTTCCGCTTTCCGTTTTCGTCTTTATTGACTCTTTAGTTGTCTCTGCTTCACAAGACGCGGGCGGCCATATACCCAGGGTACAAGAGGTTTTTCTTGCGTGTGGTAGAAAAGTCTCTGGCACCCAGGGTAGCGGCCATACGCTTTCACGCCAAAATAACCTGACATTTGGCATCGGCTTACATGTAGCGGTTGCATGGACGGTCGTTCGGGCGTACGCTACGTCATAGTCAAATTTCCTTGCTTTCATAGGTTACCGATTTATCTTAGCAATGGGACTCCGCCGCGCGCGCTGATCGCACTCGGGAGCTCCGCTAGAAGTCCCTCCAAAAATAGGGTCCTTGAAAAATAAAAAACCACTGGGCTTATTTTCGGAATTTTACGGTCAGTTCGGTTTGCAACACTAACCTTCAACAGAGACTAAAAAAGAATCATATCCCTTTCATTTTAGCCGCAACTGGAACTAGGATGTGTACATTCAATTTTATTCATCGCATCACCAAGCGTAATGTAAGTACTCGGAAAGAATTCCTCCCGCCACGCACTAAAGATTAAAATCATATTTCAGCGCGATACATCACGTTCATGCTTGCGCGCGTGGAAAATCGCCTCTGTCCCGCGTGTTGCGTTTACTTGCAGAAACTTTCCGCGTGCTCACGTGCTTCGCGCGGTCAACCCCAGCCCCCGGGAGAGGAAAAAAGGTGGTAAGGTGCATAATAGTGAATGTTCTATAATTTTTACACAAATGTGCCAGGAATAAAATAAACTAACCTAAACTAAACATCCAAATTCTTTTCACAAATAAAGGAACAATATGCAATTCACCATGGCAACTGGCATATCACAATGACGTCAGTGGAAAGGCCGTCTCAGGATCTAAGGCTTCTTTGGAAGCTGCTGTGCTATCAGGAGCACGTGTACGTGTGGTGATTGGAACGTCTTACAGCGCTGAAGCAGACAATGTGCAAATAAGCAACAATCAGGTCTTTGCTCAATTACTGAATCATGTCAGCAAAGCTTCATGGGACAAGTTTCAAAACAATGCCTATTGGTGGTGGGTAATTGTGTCAACTGATGGACTGATGCAGATGACCAGGTATAATGTGGGCTCAAATACACACCGTGGAACCAACAACGCTAAAAGAAACATCAAATGGTATGTGCAGACACCAGGTTTTATCCCCAAACCAACATACTCGCATCAAGCCAATGGAGATAAAGTTCGGGGAAGCTTCAATCTCCTTAAGAGCAGTGTTCAGAACGGTGAGGAAATCCGATGCGTGAGTGACAGGAGTTACTCTTTCCCTCTCCAGAATGTTGTCATTAAAAGCCAACATCCTGAGTTAGTTGCTGGGCAAACTTTGGATCACGTAGCTTCTGGCACAAAGTTTCTAGTGGGTAATACCTACTGGTGGTTTATTATGGTGAATTCTCGTGGAGTACGTGACATGTCACGATGGACGGTTGGGGCACACCAGTCACGAGGTCACACCCAAGGCACCACAGCAATTGACTGGTTTGCAGATGGCTGCTGGAAAGAGGTCTACTCTCATGATGCCAAAGGGCAACAGATATCTGGATCACTCTACTTGCTGACATCAGCTATATTGTCAGGGCGACGTGTTCGTTTCCAGGTCCCTAACTGGAATTACTACACTGCTGAAGCTGACAATCTGTCAATACGTAATGGTCACGTGACAGCCCAAGCACTTAAACACGTCAGCAAAGCTGGATTTACCAGATTCAAGAGTGATGCCTACTGGTACTGGTTAATGGTTTCTACCACAGGGACTGTTCGCGCCACAAGGTACAATGTTGGGGAACACAAGCACCGTGGAGATTCTACAGACAAGCTGAAAGTGAAGTGGTTTGTTGACACCAGACCATGGAAAAACATTCTATCCAATGACCAGTCAGGAAAGGTGCTAAGCGGCTGTCGTGATGCTTTGGTACAGGCTGTAAGAGCTGGAGCAGATGTGAGATGTGTACAAGGTGATGAAGTGCAAGGTTATGTATACAAGGCTCAAAACCTGGCCGTGTCTCCAGATGAACAACAAGTCGCTGCTCAAGCTGTTAGCCACGTCAGTATGACATCAGCACCTAATCCTAATGAGGTAATGATTCAGCCTAATGCCTATTGGTGGTTCACTATCGTGTCTACAACTGGGCTGAGAGAGATGTCTCGCTGGTCTGTTGGTGCACATGTAGATCGTGGGCATACTGCTGACAGAGTTGGCCAGAAGTGGTTTGTGAACAATTAACTACAACCTACAACACTTCTCAATAGTGCCAAAGCAAAATTAGTCACTCAGGTATAATGGGAATTTTAATGGTTTATAAACTAGAAAAATAACTGTTAATTGTTAATTGAGTGAAAAAAGCAAGTCTTAAGCAGGTTCACAATAGTTGTTAAACATGTAAACAATAAACAAGGAGTGACAAAAATAAAAACCATAAAGGTGATTTTGTGGTTGATCTTGAAATTTACTATGAATAATTAAAGCCTTTGCCATTTTAAATTATAACAAGAAAACTTTCCAGCTAAGCAACTTGTTTTTATTTGTCATTGCTGCAGCACTTTTACATTTTAGAATTTAAAAAAAACAACAACAACAACAACATTGTGGACATACTCATCTAGTACAGTGTATTTGTAGAATAGGTGAAATGCACTTTGGCATGTTCTAAAATTTAACAGTTTTAGGTCCCTTTTTCTTTGGTGTTTTCTGAGTGGTCCCTGTATCATGCTCTATCTCTGCATCAGCACTATAATGTCCCTTTATATTCTTCATATTATGAACATGTGAAGTGGTTGTTGATCCTGCAGTCAACAAGTAGAGAAAATAGTTATAGATTTTTCAGTTATCCAGCAAATTAAACCAGCAATATAATTTTCTATACATTCTTTAGGATTCCAAACACATTATAGACAAACAAGCGTCTTTCATCAAACTTATTCCCAAATAATCACAGTGGCAGAGCGAGGGCTCGGTGGTTGCATAAAAGCTGCACTTAAAAGTAGGTCACTTTAATATAAATCTGTTATGGGACGGTACACTTACTGGTGTTGCATGGCATGCACTTTGCACTCTCGTAAGTTTTTGTTTTACATGGTAACTTACGAGCTCAGTTAAGGGTACACGTAACTTTGTTATTAATGGTACTTTATAATGACCCACTCAATTTTTTTATGTTAACCATTATTGAGTGTAAAGAAAGTGTCTAGTCTGCACCTCTATTTCTGTATAAAGATGAGGTGCCCTTCCCTAAATCTGCCACTGCTGATACAAGTGACAAGATGAGTTTGACACTAGCGACATCTTATAAGGACCTTCCCAAAGATCCCCGCATATCCCAGAATATCTTGACAGTTTTGAAAAACTCAGTTTTATAAAGCTGACCAAAATGTCTCCTTTGGAAATTTGCTAAACAATATGAGTACCAGTACATCCTACATTATTAGTCTCGCTTGCATAAGCAGCGAGACTCACAATCTGCAAGCCATTTATCTTCTTTAGTATTTAGGACATAAAAGGACAGTTGGGGTCCTAGGCGTTCCTTGCAGAGACTGTGGAAACTGAGAATAAGAATCGTTGTGTGACCGAAGCCATGCACGTTTTGCGTAGCCTGTGTACAGCCACCCCTCCCCTCAAAAAAATCAGAAAAACTAGCGAAGAAAGCTTAGGAAAGATTAATAAATGCGATTTAGAGCTTTTCCGGAACGGGTCGGTCCAGGAATTCTATCGCTTGAAAGATTTGATAACTTTGGAACAACCGAACACTTCAGTGGTAAAAAAAAGAACAATCTTAATTAGCAAAGGCTAACTGGTCGGGTGTTGTAAACTTTTCTTGTATTCAAATGAGTCTTGTGATGAGCATGCTGTTTACATTGTATTTTCAGCAATGATTGAAATGACGTGCTATGTTCACATCACGATGCAATTCCTCTCAATTGGAGACCCTTGAATTTTCACGTAGTTATACACGCTTATAGCCTGTGACCACAGATGGATCTCCAGTCGTCGCTAACACGTGTCTGCTAAATCTATTCAGAAACAAATCATCGAATACGATATAAAAAGTAAATACCTTATTCTCCTTTATTTTCGCGGGACTTAAATTTCGCGAAAATTTTCTCGGCACATTTCTTGAGTCTTTAATTTCGCGATCGCGGAGAAAAATTTTGTTTGCAGGGAATTTAATTTCGCAAAATTGACAATTAAGTGACTTCATTTTTTCTTTTTTACAAAAATTTTACGTTAATCAACAATTGAAACAAAACCAAATGGAAAGATACAAGACACGCGTAACTACACACTACAAGGAGCCGGGACAGGATGGTCAATTATTTTGACGACTGTACAAAGGATGTATTGGAGAAACTGTGCGAAGATGATTACTCAGATGCCGAAGAAGAACTTGAGGCAAATCTTGACACTGAGTAACATCTAAAGTTGATAGATGATAGCTCCTTCTACTAACACCTTGTGTTAAAAATTGTTTAGGACCTGTGAAAACACAAATACATGATTTTTCTATGTCCATTAAATTTCGCGATCAAAGTTCGCGGTCGTTATTTTTCGCGGATCTTTAAATTCGCGAATTTTTTAAAATTGCGAATTTAAGAAAATAAGGTATCCTGAAGAATACTCAACCATCAATAAAGTAGGAAGTGAAAAACCTTTAGCAAGTAAATCCTGTTTCATCCAGAGTTAATTGCCTCCTCATTTCTTATCAGTATTCTAATCTACAAGCAAGTGAGACTTAACGCCGATATTAAGCGCATTCGTATGTATGTTCTGCTTCAACATTATCACTGACCAGTTCAAATTTTATCAATTTCTTTGGCTCTTTAGTCCAATGCGTGACAATGAGGATAAGCCAAGGGAAAATAGAACTGAATCAAAGAAATTTAACAACAATGTTCACAAGCTGTTATATTCTGTAACATCAAGTTACAGATCAAAAAAGAGATGCTTGATTTATTGACTAATTTTGATTTTATTACAGTGCTTGTGGGCAAGGCAATCTTATTGTATGCATTAAACAAGACAGTACACTCCTGCAACAGTCAAAAGCAAAATAACGTTATAAGCTTATCATCGTAAGGCAAAAAGCTAATATTTCATCACCTTTAGACTCTTGCACCAAATTAGGACAGTCTCTTCTAAAGTGTTCCACTGAGCCACAAATTTTACATCCCCCACCTGCACATAGGATAGGGAAACAAATCAAAAGTGTGCACATGAAATTTAAAATCCTTACAAATTTTGAAGGAATTAAATTAAATTTCAATTTAATTCCTTAATAATATCCCAAATATTTAGCCCATCTGCACCACATCCGGCTGTAACAACCTTGTGGAGCCACATCCCTTTATATCTGACTTACAAACAACTGGTCATGGTGCTGGGAAAAGTGATCTTCCAGAACATGCTGAATCGGCACTAGAAAACCTACATGAAATATTGTGCCACTATCCACCTGTCACTAAACGTTCTTCAAAATAATTTCAAGATTCTTGAATGAAGGCAGGTAAATGCCAAGCCAAGGGGGAAAAAGCAAAGAACAAAAAAAAAAAATAAAGTATTCTTGAATTAAGGCAGGTTAAGTGCCCAGCCAAGGGGAGAAAAGCAAAAAAACAAAAACAACAAACAAAAACAAGAAAAGAGAGAAAGTAGACCTAAACATGTACAGTAAAGGGCAGTACTTTTAGACCAGAGGCTCTCACAACATTTCCAAATTCCAATTCGACCAGGAATCAGGCAGATGAAGAACCACTAATGTGGATGTGCTACCTCTAAATCATTGCATGTTGTGTATTTATAGTTTATTTATTTTTATTTATTTAAAAACATGTTTTTGCCTTCCATGCAATGCTGCAATTTGGCACCAGAAACAAAAGCAAGGGTAGTTATTGACCATGTTGAGTAGTTTTGCGTTTTTTTGGGCAGAAAGTCACCAGAGGTAAATGGCTTCATGTAAAATAACGAGTAAATCTTACCATTTGGGTAAAGTCCTTTTGGGTTGTCAGGACAGCTTCTTGCTACGTGTCCAGTTTCTCCACAAATAAAACACTTTGCAAATGGAAATCCACCTAAAACCGTAATTTTGGGGTTTTAAATGAATTTTGTAGTGGTAGAAGTAAAGACATATAAGAGAGTTTAATAGAGGTACACATACAAGAACTCATTTGTGTATGAAAATTTATGACATGGCTTTCAGTGAGTTTATCTCAGTATGTACATAATAAAATCTGGTATAAAAGAAGGGTTGACAAACACTATAATAAAATATTGTAGAAAATCTTAGGTCTTAGAAAATTTTGATGTAATCTCAAAATCTCCAAAGCGACACAGGTGGATTCCAAAATCTCATTTTTTTGTGTTCTTTTCCACTTGGGCATCTTGAACTTTGATTAAACAAGGACCCTGACATCTCAGTGAATAACAAATTTCACCACTTTTTGCCACCCATGAAAGAGCTACAGCCAGGAAAAGCCACCCACCTGTGTCATTTGACTTGTTATTACAGCTTTTAGTTGTATGTTCAGAAGATCCACATTTGTAGCAGTTACCAACACCCATCTCTGTGTCTTGGGCCAAAGGACACTCAGAAACCAAATGCCCAGTCTGCCGGCAATGAAAACATGCCTGTGGGGTGGCAAACGATTTTGTACATGGGTAAGAAAGTTACATCACCCCTGCTCGGCCACTTGAAACAATAATATTTATTGATTGTTTTAAGTGAATAATAAAATCCATTATTTTCAGTTTAGATCGAAATGTTGATTGTGAGAAAACAGTTGTCATTTCGTGATGCCACCACTGGTTTCCCCACAAAATGATGTCTGAGGAATGAGGACAGAACTTTCATACTGATGACTCTGTACTAACCTGATCTGGGTGGTGATACTGAGAGGTTAAAAATTTGCTTCATCTAATAAAAAGCACTTAAAAGTAACCCAGTTCTGGTCTGACATTTCAAAGCATTTAAGGTAGTGGTTTGTTTGGTCAATTGATGGTAAGCACACCAAGGTGAACTGATGTTTAATAAAAAACATGACCAGAAACTGTCATCTAGTAATAACCAAAGGCTAGTGAGCTTGGTCAAGATGATTTTACTTCAACGCTGTGCTTTATTATGTACGTTTCACATGATAGAAGATCATAATGCATGTGTTTAGATTATGAGTGATAGAAGGTCCAGTGAGGTTGTGTTCTATTCATTCAATTCATTGTTAGTGGAATAGCAACATACTTGCTATGTATAAAGATTTGGATTGCAGGCTCCTCTAATAGCCCAAAACCATTATTAACTTAAGCATTTCCCAATTTACATGACTTGCTTTATATAAATGCTTAGATTTCCTAGTTTTTGAAAAGCAAATCATAAACCAATAGGGACCACTAAGTGCAGCTGGAACGCAGCTGACGCGTGTAAATTACTCCACAAAAACTCTTTTATTAGTTTTTGCAATAGCATGCAAAAACATTTCAACTCATTGGGAGAACAGTATATTTTAACTTCTCTCCACCAAAGTTGAACCCTGATTAGCAACATTTTTAAAGAGGGACAAAAAAGAGTTTTTTCTTTTACCAATAGAGTACTGAAATGAAATTTCTGAAATTATGGGATTTGTCAGGATATTCTGAAAGAACAATGTCCAAGAGGCCTACTCACTAAAAATGAGCATTTCGGGGCAAATTGTCCCTGAAAACTTAGCTCAGTTATAATTTTTTGGGGGTCGACCCCAAAAAAAAAATTAGAAGGGTTTGTTTGGAGTTTTCTTAGTAAAACCGGCTGACATCTCAGAGACAATTTTCCCAGAAATGCTCATTTTTAGTAAGTAGGCCTCTTGGACATTGTTCTTACAGAATATCCTGACAAATCCCATAGTTTCAGAAATTTCATTTTTATGACATCATCACTTTAGTACTCTATACCCCTCCTCTGTTTACTACTTCAATAAGCTGATTTGAGCATGAATTATGGCATACCTTTCCTTTTGCTCTTCGCTTTTTTCTTGCCTCACGTTTCTTATCCAAAGCCTCTGTCCTACACATATTTATGTGTGACGCTTTCTTAGTCTTTTCAGAGTTTTTGTAAGATCCTTGCAGTTTCTTCTTTTTCATTATTAATTTATGACTGCTCTTTTTTAGTTTTAGAGCTTGTTCCCAATTTTTCTTTTTTGACGTAGTTGGTGAATCTGACCCATCCCGTATGTGCTTGATTTTATTCTTGTCATGCTCAGATGTCTTTGCTTTCTTTGGTTTAATACTCCCAATATCAATTTCAAAGTTTTTTCTTTTCTTTCTGGCCACTCTAGTTTTCTTTCCAGCTGAGTCATGGTTCTCTTCACCTGTTTTGCTTCCTTGTTTTGATCCATTTGCACCTGTTACATTTTACAAACAAAATATCTTTCAGTTAGTAAAGTTCATAAGGTAATAAAAACAGGCAGAAAGATTAAAAAAAAAAAACAAAATGCATGGTTTTCATTGTGCAATTTGAAACTCTAATACAAGTGTGACAGCGATTTCAGTTTCAACCAGTACCGGGAAAATGTGAAACCTTTGGTCTCTGTGAGTTACATATCTCATAGTTTGGGCTTCTTCACATGAGCCCAGTTGACAGCACTGGTCCAGTTACTGGGGCCAATTTCCCCTTGGGTTCATATGAGAAATTTCAGCCTGGTTTCCGAGTTGAAAGAAGGCCAAAGACCCTGGGGACTAGTTCTGGCACGAAATTCGAGAAACAAAGGAAACATGGCAAAACACAAAAATTATAACTTTCGCGCCTATCATAGCTTTAGTAACTCTTAAAGCTGGTATCAATGCAGTTAAATGAGATGCTTCTGATGCAAAAAATACAGCAGGCAATGCAAGACGATGCCACCCGGGCCGACAGAGATCATCCCGCTTTCATCCCGGTACCCGGGCGAAAGTGATGTTCATATGGCAAAATTTCCAGCCAGCTTACCGAGATCCCGGTGGTAAAACCGCGATCTCGGGAACCGAGCCAGTCCACCCTCTCATATGAAAACATCGAAAATTTTACAAAGGAATTAGAGATAAGGCAAGCTAGATCTCGGAGACCGGGCCAACACGGTCAACGGCGCTCATTGTGAAGACAGGCCCGGCATGGCTAAGATGGTTTATAAAATTGTAAAATACCTCCAAAGTTTACGAGCTGATGCCATGGTGTTGCTTCAAGGCTTGTCTTTTTTGAAGGACGAGCAAACCGTGTCATTGTAAAGGAGCTTTTGCCTCCGTCAAAGTATGAATAAAAGTGGTTTGGTTTCTAGCCGTTCGTCCGCCATATTGTTGAAACATGCGCAGTTGAGAGTTGATACCAGTCGACCAATACATAAAGTAGCGACTAACCGCTGATCTGTGGGCGCAAGTTAGTGGAGCGAGAGAGCAAATATGGTGGATCCAAACTCCAGCCAAGAAAGGTTTAGCTACGTTTATAGCTGTGACTTGGACACAAATCTTGAACTCAAAGTGTAAGTTTTGTTAAGGAGAATGTCTCACGTTACGTTCTTATTGACCTGATTGAGGTAGTAGGCAATCATTCTTGCATTTCTATTTACTGATTTGCAGTGATCTAATCTACTGTTGGTAAGAAAATGACTGTTCTCTCAAGATCACTGTGCTCGCGCGGGCGCGGACTTAGAAAATTCGGTTTATACCTAATATGACCATTTAAAAAAATGCTGCTTATAACAAAAGAACTCCGCAATTGTCAAAAATCTTGGACACGGTTGTTTTTTGGGGGGGGCAGTATAAAATGAAGACTGCGGACCACTGTTTTTAGGGTTAGAAAACAATGGGACTATTGCTGTCACGTTCTTGCGTTCTCTTAAAATACACTAGAGGCTAGGAGAGGGTGGAAGCCATTGGTTTTGGCATTCACTGTGTCTAGATACCAGGCAGTCTAAAATTCACGTCCAATTTTCACCAAAAATCTCATTTTACTCTTTAAGCCTCAGATAATTTTCTAGAAATCTCAAGTGCTTTATAACATGACCTTGGGTTGTAAGTATAGTTGCAATTTTATTGTCGAGCTTGGGCATCTAGTGAAATGTCGATGTTTTTGACATGTAGAAAATATTCATGTTCTGACACATTGAGTCAGCCCTCAAAGAATATTCAAATAAATTGTTACCGAAACCTTCTCTCAGCATTTGATGTTTATTGGAAAATGCCAAGGGTTGGTATTGTAATGGACAAATTCTCCGAGTTGGAGTTCTAGAATATCAACCGACTGGCAGGCATCATCCGCATGGTTTTCAGAATACTAGATGTCTGGCTGTCAGAAAGAAGGTTAGCCTTCTCCTTATCACATCTGACTTGTATCTTGTTTCAGATGTACTTTAGAAGGGAAAAGAGAACGTAAAGGTTACAACGAGCTACTAAATGATCCCCAGCTGAGATACTCTGGTGTTTATGAGAGGTGAATCCTGCTTTTTTTGCTTTCCTTTTTTTGTGCAGTTCAGCATTCGCATGAGGCCAGGTTATATAAACTGTAGGCATTGAACAGATAAACCAGAGCTTCCTGAATATTAATGCAAAGCAACTATTCATGGGGAAAAAGCTGTGGAAGACTAATGAGGCATATAACTTTTAGAAGGGTTAGATAAGGAGCAAGATTATGGCAAGAACAAGCAATCTTGATAATCTGTATTTTGGCATAGGTGTCCTCTGTGAATATGTAGTCACCCATCCACAACCATGATTTTCAAGATCTTTGATTTAAACTTTTTTTGCAGAAGGGGAGGGGGGGATTGAGTTGATGCACAATTTTACTGTTTGCAGTAGTGCCTCTAAAACCCAACTGTTTCTGAACAATAATACATTGTAAATTCCCACATGGGGTGGGGGGGGAGGAGTCATGTTGCTCTCAGTATTTTACTATTGTATTTGCCTTTATCTTTGTCGCTGTCACGATTTCAACCCAAATTGGTATCATTTTTCTCCCATTTCACCTACCTTGTGTCACTGTTTCAAGGCCAACAAAGAGATTGCGAGCAACAAAAAAACATTTTGCCAGTATTGCTTTGCAGAGTTGATTTTAAGTCTCTCTGACATGTTAACTGACTTTACTAATAAAATTGAACATTCATTTTCAGTGAGTGTTCTGACCTGTATGTGACATGCCAAGTGTTTGCAGATGGTCAACCACTCTGTCTTCCAACAAGAACTTCTTATAAACCATTCAGCACCAGATGGAAGTAAGTCCCCCGGAGGCTCCTGATCTGTATCCCCCAGGGCCGAGTTTTTCAAAGCTGGGTTAATGCGAGATTTGAATTCAGATTTAAAAGCTTCAAAAGCATTTCAGTTTTAATTCTTTTTGTCTACAAGTTGATGATTGGAAGCTCTAAAAATAACAGAGAAAAACTATCCCTGATCTGTATGCCCAGGGCCAGCACCAGAAAAGAAACCGGGTTAAATTTAACCCTGGGTTAAAAATAACAGAGAAAATTATCCGATCGACCTTAGAGCACCAGAAAAAGAAACCCGGTTAAATTTAACAACTGGACCCAGGAGAATAACCCCTCTTGTCTCACTTGATTACCTGATCTGATGAACTATGGGTCTTATCTTACTGGCATTAGATCAGCTCCTTGTTGGAGAGTGGCTCCCTATAATTCCACCAGATCTTACTTTTCCCTAAAGTGTATCCCTTCTCTTAAACATGCTTTTTGCCATCAATATTACTGCATTGCATTATTTTGAAGTAAATGGTTTATTAGATAAGACAATCCATTCTAAGCCCTGTAAGTCCCAAAAGTGACCAACATCACTAAATTATTTTTAACAATTTCCTTACATCATCGAGAGAAAAGATTATGAGAATTTATGAAATGATCATCAAAGAGAAAATGCTTAAATCTTCTACCAAACAGGCTATTTCTGAGTTACCAAAACTCTCAATTTCGAAACCAGGCAAATGCAATCCCTTTCTTGTGAAAATGAGTTTTATTTGCGTGAGAATAAAAAATCATTTTCATATCAGTAGCTTCACGCTTAGCCACGTTTTGAAACAGAGGCACAAGGAAACTCGGAAGTGGCCTGTTCTCTAAACTCATTGTATGGAAATATATGGAGATCAGTCTGAAGAATAATCTCTGTGCATATTTGGACTTAAAGGGTGAAAAGAGTTTATTGACCCTGATTTCTGCCCTTTAGTCAAATATTCTTCAATTTTTAGTTTGTTAAGTTTCTCTCAGCTATGCTACCAGTCCCATGTCAGAATAATGTTAGACAAAAGTGATTCCATGGTTAATCTGATTAAACTGCCTTTCGTGCAAATGTGTTTTTTTTTGTAATTGTAATTACTCACATTTATTGTTCTTTGTTTGTTCCAGTTGGAATGAATGGCTAAAGTTACCAATAAAGTACCCTGATCTGCCTCGTAATGCTCAGGTTTGTTTTACCATATGGGATGTGTATGGACCAAGAAAAGCTGTCCCTGTTGGTGGGACTACTGTCTCCCTCTTTGGAAAACATGGGTAGGTGTTTTACAACGAACAATTATTATTAATGATGCTTCTACATGTATTTGCTATGGTTTCCATGATTAGCTGAAAATCATTTCAGTTTTATCAAAATGTTTCTCTATTCTGCTGTACCATGCTTCAGAGCATTGTTTATGTACACCATTAATATTATTGCTGTCAAGCTTTCCATAAATCATCTATCAAGCCCCCTGAGGAGTTGGGAGGCTTATTAGGGAAGGGGAGCCTATTAAGAGGGGGGGGGGCTATTAGAGAGGGGGACATATTTAGAGGGGGGCTTATTAGAGAGTGGGGCTCATTAGAGTGGGGCGCTTATTTAGTTTAGAGAACATGATAGTATCCATTGTCGATTAAGAACTGGAACAAAGTGGAAAAGCTCAGTTACACTGTACATGAAGTTGGATCCAAAGATGAAGAACTAATCCAAACTTCCCAGCATGTGAATAAACCATACCAGATGGGGTTGTCACGAAGTAGTCATGATTATTTAATAATAAGGGGGGAGTCAGGGGGGGCTTAAAAGAGAGGGAGGGCTTAATAACTTTTTTTCCCTGAAAGGGGGTGTGGGGGGGGGCTTAATACATAGTTTATGATACGCCACTGTATTATTAACTAAAGCCAGCCAAAGAGTACATTGCCTCTATTTTTTGTGACTGTTCCCTGAAACATTTACATGACTGTATGATATGTGCAGTACTCAGCGTCGTGGCATGCATGACCTAAAAGTCTGGCCAGGAGTGGAGGCTGATGGACAGGATTCAACATCCACACCAGGAAAATCTACAGCTGGTGAAGATCAGATGAGTAGATTAGCTAAGGTATGGTGTATGGTTAATTCTCAATTTCCTTTTTCTCCTGGTCCTAATTCATGAATAATTAGGGTTATGTGTAACTATGATGTATGAGACAAAGGAAATTTAGAGTCAATTTATATTGGGTTAAAAAATTTTTAACCCGAGCTGGGTTGTTCAAAGCTGGGTTGAGTTAACCCAGGGTAAGTGAGAAATTTGAATTTCGATATAAAAGCTTAAAAAGCAAATTCATTTTAGTTCTTTTGACTACAAATTGATGGCTGGATGTGCTAAAGAGAATAAAGAAAATTATCTGAGAAAATGCTTTGGAGAAGAAAAAAATAGAAACTCGCATTAAAATTGAACCCCAGGTAAGTACTAATTGCCCTTTGAACAGCTGGGCCCTGAATTGACTTTTAACCTTTTACACATATATATCTTTATGTTCTTTCACACGGTAATGGAAAGATAAATGTACTACCCACAGATACAGTGAATTGGCCTTTAGCTTCTGGACAGGGAGGGGTGACTAAAAGGGTTTGACATTTCAGTTTGAAAGTTATAAGAGGTGAGGGGAGGTGAATCCTTCAAAGCTTTTGTGTCCTAAAGATTGCAGTTTGCATGATTTTCAACCCTATGGGAAAATTCCAGCTGGCAGTGAGACCAAGCCCAAGTTTTACTAAAGACAACCTTTTAGTTACAATTTATAGAACTCTGCAAAGGTAATCAGATATGTTGTTCAGTATAGTGTATTGGTTTTAGAGACACAGGATGTTGTTTGGTATATAACTGAGCAACTCATTCAATCCCTCCCCTCCCCTCCTGCCCATGTAGCTACCCTGTAAGTGTACTTGAGTGTCCCTTTTTTTCCCCATAATCACCATCTTTGTATTAACTACATGATTGTCTGTTTGTTAACAGCTCAGTAAAAAGCATCACAAGGGAAGAATGCTTAAAGTAGATTGGTTGGACAGGCTGACATTTAGAGAAATTGAAATGGTGAATGAGGTAAGATGGCTTTATATTTGAAGCTAACTTTAAAAACAGTCATGGTAAGGTGTACAATATTATTTTGTCATGAAATATATTAGTCATCATAGATAAAGGGTTTAGTTTATTATTTGTCTCGTGATGGTCACTTTGATGTTGACCGCGACGTCTGAACTGCACACTGCAGGTCTTCATCAGGTGATAGTGTCGATTTACAGAGTTGGACTACAATGTATTTGTACCACCGTGGTTGTTAGTAAATTATTGGTGTATCACAAACCTCGCTCATGGTTGGTGGGTTTCAATCCAATGCATTGTTGGTATTGTCAGAGGGAGAAACTGATCTCTCAGCAGTCTGCTGTGGTAGGGATCGGCAGTCATGTTGTCTGATTGTAGGTGTCCACGCTTCAGGAATCTCAATTATTCCACTGTCCCTGTTGATGTTGTTAGGGTGAAGTCTTACGTGAATAGCCTCTTTTTAAAACTCTGCGAGAGTTTGCTTTGCAACACTGGTTTCCCCGCTAAATGACGCCTGACAAGCAAGTGCAAAAATTCTATACTGATGATTTGTCACCACCCAGATCTGGGTTGTATATATTAGTGCTTTTGATTGATTGATCCAATCCAATCAGGAGCACTACCCAGATCTAGGTAGTGACACATTATCCGTATGGAATTTCTTCAGTCGTTCCTCAAACGTCATGTTGCTAGGAATCCAGTTTGGTGTCACAAAATATCGGCTGTTTTCTTAGGCTAGTATGTAAGGAAACAGTGTTATAAAAAAATTATGTTAGGCATGGAAAGAACTGATTGATAAGTTAAGATGTTTTTTTGTTAGTGTGAACATTGTACATACATGAAATGATAGCATAATGATATGATGTAGGGGTAATTTTGTATTTTTCTTTCCTGTGATGCATCTAATGCTTTTTTGTTCTTTACAGAAAGAAAAACGAAACTCCAATTTCATGTTCTTGATGATCAAGTTTCCCAGAATCCATGATGACAAAGTCGAGTATTCTGTTGTACATTTTGAAAAGGTATGATCTTTAATGATGTTTTCATTCTAAAACTCATGAGCAGATCAGCAATGGTAATTTTAACAATACAGTATTACATGAAGTTATTTATTCTTACCAATACAATTTATTACTGAATGAGGCTGATTACGATGCGAAGAATGTTGCAGATCAAGGAGAATGCTATCCACCAAAGCTGAAGGCCAACAGGGATAACAGCGTCGGAGATCTGCATAATTCTTTATTATTCAAAAGCTGAATTCATTAAAAAATATATTGTTTTCATAGTCATTCAAAATATTTCTAAGTTCTTAATGATGGCCATGTGCCAGGGGATGGACTGTACATTTGCATAACAAAAACATGCTCATGCTAGTTTTTATCCCTTTTCTTAGTAACTAAGCAACCAAATTATCTTAAACATTGCAAAATAAAACTTCAGATTATGTGGCTAGAAAATATGGATATTTTCTGTGGATTATTAATACCATTTAAAACAGAGAGAGCATAATTCTAGAACATTCATTTGTTATCATCCAAAAAAGGCACATTTTCCCTGCTTTTTCCCCTTGAACACGTTGATCGAATTTTTCTCCTTTCCAAAAAAAATGTGTGAAATCTAATGAAATATTTTCTAAAATTGATATTGTTGAAAATGGAATGCACATAAAATTCGCTTAAAAGTGGTATTATTTAACCCCACTTTTGGTCTCTCAGTTCAGGAAATATAACTTAAAAAACTAGCTTGAGACCACATTATTTTCAACAAAAACTGTCAATTTATTGCACCTTTGTTGTTAGTCATAGACTTTATTTGTACATACCTCTTTGGTTTTGCTGATTGTGCCTTTTATGCCTTCTGCACTTTTTGCCCATCAGGCCTTTTGCTTCAAGTCTTGCCTATCACGTCTACATGTATTACACCAATTTAAACCTTTAAAGATTATGTGTAAAGTGGCAACTTTTCAAGTATGGACGCAGCTTAAAAAAATGTGATTGCAAAAGGCAACAGTTACTGTTTCAAGGAGAAAACTGCTTGTTATCCTTTTGTTATTCATTCAAAAACTTTGTCAAAACCATTCAAAATCATTGACAATATTGTTGTGTAGCTATGAACCTTGTCCAGAAATATAAAGCATGCTGAAGAGATTCACATTGTACGCTCTTTATTGTACAGTAGGCATTACAAAGTTTTCAAGCCATTTGATATAATTCTCACCCGAGCACCAGAAATTCTGTCAAACTTTAAGTGATACTTTATAAATAACATATTATTGTTGTGCATTGTTCATAACCAAGGCCCTAGCTTGTTACATACATTTCTGGCCATTAGTGACAACCCTTTCAATAATTATTGTTATGTGAATATTAAATCTCGCTATGATTTCAGTGTAGTTTCCATGCATTTCTATAGTGTAATTAAGATAGTAACTGCAATTTCAAAACACATTTTCATACATTTTTATCTGTGTCCACGCAGATCATTGATCTTTGTGAATTAATTTTTCAGGGTGCTGATGATGTCGACTATGTCAACACTCATCCTGAGATTGTCAGAGTTCCAGATCCCGAAATACTAATGGTATTTATAAAAAAATTAATGATTGCTTCTTCCAGGACATTCTTAGTACCCAGTTCAAAACATCAGCTTAGTGTAATACACAAGATCATTAAAAGAACCAATTTCACCCACCAAAGCCTTGTGTGTTGTGTTATTTCTTTGTCGGCGCACCTAAACATTAATAAACAATTAGCTAATTACTTCAAACTCACTCAGGCATAAAACTTGGAGAGAGCCTTTTATTAGATAGAGTCAGTTTGAAAGATCTCTGGTTGAAAATGAAGCAAATTTTGTATCTATAAACCAAAGTCCTAACAAAGTATTATTACTGCTTCTTTCATGTTAAAACAGATTCAATTCTTCAGTATCTACTTTTCTGTAACATTAATGAAGCTGTGTGAAGCTTCAGTTTTGTCCATTTTTTTTATCTTTATTTTTTATTTCTCCATCAGGAAAATCTGGTGGAGCTGAAGCATCACAAGTTGGTAAGAAGTATCAGAAGTGGAACAGTTTCAAGGGACTTGAAACCAAATGCAAAAACCAGGGACCAGTTGAATGTATGAAAAATATATTTTTGCTTTAATTGCAATATTATTGGTCTTTTTGTGGGCTTCTCTTGTTCCCCGCAATCCTAATTTCCAGGTTGCTATTATGCACGCCAGCTTTGTCTGGACAGAATGCAATCTGATCACACGTGTTTGGACCTTCTATCACTTGTGATCTGATCATGCATGTTTTTGACAATCTATAATGTGAAAACCACAGTATTAGAGCAAAGGTTTTGACCTTGAATTGTTGTCACAGGCAGTCTGTAGCATTCAGGTATTACTCGTAATAAATTGAATTTTTCGCCTTCAGAATCCACTATACGCTGTGTTTAACCTACAAATTGTAGTGGTTTGTGGAATAAAGCCTCTTTCAATGTTAAAATAATTCTCCCAGCCACAGAGTTTTGAATTCTTGAAAAAGTCTGGAAAATAAAGATTAAGACACACTGTAAAAATGGTTTAAAAAAAAAGTGTGAACTCAAGGTTTCTTTGATGGAAACCAGTGCTTCAACTTGTTTTTTTTTCTGGTAGACATATCTTTAGTTATCAAAAATTTTGTCAGTAGCCAAATTATTTAATCACATGATAAGAAGTTTCAGAATTTTCTCACGTCCATATTGCTTGTGATTACTGTACATTTGCAGTGTATCATGTGAAAAGCTTGGTCTCTCTTTTTGTCAAAGGATTTTGATAACCTTGAGTTTGGAAAAGGAATTATTGTCTTAAGAAAAGCTCTTGAAATAGTCTTGAGTTTTTCTTCCAAAAATCTTTACAAACCCCTGCTACTAGATAGACACACAATCTAGTTTTCTACAGTTACATATACATGTACTACGTACTATAAAACTGTCAAATTAGAAGAAATCGTTCATGGCTATATCTTCCCAATAAACCCTAGACAAGAGTGACATTTATGATGGGTTTCATTTCTTTTTAGCAAATTGTTGGTTATCCATCTACCCAAGTACTTACATCAGAAGAAAAGGACTTAGTTTGGCAGTTCAGATTTTACTTGACAAATCAAAAGAAGGTGTTGTTTTGTTACGCTACATGTACAGGGCTGCAAGTATTAAAAAAACAATAGAGTTAATATTAGCCGGCATAAATATGTTTTGGGCTCAACTCAGACTTCACCCACTTCAGCCACTTCACCACTGGCCATGGAACTACTACGGGCATTATTACATCATGAGCTTCTCTAACGTTTGTAGATTTTCTTTCTCTAGCTGAGGAGATTGACAATTTACAAATTCTTTGTTGTTTTCTTTGTTTTCAACCGTGATGTGGGCTTTGAAAATGGCACTGTGATTTCTTTTTCACAAACAGTGCAAGAAAATGGCACAAACACTGCAATATGGCTTCTCGATTTTGATTGGCTGCTTACATCGTATGACTGTTTGATCCTGTCTTTTCACTGGTTTATTTCAGCGGGCTGAAATATATTATTTTTAGCCTGCCAAATTCTCCATTTTAGCCTGCAAAATGCCCCACAATGCCTAACAAGGTGACAATAATATATTTTTTTAAAGGAGAGATGTCCAACAACAGCATAATTTTTTGCTCACTATACACAGGAAAATCAAACTGTGGTTGGACATCGCATTGCACTGAATTTCATTTTCTGTATTAATTTAGTTGTTCTAATGCATAGTTACAGACAAGAAACGTCGAATGAAGTTAGGAAAAGAAAAATCTTTAGGAAAAGATTTTTGAATTTTAAAATTGCTCTTGAAAGCATATTTACATGAAAATTCTGAAATGCCATCAGCAAATTATGCACAGATTTACAACAAGTGCTGTTATGTGCAAGCTTAATAATGTAGGTTCAGTACAACAATTTTTTTATTATTATTGATTAATAATTTTTTGTTATTTTATTGAAGGCACTGACCAAGTTTCTAAAATGTGTTGATTGGAGTCAGCCACAGGAAGCCAGGCAGGTAAATTCACTTATGTCCAAATTTCTTATTTGCCATGCTTGTGAACATGTTTTAGTATTACTAGTTAGACATGAAACAAGCAAAGTCACGCTGAAATCACAAATCACACTGAAGCTTCACTTCATTGTGAAAGAAGTAATTCACCATAAACTCCTTTCAAATCCCAAGGTAATAATATCAACAAGTAAACTTTCTTCATTTTAACAAGCCTTTGTTGCATACAGTGCACCTGTCCAATATATTAATAATTGTTACAGATGCAGATTGTAATAATCAGCATGCAGAGAAAGTCATGTCTGATAACCTGGAACTAGTGAATTTTGCTATTTGGCTAGTAAATTTTGTTCTTTGCGATGGGCAAGTGATGTTTTTTTTCTTTTGGTGGGGGGCGGGAGGGGGGGTTCAAATCAGAGAAATACTGTAAGACAAATTCAAAATTCATGTAGAATGAAAGCTGTTTTTCAAGCTGATCTGACAGTGAAATTATTACAGGTAGACAGTGGGTATTATATTATTAAAGAATAGTCCACTCATTTGCTGCAATAACTTGTGAAACATTTTTTAACACTCCTAAAGAAATTTTGCATCTCCACACAGTCATGTAATATTCTGTATTTATGCAGTCATTATTATTATTATTTTTAATCCAGGCACTAGAGCTGTTAGGAAAGTGGAACCCAATGGATGTCGAAGATGCTTTAGAGTTGTTATCATCACAATTCACCAACAGAGCTGTCAGACATTATGCTGTGTCAAGACTTAAGGAAGCTAATGACGATGTAAGTAAAATTAATCTGGGTAATAATGTTCACAATTACCGGTATTGTGTTATCAGGATTAATCAAGGGCGAGGTAAGTGTTATCAGCTGATAACACTCGCTTCCGCCTTGATTATTCCAGATATCACAAAAACCTAATTGCACAATTGTTTTATTTTACATTGTTTTGAAGAAAATATAAGGACAAACACAGCTTTGCATGGAACACAGTTTGATATTGCTCTTGGAAGCCATGCAATGTGTGTGCAACCTAGCAGATATCTTAGTAACTGATCTGTAGGTTGGGCTGATTTCCAAAATAAACTGTAGGCTAGCTTTTAGCCAATGAGAAGCTAGATAGGGAGTACAATGTATAATAATCACAAATGATGGATCATTCTTTGTGTAGGATCTGTTGCTTTATCTCCTTCAACTTGTCCAAGCTCTCCGTTATGAATCCTTGTCAGACGAGGAAGAAAAACTGACAGAGAACACTGTTGACAGTCTTCTTGAAGAAAGTATTGAAAACCATGGCACTGAAAATGCACCAACACAAGGTAGTAACTTTCAATACTCGTTAACAATGTTATTATGACCGTGTAGACACTCAAACTGAGTGAATCAAAACAGTGAGGCAGTATGCAGGACACATTACACATGAGCCTAGTAGTGACAATACATGGACTTTGCTCATCATGAATCTCTTCATAGCTCAGTTGATAGCTAGAGCACCTACCCACTATTTTTGAGGTCATAGGTTTGAATTCTGTCATCAAGATTTTTTTCTTTTTCCTAACTATCATAAATGATTGTTTATTGCACCTTTTTTATGTACAACCCTGGTAAAAAAAACCTCTTGGGACACTTAAGGAAATGAGGTGCGAAAACACACCTTACTTATTAAAAACATATTTTACCTGTTATAAATGCTATAAGAGCCTGTTGCTGCTGTCCCCCCTCCCCTCAGCAATGTTGATTGTGTTGAAAAAGATGTGAAGCCATAACGTCAACACTGAACCAGGGGGGATGGGGGGAGGGGGAGAGAAAATGCATCATTTTCACCAGCTGTGGCGTTAATGTCCCAAGAGTTTTGACCAGGGTTGTAGTGCCAATTTTATTTTTATTGAAACCATCCATATTTATTACCTGACTTACCCGACAGTGCTAGTTAAGTTTCTGTAGGGATTAGAGACTTGCAAGACATCAGTCAATTGCCAAGTTAGCCAGATCCTTTTCTCTACAAGTGAGGTTACTTCGTTTGCACCTTTACGTGTGCATGAACCGTCCCTCGGGTTCTGTGGCCAGATAATTAACCATTATGTACTGATGTCCATTAAATAGTTTTGTTTCTTTCTTTTCCTAGATGTAGAAGAAATGAAATTGAATACAACCTCTGTGAAGGATGTTGATGAGGTTTGAATATTTTGTCAGATAATAAACTAGAGTTTATAGATTCTAAATAATTTTAAAAATCTGAAAGTAATATGGTGCGAATTGATATTATTTTTAGTCAAAAAGTTATTTTTTACTATTTTTCATCATTAATGCCACTAATTATAAGGATATGAAATGCTGTAGTAATTTTTTTTGGAATTATCCATTACTGCTGCATAATCTGAGCTAACTTGTTATTAAGATGGTCGGTTCCATGAGCAGATGAGAAGAAATAAATCTTGTGTTCTGATTGGGTGTCCAAGCAGGCTAAAAAGGCTTGTTTTTCTGTGGTTTGAAATGGGCATCATTTGAATAATAAACCTGAGGCGGACAACATCCTCAGTTTACCCCCTGTCTTCATCAGTACCATGTTTTGCGGGTACTTTTTAGCAACTTAAAGCTGCACAGAAAAGATAAGAAGTCGAAACAAGGATTTGAGGTCACACTTGGGACCTACTGTCACACAGAAGGCTGCATGCTGATCAACTGTGCCAATCCTTGCTGCACTAAGGATGGCAGCCGACCTGGCCTTTCTTGCTATCTGGCTTTGGAATTTCCTCTTTTGGCCTGCAAGAAAAATATTTTCTTATATTAGGTGTGAAAGTGTGTTCAGATGGCTATAGATATTGGCCCCTTTTTTGCATTTTTACTGACCTTGACTTTATCTTAGTCCATAAAAATGTAAATGAAAAAAAGAAACTGGCCAATTTCCAGCAATCTTGACCTCGTTGTATTAATTAAGCCCCCCCCCCCCACTTTTCAGGGGAAGAAAGTTAATGAGTCCGCACTCTCTATTAAGCCCCCCTCCCCTCCTCCTCCTAATATTCTTCACTAATAAAGAATAGACTGCATTAATCAATCAAGACTGTAAAACTTGGTGTGGACTGATCTGGGATAGTTTATTTACCAACTGGATCGGCAGATCCTCGGCTGCATGACCTCCAACCTTCTTGAACTTGAGCTTTGCCACTTTGTATCCTAGTTCTTTATGGAGAACTGATACCATTGTCTTTTCTAAATTAAATAACCCCCCTCTCAAATAAGCCCCCTCTCAAATGGGCTTGAAATCAATAAGCTCCCCAGGGGGCTCAATTGAGGATTTACCGTAGATTAAGAGTCACCATGATGGAAATTATTAACACACTCAAATTGTGCAATCATATTTCACAAAACAAATTGACCAAGATCTTAAGATTGCTGTTCATTGTTTTCAGAGGTCAGATGATTTGGCATCATTTCTGATATCAAGAGCTTGCAAAAGTGACACTCTCGCAAATTTTTTTTACTGGTAAGAGTTTATAAATTTTTAAAAGTTGCTTTCCTTAAGCCTGCAAAAACAGCCATCTCTCCTTGCCCCTTACTGCTAGGGATGTTTCGCCAGGAGTCTGGCCAGGGACCTTTATGCCTCAGTGACAGAAATTCCATACTGATGACGTAAATCAATGCTTACATAATAAATCCTGTTGTCATGGGGTTCCAAATGTAAATTTGTTCAATTTTATGTTTTTCCTTGTTGATTATAGCAAAGTTTTTTTCTTCAAAGGAACTCTAGCAAGTCTCAAATGCTTCTCTTAAAATAATGTACATTGTATTTACTAATGCTGACTGTTTTGTAGTAGATTCATCATATTTACATTTGACCTTTATAACTGTTTGTCTTGTTTGTGGGTTGTTTTTAAACAATAGCTCAAACAATATAACTATTATAACTACTACATTGACCAATCAGAGTTCCTAACCAGGTTTTGGACAAATTTTACATCATCAGTATTGATTTTCTATTGCTGAAGCGCAGAGATCCCTCCTGGCAAAATGTCCCTAGCTGTAAGGAGCAAGAAAAAACAGCTGTTTTCGTAGGCTGATTTTCCTTTTGACATGAAAATGTTTCTTCACACAATTTGATGATGTACTCGAGGCTGTCACTAGGATTTCAAGTTGCCAGGTTTAGGCAATTAATAAAAGGTGGGAAATTGAGCAGCTAGGAAGTTCTTTTACTTCTATTTTTCTTGTATTTCCTATGAAAGTAGCAAGGGGTCATGCTCTTGGCAGAGCTGTCATTAAGGGCTGTATAAACCCGTAACAACCTGTAGCACCTGTTACAGCTGAGCTCACTTGATGTTACAGGAGATCAAAGTGGAAAGCTAAAGGTGACACTTTAAATTTTTGTGAGATGTTACAGGTGAAACTTCATTTGCTACCACTGTTTCAAAACTTAATCCCAGCCCTGTTTATGGTAGCCGGGGGAAAACCCTTAGTAACAGCCCTGTGTGCTAGAGTGGCTGGCATAATATTAGCTGAATATTGTGAATGATAATTTTAATTAAACTTCATGCTTCTTTCTGGTGTGGTTTGATCTTTTTTTTTGACAATAATTTTGTTATTTTATTTTTGAAAATGTTAAAAAGGTTAATAAGAAAGACATTTTTAAAACCACTTTTAACCGCTGACCTGTGACCTTTATTTTATTTTCTTGTATTTTGTCTAATAGGTATTTGTTGGTGGAGTGTAATGAGGGTAAAGATATCAAAGAAGGGGCGATGTACTTAAATGTAATGAGACGTTTCAGCCAGGCATTAATGAAGGTGGGTGTTCGTCAAATGAAAAATTAAAGGGGTCAGCAAATCTGAAAATTTAGTCCAAAATTTAAATTGTTCAAAAATAAATGTTGCTGAATTTTTGCATGCAGACTTGTTCTGACCTGGAGAATGACATTGTTTGTTTGGGGATGATATGGGAGGTTCTCCAAAAAATTTGAAGTAGAGGAAGAAAAAATTAAATATTAAGTAGGTGGGAACTGACTTGTCAAGATCAAAATCCGCATCTTTCACATGGCAGAACTGTGTGTAGGTGTGGGAAGAGGGCTACACCCCTTTCAGTGGGAGAGTCCAAGGGCCTTCCCCAGGAGAATTTTTATTTGAAACTTCCTGAGATTAAAAGTGCATTTTGAGCAACCAGAGAAAAAATTTTAGCCATGATGATGACACCTTTATTCACCCACTCTTGTATCACAACTGAACAAAAGTGTTGGGAACTATTTTAGAATAAAATGGAATACGATTGATTTATTGTCTCAATAAAGCAATTATTTTCTGTGAGAAGCTGGCACCTCTGTTTCAGTTAGATAGCAATTTTAGCTGGTTGCTGGAGCTTCTGCAAAACTCTGGTCCCTAAACAGACACCTGCAGCTGGTTAGACAGTTCTTGAAACTTAAAGTTATAAATAAGGCGATACACTGAAAGTCTGTCAGAGTTTGGCAATAAATAAATTGGAAAACAGCTCCATCCATCTTTCAAGGGCCATGGTATCTTGATATCCGTAAAACTGTTTTATTGATTTAAAAAGCGCCAAAGTAGAAATTTGGGAAAATTTAGTGTTAAAATAAAATACTAAAACAAGAAGTCACACCATAAGACTTTATGCCCCCAGTACTCCATTATTGGTTTTGTTAAAAAATTAAATGACTTAGAAAAGGAACGATGTTGTGTTTTAGGGTGGATGGGAGTGCACAGTTAGAAGGAACATGTTAGGTAAACAGCAGCAGTTTGTTAATCATATTATCAAGCTAATGAAGGAGGTTACTCAGTATGGAGGCAGCCGAAACAGAAAGGTAACACGATGAACAGACCATTACTGGACAATTTAATAGTCTCCTAATTATTCTTTATCCTTTTTGGTATTTTTTGGGTGTTTTTTGCTTTGATTAGTTTTGTTCTTTGTTCTTGTTGTTGGTTTGTTTGATTCTTTATTGTTTGTTGTTGTTTACACTCAATTTAATACTTTGAAGTTTCCTTCAACTTTAAGACAATTTTTTACTGTACATTCAAACTTAAGTCAAGAACTTGCTACTCTACGTGTAGTGATAAATTTACTGCTGTTGAATAAATAGATAAAAAAACTCTTGGACATCATGCCTGTCCTGTAAGCCATGTGTTGATGGGTGCTAATCAAATGCCATTCCACCTCAGATTCACAGATTAAGAGAGCTGCTTGATGTACCAGAGCTGACGTCATTTGGAGCAATTCCTCTTCTACTTGATCCTGAAGTCAAAATCAAGGGAATCGTTGTTGGAACTCCTGAAGAAAGTAAGTCCAGTAATACACGTAAAAATATTTTGCAATGTGTAATTGTTAAAGCACTGTGGGATTTATAAAATTTTTCCTCTTTTCAGTATATGACATACTTGTTTTTTAGGGTGGTTGTTACCAGAAAATCAGTAACTGAAACATATACCTCTCTCTCTATTTTTTTTAACAAAAATAACAAGCTTTTTCTTAAAAGATGTGAATATTGAACACAAACTACTTTGATTGAAAAGTTGTCTATCTTTTAGAACAGATTTTTACAGGTTAAGGCAAAGTGATACTAATTTTATTTCATTGTTGATAGTCTTCTTAAAAAGGACATTTTTAATTAGTAACTGATTTATTTCATTTTTTTCTGTCATTGACATGGGAGTGATCACCCTGTCTCCTAAGTACAGGCTTCTGCAAAAATGGCTGATCAATGAATTTACATAAATCAATAATTTTCCCTCTCAAATAATTTGCAGCTAGCAGAATACTACGCTATTTGGTGTGGAGATTATTCCAGGGAGGGGCTTATTCAAGTATATATTTAGTATGTCAGATTTGGTAGCTGACTCAGTAGCTCTTCAAAATTATGTGAATTTTCTGCACTTTTTTATTTTCAGAAAAAGCATGGCTTTTTAAGAGTCATCTGATGCCTGGAAAACTGACCTTCCTAACCTTAGACGACAAGGAATATGTTGTAAGTTACCGGTAATTACTTGATACTCTCTAGCATGAGGAACAAAGCAAGTTTTGTTTTCTTAAATCTTCAGGATCTCTGCTAAACAACCTCTTTCTACCCCGCCATGAAAATGTTGTTGTTGCTGTTAATGTAAATCAAGCAGACGAGAAAAAGTGACCAAACAAAATAGTATTAACATTTGATATTTAAATAAAAATATGATTTTGATCATCAAAACATGCCTCCCCTCTTGGTTAGAATTTAATTGATTGATTGATTTGTACTGAGTTATCTGTTGTTGAGAAGTCTGAAAAGTAAAATCAACAGTACCAGATAATAATGCTGAGTTTGGTTTTAATAAATGCCATTTCTTCCACTGACAGACAATGTTTAAGAATGGTGATGATTTGCGACAAGATCAACTGATTCTCCAGATCATAAGACTTATGGATAAGGTAAATGCTTGAAAATATGTCTCCTGTTTTCTCATAATTATATAATTCATGCATGTCTGTATCTATCTGTCTTCCTTTAACCCTCCCAGGGACTTAGCTAGAAATTTCCAGAGGTACACACAGTTTTCCAAATCAACGTTAACCTGTTTCTTAAGTAATTTTCACAATGGTAACTTGATTTCATTTCTGTTTTTATCAGTATGATAGAGACGGTGTTCTTTAGGAAGCAGTTTTGTTTTTCCTCCTTGTGACATAGATGGAAAACACACCTCACTCTGTTTGAAAAAAAATTATCTTTGAGAGGTTAAGGGGAGTTAACTAGGGAAAAGTTTCTTCTATTTACCTTCGTTTCCCTTGCTTTTCGTTTCTGTTTCATCTTTTCAACTTTTGTGGGTACCCACATGCCTTCTGTGCATACAAGTAGCTATATATGCCCCTGCCTCGATCTGCATGTTCATTTCCATTAATTTTGCTGTCTGCCATTTAACTTTACCCTGTATAATTATTATGGAGTCAAAACCCTACTAAACGACCCCTCCTGTTTGGTTGCTGTGTTATCTATAGAGTGACTACTTGATGTAAAGGATAGGTGTAGAGGGAACCACCATGTGAAAGAATAAATGTCATAAAAGTATTAAATCTGTAATGTCTGCTAATGTACTTGATGTAAGTAGCAAGTCTTCTTAACCAGTATCATGTTTGTGTGCTAAATGATGTAAATTAAGCCTATCAATAGAAACTGCTGTTTTTAGATAGATAACCAGTGTTGTCACTAAAATTTCAAGTTGCCAGTTATATGCAATTAGTATAGGAAGGGGAATTGTACAGCGAGGAAGCTCTTTTGGTTCCATTTTCCTTCTGTTTCTTATGAAAGTACTGGAGCCAGGGCTCACCCTCATAGTAGCTGGGGGAAATCCCCAGCTCCCGGCCCCCAGCCCTTATATTATAGTGACAGCCCTGGATAACGTTTCCACTGATGCTGTTTATTTTGTCTTTCAGCTTTTGATGAAAGAAAACTTGGATTTAAAACTAACTCCATATAAAGTATTGGCCACTAGTGGAAGTCATGGTTGGTGTTCTGCAAATAATGGTTTTATAATTATAATTCAATCAAAATAATTCATACTTTTCAACATGCTTTAACCTCATTTGATGTTAATTAGTTCCTATCTTCATTTGTCTGTTGTTTTTCAAATTCAGTATAAAAAAAAATTATAAAGAGATGCTTAGTCTAGAGGATATTCTTTATTCATCAGCTGAGCTAATGACACCTTGTCACCAGGGCTTCTTAGTTGCTGTTTGTTTTTCTTGCAATATTTTGAATGAATAATATTGAAAATATTGTTAGTATGACTTGTTTTACTTTATGTTTTCACTTCACATGCTGTAAGACAAGTTAGTGGTACTAAGAATAATGTTTTTAATCAGCAAGGATTTCAGCTAAATTCTTCTGTTAATTTTGCTAGGTTTTGTGCAGTTTATTGAATCCACTCCTGTAGCAGAAGTGTTAGACAAGGATGTTGATGGAAGCATACAGGTAGAGTTCAAGACTAGATACACTGTTACTTATCAATTATTCCACGAGTGCACATTGGATACAAGATGGTAGATAGCAAGCAAGGCATGTAGTGCCAAGTTGGCTATAATCATGTCATATCCAACAAGCGCCAGTGGAATTGTTTTCTTAAAAACACCCACAAAATATTAAGAATTCTTCCTGACTTAATTTATTTGTAAAACAACAGATTTTCAGCTTGTTTTTAATTTTGTGCAGATGTGTATAGTTACATTATTTTGGAGAGCATGGTATAATGGCTCATATACCATGATGGCTAAGCTATTAAATGAGAGCTCTACAATTGCATTATCCAAAGATTCAGTTTTTAGTAATAGTAAATCTCTCATCACCTGGTGTCACATCAACACCAGAGACATTAACAATGTCAGAACCTGGTCAAATGATCTCCACTTTTTCTCATCATGCAATAATGATAATTATTGAAAACTGAATCATTGGATAATGCAATTCTAGCATTTTGATTGGCTTAGCCGTTATGATATATGAGTTATTATACCATGCTCTCCATATATGGCCGGTGTACGCGTCAGTTTAAAATTGGAAGCTAGCTGAGACTTTTTTTGGCGAAGGACAGAACGGCGCCCGAAGCAAATTGTTTTAATTCATTTCTTAGAATGCTAGAAATGCAATTTCATTGAAAGAAAGAAGACAAAAACAAACAAAAAAGCCACAAGAGCTTGTTTGAAAGTTTGTCGAAAAACACATGAAAACACATGGAACTAAAGTACCTTGACCAGCTATGAAAGAAGACAAGTGTTGTTTCTTCATGAGCGGGAAGCCATTCGCCGATTGAGTCACTCGCCGATAGATAATTGCGGCTTGTTTATCCGACATCAAGAATGTAAATCACAAGTAACCAGCTACAAATACAGGTTATGCAGCCATTCACTAGAGCAATCGAGGTGGCAGCAAAACCAGCTTGTGGCTTCAAACAACTTCGTAACAAGCGACCGAGGTAAAAGTTTTTCTCTGTTGTTCTTACTTTTATAACTGCACCGAAAATCCAAATTTACAGTAATTTCGACGGCTGTCACTCAAAAATTCTTTTCGTTCACATTATCTGCCAGGTTTTTTTAGCTGTTCTGCTGTGTAAAATCCTAGAATCCGGATGAGTTTTTAAAAAACTAATCTTCATCGCTACAGTGTTTTGACTTTTCGTTCATGCAGTCCAGGCGAGTCCGTTCGTGCGTTGACAGTTTTGATAGACATGTGACGTGTGAATAGCGGAAGTCCCTTGTCTTTTCCGGTTTGTTCTAGTCCAGGAGATTCAACGAGATTTTGTGGGCGTTTTTAATAAAACAATTATTCCACTCGCGCTTGTTGGATATGAGATGATTATAGCCAACGAGGAGCGTAGCTCCGAGTTGGCTATAATCATCTCATATCCAACACACCCTCGTGGAATAATTGTTAATAATATATATTTTTCTTCTATGCAGAACTACTTTCGCCGACATGCTCCATGTGAAAGTGCTCCATATGGCATCAGCCCAGAAGTGATGGACACTTATGTTAAAAGTTGTGGTATGTGCAAACTTGATTCTCCCCAAGATGGTTGTTGTTTTTTCCCTTAAAGCAATAAAGCTTCAATTTAAATGGAATGTTTCATCCATAGACTAGATCTACTTAATTAGAATTCTATGATGAATCAGCTTGGGTCTTGTGAACAAGAACCCTGAACAGGGGCAGATCTAGGGGGAGGGTGCAGGGGTGCACCCCCCCCCCCTGAGATGACCTGCGGTTCTCTAATACAACTGGTATTCTGCAAAAAAAAAACAAAAAACTATGTGGTTTATTGGTGTTGAAGTAGAGCAAGAGACGAGTGCACGTGCACCCCCTCCTAAAAAAAATCCTGGATCCGCCCCTGCTGAATTCTAGACTTCCAAATAAATAATGCATGCTAGGAACAAAAAGAAATTTAGCACCATTCTGAAGTAAGGTAAAACTGTGGCTTATGTTAAGCCCTGGCATGGGCTTATATACATCTTCATAAGGGGTTTTAGTAGGGCTTAATGAATCAACTTGGGTTCTGTAAACATAAACACTGAATTCTAGACTTCCATGCTTGCAAATTTAGTTAAATAATGCATGCCAGAAACAAAAAGAAATTCAGTGCCATGCATTTAGTTTTATTAGGGCTTATAAGCAAAGGGTCTTATATCTGAGAGGGTATATAACCAGAACTGAAAAAAACACTCAAAACAAGCAATAGCACTGGTGCTGATCAAAAGACATTACAATAAATTGAATTAAGAGTGGAGGGGGGTGGGGCTTGTAATCAGATATAGTTATATAGGTAGATGGCATGAGCCTATAACTCAGGGGGTTTATAAGCAGCAGTTTAGGGTATCAATCTCCAGTTTGGAAATTAATTTAGTTAACATGTCATGTAACAATTGACTAAGGAGTTTTAATCTGCTTTAAAATTATTCAATAGATATATTTTTCTTTTTAGCTGGTTATTGTGTTATTACCTACATCCTTGGTGTGGGAGATAGACATCTGGACAATTTACTTCTTACAAAATCAGGTGAGGACTGACTGATTTTAGGAAAGAAATAATGTCTAAAGCTAAGGGATCAGATGAAGAGTAAAGTAACACAATGTATATTTTGACAGCAAGGAAAATGCAAAATGACAATGACAAGCAACATTAAACTAAAGTCACAACCCTTCCTCCCATGCCTAGCAACTCATCTTCATGCAAAGTGATTTCTTGCAAGCATATATTTGTATTTGCCATACTTTAGTATCTCTAAAGAAATTAAGGTGTTAATCATTACTTACATTTTCCAGTGGTTTAGTTTAATTAAGTTTCTTATTTCTAAAGTGGATATCATTATGTGAACGGTAGAATGTTCAGAGTAAATTAATTTGGGACGGTTCTGTTATATTATTCTTTCAGGCAACTTGTTTCACATTGACTTTGGCTACATTCTTGGAAGAGATCCCAAACCTTTACCACCACCAATGAAACTAAGCAAAGAAATGGTAAATATAGAATGTGAATTTGAGCTGTTTGAGTTATAGGTCTAAACAAAACCCTTTATCTTGTCCTTATGCCAGGCTTTCTTGCCATTTTGGTTTTTATTGCAAAAATACAGTCCAAACACCTTGATACAGGGTGCAAAACCAAGTGTCCAGATTACAGAGTTTTCCATACTAAAGAGGTTGGAGTTATCGTTATGAGGTTTGATTATTTTCTTAATGATCAAGGGAGCTGTTGATAATAGACTGGTGTTCATAAGGAAAGTTTGACTGTATCATTATAGTTTTGTATGTTAGTTCTATAACTTACATCAAGATCACGGAAAAAATATTTCCTCAAGACTATATGTATATGTTTTTCAAAGAAAGTGCAGGCTTTTTTTAGTGGATTATGTATTTTTTACTCTTATACGCAAACCCTCCAGCTTGCCTTAAAGTTGTTGCAGGTTCTTACTCACAGGTTTTTATCGTACAATTTTAAGATCAGGATAACCATTTAAGTGATGACTATGCAATCGTTATCTTTTGTAACTCAGGTTGAAGGTATGGGAGGTGCATCCAGTGAGTTTTACCAAACATTTAGAAAACAATGTTTCACAGCATTTCTTCACTTACGAAGGTAATAATGCACAGCTGTAGTATTAACATAAATACTAATAAAATTTAATTAATGTAAGTACTGTCATATGCTTGTCACTATTGGATGAACCATCAGACAAGTGTCCTTTTGCCTTGCATTTATACCAGATACAATAACTTTTCACTTTGATGTTTTCGTTTTTAGATCACATAGATACAGGCCCTTGTTATTTAATAGGTGGATAGTACTATCCACTAGAGAAATCATTATCCAGTGGATGTATAAGTATGGGGAAACCAATTGTGTTATCCACTTGATAGTGATTCATCCAGTGGATAGCACCATCCAACATTTGAACAACTGGACGCAGCAGTTTCTATTGAAATAAGTGATTGATTGTGATTTTTTAGCATGTGTAGCCGGCGATCTTTTTGGTGTGTTTTTTTTCTTTTCTGTTCCATGGGGTAAGAGATTCAGCCACTCCAAAGCTGAATCAAGGATGGAAAAGAAAACGAGGGGAGAAGGCGAAAAAAACCGCGTGCAATCAACCTGCTGAGATTTTTGAAACTGCATCCACTTTTTGGATGTAGCAAACGACATTCCTTATTGGCCGACAAAAATGTCAACCTGTCAACAGATGTCAGATTCCCTGCCAGTGGATACCATCGGTTGTAATGTGACCAGCTGCATCTGACCTGATTTGTGCTCACTCAAAAAGTAGAAGTTCTGCAGTTCCAAAACTCCAGAGAATAATTCTTTAAAGTCACCAGTCAACATTCACCTTGCATTGAAAGATTTGTGTTTGCTCAATCTGATTCATCCCAAGAACTTTTTGACGCCAAGGAGCTCTATGATTCTAACACTAGAAAGATTTTATAAGAATAATTCTAAAAAGCTGTTTCAGAACAAGAAACAGGAAAAGGAGAGAAAAAAATACCTGGCACAGTGAAAACTAAACTGAAGCCAGCAGTCCTTTTGTGTGGACTTTTGCTTTTGTCCTGTTACAATGTGTCAGTAATCAACATTCATTTATAATACTTCAAATGAGACTTTCATTACATATAACAAAATTCAATATTTTTATCTGATAGTAAAACAATTCAACAATCCAATTCCGATAGACAAAATAATTATTATTTCCGACTAATGAGCGGGAAAGCACTGATGAAAAACATTAAACAGTCACAAACTACCTTTGGCGTGACAATTTGTTGGCTGATGTCAGACCTCAAAACAGGTCATGTCCCCTTTCGTAAGAGTGGAAGGGGCATTTCAAAAATCTCAAGGGGTTGATTGCAGGCAGTTTTCAACCTCGGTTCAGCTTTTGTGCTGCTGTAACTCTTACTTTGTGAACCACAAAAGACAGAACCGTCAGCTACGCAGGCTAGTGATTGTTCGACGCATTCGTTATCTTTATTTTCCCATTCCATATTCAGGCATGCCAACTTGATTTTGAACCTGTTTTCTCTAATGGTGGATGCAAATGTACCAGACATTGCTTTGGAGCCAGATAAAACAGTTAAAAAGGTATGCCTTTGGTCAGGAAATTCAACACAGTCTTTTTACAACTACTGACTTTATCAGCTTTCAGCTTGACTGAATCAAGACCTGCCCAATGAGGGGATGACCAGACCAAGACCCATTGGTTGCATTGTGAAGTACCCTTCCTGCTCATTCCCCCCTCCACTGTGACACAGAGAGGCTTTGAGGGAGGGATCACTGACAGAGATTGTTATGTCCCTTGTGATTCTTTCCTGTCCCACATGAGACATCAGAGTGACTGGGCCTACAATGTTTTTAATCCTTTCACCTGGGCTTATCAGGGTGCAAAGTTTTAACATTAGATAATTTCGTTTCTTCAGGTTCAAGATAAATTTCGTTTGGACTTAAATGATGAAGAAGCAGTTCAGTTCCTGCAGTCACTTATTGATGAAAGTGTCAGTGCTATGTTTCCTGTTGTGGTAGAACAAATTCATAAGTTTGCCCAGGTAAATCAATCTTACATCAACATCTATAATTTATGATTCTTTCATTGACGTTTTATTTGATCTAATGTTTGGTGGAAAATTATAATAAGGTCAGTACTCTGCGATAATAAAAAAAAGTTTATCAAGCTTATGCACCAAAAAAGCATGATTGTGGTCATCATTCACTGATGTTGGAAAGTTATTTTTCATAGAGAAGACTTTAATAATATTAGTGAGTTTACACAACGGGATGACAGAAAAAAAAGGACAGCAAAACGCTTGTGTGTGACAAACGTGACAGGCCTATGACTTACGCATTTTGTGGTGATCTTCACTTAAGTCAATGTTTTCTGGTCTTTTACAAAAAGACCTGTTCAAAGGAGGGTGAAGTTTTTCAGAAATGTTTTTCAAACAAAATTATTGTCACGCTTGTCACACAAGATTTGTCATCTTCTTTCCTCTCCCGTCCTGTCGCATAAGCTCACTATTAGCAGAATGTGGTTGTGTTTCTACCACTATCATTCCCCTCTGTACCTTGCCAGTAGAGCCTTTCTTTCGCTTGCTTGATTTTGGTGCACTCACGAAAGACTCTACATTAGTTAAGTAAGATCTTTGTTGAGCATGCAGTGCGTGTTGCTAGGATACATTTTCAAACCCAGGCCTAATAGCCATGCGCTTGGTACAGCGGGCTCAGTTACGCCTATTAGCTTAACAATAAATGGATGCTTACATTTGAAAAAAACCATTTAGCAAGAGAGAACAAGATTGACTTAAGTCCATAAGTTTGGGCTGCAGTGACTTCAACTGCATTTCCCTTGAATTTTTGTTGTGGTCATTGTTGTTCTGGGCTTTGCACTGCAACAACTTTTCATTTCAATTTCTTATTTACTTTTGTTAATTTATTTATTTCAGTATTGGAGAAGATAACAAAGAGAAGACCAGAGCTATTAAAAATGTAACCACCTATTCACAAGACTTTTCTTATGCAACACTGCAGAAGTAATAATGAACAAAAACAGAACATAAATCTCATACTGACAGTGTATTACTGAATACAGTCAAACCTCTTTAATACAGACACCAAAGGGACAGAACCAAGTGTCTGCTTTACAGAGGTGTTTGTATTATAGAGGTAGGGAATGTAGGATTTTTGGCATTTCTGGGACCAAACGAACTGTCCGTAAGGAGAGGTTAGACTGTGTAGGTGTAGGCAATTCCTAGTGTGAAACTTAATTCACCTTACATGTGCAAGCACCTACACCAAGGAAGCAGAGAATCAAACAGCTATGATTTTCTTTTTGTTTCATGATTAATGAAGCAGTAAGAAAGCCCCCAGCCCTCAATGAAGGCTCTGCTTCTAAAACTGAGAATTTTTCAAGTGTTATATAAGCTATGTTGAAAAAAAAAATACTCTCTTTCTTGTTTCATATTTAATAGTGTACTACAAATTAAATGTAATTATCACAAAATAATATGTACAGAGTATTTTGTATGTAGAAAATAAATAATTAAAAGTTTAATATCATCAAATGTCTTCATTTCTGTGAGAGCATGACACATTGATCATGTAGTTCCTGTACGCTGTTTTCTTTGCAGTATTTGGCTGCCTGTGGATGCAATCCCAAACAAATCAGTTTTCAGTATTTCAAAACTTCTGTCAATTCCATATTAATTGCATTACCCTAGGTGCCAGCAACAACAGCAAGAAAAAAATCCTGTGGCACCCAGGGTAAGCTTGCATATCCTGACAGCAGTTTTCACAAATTAAAGAACAGGATCTTCCTTAAGTTTTAAAGGAGACAGCTAGGATGTAAAAGTAGGTGTCTTAGTAACTGCGTGCTGTAGACAATTCCAGGCTTTCACTCTATCACTCTGTCTTATTTACCCAAAAAGTAGACCGCTTAAGAAGAAGAAGAAGGTACTTTTATTTAGCTAGGGTAACTCCTACAGTTACAAAAACTGATATCCTTAGAAGCCCTAAATGACGGCACTTACTGAGAACCCTGAAATAGCCTCACTTTTTCAGACTGAGCTTGCTTTCTTCTCATGGTGTGACAGGGTTGAGTAATAGTCATTATTATTAACATTTGCTGCTTATGAGATTTCAAAGATTTTTTCTTTAATGGAATTACATTTAAAATATTGACACTGTCTTAATCTTTAGTTGAGACAGTTTGCCCCCGTTTCTCAACCAAACATGAAGGATTTAATAGACCGTGCCCACCCCACTGCAATAATATTATTATTGTTCAAAGAGAGTTTAATCTGTTACAGAAAATTAAGGAAGGTTACATCAGTGTTCTGACTCCATCTTGTTCATGATAAAATTAAAGTTGTTACCTCTCTTAAATCTTTTGTCTTTTCACTCAATTGTTTTTCAGTTTCGATCAACTTCTCTCTTTTGGGTAGAACTTCACCTTTAAGCTTCTCATTATCACTTTCAAGCTAAAAGAAAACGAAGAAAGGATAATAAATCAGGCTGAGTTTGAATGGGTCTTTCCATTGCTTGACATTCACGATATTATAATTCTTCAACCTTTCAATTCCATTAACTTGAAAGAGGCTTCAACTACCAAATAATAAATGATTGCATGGCAGCAGGACTGAGCCGTTAAGCTCAGTGCAAATGGACACAACATGCATTTCATATACATCTATCACGGACACAACATTGTTGGCCAACAACTCCCAACATGGTTGGATGTTACATGTTACATACATTTGCACACCCTGTTGCATGTTGTTGGGAGTTGTTGTGCAAAGTTTGAAACTGGTCCAACTTTTGAATCAACAAATTCCCAACATTTCTTGTGTTCCATGATTGCTGAAGGGGAGTGCAACAAAGTTGGATACATTTACACAGCTCTTCCAACATTGTTGAGGCCACGCACACTCCAAGAAGGTTGTGACAATCTTATGGCTGCTAGCTGAATTTGCTCTGACTCAGTAGTCCCAAGTTCCACTCCTCGTTCACGTGTGTAAACAGCTGACAAATTCAGTATGACTGTTACCAAAAGCGTAATGGTCAGACATGTTCTCGATCACTCCACGCTTCTTACTAAATTTCTACTAAATCTTTGAACTATTTTTCAACTATGACTATGACTGGAACTGAGAAGTTAGTCATCGTTGTAATTTAATACTTTGCACTCATTGTCCCCCTCGAATAGCCTCGCTAGCTGCCGGCGATGCCTCTGCAATATTATCTGTTTATTAAAAAAAATTGTTGTTGTTGTTGTTGACAGCTTTGTCTCTGGCCAGTTGTTGTTTATTTCTAAATGTTTGTTTTTTTCCTTATTATTTTGTAGGCCACAACAAACATTACAGGGTTACCACTAACTTTTAACACCCCTATGAAGTCTATTCTTTAATAACCTGAGATCAGGCCCAATATTAGCGGTTCTCATACAGTCTCTCTAATGGCTACCAATCTCTTTTCATTTCGTCTTGCCCGCCAGAATGTAATTTTCAAAGCGAAACGAAAATAGAGCCTGATCTCAGGTTAATTTTTTAACTTCTTTTTTTAATAACCCCTCATATTCAATGTAATTTTACCTGATGAAGGATGTGTGTGAGCTGTTCTTTGTAAGCTAACTTAACTTGCATGATATGGTCACAGATATCTTTGTCTGGATTTCCTGAAGGCCTCCTGTGAATTAAACACAAAAATCTGGTGAAAGTCTCACAGAGACAACCCAAAGAGAACAAGGGGTCTCTATCAGGAAAAGGAGACTCACCTCTTTGCAAGAATGAGGAGAATTTATTGCATTAATTACAATAATGTCGGGTTACAAAAGGAGCAGTGCTTTTGGACACCAAAATTATCTTTCGTATGCCCTGACTTGTCAGTGGATTTGGGGGGGGAGGGGGGGTGGGGGCTGCATTGTGAAAATTGCACCAGGTGGAGATCAAAATAATGATGTCCAAGTGTCAAGCATCAATTAACTTAAAACACTTACCAAGCAGGCTGCTTGTCTCCTTTGCTGGTAGCTTCAATGATACGGTCAAGTTCATTGAAGAAATACACAAGATCTTCTTGCTTAATCATCAACTCAATTTCTTTCTATAATCAAATAGAAGGATCATATTAAAAACCCAGTAATCAGCTTGGCTAACATTGTGAAATAATGTTATATAAATTTTTTGTGCTCTTCTTCGAGTAAGATTGTTGGGATTGACAGACAAAGCATCCATCACACCTGTGATGAATTTGGACACTGACATGTCAAAGCGCTAGCTGGTTCTGGGGTGCACATAGTAAGAAGACTAAGTCCTCTGTGGACTCATACACTAGTATTAAGTGTCAATTCAGACAGTCCTTCAGAGAAAGTGTAATTAAATGGTTCAACTCCAAGAAAAACTCCAACTTACTCCCTTCACTGAAAGAATCTTTATTTGGACTTTCTGAAAATTCACCCAACAATAGCTGCCTTTAATTACAGCAAAATTAAACTACACTTTGTTATTTATGAGATTTTACATTTATTCTTGTAAAATTCGTAACAAAGCACTTAATCTCAGACTTTGCCAACCAAATAGAAATTCAATACCAGCTACAAAAATTCTGTAATTGATAAACTCTATTTAATATATTATAAAGCTGATATGATTAAGATACTATTGAAGAAATTTAGTTTGTTATATGGCCAGGCCATTAAATAAAATTGTAAAAAGTGTTATACGTGTTGTAAGATGCACTTCGTCTAAACTTCCCCAGGGTGCAAAGAATATCATTTTTACAGCTTGCCATTCGGGCAAGCTGAAGCTAACACTTACTGGCCCAGACGTCATTTCAACTAGCCCCAGACACTTTTTGACGAGCAGAATTGATTTTGTGGTTCTTCTGTTATTCGAATGGGCCATTTGCACAATGACGTCTTTTTACTACTAAGACCAGAATTCATTTCGTTTTTCCTTTTATATTTAAATTTGGTAGTCCTAGTGAGGTTTAATTAACAAAAACCTTAATTTTGCACAAGAAAGCAATACCCTGAAGGATTCTGGTAATAGTAGTATAATGACGCCATCGTGCAAATGGCCTATTGCTCAAAAAAACATCACTTGCCCGTTGGGCAAGTTAACAACGGAGTTCACTAGCCTGATAGCAAAATCCACTAGCCACAGGCTATCGGACACTACTTTCTTTGCTTGCCGCTTCCCTCTTTTTTAATGTTCCTTATGTAATTACCGGTATGTACTTTCTGTAACTTATAACGGTGTGATTGAATAAAATAAATGAAATAAAATAAAAACTCTAGTAAAATAGTGGCAGGAGCCCAAGACCTGGAGTGAGCAACTCTCATACTAGACCTATGTTATGGGGTTTTCACTGACCCTTTTTTTTAGATACAGTTTGGAGCATCTTTTCTTTGCAAAAATGGAATCGCTGCTCTCTCTAAGATTGCATTTGAATTATAAGACATAAAAAAGGAAAACTAAACGTCATTTTTTATTTCACAAGGTCAAAAATACCATTTTCATGTCTGAGGTATTGCTGACTGGTTTAGATATTCTAAACTCACGCCAAAATCATTCTAAAAATAAACTAGTCAGTGAAAGTGCCAAGACACAAGTACATGGAGGTTGCTTACTCAGGGTTATGGGTTCCTGCTAGTGCATGCTCTCTTTGGTTACGCTGAGATCACAAGAAATCTAATAACTAAACTACTTCCCATCAAGTCTCTGAGAAGGTAACATGGCAAAATCTAAGATGTCAAATGGTAATAGTGAACTGTCCAAATCAGGGCTTGGAAAGCAATATTACTGACAGAACCACAAATTAAATATCCATGCACTACTAAATGCACATGAAAACTAGCAACGTTACAATGAGGCATGGCCAGGATTTGGAGAACTAAGGCATCATAACCATCACCAAGCATCTATCTTTGAGAGAGTACTGTAACAGGAAATTAAGTTACCTCTATATTATTTTGCAGGTGCTGCATTAGTTGTTCAGTTATACTTCTGAATTCCACAGGATTCTTTTCTCTGATACTTGTAAAACAACTGCTAAATTTCTCCTGACTACAAAAGAAAAGATGTACAAAACCATGACCATCAGAAGGTAACAAAGGGATGTGGGGTTTCATTTTTTCTGGGGGATTGGATCAACAGGGATTAGGTGATCGGTGAGTGCCACAGTTCAAGGTTTGATTTCCAAGCAGTTTTAAAACCTAAATGTTTTGGTCTTAGAATAGGGAATAATTTGTGAGAAAAATTATTGATCAGTTAATAGAGTATTTGCTCTGTAACTTATAGGCATTGACATGGTCTTGATAGGGCGGGTCTGGGATAAGGTAGTGATTATTAGTAAAGAATGCAGCTGAACAGGGTCTGGTATACACTAAGGATTTCTAGGTCTCACCAGCACACACCCACCCACCCAGGTCTATGGGTAAATCCTCAGAATAGCCCAGAGAAATAACCCAGTACAGTTACTTAAAGTTCAAGCCACCAAGTATGGCATTTATAAATTAAATGAGGCTAAATCAAATTTAGCTTAATTTAAACTCAAGACATCACTAGCCACCAGTCTTTTAAACGAATTAACAGGGGCTCTCCTAACAGCTTTACATGGGCCGGGTGAGCCAACTTTTCCTACATTTCCTTACAAAATTTGAAAAAACCATTTAGATGAAAAGCAAAAAGTTGGCTTTGCTTGAAGGGTGGTCTGCCTAGCAGGGTCACCATTTTTCAGTGGTTAGGTCACCCAACTAGCTGTGCCAACTTTTCTTGAAAACACATTTCAGGCCATTTGCATTCAACCAAAATTCCGGTTAGAAATTTCCGAGTCAACGAGCTCAATGAAATGGTACAGTCTGATTGAACAAACCCAACCACACGTTTGGTTATTGTACTTGTAGGAAGAATACAAAAGAGGAGTAAAGTGGACCACCTTCAAAGGTAAGGTAAAGGTGCACACAAGCCAAAGGTCCAAACGGCCAGAGCTTATCCCGGTTTCCCTAACAAGAAGCATGCCTAGGAGTATTGCTTCTCCCCTCTGGACGAGATGCTAGACTATTGCAGGGTTACCCCCCAGCAGTATGTCACTGGTACCATTTATACACCTGGGTGAAGAGAGATAAGGTGGAGTAAAGTTCCTTGTCTAGGGAAACAACATGACAGGTGAGGCTTGCACCCCATACCTCCAAATCCAGAGTTCAAGGTGTTAATCCCTCAGCCACTCACACCTCCACCTTCAAGAGTGGTCCCAAATACTCCCGTCAAACCGAACCGAAATGGTCTGTTCCATTTGATTTCTAACCAAAATTTTCCGGAATTTTGGGCTGAATGGAAGGGGCCCTTTGACTTGCCCAGCTGGATCAACTCGTTCAAAGAGGGACAATATGAACAACAGTCAGCTCTTGGCTCAGGCAAAGGGGTGAACTTTTTCTCATACATATTCTTGCTTAAGTTGACTCAGCTGGAAGGGTGACCCTCTTTCCCGGAACAACTTTTCTCCATAAATACAGGGCCTATAGTGAACCAAAAATTCGTAATTTACATCCCTACGTGAGAAGACGAACATCCCCACCTATTTCAGGTGCAATTCTCCCCCTCCCCCACACCCACCGGAACTATGCATAGTCGTACTTGCCGCCAGGCATAAAGCTAGATAAATAACGCTGAATAACGTTACCCCTAAAAGGTTTTTTCTCTTTGGAACAGGTTCAAACTATGACCTCTGATAGGCGAAGATGACAAAAGATTTAATACGTTTAAGTCCTATCTCTAAGTAAAGTTAAGCTTCGGGAATTTAAGTACGGCGTGTATTAGAGCAAGTCAGCTCGTCATTTGTAGGGTCACATGCCGATATATACACCCCTTCTATTACCTTCCAGTAGCCATGATTTTGTCCAAACATTTTCTCATTACTTTTCTAAATGATTCCATTCTTCTTCCTTCACTTTCCTCCTGTTTTTCTAAAGAGGAACACTCTTTCAGCGAAGAACTTCCCTCAGCCATTTTGCCTTCCATTTTTGCCGCCACTCGACCCAGGGCATCTCTATAATCAAAGATGTTTGAGGGGAGGGGGTTGGGGACAAAATAACAGAGCAAAGCAAAAACTCAAACTGGTAAGAGAATTTTCTTTACATGTAAAGGGAATGAAATTTAAGCGTCTTTTCATAAACATCAGACTGTCTTCAATCTTGTTTAGAGCAACTAAATGAATGAAATTAAAAATTTAACTTTCACTAAGTAGGGTGGACACCGTCGAGCCCAGCTCCCCGCCGAACTGAAACCCGACTTCTTGCCAACTTATCAATGGCAGGACACCAGTGACTGTACAGTAGTCGCCGGTCGCCGATACTGAAATTCACAATCAAGGTATTTAAGCTAGTCACGAAACCATTTCTAAACCATTAACAGTGCTTATTTGGGCCAAAAATATATGTATGAGCGTAGTCACAGATTGCATACAATGATTGTCTAACAGTCTGGGCTGAGTTGCTCAGCTTATGCCCTGACCCCAGTATTTAATTAACTTTGAAATGCTTATAAACGTACTTAGACTTAGAGCTCATTTGTCTCATTAAATACATTGAGTAAATCTCTCTATACATATAGTTTTTGAACCTTTATCGATTGAAGGCACCACAGATCCATACAAATGAAGTTACATAACAGCTGATAATAGACTAATAATATTGAGTCAAGCTCTACTTGACGTAAGCTCGTTCTGTTATAATAAAATTCTTCAACGGCGAAAATAAAAGCTTAAGGATGCAATTCACGCAAACTATCTGCTACGAAATTTCCAGTCCAGAAAGGAATTTTAGGACATTTCAATAACAAAGAATTTGCATGCGGACTGGAGCTCCTATTGCATGGGGGCATTCCAAAATTTCCATAACCCCCAACCCCAGACTTTTGTTTCCCACTTCCATGTTAGAATGCTTTTTACAGCAAAGGGAAAACCACCCACTATCTTATTTTCATACAAAACAAAGAGAGAATTTAGGTTAGGTAGCACTTTCTTCTCAGTTATTTAAAGACCCTGAGTGTTGGTCCAACCGGGGTTCAAACCCACAACCTCCCACTCAGCAGACTGGCGCTCTCCCAACTGAGCTGACCAGGCTACACAACTTTGGCCTAACATAGAGTACAATGAATTAACTAACAAATAAGTAAATGTAAAAGACAAGAAACTAACATCATTGGATCTAACAAATTATGAAGGTACATAAGAAGACATTGACTAAGATCAGATGAGCTGATGTAGGAGGAATGTTAAAAGACAAGACTAATATCTTAACGGTGGCACTAGCCAGCTACGGAGATATGTAAGAAGGACATAAGAAGACGTTTTAAAGTCTAACATCTTAAAAGGAGCAAACTGACATGCAACAAAACTTGTATGTTGTAAGTCTTCCCTTTTCTACGCTCCCCTCTAACAAAATGTAATTTGTTCGTTCTGGGTTTGAGTTGCTGGACAATGCAGAGCACTAGTTCGTTTTACCTCTGGGAGATGCATTACTGTATTAATATCCCGGACAAGGGGTTTCTTCTTGAAACAGATGACTCACCAACTGATGACCAGCTCTTAAAATGTAGTCACCAGCAGCCAAATTTTAGTCACATTGGCGACTATTAAGTCACAATTTTGAACCCTGAATATCTTATGAACTCTGTAAAGATCAGCACTTGTGTGTATTATCTTCCAAGAATAAGAATTAACCCAGGGCTGGTTATGGCTGTGTACTTTTGAGGTGCTTGACTGTGCTCACTTTCTAAGCATATTCATTTGACTAATCCTAAAACCTGTATTACTTTTGACAGAAAGTTTGATGTCCTTAGTGTTAGAGTGGAAAACATAAGTGCTTCATTATATCCTGGATGAACTTCAGAATTGTTGTAAGGTGTCTGGAAAAGGCAACCACCATGTTGAGACATCAAAACCCAAGTGGAATTTCATACTCCGTCAGAAGGACAATTAAAACTGGAACAAAGAACCAGCCTACTCTTATGCCAGTTCATGGATTTGTCTTTGATTTGGACGGTACACTTACTCTTCCAGTCTTGGATTTTACGTTGCTTCGAAGTAACCTTCAGTGTCCTAAAGGAACAGACATTTTGGAATTCTGCAATTCAAAATCTGGGATGGATAAAGAAATAGCCTTCAAGTTGGTTGAGAAGTTTGAAGAAGAAGGGCGACAAAACACAAAACTTCAACCTGGTGTCTTTGAACTTCTCAAATTTTTGTCACACCATGGATTGAAGAGAGCTCTTATCACAAGAAATCTGCAGCCCTCTGTAGATCAGTTCCTGGACTTGTTGGGTGATCCAGCTAATTATGGTGGACCATTTACTCATGTAAGCAGCATTCTTAGCCTGCAAAACCAGCCGTCTCTCCTTGCTCCTTGCTGCTTGGGTTTTTTTGCGGGAAAGAGAGATTTTACATCATCACTATTTAATTTCTGTTGCTAAGTTGCAGACCTCTCCTGCGAAACGTCCTTAGTGGCGAACAGCAAGGAGAGATGGCTGTTTTTGCAGGCTACACCATTTTACCAAATACATAATGCTCCAACATGTGAGCAGAGCCTTTTTTATCTCTTACAGTTCTTGAGTAAGGAAGAATCTTTTTCATAAAGTATCAGTGAGGCTCTGCTCATACAGTGGTAAACTTACTAGCTAATCTCTCTCACAAGTGGACATGACCTCTTTGTTTAGAACACAACAGTATAAACTTTATATAAGTAAGTTATGAACTGAAGCTGGTAAAGTACAGTGAGTATGTCAGTTTGTTTATTGTTCACCTCTGAATGACCATTTTGGAGAGGTTATTTTGGCAGTTGTGATGTAAATTGGTGGCCATTGCACTTATGGGGAGGTGAGCACTGTACAGAGGTTAAGACAAAAGTGAATTTTTTGTGTGCCTCACTGGGATGTTGTGGAGGTTTAGCACGAGCAAAAACACAGGAAAAAATAACGGATTCCCATTTTTGGATATTTTAGGGTATTTAAATAATACCCATAAAAATCCCAAATTTGGCAAAGTGAGACAAGTCCCAACCGGGGAATTCCCAACCAAGTTCCCTGATTGGGACTTGTCTCACTCTTCCAAATTTGGGATTTTTGTGGGTATTCTTTAAATACCCTAAAATATCCAAAAATGGGAATCGGTTATTTTTTCCTGTAAAAGTGAGGGATTGAAATTGTGTTATCAAAGAAATCAGAAGATAAAAGGTGTCATTATTATCTCCTACAATTGTAGCCTAATGTCATCTTTATGAGTTGTTAACTGCCCCTAGACCAAAGCATTTGCCTTAGTCAGTGCAGTCAATACAGGGACAGTCCCAGTCTGTATTACTCCAGAAGATGACCAGCCTCCCAACTTGACAGATGAACAGCACTGGCCATTCTTGTTAAACTACTGCAACCTGAAGTTGTGGACTTCATGGCAGCACTTTTTAATTTCTGTTTGTATTTAAGTCTATTCAATATAGTTTATTCGAGTGACCTGTTTGGAAAATAACATAGAATGACCGGAGTGTACTGGTTCAATATTACAGACTGTAATAATTTCTGTGCTGTTCTGTAGCTGTAATTTTTTTAATCAACTCTGCCATCGGTTTTAAAGGTTTGGCACTATAGTTCAGCGAAATATGCAAACCCCACATTAGCATCTTACAAATCTTTTTAAAATTTGTTTTCTTTTTCTTATTTAGTCTCTTACGCGAGATTTTACTCCACCCAAACCTGACCCCGCCCCTCTTTTGCACATTTGTGAGCAGTGGGGAGTGCACCCAAGAAATGTAGTGATGGTTGGTGATCATCTTCATGATATACAATGTGGAAAGGATGCAGGTTCAGGTAAACATTCTTACAGTAATACAGTGGAACATTGTTATACAGACACCAAGGGGCATGCCATTGTGTCTGTATTAAGCGGGCTGTCAGAAAAAAACGTCCTGGCACAGACACATTTTTATTGATATTGAGATACAACGGAGCTGTGATCGAAGCAGAAAGCCAAGGAAGTGAAGCTTGTGTACTTAAATAGGAGGCAGAAAACTGAAATAAAGGACCACATTACAATGGTCAAACACCTGAGGAAAGACAGAGTAAACAAAATGAAACATGTTACCCTATCTCAGCACTATATTTTTGGCAATGAAATTGTATCAGTCTGTAGAAATCTTTCATTATTTGAGTAGGGTATAATGTTCACAATTGGCACACATTAAAAATAGACAGTGCAGAGATGCTCATACAGAAAAGTATCTATTGTCTGTATTAGAAGGGTTTCTGCATATTAGGCAGGATGCTAATTTCGGGGGAAAGATTTTTTCAGGAAAAACTGTCCATTATATACAAGTGTCTGTAGAGCGTGGTTCCACTGCAATAATTTTATTAGAGTCTGAGAAAACTCTTAGCTTGGCACAAGAGCTTCAGGAAGACTGGAAAGTCAAGATTCTAAATCTTTATCAAAAGTTTAGTGAAAAGAATGTTTAAGAGAAGCTCCAATCCCCTCAAAACCAGACTCAACAATGTCTTGGGGTCTCATGTCTTGGAGCAGACTGGTAAAAGATACCCTAGTATCAATGTTTCCCAAGACCCACTTGGTTATTGCAAAATACAGTGATTTGTCACTGGCTCACAGATCCATTATTTGCCTCAGCCTTTGGCTTCGGTAGCAGATTAAGACAGTGATGTTCTCCCCACTGGCAAATCACAATATGTTGCTCAACCTCATTCAATAATTATTATTAATTGGTTATTTATTTTTAAAGGCAAATCATCTGAACAGTGATTTGTCAGTGTCTCACAGATCCATTATTTGCCTCAGCCTTTGGCTTCGGCGGCAGATTAAGTGATCTTCTCCCCACTGGCAAATCACAATATTTTGCTCAACCTCATTCAATAATTATTATTAATTGGTTCAGATGATTTGCCTTTAAAATAACCATTCATTTGATAATGCTTCTTATTTTTAGTAACAGTGCTGCTAAATGATTCTAAGAATGCTGATTTCAAGAAATATGCAGACTTCAATGTCGACTCATTGCAGGGGATTATCACATTAATTACCTCACAAGAGATGTTTACCGTGGACAGGGAAGATTCTAGTTTTCAGACATGACGAAGTCTCATGTTTAGAGACCGAAAACCATTCCATTTTACACTGTATTATTGTAAGACCATAGTTTAAATATATGAGAGGTTGACAACGTTAATAAAAAGTTCATTAACTGAAGGGAAGAGGAAATTTGATTTTGTACGTAATAAAGGAATCCCACCACCCATCTCTCGCTTTTTTTTTTCTGTGAGCCAATTTTGATTCATTTCCATCCTCTTTGACAATTAGGAAATAACAAACAAAGCATTTTTATTGGGTAAAGTCTTAAACTGCTTGAGGAAAAAAAAGAGAGTTTTATCTCAGCAGGGGAAAGGGCACTCTCATGGCAGATTCATGGTTGTGCTTCTACCTAGGTATGGTTTTCATTCTATGCCAGTCCTGAAAAGGCAGGGGATCGGGTAGTTGGGATAGATCGAGAGAGGGGCGGAAATCGAGCCTAAAGACGAGGAGGAGTGAAGACCTTGAGCTAGTGATGTGACTTTGTGCATTCAATATTCATACCGTATTTATTGATTAACCACCCTGGGCGCTTATTACATTTTTGGACCTTGAGAGTGGGTGCTTATTCGAGGCTGGGTGCTTATTAAATTTTCACCATTTTCAGAAAGTGAAGGATGTTTATTTGCAACAAAACAATAAATGCTAATAACAAAACACGAAGAAGTAACAAAGCAAGGTTTCTGTAAAATACTCTGAAGACAACTCCGTCCTCGGGGAAGTCTCCTATTAGAGTTTATTCACTCAAGTGGGTGGGGTTGGGGTGAGTGCTTATTTGAGTTTGATTGGGAGGAGGTGGGGGTGGGCGCTTATTCGAGGCTGAGCACTTATTAACTTTTTCTGCCTTTAGAACGGGCGCTTATTCGAATAAATACGGTAAGCATTACTTTGTCTGTTTTCTTCTTCTTCGTCTTTCTTCTTCTCCTTCTTTGGATTGAGAGGGAGGGAGTAAGCCCTTCAAGCCTTTGATACTAATTAGTTGATGCGTTAATGGCCGAAAAATTGTACGTGTTAGGTACGATTCTAGCAGTTCCAGTAGCCCCATCCAGACCCTCATCTCGGAATCTACTCATGTGCGCGACTCGCGCATCCCCGCCCCCTCCCTCCCCCGACTCCCCGCCGCGCGTGGTAACGGCAGAGCGGTGACGAAATCAAAACATTAGAGTGAATCAGGAAAAAAATTATGAATATCTTCAAGACAGTAGCAAGTGCCGGTACTTAATGATTGCACATCACGACAATATGAACTCTTCGCATTAAAATTTTGAGCGAGTCGTGTGTACAACAGAAACCTGTCTAAGGGTGGCAATCGGACAGCAGAACGGTAAGTTTTCAAATGCTCTTATGTTGGAAAGCATCTTTTCAACATGAATTTGGTACCCTTGCGTAACATGAATTTTGTATCTGGTGGAGTATACAGGATTTGCAATTATCAACGAAACTGGGGCTGGCAGTACCGGCGGAACCCTTCCACAGGGGCCTTTTCAGTGACAAATATTTACATCGTAATTTGGAAAGGAAAGCGGCTTTCGTCGAACGTACACCTGTCACAGGTGCGTGAGTTCGGATTGACCACAGTCACCTTGCTGATTTGGTTTCTCTAAGAAAATATGCGCTTACTCCATCTCGGGTTAGCCGATCCGTAAAATTCTAACGAAATACCATTAAAAAATATCGGATCTATATTTCCTTGTCTTAACACTTTGAGGCAGTTGAACCGTTCATCCTACACAATGCTTCAAAAGACGAGAAAGCCGGGCTGAGACAAATTTCACGCACTTTTTACGTGAGACAACAAATCAGTATAAAATATATTGCACGTCTTCATTTTCTTTGAAATCAACCCTTACAGAAGAAGTAATTATTTCTTATTTGCGTTACAGTGAGGTGCTACTTGTTCATAGGCCGGGGGTCTATCAATGGACGAAGATTTCCTTTATTTGGACGAAGACGGCTTATGTTCAATCGGAAGTCGAGGAGCCCTGCACACAGCTGACTCGCATTCTCATGTGCACGATCAGCGTAAGGTAAATAAAACGAGATGTGGTCTACGGACAGTCAGTGAGTTCTAGCATCGTATAAGAAAGGCGGGGAGAAAAGTTAGGGAAAAATCTTTACGAAATGATAGAAAAACTGGGTTTTTATGGGTTTTTAATATGCAAATTAGAATTCACGTGCGTCTCGTGCCCGTGACCCTTATTTGGAATGTGGTCCCGTATTTGGAGATAGCGTGACCCATATTTGGAACATGTGCGTCCCATATTTGGGAGAATCGAATTGCGCGCCATATCTGCATGCCTTTTACTGACCAATTAGAACATCGAAATTTCCGAGACGTCATCGAAAACTCGTGACTAAACAGGTTTATCGGGAGAGGAAAGGTCGGAATCGAAGGAAACTTGAGAAAGACCGAGAAAGAAAACAGTTATTATTGAACTGGAAAAATTTAGGAACAACGTCATAAAGATTTTTTGCTGTGTTTTTGCCCTTGAACTGTCAGTTTCTTGAGCTTTTACAGTTTATTGCGTGAAGAAACATCTCGGAATCGAGCTTCAATTATCGGGCTTGTTGGCGGACTTCGGTAACGATAAGCGCAGTGTGGTCGTTGGATCCTTTACCCGAGACAAACACAACAGGAGAGGAATTAACACGTTGATGTTTAAAATCGTAGAGAGTTGAATGGGTCGAAACTATCGTAAAAATGATGTAAGTTTGACGTTTGAGCGTCGGAAGATTTGCTTCGACTGAGAACTTGGCGTCGATAACTTACCGGCCGACAATTGATCACATTTCCAATTTCCTCATTTCTTTGCAGCCATCATCTTTGGGAAAAGCGTTCATTGCTGGTGCTTTGAGTGGGACATGTTCTACGTTATTATTTCAACCATTTGATCTGGTTAAAACTCGCTTGCAAGTGGACAAGACAGCTCTGTCCCCTGCTGGGAGACTGAAAATAGGGTAGGAGTTTACTGATTTGTGCACGACATTTACATGTACATCAGTGTTATTATTTAGTACTTCGCAGGAAAGCAAACAGCAAATAATTTAAGTGTTTAAATGACCCTATCTTTATCTTTTGCAGAAGTAGTAATGGCATGCTTTACACTTTCTACTCTGTGGCCCGTAGAGAGCATGTTGTCGGGCTTTGGAGAGGCCTCGTACCGGTAAGCTGTATTTTTGTTTGAACTTTTTTAAATGTAAAAGTTGTATGACAGTTGAGTTGGGTTTATCAACTGAGTTATTAAAGTCAAGTTGCCCCTGTTAAAAGATTCAAAAGTTTACATACTTTTCAAGTGCTAGCCTTTTTTAGAGCGAATCAAAGGGTGAAATGCCAACCTTCAGGGCCGGGTTGTTCAAAGCTTGGTTAAGATAACCCAGTGTTAGTCCGAAATTTGAGTTCAGATTTGAACGCTTAAAAAGTAAATTCAGTTTAATTCTTTCTGTCAACAAGTTGATGATCGGATGCTCTTAGAAATAACAGAGAAAATTATCGGAGAAAGTGCTTTTGAACAAAAGAAAAGAAACCCAGGTTTAATTTAACCCTGGGTTAAGTGCTAAACGGTCTTCGGAAAACTGGGCCCAGTGGTTACTCCTAGAGATACCAGGAGATTCACCCTCCTTCCATGAGACTCCCAGTTAATCAGGAAGATGCCTCTCTTAGTCCTGGGGAAAGCAAATTCCTTCTTTTTTTCAAATAAGCTTCCTTCTGCAGGAGTTGTGACTTCTGTCAGTTTTAACAGCACACTCAACTCATTCACTTTCACCCGGGAGCAGGGGGGGAGGGTTATCTTATGTCAAAGAGATATGGATACCCTTCGGTAAATTAGAATAAAACCCTAAGTTTGACTATTCTGGGTGGAGCTCTGGCTTTATTTGACCATGAAAGGAAAGCAATAATTTTTTAGGTAAAAATATTGCCTTTCCCTCCTGAAAGCCCTAAGGGAGGCTGAGAAATAGCATTCCTGTCATTTTCATGTCACCCCTCCCCCTGGCCACATTCATAACAAAGAAGTGTAACTTTCCTAGTTTGCCAGTTAATGAAAATCGGTTCTTTCAGTTTCAAACTACCGCAGATTCCATTCAATTTTGTTTCAATTTAAGAACATTTCCCTACTGCTGCTTATTGGAAAGAGGGAACCTAATCGAGGGGGTGCTTGTTAGAGGAAGTACGGTATATTGGATAGCTTTCATACTACTATGAAAACCTGATTGGTAATTCATTGAAACGTGAAACACCAATTTCAGCATGACTTTTATGCTCTAGCATCACTATGACCAGTGATTTTGTTACAAATAGTCGTGGTGACCAGGGACTCATCTTGCAAAAAATCATGAGTCGTGAGTCCCAAGTCAAAAAACAATGAGTCATAAACTGAATTTTTGGGGGACCTTTATGTAACCATGCAGACAATTAATCTGAAGACAGACTCTAAAACTCTGTATTGCAGTTTACTGAAATAAAAAACTCCTTCTATTATCAAGCACAACAAAGACTAAAAGAAATATACCTCGTTAAACAACGGCCACAAGAACAGTCACAGAAATCACACAAACAGTATGTTCTACAATTAAAACATCTTCAGATCGATCGATCGATCTTTGTGTCCCACAGGATTCATGCCATGAATTATTTTGCGTCTTTGGCGCTTTTTATGTATCAGGGACACATGACGTAGAGGTAACATAATCACTGTATGACACTCTCCTTATGAAAGGTATATCCTTTGTACAGGATTAGCTTTGAGCCATGTTCTGTCATGGCTGTTTATGTTATATTGTTTTTAGTTCTGAGTCACCACCATAAGATTCAGTTCAATAAAGTATAAACATAGCCTAAGACCTGAGAGTAAGTCATTGATTATTTTCTTACTGGTACTGAAATATATTCAAATGTTTTGTTTACTGTTGGTTTTGGTTCAGTCACTGTCCAGGTGTGTTCCTGGGATAGGAATGTACTTCTGTACACTTCACGGCTTGACACAAAGTTTTGGAAGGTAATAACAAATATGGTTTTCCCATAACTTAACCCTTCAAACCCCAAGGCTAATATGAAAATTTAAATTCTTATTTGTTGTCATTCCTTATGCATTTCATAGAGGAGTAGTAAGGAGAAGTTGTTAAAGCATCAATATAATATTCATCATGGCATGATTGATTTAGAGTAGCGTGTAATAGAAGTATTTTAGGATCTACCTGAATATTAATTCCCACGAGTCATCACAGGTTATGATAGTATTAATATTAAGGCTTGTGGGGCCGGGAAAATGACTGAAACAAATGAACCAGCTAAATATGACAAGGTTACTAAGGAGTGCCATCTTATAGGAGACAAACAAGTTGGCTATGTTACAAGCAGCTTAGGGTTTGAACCTGGGACTACAGGCAACAAATCCAGCCAGTCGTCAGCGAAAGATTTGAACTCATGGCCTCCAGATTGCAAAACTAGTGCTCTGATCAGGGGCACCCAACGAGGATATAGTTCAATACCACTTAACATAGCATTGTTGAACGTATTTTAGTATTTAAACGATAGATATAGGCATATTTTTATCCCCTAAAAACTTTTCATCTGTTCGGATTTCCTAGCTGAAAGTCTAGTGATCCGAAAATTATAGAGATCAAAACTTACCTTTTTGAAAATTTCAGCCAGGAAAAGGCTCCCGAAAATTCTAGGTTGCCTTTTTTAGGGTAAATATCCGTTTAAAATGGGTAATTATACCATTTTGTAGATGTTCGAAAATCCTAGGAGAGGCAGGCAAGCAAGAAATTTTACAACAAATGTTGCGAAAATTCTAGTTCTCAAATCGTCTTCCGAACAGATATTTTCGCGAAAATTGCCGTTGGGTGCCCCTGTCTGATCATTCAGGCACAATGCCTCCTAAAAAGGTTCATGCAGTTACCTAAACTACATACACTCCACCGTCCTAAACTTAGTATAGTACTGTTGTACTATGTGCATACATAAGAGGCGTGATAATAATTAACATTATGTTTTTGTTGATTTCAGTGAGGAACCATCCATGGGTGAATCAGTATTGATGGGTGCATGTGCAAGATCTATAGTGGGAATAACACTGTTACCATTTACAGTGTTAAAAGCTAGATTTGAGGTAATTTGTTTGCTTGTTTTACAAATACTCTCCGATAGACTATCCTGGGCGACATGTACCTTGAAAATTACCACTTAAAAATATTTATCACAAACTTTTGCCATTTTAGAAATGTTATTGAAATGTGTGCATGTTGTTTTTGTCCTATGTAGAGTGGTTTTTTCAAGTATAACAGCATGCTTCATGCATTCAAGTCAATCTTGAAGAGTGAAGGAGGCAAAGGTTTGTTTGCATTCAGATAATGGGTCAGGATAATTTATTTCCTTTTTTTCTAAACAAGATAAACAATTAATTTGTTTAACTCAAACAACAAAGTTAACTCAAAACAATAATTTTATTATTACTAGTTTTTATTTTGATAGATGATTAAGGAATAGTAATTTTCAAATGCTATTTTTTGCGCTTTAACTTTTAGGCACATGTTTTCACAACTTTTTTTCACTTCTAGTTGTAGCATGAGTAAATAAAGAATAATTGTACTGTATTGTATTGTATGATTGTTATTGTTCTGCTATAGCTGGAAGGTGAGAAGTTGTACTTGTATTTTCATTTGCCACACAGACAAATGATTACAATAATTGAATAACAGACAAGATAAAAAACTTTGAAAGTAATGGCAAGGAGGCCTAAAGGAAACTATAAAGTTTACACTGTATATAAAACTGTTCTAGTGAGGCTTACATTGTTTAATTAGGTCTCCTCAATAACAATTTTCCCTAGACGACATTTAAATTACGACGATGGATACAATTTTTTATTTATTAACATTACAATAATGGAGATAAACCATCCCAGTTTAATTTAAAGCTGTAAATGTACTTTCATGTACATGTACCTCTGCCTCTTTTATTGTAACTGAGGTAATTTTTTAGAATTGTCTTTTTGAAGAAAACTTGACTCTTTACTTTTAGGCCTGTACAGTGGTTTGTTGGCAACCGTCGCTAGAGATGCACCATTTTCAGGGCTGTATTTAATGTTTTACTCCAAGATGAAAGGGCTGGCAAAACATGGTAAAATTTAATTAAAATCTTGTCAGTTATCACTTATTAAGGCATTCTATGTATCTTTAATAATCTTTTCGTAGTTATTTCTGTGATAATTATTCTGCATGAATGTTATAGCTTAGTTGCATTACCTTTTAATGTAAAGAAAGCATATACTATATAATAATATTTATTGTTATTTGAAGGGGAAGACAGAGTTGAGAAAAACCAGTTGTTAAAGGTTTAACATGTGATTATTATTTCACAATAGTCCAAGGGGTTGCTTCATGACCTCTGTGCAACTGGATAGCACATGTTCTGATATAATAAGAAAATTAACATCGTGAAACAGTTTCACCATACTGCTCTCTGGTTTTGATTAGAATCATCTTGCTTTAAATTGCTTTCTTATCTTTCAAATATTAGAAGCATGCTGCATTTGTTTACTAAAATAATGACTTTAATGCAGTTGTTTTATTGAGTGATAATTGATGTTTCCATTTACCCCTGCCAACAGAACTTGGAACTCCTGAGTTGAAATCATCTGAAACATTTGTCTGTGGTGCATTTGCTGGTGTCTTTGCCTCAGTTTTAACCCAGCCAGCAGATGTGGTGAAGACAAGACTTCAGTTGTATCCACACAAGTATAATGGGAATGGTGATGCTGTCTTATCCATATTGAAGGTATCCTTTGTAGTATACAACACTATTTTTAGGAATATGTAGTGGTTCACTTTTATCCTTGGTTTAAATATTATTTTCTGTTGTTGCAAACTTGTCATTATACACTGCATATTACCATAGCCAATGATAAAACCGAAAAAAATTAAATCAATGATAAAAATAGCTCTCTATATTTACAGTTATGTCTTTTGTGCACTTGCGATTCTATCGGCTCGCTGTGTCACATAAGCGTGAAATGTAACTGATTTTATCAAAGAAAAGAAAGTGTGATTTCTTGCATGGAAGAAAAAAATTTTGATGCCGTTACTCTTCACCTTCATGTCGTAGAGCATACCGATGACTAGGGTCAGAGAGAAAATGAAGCGTGACTTCTTGCATCAAGAGAAAATTTTTTTGATGCAACATATCATGCTTATTTTTCTGACACAACAGGTCACACCTCACATTCATGTTATGAAGCATGCTGATCAACCCTATGACCCCTTTTTTTGCAAAATATCTTTTGATGAGAAAAAAGTAAAAATGATAAAATAACAAGCAATGGATAGAGCATTTTAGTAAAATCCAACTAGTGGTCTGTTATCAATGCTGCGTTCTGATTTGTTGAGCTACTACCAGGCTATATGTTATAACCCACTAGTAGCGAAAAGCGCCGGCTTTGAAAACCAAAACGATGGCAACTGAATCACGTTTTGCTAGCTAAAGTTGTTTTGTCTCGACTTTTTTTACCAACTAGTTGGATATTACTAAGACAATTTTTTATTCCCCTCACTCTCATGGCCTCTGAGTCAATAGCCCATTCGGCCTTCAGCCTCATGGGCTATTGCCTCAGAGCCCATTTGGGCTGGAGGAATAATTATTGTTAAATAGACTGTACTTTTTTTCAAACTGAATCATACAGTATTTTGTACCTGACCTTCAGAACTATTGCTTTTCTTACTTAAGAACATTACAGACATGACATTAGTGTATATTGTTACAGTTTCTATGGAAACTGTAAGCTCAAAAATGAACCAAAACAAATACATAGTGCAACACTTACCAAGGGGATTTGCAAGTCAGGTCCCTGTTTATATTTTTGTTGTTGGTGATACTGTTTTTCATGTCATTTTGTCTTCATAACATCATTTCATTGCAGACACCCTCATTAATATTATTTTTTATTCAGGCTGTTCTATAATCCTTCCTGGTCCATTCTGGATCTGAAAACATTAACATTGTTTTGTTGTTGTTTTCAGGCAAATGGAGTAAATGGACTTTTCAAGGGTATTGTTCCTCGTACCCTAAGAAGAACTCTCATGGCGGCTTTGTCTTGGACTGTTTATGAACAGGTATAACATGCTCTGCTTTAAATTACAAAAAATCAAGGTTATGCTCTAAGAAAAATTGAAGGGAGTCCACTGCAATGAAATTAAGAAATCCTGGGTGCCCAGCATTATTCTTTTAGGATACAACTCCAATTTCTTAGTTGCCCAAGAGCGGTAGTAGGGCACAAGGGGCCACCAGGCATTGCTTGAGCACAACCCTGGGAATGGAACTATGTGAATATTATCCTAAGTGAACGTGTGATACCTGAGTATCTGACAGTGTACATATGTGTTTAATACTGTTATTGTCCATCTTTTCGGCAGCTCTCAAGGGAACTTGGGCTAAAGACTTGAGTTACATTGCCAGAATAGCCAGTAGTGCACTGTGTACAAGAGACTGTCTTGCCCAGGAGCAGGGAAGAGACAAACTTGATGGTCACATCAATGTCATCCGTCCTTGACAAATGCAAAGACTTCTGCAGACCACAAATATCTACGGCTGTGCCCAGTAGTGTTCAAAGACACGGAAGGCCACAGTAAACAAGATAATGTTTATAATTTAGTGAGATATAATAGTTTTGTCTCCAACAAATTTCATGCACCTTGAAATTCAGCTAACAGACACTGCTCATAAGCAGGCACTGACTGACTGTTCCCAGTAACGTACAAACACTGCACTTTAAACCTACTTTAGGCAACACCTCTTGTAAGTGGACACTTCACCTGGTTGAAAGGGTGTCCAGGAATATTTGAATGTGTCAATGCCACTGACAATGTCAAATGGGTAACCACTATTATATGAATTATACATGATACATTGTAAGGAAACATTTTTAAAGAAAAATTATTTTTAAAGTGACCACCTCTTTTGGACAAGTACAGCTTATTCTTAAGTTTTGTAAAGCTGTTCAGCAAAAGGTCATTGTCTAAGAACCTGTAACTCAAGGTTACAAATACCGTGGAGTCTTTACTCTGAGATACAGTAATGATGACACACGGTGTTACTCTAAGCAATCCATAGGAAGGTAAATACAAAAAATGACACTAACTTTTAATCCTTGAGAATTGTCTATGTGACACTTACAACAGTCAGAGTATTTACCTCTGTGCTGAAAAAGAGTGGTGAGGGGAATATTTTTAAACACAATGTAAATTAAGCAGAGAATTTAAATATGGACCGCGAGCAGCGCGCATGACGCACACGCGAAATCGTACCCCCGAGGGAGACGAAAAAAAACCTCGTTTTTGACATGCTTTATTGGGAATTTATCCGTCTCTTTTCCCTGCTCACGCGAAACGTCCCAAGCGATGATGAGCGAGGAGAGACGACTGAATTCACAGGCTAACGGGAATAAACCCAGTACACTCAACGTTTTTTAGGAAAAAGAAGCACTGCAAGCAGTCTTATTCAAATATGGTTTCAATCACTTATATGAAAATGTAAATAGTAGTAAATGCGGAATTTGTCATGTTAAAGAATTCTTGAAACTTTGGTTTCTCCTTAATAAAAAGATGGTTTTATAATCTAGCTCGATACTCTTACATCTGGTCGCGTTAAACATCTAGTAACACTTTTCCCTCACCTCACGTTTCCTTTTTTTTTTTTTTTAATTAGCCTGTTCCAGGCTCCAAAATGTAATGCGAAGCAACAGGAGCCCCAGACTGGTACCCCTCCAAATGTATAACCTTATTTGGCTTTTGTCTCAAAAACCTTTTCTCAAAATATCCTTTGTTCTGTTCCCCACGTTTCAACCCGGATGCTTTCCTTTGCAATTAAAGTTGGTTTTCATTTGTTACTGCATTCAGTTTCCAACATAGCTGCCACAATAGCTCCAATTTTAATAATAATATACTGCTTAGCAGGCGCCGATATTTTTTTAGGGCGAAAAGAGAAAATTCGAGGACGCGGCCTTTAAAAAAAATCAACCGGCGCCTGCTACGCAGGCCAAAAAATATTTCTCGTAGTTATTTAGCTTAAATCATAACAACACATAAAATCGTTTCACATGTTACTTCCTCGGCTTTTGCCTTAAGAGAATGATGTACCTCATTTCTAACTGCCCCGACCCCACTTTAAACACCACTCCCATCCGTAGCTACAAGAGAACATAAAACGCTTTTATTTTCTCTATCGTAGCTACAACTAACCACTGACGAACAGTTCCTGTGAATAAAAAAACATTCATTCATTTATTTTTGCCATTAACCACAAATGCAACAACAGGATACAGAAATGTATAATACATTAAAGAAAATATAGACTATTTTAACTAAATTATTTACAAAATCAAATGTTTAAAGTGGTAATGGCAAGAGAGCCTATATAGAAGCCGGGGGCTCATAAAACAAGCTAAACATTTAACAGGGGCACCCAGCGACTGTTTTCTGTAAGATATCTGTTCGAATAAGCACTTTTGCCTAGAATTTTCTTTAGCTTGAGGGCAGCCAAAAATTTCTAGATCACCGTTCCATTTATTTTACGATTTTCCAGGCCTACTATTTTCTCAAATTTAATTTTTACTTTTTCACTCCCCGGGTTAAGCTATATTTTGCAGTGAAAGGAATCCTAGAATTTTCGGATTCGAAACTGTGATGGACAGGGGAATCAGAAAAATTCATAATCGTAAAGCTTTAAAATCTAACATTTTCGGAAAACAATACTAAAGCCCTGATAGTTTCGAAAAGACCCAAGTTGCCCTAGAATGACTAAACGGATACAAATTTTATAGCGGCGCGGCGCTTAGAATTCGTTTCTAAAGATCTATAAATACTGTGGATAGCCTTAAAGTGTTTTGGATGTATTTAGCAGGAAACCGTCATTGAGTGCCCCTGATTTAAAGGAGGAAGTTTGATTGTTTTCGTAGCAATAGGAAGTGAATACTTGAATATTGCTGCAGAATTTTCTTGCGGGCGGTATTGCGGTTATTTTCAACTTACATTTGCAAGGAGCCTGGCTGTTTTAGTATTGTTTTCGATCGAACTGGCGGAATGCGGAAGTTTCTAGCGCTTCCTTTGTCGCTTGGGGCTTTCAACATCCCCTTTTGACAACCTCATCCCCGCGGTAACTTGAATTCAACCAAGGTCCCCGCCCCTGATCCGGTCGGAAACGAAAAAAAAAACGGGTATGAAAAGAAATTTATGCGGCTATGGAATTTAGCTTCTGCAAGTCAGTAATGTGTTGCCGTTTCTTCACGTTGTTTACTGCTCTCTACATGAACTGTACATGTGTCACTTACCGCTCGACCTGAGATTAAAAAAGCCCGTATCCGTACACTAGTCTACATAGAATCGGGTCGCTTCTCTGTGGAATTGTTGGCAACCGTCGGAACCGTGGGAGGTAAAACACTTTACTGAGTTTTAGTATAATGATAGTGTAGCTAGAGTTACGGGCCTGAGCAGGCTTTCGGCAATTGTACTTATTTCCGGAGCTATCGCTTTTTACACTGCGGTTGACTTGGTTTGTTTTTTGGGGGTTTCATCTGTTTATTAGCCTCCCACACAGACGTTCTTAAGGACGTCTGCATGGGAGGCTATCTGTTTATGTTTTCCTTGTTTCTTTAATATCTGTAACCTTCGACTTTTATATTCCAGGTACGCAAGTGAGTACTGGCTACGGTCTTTGCCTCTTTGAATCACAAGGATCTTTCGCGTGCTCTGAGTTTTTTTTTTTTATAATTTTTACTTTTTCATTAGACACTTGGCCAGAGGGATCCTGTGGGAAGAAGATATTAATTTAAAGGGGGGGAAATAAGGCGCGTGGGGGGAGGGGAAATCTCTCTTCCAATTGGGGCCTCCATGCGCTTGCTGTATTTTTTAATTATTTCTATCAGATGGTTGCCTTTCTTTTTTCTGAGCGTGTAGGAGGAGAATTGGGGCCTCCATGCGCTTGCTGTATTTTTTAATTATTTCTATCAGATGGTTGCTTTTCTTCTTTCTGAGCGTGGTGGAGGAGACATGACTTTCCTATGTGCTCTTAGTATTGAGTAAAATAAGGGCAATGGCTGTAATGAAGTTATTAAACCACCCCTGCCTATATGATTAGGAGATTTTGCCACAGGTCACGGCGTGGGTTACGTTAGGCACTGTCACGTGTTTTACTAACGAAGCGTCCTGAAGAGGACTTAAAAGTTTTAGAATCATATGTCTCTGAGAGATGAATCCTTTGTCTGAAGTCCGAAGTGCGAAGCTCGACGTCTGTTGGTCTCATGACCGTCTAGTGGCACAGCTGTAGCGCTAGCTTTCTTTATTTTCCCACCTTACTATTATATTGAAGCTTTAATCGACAGGTTTTCAAAAGCTTTTGATGTAAAAACTTCAGTGGAATTGTCCATCAGTGTATCGTTCTTCAAGTCCAGAGTCCAGAGTATACTTCTTGGAATGGTTTATTAAAGTAAGTTTTTAGGCAGACGAGTCCAATTTTCTTTGTTTCTTGAGAAGAGGACAAACAAAGGAATCAAGAAGCGTGGGTGACTTGAAAACTATGTAGAGTTTTGAGTAATAAGTGACTTTCAAGGCTCTCTTTTTTTCCCAACGTTTTTCGCTTTTTTTTATAATTATCGATTGATGATATGAATTGTGGTCATTTCGCCCCAAAGTCGATTCGCCTGAAGGCGTTCGTTCGCCAGGAATTCAATCGATTCGCTCGATGACATACAACACTCTACAAGGTGAACCTACCTCTCCGAGATATTATATAGTTAACCTTGGATTCCACATGTGCAGTCACTGTCTTTCCATGCTTATTCCTTTTTCTCAGGCGTTTAAAAGAAAGACTAATACACATTTGGCGAACTGCCATCAGGCGAATCGACCTTCTGGCGAAATGACCCGATACCTTCATATTATTATTTACCACTAATTAATATTTTGTGACGTCATGCTATTGCGTAAATTTCGTGGGAGGACTGGAACGAACTTACTCGGCGTTTTTCGAAAAAGAAAATTCAACATGGAGGAAACTGCTGAATTACGGGTGAGAGAAAAACGAAAAATTGTGACTTTTCGAGGGAGCATATACTGATAAATTTTAACATGCTTTTCTTAATGTTTTCGCAGCATATGTTGATGAGTTTCCGCGTGTCTGAACTACAGTCACTTCTCGGTTTTGCGGGTCGTTCAAAGTCGGGAAGAAAACATGAGCTCATGGGTCGGGCGCTTCAAATGTTAAAAGGCGAAGGAAATCATGCCGTTCGAAAGAAACTGAGGGAGTTATACGAAAGACGATGTGGCCCACGGAAAGTTGTTGCTCCTCTGCCGCAGCTTCGAACAGTTATTCCAGCGCCGGTACCATCGCAACGGCCATCGTCGATAAATTCAGACACGAGCGGGGTTCCCGTCCATCCGGATGTTCGACTCTCTCGCCTTCCTTTCTTTGAACATATCGACGATTTGGTAAGACCAACAAGCTTAGGTAAGTTTTAACTCTACAATTTGCCGTTGAAGATAAAGATTTTCTTCATTCATCTTATTTTTGCCTCTAAGCAATAAATTGTTATTTCCAGCTTAGCTTATGATACGACTTAATTTTTTGAAGATTTTCTTTGATGCGTAATGTTAAATTGTTTATTCATCAGGGCAAAAATACTCATAATATCCACGTTTAATCGCATCAGTCTTGTCTTTTAAACTTATTCCCTTTGAATACAACTAAAATTTCGATGAATTGTGGAGGCGAGTTATATTTATTCTCTGATCTGAGTTATTGTCCTCCTTTACGTGTAAAAGCAATAAGCTTCGCTGAACCCATGTTTTGTTTTTACGACGTTTACTTCGACAAGGAAACAGCTGAGTTTCTTTGTTTAAATTGTACTTTAGAACAATTTCTTCTTCGAAGAATCATGCTTAATTTACAAGTGTGCGTTGTCTAATTTGTCTTATGGTGCTGAATGATTGTAGCAATATAAGCTTACTAATGCTTAATCGAAGGTGGTGCTCTGTTAACATGTTTTGATGCGTTTATATACAGTTGTTCTGGTTTTTTATGCTTCACTTGTGTTGCAAAGGGTTGGAGATGTTCAAAATTACTTGTCAACAAGTTAGTCGTAAAAATTGATTTTATCCGTTTGTGTCTCGAGAGATGTACTCACTGATTATCAGATTAGATCATTTCTTATACAATCCTCTGCCAGTAAAATCTGTGTCATGAATTGACATCATAAACAGAGAATGAGAAGTCATTACATTTGTTCAGAGTTTTATCAGTTTTGCCTTTAGATAGTTAGGTATCAGAAAGTTTTACTTAAAACGATATCTGGATCACGCTAATTACAAAATGGTGAAACTTTCGATCTAAAGAATGAGGAAAATGAACAGGGCATGCGTTGATGGCAAATTTGATGCTGAATACAGCACTTTTTGATATTTTGCTTGAAGACAGTGGTAGTCGTTACACTAGCACCTAAATAAGCTAAGAAATATTTCAAGACAAGTAAATTTTAAATTCTTCAAGTAAAAGGAAGCTTCACACAAACTGTCTTCCTTACTTCATGTTAACGTAAGGCTATTTTCCTATGCAACATAATTAAGATTGATTGATATGCTTCGCCTGTCTCTAAGCTCAAGAAACCGCAAGTTTGCTAATTGGGTTTTAAGGATGGTTTTCAAGTCACTTGACCCTTTCTTGAATCGTTTCAACTTTACGACTTTAATGATATGCAAAGTAAAATAAAGTTCTTCATATTTTACTTAGGCCTTCATGCACATATCTTTGGTTAAGTAAAACTTAGTAGCTCTTAAGTCTTACTTAACAGCCTAGTGTAAAGAAAGCGAGCATTTGACGTGGACGGAATTTAACAAAAAAGTGCCGTAAACTTCTATAAAGCCATAAAAAAGAATCTATAAGCATCCATAATACTCCAAAACGAATCTCACTCATACCTATTTAAAAGAATGAAAGAAGCATGCTGTTTCATGGAAATGGGACAAGTTTAACACTTCTTGAGGCGTGTGTCTTCCAGCACACCGGAACCCGTGTATCAGTACCAAAGTAATGGGTGAACCTTGTATAAGAATTGTATTCCATACATTCTTTAATGTCCGGGGCAAACAAAATCATTATTAAATAATGACAAATTTTGTTCTACTACATTGTTCATTTGGGTTAGAGTGTTAGGGTTTCACTGCATACATGGCAACTCTTCCTGACTATCTATAAATCTCCCAGATACAACACGGATCTCCTTGTCTCTTATATGGGTTACTAAAGCTCCTAAATGCAAAAGGCTTGGAGGTCTTCTATTCTGTAGCCAGAAATTTACTCCTTACAAAGATCATCTCTATCAAGTTATAGTTTAAAAACAAATGCTGACAGTCCATATTTCACATAACACTCCATAATTATAATGTCCCAAGCCACACCCACATAATTCAGAGACTGATCAAGTCAATTTGTGTTAGGGGTGGCTAGTTCCCAGAAGGTCACAGTTCTCAAAACTCTTGGAGTTTAAGCTCTAATCCTCTGAGTTTGAAACAAGGGTCTGAAAGAATTAATTTATAAAGTAGTGGCCAAAGGGAAAATGCTGTGATCTTTAATGAAATTCACTCTTAACTGTTATTAGTTTAAGGAAATGTGTGGAGATCAGTCTGAAGAATGCATAAGTAGTTATTGGGGTTAAAGGGTTCTTTAAATAGTGATTCAAAACTGAGGCCTGGCATTGAAATTTCATTGCAATAATATACACTTTTTGAATTAAAACTATCTCTTGAGATGATTGTGGCTATTGCATGGCCATTCAAAGCCTTTAATAAAGTTTTGATACATCTTTAAATGTCATTACCTGGTTATTGTCAGTGATAACTTCCCTTTTTTCTTTGTAGTCCCACGTGGAATGTCACAATTTCAAGAAGCATATGTCATGTTTCATTTGACACCAAGCCAAGTACAACTTATAAGTAATTCAAGGTGAGATTTAAATGAGGCAAGTGAGTTCAATATTGAAGTAGCCACTGGTATCAATTAATATGATGATAGTAAAATGTTTGTGTGCATTTAATTCAGTACTTGTCGTACCAAAAATGCTGGGATAAGTTCACAGATTTAGATGGGGATGCTTATTTGTTGGGGGTGCTTATGTCACTTTCTAAATTTTGACCTTAAAATAACATTGTCTAAATTTTGAGTAAACACATTGTAACTAATCTAGAACAAAGATCTTAAAAAGAACAAACACAAATCTGAGCGGTCACTCTCAAAGTTAGGTCATCTAAGTTGCAGTTTCCAAATCTTTATATTCTACTTCTTTTGCTGTACATTTTGCTTTTTTTTCCTTTGTTCAAAGACGTTTGGGGAGACAGTTTAAACAGGGGCAGTTACTTTTAGTTTCAAAGCTGGGAGGCAATAATTAGAAGGGGATACCTGAACTAGCAGGCAGCAACTTTGCCACTTGCGGTGGAATATCTGTTGCTTACTCAACACTAACCAGGCTGAGTATAGGTCTAATAGTAAATAAATAAAAACCATACGACCATACACTTTGACTGGATGCTTACTTAAAGGAGGACACTTCTTTGAGCATTTACAGCACTTGACAGTGATTATTTGAAGTACTAGTACTTTTTTTGCTAATGTGCATAATGCTTATTTTTTAAGGGATACCCGGCCAAATTCTAGGAATGAATATACAGTACAAGTGCTACTGAGGTTCGTGGACTGAAAAGTTTTCTTGTTTATTATTATCAGCATTAGCATTGCAAAGAACTATTTTGTCATAATAAAAATAATGCTTTCTTGTTTTGTAGATTTTGTTTGTTTGAAACAAGTTGTGAACAAGAGGACCACTTTCCTTCATCGCTTTGTATCAAAGTTAATGGGAAGATATGTCCATTACCTGCTGTAGGTTTTACACTTGTTTTACCTTGTTCAACAAAGTATTGTTAACATTGCTTGTTTGAAAATTGGCTTGATATCTCATTCATCATTATAATGTATTATTGCCATCAAGCCATCCAAGCGAAGACCCGAGGATGGTGAGGCGGCAGCAGAATAGAGCCGCGCAAGACTGGGCAATATGCAGAAAAGTTCTCCATCGAGCTTCAAAAAGTGTAACCCAGTAATTTGTAACCCGTAACCATGTAACCTGATCTAATGAAGATTCCCCTGAGACCAAGTGGTATAGCACCTTTTCAAAATAATAATCCATGCAACAGGATGGGACCAAGAAACCTTTAAATGTTGGAAAAAAGGAATCCATTCCTATGGAAAATATGCATGAATTGCTTGTTGGCACTCTACCTAGTTATATTATTTTGCATTCTGTAATTCCAAGAAAAAATCCATATTAACCCAATGGAAGGGTTTTGCTCTATGACCTCTGTTTTTTTTTATTGGCCCCCAATGTACCCCCCTTACCCTCCAGGTATCTTAACTAAGATACCAAATTCAGGGTTGTCATTAAGAGCTGCGGGCCGGGGATTTTCCCTGGCTACTAAGAGAGTGGCCCCTGGCTACTTTTATTGGAAAATAGAAGAAAAATAAAACCAAAAGAAATCCCTAGCCATCTGATTCCCTGCCTACTTGTTGTATTTACCTGGAAACTTGAAATCTTAGTGATAACCCTGTAAATTGATCAGTGCCCTCTGTGCATTTATCAGTCATCTTCTATGTGGTTTCAATTAATGATAAAACCAAATTATTTCCTACAACAATACATTCTATCAATATCTTTGAAAATGAATGATATTTTCAATGATTTGTGAACTTGACATTTTTACTTTCAGGGGTATGCCTCACAACACTGTAATCCAAATAATCCAAATGTTGAACCCAAGCGACCCAGTAAACCTATTAATATAACACCGCTATGTCGACTGTCACCAACGGTTCCAAATAACATTCACATTTCATGGACACCAAAGTTTGGACAGGTATGGACAAACAGAAACCTTTTATTGATAAAGTCATGTAACCATTAGAGTACGATTGATGGATTGACTGTCTACTGTTAAAACTTGTGGTTTAGACAAATTTGTAAGGAGTTTTTCAGTGTGGGGAATTTTTAATTGGGTCTTGGGGTTTAAACGGGACAAATTTTTCCCAACAATTTGATTAGATCTATATGTTTTTCAGATAGACAATTCCATTTTTTAATTTTGTTAAGGACAGTTTTAAGCCCTTGGTTTTTGGAATGAAAACAAAGAATTTTCCTGATAATTGAATTTTGCTTTACCTATGGTGTTAGATTATCGAATTTTTTATTAATGAATGAATATAATCTTGAATGTGATGAGAACAAAAGTATGAAAATGCCACAAATTATAGTTTGTTTTTCTGACAGATTGTTTTTCTATTTTATTAATTTTCTTCAGAGGCATGTGATAACAGCAAAACTTGTCACAGCAGTCACATCCAGTTGTTTGATTCAAAGACTAAAAGCAAATGGCTACAGAAACCCTGATCACTCAAGAGCACTAAGTAAGCTGTGTTATGGATTTATTATGTAACAGACTATTTTATTTAATATTTGAAGAAATGAAATTGATCAGAAGAATTTAGATAGCATCTTGTCATAATAGCAAACAAAATAGAATCTGGTTTTTGTTAATTGCCAGTAAATGCGCAATAATATTAAAAGTGTAACAAAAACTAACATCTGTGTCTGTGTATTACGTACATGTAGTGCATGTAATAAGCTTGCAGTTTTAAAGTGATATGTATCAAACATGAGTCACAGTGTTTCATTTGGATGAAATGCCTATGTTAAGTTTAAAGGCCCTAAAGTCCTTTAAGACTGCAGTTTGTGCTGGAACATCTTAGAAATTGTTGCTCACTTATTCAACTCCAGTTCTTAAGTGGCTAATACGACAAAGTAACTGGAAGAAACTTAGCAACAAAAGATAGAAAATAAATAAATAAAAATGATCGTTGTTGATGCATTGACTTCTTCGCTAATAAGAATCGAGTCCTTGAAAGTCCTTGAGCCTTTAGACCAAAAATCGTGAACCCAGTACCTGTGGTAGTTGCCAAACTGTAAATTAAAGCCAGTTTTGAGGTACAAACAACCCTTAATTATGATTTTGTTAATAAATATACTATATAAACTTTGTTGTTTAATAAATTTCTAGTAAAAGAAAAGCTGGCACATGATCCAGACAGTGAAGTAGCCACCACAAGTTTAAGAGTGTCACTTCTATGCCCAGTGAGTATTAAGGAGATATCCTTATAGAGGAGATCTTGATGTTCATGATCTGTTTGCTTTTCTTTTTCAAAGTTATGTTCTGTCAGAAATAGGATCTGCAAGTAACATTCTCCATTGGAGTTGTTTATCCATTGACTTCTGCTGTTTAACACAATAGGGAAGTCATATTTCACCAATGAACAGCTTTGATCTTGAGAAGAAAACACACTTATCAAGTTTCACTGACAGAGGTGCATGACTGAAGGACCTGTAGCTGAAAATAATATGTGTTAGGCAAAATATGATTTATTTTTAGCAGGATGCACAACAAAAGCTTGAGTAGAACCTGCAAATGCTGGATTTTTATCAAATGGATTGTTGAATTCGGCTTAAGCTTGAATTTTCAGGAAAGTTTTCTAGAATCAGTATGGCTTCATCATAATTATGACAAACACTTCATTTTCTGTTTTACTTTCTTGTTAGTTTACAACATTACATTACTGAATCAGATCCACACCTGGATTCACCCGAGTATCACAAACTTGTGTCAAGGAATTTGGCAAAGTTTTTGATAATGAAAGAACATTGCCAAACATCACCATGCTACAACATCCAACATTGAGCAGCAGAGATAAGGATTTGTTTCTTTGAATATACTCTCACATTGATTGTTTACAAGTTTTTGTGTTGCTGTTTCAGCTTGGCAAGACTCGCATGACTCTTCCATGCAGGTAACTTTCAATTTATTATTACAAAATGAGATGTTTCAGAACTCCCTTATATCCACATGTCACTGTGTTGCTGCATGTTTGCATTGCATCATGTGAGGAGCTTGCTTCTACTGATTGCTTTAAATTATAATCTTGAATCTGAAAAAGGAATGTTTGCTTAGGAAAAGGCTCTAAAAAGTCTTGAATTTTTCACCAAAAAAATCTCCACAAACCTGAAATCCTCCGTACAGTGTAAAACAGAGAACCAACAGTTAAGTCAACCTACATATGGCATCGATCAACAGGGAGACGTGTGCTGTCACCACTGTGCCATTCATCTTCCCCCTGATGCATCAAAGTGTACCTCCATGTGAAAAACTCACAACAAAACTGATGAAAGAGTATGTTATCAACACTACCCACACCATAACTTGGCTGATATCAATATTATCTCTTTCCATGCTAGTGTTAAACAACTTAATATACAACAGTCAGATTTAATTGATCATCAAACTATCTTGTATTTTGTTACTAGGGCGAACACATGCAACCACTTGCAGTGCTTTGATGCAGCTCTGTTTTTACAGATGAATGAAAGGTAGGGTGTTCTGTTTTTTTTTTTTTTTTTTTTTTGTAACCATAATTTGAAATTAGGAAAAGAAAAGGATACTGGTTTGAGAATCTTCAAACCAAAGGAATCAATAGTGACAGCTATCCTATTCTCAATACAGGACTCAACTCCCTTTATAAAGCAGACTTTGTAGGTATCTCAAGTTAGCACCCTCATCAGCTAGAGTCCGTAATAGCAAGAGTTTATTTCAGTCACACATCTGTAATTTATTTTTGGCCCAGGATTTAGCTGCAATCCATATTGTTGGATGTCTGTTATAGCCAGATGTTTACAAGGCGAGAGTTGACTGTATAGAAACCAAACAATACATGATGATTATTTTAATGAGATGTACATCAACTAATGACTAACTTAATTATTGTACAAATTCATGACTCGACTTGTAACCAACTACTCTTGTTACTGTCCAGATTGTGTTGTATTTTCCTTTTTCCTTATTACTGGCAATAATCTGGTCAAAATACACTTTGTAGGAAAACAACATGGATTTGTCCAGTATGTGACCAGAAGGCACCATTTGAAAAACTAGTGTTGGATGGGTAAGATCCTAAAATTTTTAGGATGTTTAATGTTTTCACCCTTGCTTTTCTTTTCATGGCAATCCATTCCTGTCCCATTTGTTGTGAGCATTGAATTCTTTTATGTAGTCTCTACTGTGCTGTGTTCAAAATATAATGTCTGACATTGTTAATAGAGATCTGCATAACAATAATTTATTGATCCATTCAGTCTTGGAGATTTTGCCAAAAATGCCTTTTGAAGCTAGTTGGGCTGACATCTGGTTGCTGCCCAGCCAAAACAAACCAAAACTACTCAAAAGGCCATAATACAAGTCAACCACTTAACAGTCTTCTGTTCTTGATGTTACGTAATCAGCTTTTGAAGTTCGGACATGCACAGAAAGCAAAATTTTGAGATTGTTTCTGTGGTTTAAAGTGGCACTTTCCCCTCATCTTTGACTTTTTCAATTGTTGGTGTTGCAGATTGTTTAAGGAGATTCTGGAAGCTTCACACTGTAATGAAATTTGTTTTTATGAAAATGGTTCTTGGAGACCCATAAGTGACCAAGGTATTTATCATGCATTTGTACATAACAAGGTTATACCGTAAAATTCCGAAAATAAACCCCTCCATGTATAAGCCCCTCCAAATATAAGCCCCCCAAAACTGTAATGCAAAAAACCCTCCGTTAAATCGCCCCTCCGAATATAAGCCCCCCGGGGGCTTATACTCGGAATTTGCCCTCAAATACAAAGTAAAACAAAGCAAAAATGGTAAATTTCCTTCCCACTACAAGCTAGCCCTATCGATTTTGAAACACAAATTTCCCTTCGTACATAAGCCCCCCCGAATATAAGCCCCCCCCCCCCCCAAAAAAATAAGCCCCTCAAAAAGGGCCTTTGAAAAATATAAGCCCTTATAAGCTTATTTTCGGAATTTTACGGTATTGAATAATAACGTAATCCTTTGGAGCCAATTTAGAAGAAAATAGCACATCATGCTGCTGAAAATTCACGGTGATAACTTGATATTTACATTTGTACTGGTTAGGGGTTTTCTTATGATATTTGATTTCTTTTGTAAATTTTTTATTATTCTAATTGACAAATGTGCCTCTCTTCATTCCTAAGAAAATGAAAGTAAAAGAGCAGTCAGTGCTTTGGTCTCCAACACAGTACCCTCACCAGAAAGAAGTTCCAGTAGTAAAGTACATGTTGAAGGTTTGTAATCTGGCATCACACATACCTTTTGTTCCTGTTGTATTATATACCCCTCACCTGTTAAAATTTCCTTTAGCTGTACAGGTGGGAAGCCATATAATTTATTTTTCTGGTATAAATCCTAAATCCTAAATCACAGGAAGGAGCATGATATAGTTTTAAGATAGACTGGTAGGGGTCGTCCTTCTTTCCTTCGAGCCATATGCAGCGAGCAGTAAAGTAAATTAATGTTAAAGAGGAGGAGAGATTGGGGCTAAGAGAGGAAAAAGTACTTCCCTTGGGCTTCTATCCTTGTTCATCTTGGTTTGTCCACACGCTCTTCACGCTTGCCCTCAGTCTTCTGTTACTCAAAAGAAATATAAGAGACTGCTTACAGATAAAGTTTTAGGACTGTTTTTTTTTCTCCTTTCAGGGTAAGGAAAAAGTTTTTGGAGACTTGTCCAATGCACAAGATCTTTTTATTTTATTGTCGGTCCATACTCCAGTGAAGAAGACAGCATATTCCAATTTTATTCATTGCAACTTTTTGTTCAGAATTCAAAGACGTAAAATTGCAATGTACTTGGTATCGCAATGTCCATCATTATATAATTACAGTAGAATTGAATGTAAATGCAGCGGTAGAGATCTGTGAAAGTCATTCCTCGACAATGTTATTGTTATCTTGTGTTTTACGTGTATACTGGCTGGATACTGTTTTTTAATGTTTGTTTGTTTGTTTTTCATCTAAAACACTGCTTCCTGATTATTTAGCTTTTCATCTGAACTGCCCTTCTCCGAAATACGATTTAATTCCTTGTCAATCTCTGATAATGTGTGTCACAATCTAAAAGGACCATTAACTTTTTGTCCATCTAGCTCAATCACAGCAACCTGAAAAGAAAAAAGAAAAAGGTGTTCAAATTATCGACCTCACTCTGGACAGCGACAGCGAGAGTGATAGGGATGATGAAACAGAAACAGAAGACCAAGATTACATTGACAGAAGAGGGTTAAATACACCAAGGTAAAGCACTCATACTTGTCTCAGCATGTATTTTAATGCAGGCCAACCTTTTATTAGGGATCCCATATTATGAACTACCATTTTGCCAAAATAACCAAAATCAATCTTCCTAGTCAGAGCACCTTAGTTGGAGTCACTTTCAGTAGGCGGGTGACCTTCAAATCTTAACCCTCTCAAGTCCCAATACATACACCGTATTCCACTGGAAACACAAGTAGATTCCACTGCACTCTCTACAGCACCGTCTCTAACTCTCTTCGTGAGAGACATATGGAAGTGATGCAAGCAAGGCTGACACCCTTGAGCCAAACGACTGACCTCTGACCACGCCCGCGCTCTTTGTTGCTTGACTGTGTTAAATAAATATTTTATTTAACACAGAAAAATACATTAAATATTTTATTCAACTTCATACAGACTTCCGGTAACTGCAATGGAATCTAGTTGTTGACGAGTGGAATCTGGTGGAGTATAGTACGCATTTTTTTTTCCAAGAGTTATCAGCATCACGTTTCTCCCAACATTACCCATACACAAGCAAGGGGAGTTATAAAAATGATGACCCAATTACAAAATATTTTGCTGACGTTTTTTGGCAACTCCCTCCCTCCCTCTCCCCGATTATAACTAGTGAAAGTCTCCTAATATATTGTAATGTGTATTTTACGTGTTTTCGTTGCCTTGTGATTGCAGGCCCCCTGTGAGTAGCATGATTCCAAGCATGAAAAATCCACCAAGTTTAAACTCCATGGCATTTTCTTCTGCACCCAACACTATGCCAGGATCACCGCATGCATCGTCATTGTTAAATCCAAACTTCTTCCCTCCCCCTCTCGATTTTCCGTGCCAAAGTAAGTAATTCCATTCTGCTATTTTACATTTTAAAAACAGATGATAATACGTTTCTATTCCTCATCGTCTACCTTGCATTAAACCGCTCTGAATTTTTAAACAAACCCTTAGGTACATTGTAGGCGTTTCCTTTTGCAAAGCGCATGAGGTTTGAGGAATCATGGGCACAAAAAGAGATACTGAGAGCTAAATTGGACAGACTTCTCCTCCACCCCGATCGCCAACCACTCCTTTTTACTTTGTTTTCTCTTTCTATTTTTTTGCATCCTATGCTTTCTCTCCCTTCATGCGCGTAAAAACGAATGACTTCCACGCAGGCTTCAATTGAGGCTACTTTCCTACGCATTCGTTTTCAAATCGACACAATGTATTCTCATGACTTTGCAGAGTTAACACGAATCAGAAGACGTTCTTAGTTTAAACGCCTTCTAGTAGTCTCTTCGAATCCGGGGGCATGACAAAATAAGACCCCGGGACTGGGGTCAGTTACAACAGAGAACTTGTCTAGTACCTGAGCAAGTGAAAGGTTAGAACGAACTTATTACAGGGCGACAGACTTCAGTTTCAGTTCTACAGCCTGGTCTGCAAGTTTACCGTCAAACTTCTTCGTACTCAGATTTCAGGCTTTCTCTCCCAGGATTGTGCGTACAATAACTGAATAATTAAAAGTTTGCCCATTAATTTGTTCTTTTTCTTTTTGTTAGATCTTGATCTCGACTTATACCATCTGCTTCCGAATGAACCACCGCCGCCGGTAAGTCCAACACACGTGACGTCTTGTGATTATATCGTTAATCATCTTGAACATCCAAGGCCTGCAAATAATGTTCTTTTTAAAACTGACGTGTCTGCCACCAGTTCACCGTTATTGTCAGTCAAACCAGATATCAGCACGCATACTTAATTAATCTTCAAATCTTCAGCCACATTATGATGGTGTTCAGCACAGGCACCCCAAGCTCGCGAGTGAGAATGGTTGTTGCGTTACAGAAATATTATAAAGGTTTGAAAGAGGATATTAGCGATCTTCATTTGGGTATCAGAATTTCTTACCCAGTCTCCTTGTTCTATCTGAACAACGGCAGAACTCAAACTCGCTGGAGTTGCTGAACTGCTTATTTGGTTTTGCGAACCATCTCGGAGCCTGGAACAGGCTATGTTTACCTTGGAAATCCTATTCTCTAAACATTTGCACCTTTTGTTAGCGACCACCTGTATCCAATATGTCGAAATTTTCCCCGTCGAAGCCTTGTAGTTGAAACCTACGCCTTCAAGCGCGCATATTTGTGTTTGAATCAACAGCTTTAAACTGGAAGCGTCGAAATATGTAGGATGTCATTCATGGTTGTATTTGTTTGTTTTCCACAGTATATGTATCACGGGTTTCTTGGGCCTCACACATCTTCAAATGTTATTCAACTGGACTGACTGCGTGGATTTCATTGACCAACGAAGAAGTCGGAAAAGGTCTCTTTCTCGACTTATCCAATTCCCAGGAAATCACGCGAAGGAAGGAAAAGAAGATTTCGGTCTTGGAATTAAACTGGAAAGTGCTAGGCAGTAACAACTGCCCTTTGTTTCAATGAACAAGAGAACGAGGAAAATTCCATCTCCCTTCCTCCTGTCGGTCCCTGTTTGTTTCATGGAGCACTGATGCCTGAAGAATTCAGACTGTCAGAAAAATTTAACAGTGTACAGTAACAGCAAGAATACATCAATTCCCTTGTCTTTGCTCTGCTTATTTAACAGTTTCATTACTGTTTTTTACAGTACTTTTTAAATTTACCCTGTGCAAAATCGAGAGAAACCAACCCGCCAACCCCGAACAAAATACCTACCGAGCTGTAAAGAACAAAGAAAAGGAGAGCATGTAGTGTTGGACTTTGACCCGGTGCTCAGCAGCCAGTTTGGTTTGATCAACGCAGAGAGTTTGCGACCCGTAAATATAGTGGAGAGAAACAGTCGTGAAGAAGTTACTGTAGTGTAGTAGTCGCCGCAGTCTACCCCGTTTTACAACAGTGAAACTACACTTTGCCCTTCCTCCACAGTTTTCGTTACTGTGAAGTTGTAAGAGATGTAGTCTGTGCAGTAATACTGGACATTAGTCAAGCCATTTTTTTCTTTAAATTAGCTGTGATTTCTTGAGAAAACGCGAAGGAAAGAAGGAGCTATTTATTTTCTGTCCGTGTCGGGAAATTCAATGTTGAAAGGCCAGCGAAATAATTCTATGTTTTACAGGAAACTATTTTACGACGCCAAATTTACCAGGGAAGGCCTTAATATGTTAAAAACTGCAATGATTGCTTCTATTGTGAATCTCAATTGTATATATATGTATATATATAGCTTTTACAGGAACTTTGCGGAATTTTTGACTCTTATTTTTCATGTCTAATATAAGTAACAACAAATGTTTCTTTGAAAGAGGTCAATAAACTTTACTAACTACAAAGCTAAAATTTCTGGTCTGTATTTGCTTATTTTGCACTCTGAGTTCAGATAAGGTACTACAAGAGCGCCGAAAACGTCCTTTGTTTGTAAACATGCTTCTTTTTACGAAACTCTGGTAACTCTTTCCTGGTTGTTGTTTAGTTATCTCGGAAAGGTCCAATTTTAAAAAGCTGAACAACGGTTTCAGTAAAGGTGGAAACCTTTTATTGAAATCGCATCTTGTCAAGCGCTAGCTGATTTTCCAGCTGTCCGCAATCTGAATACCAATATATTAAGTGCCAAGATCGTGGGTTCTTTCCTGCAGTCTAGCTGCATGTGTGCTGCATTAAATTTAAGCAGACCGCCCTTTGTCAGACAGTCGGAATCGTTTGAAAAGAGTTTCGTTATTTGTTGGTTCCAGAACATGTCCGAGGCCCGGCTCAACTACTGACTAGAGAAAGTGGGAAGCAAGGGGCATTGAGAAAGCCACTCAAATCTCTCTTCCGTCCCGATTAGGTTAGGACAAGTTGTGCTTTCTCCCAGTAGGTTCAGGTGCATATATTGCCTACTTCCTTTAGCCTGCAGTGCAGGCGTTTTCTTTGAGCGCGCAATTTGCTCGCGAAAGCACTATGTTGAAGCTTCACGAAGAGAAAGGAGATGGGGCGAGTCAAAGGGGGCGGGGAGAGAGAAGAGAAAACGCTGTATTTTTTTCCTCCCCTCCCCCCTTTCCTTCTTTCGCCCTCGCACCTACCGTAAGGGAACACCGCGGCAAAACGCAATGCGCATGAGCACAAAATATGATATCCGGTCAGCTTTTTATTTCCGGTCTAGTATATAAACCAATAGCGTAAGCATAACTTTGCCGTCGCGCCAAGTTTAAAAGCAAAAAGGGCGAAACAGACAAAAAAGGGGGCCAAAAAAATCACTTCATTCGAAAGCTTATATATTTTTCTATTCTCAAACTTTTGCACCACATGGTTATCTGTTATCAAAACAAAAGATGGGCGGGATTTAATAACAACTTTGACTTTGATGACTGCAGTCACCGGGAAACTAAACATGCCTATAAATGACTTTCATTCAAGAAAATGCCTATTTAATTCTTTTACATGGTTGTTCTTTTGTTGAAGACTTCAATAATTTCAGACTGTGCGGCTCGGATGCATCTCATGCAAACACGAAACTTCTAGCTGCTAAATACATGGCATGAAAAGTTCGACCTCTAAAAGCCACTGAACCAGCTTTCGCTCTCTGATTCTGAGAATGGAAAAATAAATAAATAGAGTTGTCAACTTGCTGCCAATCGGCTCAACAGTATAATTAAGCTTATGTTTCATGGCAATCAACCCAGAAGAGTTTCGTTTTAAAACACGGTAAAACCCACTGGTAAACAAATAAAGTTTGAATCGGCTTTAACGCATGTAGACTGAGAAACTGAAGAACTGAAAATTAGAACTACAATACACAAGCTTGCAATGATAACGTTTTAATTTTATGTCTTAGTTTCAGCCAGGTTAAGTGAAAAATAACAGTCAAAAACTTTATTTTCGTGAATGAAAATCAGTTTACCTGACGCTCTAGCCAAAATTACACACTGAGTTATTATCATCTTACCTTTTCTGAATCTAATCGAGTAATTGTTTCAGTGATCTGTGCCTAGTTATCCATAAAAGCAATTTCAATAACTACAAAATAGTCAAAAACACGAGCAGCATAAAGCAGAACAACTGAACCACAAGCTGCACACAGAATGAAGCTGAGAGCGCGCGGGAGACTTTGACTGGAACGTAGCTGGAACGTGTGACTGAAAAAGAGACCGGAAATGCTCAAGCTGGCGCATGCGTAAACGTTTTGCTGCGGTGTTCCGTAAGGGTTACTATTTCTACTCTCCCCAATCTTCCACTGTCATAAAACCAATGATGGTGGCTACAACAATATTACGAACACGAACAAGGTTTCGCCCACCCAAAATACGCCTGCACTGCAGGCTATACTTCCTTCGCCTCATCACTCTGTGCGGCCTATGTGTTTCGGGTCACGTGGCCCAAGCGACTGTGTCTCGCAATACCTCACCGAAATGCTTTGACCGAGATAGCCTGAGAAGACACTGTGCAGGGACTAGTCAACTGCAGGTATAAAGCGGCCTCTAATCGCTCTACACTACTGCAGACGTCCCCTACGACGGAGAGCGACGTGGGGCCGCTGTACTAGCAGGCAATTGGGTTGAGCAGAAAGAAGTTACCTTTTCACCTTGGGGACAAGTCTGAAAAGTTAAGGTTTACGTAAAATCACTGTACTAGGTTGCGATGTGCGTCCCCGCGGACTCCCTATGGTTATGGACGATTGAAACAATAATTCATCGATTATTTTTTCTCTGCGCTTTTTAATGTTTTACTGCATTTTATTATTACAACAGTAGAGACTTGTCACTAAGAATTTTTTTTCCCTCTAAGTTTCGGGTCTTGATTTCATTTCGCAAATATAACTACAGAAAAAAATGTTTCCCTATGGGGTTGCTATTTCTCTCGTAATTTTCTGACCTGTACCCTTAAATCCCCCACCCTCTTCCCCCAAATTATTTTCAACAAAGTTTCACCGAGTATTTGCAAATCTAAGACTACACACAAAGATTAACGTATTTAATTTCGGGAGAATTATTCTCAGCGGAGGATATGCCGGTTTCGCTTGTGGATTCTGCCTGCTCGATGTCCTGGGAGACAACGGTTTCTTCACCTTCAGTGTGAATCGCCTCAGAGAAGAACACATCCATTAGACCTGTAGAATTACCTTGATAAACAGTTTTTTCTTCATCAATGCTGTTTTGGCAAAACGTCGAAACAGTGTTTAGGAACAATTGCCGAGGAAGGCTTTCCAATGAAGCGCTGATTGGCGCCTCCAAAGAGAGAAAGACTCGCTGTTCACTCGGCTCAACCTCGGGATTGCTCGTCGAACCATCCGATTCTACTCTCGCAACGTTGGGTCCGGGTAGGGGACCTGGTGTCAGGTACGCAGAGATGTTAATATCTGGAAGGTCTGTGTTTCCTTCACTTAGTCTCTGTGCTGTAAGTTCACCTTTAAAACCAAACGAAATAAAGTTTCAAATAATCAAGTTTATTTACAGTCAAACCAGGTCAAGCGTTCCCGTCGCTAACGAACTAATGAATTCATGAACGGAAAAATGATTTCGTTGGTTGATTCAATAATCCATTCATAAAATGAACAATCCAACATTCACATTTAGCCACGATTCCATAATCGAATGTTGATTCGATTACTGTTTTTTTAAAAACTACACTTTCCACAAGTCGACCTCAGTTGAGTGCGGGCTAGTTCTGAAGTTCAAACCCAAACAAACTGTTACATGTACGCCATTTTGCTGCCAGTAATCAGTGCACCAGACCTGACCTCTTAGAAAACACGATGGTCAAACTGAGGTCAGTGTATTAGCGGTGATTGGTGGATTTCGATCCTCGGCCTTTGTCAGTTTCTTTGCGTTTGCGGTCTGTCTATTCTAGCAGTTATTTTGATTAAAGGAAATGAAAAACCCAATCGTAAACGGCAGGAAAAGGGAAGCAAATTCGATTGAACACAACAGACGAGAATAAAGAACAGGTAGATTTTGTTCATAAACCAAATCAATATTTCATTATTGAATCGAGGTCCAATTTGACTGTTGGATTATTCATTTTATGAATGGATTATTGAATCAACAAACGAAATCATTTTTCCATTAATGAATTCATTAGTTTGTTAGCGACGGGAACGCTTGACCTGGTTTGACTGTAATCGTTTGTACAGAAGAAGACGTTCCAAATGACAATTTTGCAGGGGCGTGCAATAGCAAGCCTGCAAACAGCAGACGTTTTTCTCCCTCCGAAAAATCAATTTTTCTTAGCGGGTAGCCTTCTATATTACCCATTCAGTATCCCCCATAGTTTACTTTGAGACAGATCAAACAATTGTAAAGTACACATTCTTATAAAACGTACAAATTCTTAAACGTTTGAAGGAACTTTCTCTCAAAAACCATGGTAAAACTAAATCAAACTGCTTTTTCTCTCTTTCAAAATAACTGATGACTGACATTTTGGAATTTAAAGAAAACCAGCTGGCTTGAAACCAGGTTTCTATACTTTATGCTATGACCTTTCAAAATATACGTTCAATGTTAACTATTGAGATGAAAGGCATTCTCACATCTGGCTGCACATTGAAGGTTTTACGTCACGGAAATCGTTTTGGCGCTCGGGTTTGCAGACGTTATTTTTCGGAGGAAGAGAAACGACGACCGGAAATACGTCTGCTGTTCGTAGGCTATGCCATAGTCTGTTCCAGGTTCTCACATAGTGGGGAACACGCGAAAGGAAAAGGTACGCGAAAAGGTGGGCGGGGTGTGTTCCCGTTTTCTCAATCACTGCTGACCAGACTATCTCGGAGCCTGGAACAGGCTAGGCGTGCCGGGGCGCTAACAGTTCCAATTCTTCCCCGTGCAGTCATTTTCTTTCGAACGCTCACCATGTAGACATCGTAGTTTTCATTGTTTTTGTATCTCATTAACCCATTCGCTCCTGGAGATTTTGCCGAAAAACGCGTTTTGAAGCTAGTCGAGTGGTTTTCTGGTCACTGTCGTGCTTTTCCGATAAAACGAGCTAAAACTTTTCCATAAATTAAACCTGTTTAAAGGTCGTTACATTTGGCGGCCCCTTTTGATCCAGATGCAAAATATCAGCTTAACAAGCCAGTTCGGGCAATGTTCAAAACCTAAAAGGGTCCCAAAGGAAAAGCCCTTTGGACATAGTTTTTGGGTTTAAAAGTGACACAGCAGTCTTGACTTTTTACTTTTTCGAATGCGTAGACGTTTTTTGGGAGCTTTTTCATTACATTAAAACTAAGTTTTTTTTCCAAACTTTTCTTGCCTCATTTTTTTTTTCTCTTGCTTGGCATTTTTCTGTAATTCTTCCCTTCCTTTTTCTGGGAAGAAGTTTTTTAGGCAATTAATTACTTTTCGCTTTCAGGATCTTAGGATTAGGTGAAAGCGCAAATCAAAAGTGGGTAATGGTGTACAAGATTTTCATGGATGGAATTTCAGGTCCTTGTCACGTGGTTTTTTCTTCTTTCTCCGGTGTCCTTGACTGAATTGTGCTCATTCTGGGATGGTTTGAAAACAACCGGATCTCTTCTAAAAGTCTGCATACGTTTTTCGAAAACCGCGAAAAGTTGTCCCGCAAACCGTTAAAACCGATGACGTCACAAAATAAAATTACCGAAAACCCACCTGGATCTGCAAAACCGCATCACCGCAAACCCCTTACGCGGTTAACCATGGCGGTTTTCATTGTTTTTGTATCTCATTAAACCACAAAAGAAAAATACATTCTAACAGCTCTCTGACGTGCAGTGAGTCTAAAAGAGGGGCTGGCACTGTGGGAAGGGGCGTGAGAACAATGGAGACCGAGCAGATGAAACGGAAAAACACTATCAGGAGAAAATGTGGGTCAAAAGAGATACTGTCTACGGTTATTGTCGCTCGTTGTAGGTACAGAGCCGAATAAAAAACTGAACTGCCGTAGAAGATCTTGAAACATATCTTACTGTAATGAGTTCAATGAACATACCTAGAGCACTGTTTGCCAAACCACTGTCTTCCACTTCTGTTGTTACCAAATTATCAAGTTTTCTTATGTGTTCTTCCTGCAGAGATTGGTGACTATTACTTAGCATTTGTCCGCTCTCGTCCACAGCACTCGCCACAGAGTCGCACATGTTATTTTCCAGCCTAGTTATGTTCTCTGGTTGATTTTCACGGAAGAGTTTCTCCTCCAAAAGCCGCTTTTCCTTCGCACGCCTGTTTTGGAACCAAACTTGTACTCTGTCCTCGGCGAGTCCAGTTTTCACGGCCATCTCTTGTCGAAACTTGCCGTCAGGGTATTTTTGTTGCAAGAAACCCTGTTCAAGTAGATAGAGCTGCTCCTGTGTAAAGACTGTTCTACAGCGACGGCGTTTTTCTTTAGGACGAAATTCTAAATAAGGAAAATTAAATACTTTTGTAGTGGATGAACTACTTAAAAAGTTCAGGTGTCTCTTGGCGTTGAAACTATTGTTTGTCAGCTATCTCATAAAGTATTTGCTAAAGAGTCCATCTAAAATATTCTAAGGCTTTGAGTAGTATTGTCCGCGAAGAATTAAGACAAAAATGTAGCCTGCGTTGCAGGCGCCAACCCCCCTCCCCTTTTCCCCTTCCTCCCTATCCCCTACCCCTTTTCTACGCCTGCTACGCAAGCTAACAAAAATGTTGAAAATTGACTTTGTCATTGTTGAAGCAATTACTGGTAGCTAGGTGACTAACGAGTAATTATTACCTTCACTTTGGTATAATGCGGGATATGACGTACACGGATCAAACATTGGTCTGGGATACGGAGAAGGAGTATAGCACGGATAGTAAAATCGAGAAGGAAATACTGACATCTGAGACAATGCATTGGAATTCTGCAAACCAACTGAAGGCAATTGAGAGCACAAAGCGTGATTTTGCTGCTGGAAAAAGCCTGGTGAAGGTTGGAGTGGACCGAAAGCTGATCTCTCGTCTCTCGTGTCGAAATTTGGAGCTTCGTTCCAATGTTTCTGAGTATTTCCCCGCATCTCCTCTTCTTTCCTTGTTTCTTCCATGTTCTGAGGTTTGTCTGATTAACTGAAATGGCTGCAAACTTTGGATGAACAATTACTTATTTCGTCATCAGGTCGTTATCACTGATTGTGACGTTGCGCAAGGAACGCATGGGCTGAGCGGTCGAATTTGGAGATTTCTTTTCTAAAAAATACTACAATTTGTATTCCTATTTGTCTCCTCTACTTCAAGACACGTATATATAGTCTATGACATACAAATTCATCTGTTTTCGTTCTTTTAAAAATATAACCAAGTACAAATGAAACACCTTCTTTGTGCGCGTGCACTCGGTTCAATAGCTTCGCCGAAGTGAGCGAGCTCCGCGCGCCTCGCCCAACGAATCCGACAAGAGATAAACCAACCTTTCTTTTGCTTTACAGTCAACACATTATAAATCAGCTTATTGAGTATGTAAAGACCATGAATATATCTATGACTGCATTGATCCGTTCCTACATCGTGAGGACTAAATTCGATTAAAAACAAAATTCATAATCTTTCCCAAAGGTAAAACTTTGTTATGTTCGTGGCAACAATCCCGATAGGGATTTGGGGGTGCCGCGTTTTTATTTGAATGGGCTGTTTGGAATCAGAATACAACTTTTTTCTGCGCGAGCTAATCTCATTTAAGGCTAGCTAGGCTAGCGTTCCGACCCTACTGTCCCATTTTAATGTTATTTGATCTTTCAGGCAGGTAACTGCTGTTACGTTTGTCCCTTGTCCCTTAAAAGTAGCGACAGCAAGGACAAGGAAAGTTGATCGAGTTGACTTTCGCAAAGACCCCTGGGATATTCCCTGGGGCTGCGCCGGTAAGCTATTGGCCAATATGTTTTTCCTGCCCTCACTAACAGTTCCAGAAGTCTTTGCGAAAGTGAACTCGAGCCAGTTTCCTTCTCGTATGTTTCTAGTGCAGCGGTTTATACTGCGCAAGTGGGGACTGGGGGAACCAGTAAGGAACATGCTAAAGTGTTTAGTGCCGCTGACCCTGACAGTAAGGAATGCTTTCTACAAGAAAAACTGTTTGTAAGTCGCTCAAAGACCTTTTTTCTGGCCCAAAATTACAACCAAGGTGCCAAGCAACTTTGATTGAGCTCATAAACTGTTTAAGATTATCCGCCTTTGAATCGTTTCCTCTAAAACACAACTTTATAAGGGCTTAGTCCATAACTAAGTTAACAATAACTATTTATTGCTGTACCTCTACATGACTACGTTTTTATACGTTTTTTTTGTATCCCAGGAATGTTTAATATAATTAACATAAATAAGGCGTTAAAATGACTTTTTAACCGTGATAACAGCATGCAGATTCTTGTATAAATAAATAATTTTTTTCATTCATTTTCTGTCATATCGGTGAGGAGAATTTGTTTTGCAATCGAGTCTCTCCTTGCTTCCGGATCAATTCCCTACATTTGAGACATATCTCTTTTATTAAGCGGTGATATTTTTAAAAATTTTTAAACCTTTAAAATGGATTAGACGGCCTCTAAGTGTCTCTTGTTGATCCCGAGGGCATGAACAAACTATCTCAATCCAAATAATCTCTTAAGAGGCTTAAAAGAGGTCCTGGGAAATCAAAATTAAACATTTCAAAGTCTTCTTCAAAGGCCTTGGCCAGTTCTGCAATCTTCTCTCTGGGAACTGGTGCATATTTTTGAAGCAGTTTACCTTTTGTATTGTGGGTAACAAATTCAGGAAAGGCAACCTCCTTATCCATTCCAGTTTTTTTCAGGATGTAAGCAGCTTCTTCCGGCATGTCTTTAAAATGGCCGATAAAATCGTATTCTATGTCACATGGGAGACAAAGTCGTGCGTTAGGTGCCCAGTGGTCATTTTGATGAAATCTAAAATCGTTCAAGAAATAAACAAATCTCTTGAATGTCACATTCCAGCCAGCGCTAGGATCAACTTGACTGAATTTTTCATAAATGTCCCTCTCGAACTTAAAAATATAACGCCATGGCCATTGCCGTTTTACAAACTTGTTTTCATACGCTGACAAAAGCCTCTCGAAGGGCTCCCGAACAAACAGAAACTTATAGTAAGATTGCAGCCTCATTTTGATATCCTCGACGGAATATCCTCTAAGCAAAATGAATTTTTTTTGATCGTGTTCGTTCTTTTCGTCTTCGTCACTTTGGTTTGGTTTTCAAGTGCAAGAAAAGTACGCTTCCATTGAGTACGGGCAACCTTGGGAATATAGCAGTAGATGACTTTGTATTTGTCATTAACAATTAAATTACTCAGGTCTTTTGGCCTAATCGTCTTTCCTTTGATAGCTGCAGGGTGCTTTGCTCAATCCTCTCATGGACTTCAAATATCTGCTATAGTGGATTGACGAATAGTACCTCTTAGTAAGGGAGTGAAGTGAGCTAGAAACCGGCACATCATCTGAGAAATGATGAACTTACATACACGGTTTTGCTAATTACAGACCCTTATATTGGGTCAATTAATTGCTACAAAGAACTACAAGGGAAACCTACATTGATTACTTGAAGAGTTCGCGAGAAAATGCATTTTTTTGTAATATTCAAAGGAAAAATAAAGCCGTCCAAAAGATCTCGGCCATTTTATAGTAGTGTGCTCAGTCTCGGGTGGAGGACTCCCACATGAAAGGGACGGGGATGCTCGTCGGAAATTTTGAATTAAACCCCTAAAGGAGACCAATCTGGGCGTCGCCCAACCTTTTTTTGAGCCTGAAAGCGATCATTTTAAACTTTGATTACATGAATCGAGTAAATAAAACGAATAATTTTTTAATATTTCTCGAGTGCAATCCTAAAAGAGACCTTCACGGCTAAATATAATGGTGTTTTGCCCAGAACACCCTAAGCGAGACCAAAATCTGAGATTTACACCCGAGACGACGAGCATCCCCGCCCCTTTCATATGGGAGTCCCCCCCTCCCCGGGGTGCTCAGTGCACTGGCCTTTGAAGACCTTGAATAGAAGCGAGACTAGGGGTAGCCTTGTTTTGTTACAAACCTTCCTGCTCTTCATGTGCAAATCGTGTTATTCATATTTTAACAATGTTATGTTATGTTAACAATGTGTGTTATGTTAACTGTGGATATCAGGAAAAACCCTCATTAAAAAAAGCCCGTAAACATCATCTTCTCCAGATCCCTTCTCAGTATTGTGTAGTTTGGTAATAATAAGTAACGATCAGTTTTGAAAAGGTACGTTGACTAGCATACAAAACTTCTAGTTTATGTATAAATGCGAAAGGCGCGGTTCAAAATGTTTAACATTACTTGACATCGCTTTTTGTGTTTTATTTTTGATTTAGTAACGATGGCCCAAGAACAAAAGTCGGATCTAGGTTTCTGGGAAACTGCCCACCTACCCCTCCCCTAAGCTGACAATAACACTTACTTCTCACTTTGGGAAAAATTACGGCTTAGGGGAGGGGTAGGTGGGCAGTTTCAAAGAAACCTATTCAGCCTCGCTTCTATTCAAAAGCCAGGGCACTGAGTACGTTACTGTAACATTGCATATTGTAACGCTATAAGATTCCTCCACAGATTTAAGGTGACTAAGTCATGCTATTTGATATCTTTTGTAAAAAGCTGAAACTTTTCTCGTATCAATGCTATTTCAAAAATAATGGTCCATTTTTGTTATTCAATAGGCACTGACTGTTTCTTTATTGTCTGTTGCAACGGATGACAACGACCGAAATAGATTGAAACTTGAAAACGCTGGGCCAACCTTTTCAAGTTTCAATGCTCACCAAAAAATATATCACACTTAGTGCTCCCCTATGAAATTTGTTTGATATCTGCTTCATAACTCTACTGGGGTATTTTGTGCAGGGGTTAAGGGTACTAAGAAATGACTTACACAGAATTGACCTAAAACAGCAATATGCCCTTTAAAAGTTAGAGCAACAGAACATCTTTTCCATATAACCTGTTCTAGGAGGGAGGGGTTAGAGGCCTGGGTTGCAAATAACTTTTAACCTACCTTGTATTGTTTTTCACCATTGCCTACGAAAGTTTTGTTTGTCTTCACTATGGTCGGGACAGTGTTTTCAGTTCCAGGAACGTACGGTGCGGCAAAAGAAAATCGAGAAAAAAGTACAATTTATCAGTTGTGTAACATCTCTGTTTCAATAAATTCAGTGAGGGCTTTTATCAATTGAACAACTCTCCACGAGCGGCGTTGCATATGAGATAAAGCAGAGGGTCTCCAATAAGTTTTTCGGGATGCGGGATTTCCCTTATTTGAGGCTCGGGATTCGGGATTTTAAAGCGAAATCGGGGCGAGATTCGGGATTGAAAGTATGCGGGGGAGGTGCGATGCCAAAAGTAACCCTCGAGATTACGGGATTGCCCGAAATTTTGGGTCGGGATTACGGGATAGAAAAACCCTTTTGGGGACCTTCAAAGCATAGCCACTCCTTATTATTCCGGGTGGAAACCAGATATCAATGGAACAGCAATACTTTTGATCTCATATAACGGGTTTAAATTCCGTCCAGGCGCCTTTCACGCGATTGGTTACCCTGTGCTCTTTGGCTAAAATCATTTTCATGGCATCCTCAAGAACAGGGAACTGTGTTTAGCTTTTTTCTTAAGAAAGTATCACAGTTCGAATTATTTCCACCAAAAAACGATGTGGGATCGGCCAATTTGTAAAACACTGAAATTACGTGAAATAATAAGGGTCTAGTTTTAAATACTGTAATCACTTTTTGAACACCACATTTATGTGACACATAAATGGCCAAATATGGAACTGATAATTGCCTCAATAGGATCACATAACAGAGGTATAAAACACTTTAATGAAAAAAAGCAGGACATATTCTTAATTTTATCTTTGTATTAACTTCCACATCGCGCAAGACCATTATTTAAAAAAATAACGTCAGGAAAGATAACGATTGAGCGAGACTGAATTGGTTATCCGTGAGAAGAAGAACTCTGATAGAAGGCCACTTTAATACAAAAATGAATTCTTTTAATGATTGACATCGCGGCCGAGTGATAGAAACCTTTAGCTTTTAACCATATTGGACGTTGTTGCAAGTTATTAAAGTTATGCCGGAACGATTTCCATTTGTATTTTTGCGTTTAAAATGCTGGACAGTCTTGATGTTTTCATCAGCGTACAGATTTAGAGGGTACGTATCAGTTTACAGAGTGTTTATCACACAAACCATCTCCAATCACAAAAAGTACAAATGGTACAAGGCATCTTAATGTCAATCCGATCTGACGGAAAACTCTTGACTATTTTTTAAACTGATCTTTCTCCTACATTCTCTTTTCTCTCTCCAAAGAGTTTGCGGTATCTTTTGAAATTCTTTTTACAAATCGGGTTAAACGGCTAATTATATTTAAAAACGAACTTAAAGTTAAGTTCACCTGCAGGGTGGCGATCAAATGTCAGCAATAAAGTCACAAAATACGTCGTAGCCAACAGGAGCATAATGACTGAAGGTATATTCAAACTACGACAGCGTACGAAAGCCATGTAAGGATTGAAAAGAACGAAGAACTTCTTCTTTCCGTCTCGATGTCTCAGATGCGGATTATTCTCATCCGTTTTCCAGACGCGTACATCACCTAAAAATACGCTTATGCGCAGTATACATTATAACTCGCGTGCCAGAGAATATCATTTGAGGCATTCCATGGCAACCTATTCTAAGCGGATAGATTCTGTATTGTACTCTGAAATCTGCAAGCGAATTGATCATTTCAGTCGAGGTTCAACCTCAGGATAAAGAAAAGAGTCCACACTGACCTGAGAAGGCTCCTGGTCCACAACTGGGACTGTGAGGGGAGGCCTTAAGGTAATTCCCTTGTTTTGCACTGCGCACCCTCTACTGCGAGAACATGATTTTTTGGGGGAAAATAGTTTCGTATTTGGTGTATTTGGGTCAAGGCGAGGAGTTCAAGCTAACCACGGAACTATCCGAAAAAGTGCAATATCCTTACAACCAGGCAATCAAAAACGATTTAAATGAAGCAATACTGCTTATGTGAATAAAAGAAGCTTTATGCTCAAGATAAAAGTAACAAAGAATTAATTCTGTAAGAAGGAGATTCGAATTTTTAACGCGCAACCAGTAAAAATACCCAGTTTAAGAGCCCTGCTGACGCGTAAACAAGCACGGTGACCCCATCTTTTTATTGCATTTTTTTAATGTTCATATCATGAATGCTGATTATGCCAAGATTCAAAAAAAGTTTGATAGTAGAACAATTACAAGGGAATTACCTTAAACAGAGCTGTCCCCTGGGAAGAGAGTAAAAGTTCGATAAAAGTGCCGTTGTGCAGGCAGCAGTAAAATTCATCCAACATTTCCTGCAACATTGTTGTTGGAATTAGTGTTACTCGATTTACCACCTTTGTAAGCATTCTGTCAAGCAACAATAGTTCTTTATTCGGTTGCATGTCTGTTGCACAGACTAAAAGGCGCTTCTACTGTACTTTCTGGGCCAAACTGCTGTAATCAAATTGTTGCTCAACAAGTTGAGCGCGTGGGTAGTAAAATGAGCAACAGATCGCGCAAAAATCGCAGCAAAACTCGCCGCTCTTATCGTAACGACGCGAAAGACTGTGTTTAAGCCCCTTTAAGTGTAAATTTCTAGCCTGGGACCAAGCTCCGCCGATTGTTTTTTTTCGCCCACGTCGATTTTTTCTGGCTAACAATTTCTAGCTACAATGGTGATGATAATATTCATTTATTCAAATAACCGCAGGAGCCGCCGCATCACTATGATACTGTGTGCCACAAACCAAAGCTAAGCCCATAATGTGTCATCCTCGGAGACCCAGGGGCAGTCAGTCGGGCAGGGTTAAAAGGCGCGACAAAAGTTTTCAATCATGGGCGGAAGAGCTTTTCCGCCTGTACTTGAAAACTTTTGTCGCGGCTTTTCTCCCGGCCCGACTGACCGCCCCTGGGTCTCCGAGGATAATAATGTACTTTTTGTAATTATCTAAAATCAAGAGCCCATCAAATTTGATGGGCTCCTGCTAAATGTAAAAATACATTTTCATTTCTCGCTCAAGGCTTTTCGATTAAAATAAAATCTTGAAATTAAAAGGTGACAATCGTATAGCGTCATTCACGATTGGCCTTTGCCGTGTGTTAACAAACTTTTTTAATCAGGAAATTAATCTTCCATAAGGCTAGAAAGAGGCCCTGGGAAATTATAATTAAACATTTCAAAGTCTTCTTCAAAGGCCTTGGCCAGTTCTGCAATCTTCTCTCTGGGAACTGGTGCATATTTTTGGAGCAGTTTATCCGTTGTATTGTGGGTTACAAACTCAGGAAAAATAACCTCTTTATCCATTCCAGTTTTTTTTAGTACGTAAGCAGCTTCTTCCGGCATGTCTTTGAAATGGCCGATAAAATCGTATTCTATGTCACATGGGAAACAAAGTCGTCTGTAAGGTGCCCAATGCTCGTCTCGATTAAATCCAAAATCGTTCAAGAAATAAACAAATCTCTTGAATGTCACATTCCAGCCGGCGCTAGGATCAACGTGACTGAATTTATTATAAATGGCCTTCTCCAGCTTCCAAATATAACGCCATGGCCATTGCCGCTTTACAAACTTGTTTTCATACGCTGACAAAAGCCTTTCGAAAGGCTCTCGAACAAAAAGAAACTTATAGTAGGATTGAAGCCTCATTTTAACACCCTCGTCGGAATACTTTTGAAGGAACTTAAAATTACTCTTAGAGTGTTCATCTCTCACCTTGGCTCGGTTTTCAAGATCAAGAAAGACACGCTTCCATTGAGAACAGGCAACCTTGGGAATATAGCAGTAGATAACTTTATACTTGTCGTTAACGATTAAATGACCCAGAAGCTCTCTGGACATAGTCTCGCCTTGTTTGCTCTTTCCAACGTGTCTTCCACAGTAGTCTTTGATATTTTTCTGTCGTTCAATTTGTCTCTGTTCAATTCGCTCCTGGTCCTCAGAGATCTGTTACAGTGGATTGAAAAAAAAAGAGAGAATTAGCAGGCGCAGATCTACACCGGTTTCCACTGTTGTACGAAAATCGGTTGAATTTTTCATAAATAAATATTTTTCTACAAGACTTCGAATAAAAATTTCCCAAGTTGAAATCTGGCCAATATCCTGTCCGAATGACTGTTTGTAAGTCGCTCAAAGACCTTTTTTCTGGCCCAAAATTACAACCAAGGTGCCAAGCAACTTTGATTGAGCGCATAAACTGTTTAAGATTATTCGCCTTTGAATTGTTTCCTCTAAAACACAACTTTATAAGGGCTCAGTCCATAACTAAGTTAGCAATAACTATTTATTGCTGTACCTCTACATGACTACGTTTTTATACGTTTTTTTTTTGTATCCCAGGAATGTCTAATATAATTAACATAAATAAGGCGTTAAAATGACTTTTTAACCGTGATAACAGCATGCAGATTCTTGTATAAATAAATAATTTTTTCATTCATTTTCTGTCATATCGGTGAGGAGAATTTGTTTTGCAATCGAGTCTCTCCTTGCTTCCGGATCAATTCCCTACATTTGAGACATATCTCTTTTATTAAGCGGTGATATTTTTAAAAATTTTTAAACCTTTAAAATGGATTAGACGGCCTCTAAGTGTCTCTTGTTGATCCCGAGGGCATGAACAAACTATCTCAATCCAAATAATCTCTTAAGAGGCTTAAAAGAGGCCCTGGGAAATCAAAATTAAACATTTCAAAGTCTTCTTCAAAGGCCTTGGCCAGTTCTGCAATCTTCTCTCTGGGAACTGGTGCATATTTTTGAAGCAGTTTACCTTTTGTATTGTGGGTAACAAATTCAGGAAAGGTAACCTCTTTATCCATTCCAGTTTTTTTCAGGATGTAAGCAGCTTCTTCCGGCATGTCTTTAAAATGGCCGATAAAATCGTATTCTATGTCACATGGGAGACAAAGTCGTGCGTTAGGTGCCCAGTGGTCATTTTGATGAAATCTAAAATCGTTCAAGAAATAAACAAATCTCTTGAATGTCACATTCCAGCCAGCGCTAGGATCAACTTGACTGAATTTTTCATAAATGTCCCTCTCGAACTTAAAAATATAACGCCATGGCCATTGCCGTTTTACAAACTTGTTTTCATACGCTGACAAAAGCCTCTCGAAGGGCTCCCGAACAAATAGAAACTAATAGTAAGATTGCAGCCTCATTTTGATATCCTCGACGGAATATCCTCTAAGCAAAATGAAATTTTTTTTGATGGTGTTCGTTCTTTTCGTCTTCGTCACTTTGGTTTGGTTTTCAAGTGCAAGAAAAGTACGCTTCCATTGAGTACGGGCAACCTTGGGAATATAGCAGTAGATGACTTTGTATTTGTCATTAACAATTAAATTACTCAGGTCTTTTGGCCTAATCGTCTTTCCTTTGATAGCTGCAGGGTGCTTTGCTCAATCCTCTCATGGACTTCAAATATCTGCTATAGTGGATTGACGAATAGTACCTCTTAGTAAGGGAGTGAAGTGAGCTAGAAACCGGCACATCATCTGAGAAATGATGAACTTACATACACGGTTTTGCTAATTACAGACCCTTATATTGGGTCAATTAATTACTACAAAGAACTACAAGGAAAACTACATTGATTACTTGAAGAGTTCGCGAGAAAATGCATTTTTTTAATAATATTCAAAGGAAAAATAAAGCCGTCCAAAAGATCTTGGCCATTTTATAGTAGTGTGCTCAGTCTCGGGTGGGGGACTCCCACATGAAAGGGACGGGGATGCTCGTCGGAAATTTTGAATTAAACCCCTAAAGGAGACCAATCTGGGCGTGGCCCAGCCTTTTTTTGAGCCTGAAAGCGATCATTTTAAACTTTGATTACATGAATCGAGTAAATAAAACGAATAATTTTTTAATATTTCTCGAGTGCAACCTTAAAAGAGACCTTCACGGCTAAATATAATGGTGTTTTGCCCAGAACACCCGAAGCGAGACCAAAATCTGAAATTTACACCCGAGACGACGAGCATCCCGCCCCTTTCATATGGGAGTCCCCCTCCCCGGGGTGCTCAGTGCACTGGCCTTTGAAGACCTTGAATAGAAGCGAGACTAGGGGTAGCCTTGTTTTGTTACAAACCTTCCTGCTCTTCATGTGCAAATCGTGTTATTCATATTTTAACAATGTTATGTTATGTTAACAATGTGTGTTATGTTAACTGTGGATATCAGGAAAAACCCTCATTAAAAAAAGCCCGTAAACATCATCTCCTCCAGATTCCTTCTCAGTATTGTGTAGTTTGGTAATAATAAGTAACGATCAGTTTTGAAAAGGTACGTTGACTAGCATACGAAACTTCAAGTTTATGTATAAATGCGAAAGGCGCGGTTCAGAATGTTTAACATTACTTGACATCGCTTTTTGTGTTTTATTTTTGATTTAGTAACGATGGCCCAAAACAAAAGTCGGATCTAGGTTTCTGAAACTGCCCACCTACCCTCCCCTAAGCTAACAATAACACTTACTTCTCACTTTGGGAAAAATTATGGCTTAGGGGAGGGGTAGGTGGGCAGTTTCAAAGAAACCTATTCAGCCTCGCTTCTATTCAAAAGCCAGGGCACTGAGTACGTTACTGTAACATTGCATATTGTAACGCTATAAGATTCCTCCACAGATTTAAGGTGACTAAGTCATGCTATTTGATATCTTTTGTAAAAGCTAAAACTTTTCTCGTATCAATGCTATTGAAAAAAAATAATGGTCCATTTTTGTTATTCAATAGGCACTGACTGTTTCCTTATTGTCTGTTGCAACGGATGACAACGACCGAAATAGATTGAAACTTGAAAACGCTGGGCCAACCTTTTCAAGTTTCAATGCTCCTAAAAAATATATCATACTTAGTGCTCCCCTATGAAATTTGTTTGATATCTGCTTCATAACTCTACTGGGGTATTTTGTGCAGGGGTTAAGGGTACTAAGAAATGACTTACACAGAATTGACCTAAAACAGCAATATGCCCTTTAAAAGTTAGAGCAACAGAACATCTTTTCCATATAACCTGTTCTAGGAGGGAGGGTTAGAGGCCTGGGTTGCAAATAACTTTTAACCTACCTTGTATTGTTTTTTTTCACCATTGCCTACGAAAGTTTTGTTTGTCTTCACTATGGTCGGGACAGTGTTTTCAGTTCCAGGAACGTACGGTGCGGCAAAAAAAATCGAGAAAAAAATACAATTTATCAGTTGTGTAATATCTCTGTTTCAATAAATTCAGTGAGGGCTTTTATCAATTGAACAACTCTCCACGAGTGGCGTTGCATATGAGATAAAGCAGAGGGTCTCCAATAAGTTTTTCGGGATGCGGGATTTCCCTTATTTGAGGCTCGGGATTCGGGATTTTAAAGCGAAATCGGGGCGAGATTCGGGATTGAAAGTATGCGGGGGAGGTGCGATGCCAAAAGTAACCCTCGAGATTACGGGATTGCCCGAAATTTTGGGTCGGGATTACGGGATAGAAAAACCCTTTTGGGGACCTTCAAAGCATAGCCACTCCTTATTATTCCGGGTGGAAACCAGATATCAATGGAACAGCAATACTTTTGATCTCATATAACGGGTTTAAATTCCGTCAAGGCGCCTTTCACGCGATTGGTTACCCTGTGCTCTTTGGCTAAAATCATTTTCATGGCATCCTCAAGAACAGGGAACTGTGTTTAGCTTTTTTCTTAAGAAAGTATCAAAGTTCGAATTATTTCCACCGAAAAACGATGTGGGATCGGCCAATTTGTAAAACACTGAAATTACGTGAAATAATAAGGGTCTAGTTTTAAATACTGTAATCACTTTTTTGAACACCACATTTATGTGACACATAAATGGCCAAATATGGAACTGATAATTGCCTCAATAGGATCACATAACAGAGGTATAAAACACTTTAATGAAAAAAGCAGGACATATTCTTAATTTTATCTTTGTATTAACTTCCACATCGCGCAAGACCATTATTTAAAAAAATAACGTCAGGAAAGATAACGATTGAGCGAGACTGAATTGGTTATTCGTGAGAAGAAGAACTCTGATAGAAGGCCACTTTAATACAAAAATGAATTCTTTTAATGATTGACATCGCGGCCGAGTGATAGAAACCTTTAGCTTTTAACCATATTGGACGTTGTTGCAAGTTATTAAAGTTATGCAGGAATGATTTCCATTTGTATTTTTGCGTTTAAAATGCTGGACAGTCTTGATGTTTTCATCAGCGTACAGATTTAGAGGGTACGTATCAGTTTACAGAGTGTTTATCACACAAACCATCTCCAATCACAAAAAGTACTAATGGTACAAGGCATCTTAATGTCAATCCGATCTGACGGAAAACTCTTGACTATTTTTTAAACTGATCTTTCTCCTACATTCTCTTTTCTCTCTCCAAAGAGTTTGCGGTATCTTTTGAAATTCTTTTTACAAATCGGGTTAAACGGCTAATTATATTTAAAAACGAACTTAAAGTTAAGTTCACCTGCAGGGTGGCGATCAAATGTCAGCAATAAAGTCACAAAATACGTCGTAGCCAACAGGAGCACAATGACTGAAGGTATATTCAAAAAACGACAGCGTACGAAAGCCATGTAAGGATTGAAAAGAACGAAGAACTTCTTCTTTCCGTCTCGATGTCTCAGATGCGGATTATTCTCATCCGTTTTCCAGACGCGTACATCACCTAAAAATACGCTTATGCGCAGTATACATTATAACTCGCGTGCCAGAGAATATCATTTGAGGCATTCCATGGCAACCTATTCTAAGCGGATAGATTCTGTATTGTACTCTGAAATCTGCAAGCGAATTGATCATTTCAGTCGAGGTTCAACCTCAGGATAAAGAAAAGAGTCCACACTGACCTGAGAAGGCTCCTGGTCCACAACTGGGACTGTGAGGGAGGCCTTAAGGTAATTCCTTGTTTTGCACTGCGCACCCTCTACTGCGAGAACATGATTTTTTGGGGGAAAATAGTTTCGTATTTGGTGTATTTGGGTCAAGGCGAGGAGTTCAAGCTAACCACGGAACTATCCGAAAAAGTGCAATATCCTTACAACCAGGCAATCAAAAACGATTTAAATGAAGCAATACTGCTTATGTGAATAAAAGAAGCTTTATGCTCAAGATAAAAGTAACAAAGAATTAATTCTGTAAGAAGGAGATTCAATTTTTAACGCGCAACCAGTAAAAATACCCAGTTTAAGAGCCCTGCTGACGCGTAAACAAGCACGGTGACCCCATCTTTTTATTGCATTTTTTTAATGTTCATATCATGAATGCTGATTATGCCAAGATTCAAAAAAAGTTTGATAGTAGAACAATTACAAGGGAATTACCTTAAACAGAGCTGTCCCCTGGGAAGAGAGTAAAAGTTCGATAAAAGTGCCGTTGTGCAGGCAGCAGTAAAATTCATCCAACATTTCCTGCAACATTGTTGTTGGAATTAGTGTTACTCGATTTACCACCTTTGTAAGCATTCTGTCAAGCAACAATAGTTCTTTATTCGGTTGCATGTCTGTTGCACAGACTAAAAGGCGCTTCTACTGTACTTTCTGGGCCAAACTGCTGTAATCAAATTGTTGCTCAACAAGTTGAGCGCGTGGGTAGTAAAATGAGCAACAGATCGCGCAAAAATCGCAGCAAAACTCGCCGCTCTTATCGTAACGACGCGAAAGACTGTGTTTAAGCCCCTTTAAGTGTAAATTTCTAGCCTGGGACCAAGCTCCGCCGATTGTTTTTTTTCGCCCACGTCGATTTTTTCTGGCTAATAATTTCTAGCTACAATGGTGATGATAATATTCATTTATTCAAATAACCGCAGGAGCCGCCGCATCACTATGATACTGTGTGCCACAAACCAAAGCTAAGCCCATAATGTATCATCCTCGGAGACCCAGGGGCAGTCAGTCGGGCAGGGTTAAAAGGCGCGACAAAAGTTTTCAATCATGGGCGGAAGAGCTTTTCCGCCTGTACTTGAAAACTTTTGTTGCGGCTTTTCTCCCGGCCCGACTGACCGCCCCTGGGTCTCCGAGGATAATAATGTACTTTTTGTAATTATCTAAAATCAAGAGCCCATCAAATTTGATGGGCTCCTGCTAAAATGTAAAAATACATTTTCATTTCTCGCTCAAGGCTTTTCGATTAAAATAAAATCTTGAAATTAAAAGGTGACAATCGTATAGCGTCATTCACGATTGGCCCTTGCCGTGTGTTAACAAACTTTTTAATCAGGAAATTAATCTTCCATAAGGCTAGAAAGAGGCCCTGGGAAATTATAATTAAACATTTCAAAGTCTTCTTCAAAGGCCTTGGCCAGTTCTGCAATCTTCTCTCTGGGAACTGGTGCATATTTTTGGAGCAGTTTATCCGTTGTATTGTGGGTTACAAACTCAGGAAAAATAACCTCTTTATCCATTCCAGTTTTTTTTAGTACGTAAGCAGCTTCTTCCGGCATGTCTTTGAAATGGCCGATAAAATCGTATTCTATGTCACATGGGAAACAAAGTCGTCTGTAAGGTGCCCAATGCTCGTCTCGATTAAATCCAAAATCGTTCAAGAAATAAACAAATCTCTTGAATGTCACATTCCAGCCGGCGCTAGGATCAACGTGACTGAATTTATTATAAATGGCCTTCTCCAACTTCCAAATATAACGCCATGGCCATTGCCGTTTTACAAACTTGTTTTCATACGCTGACAAAAGCCTTTCGAAAGGCTCTCGAACAAAAAGAAACTTATAGTAGGATTGAAGCCTCATTTTAACACCCTCGTCGGAATACTTTTGAAGGAACTTAAAATTACTCTTAGAGTGTTCATCTCTCACCTTGGCTCGGTTTTCAAGATCAAGAAAGACACGCTACCATTGAGAACAGGCAACCTTGGGAATATAGCAGTAGATAACTTTATACTTGTCGTTAACGATTAAATGACCCAGAAGCTCTCTGGACATAGTCTCGCCTTGTTTGCTCTTTCCAACGTGTCTTCCACAGTAGTCTTTGATATTTTTCTGTCGTTCAATTTGTCTCTGTTCAATTCGCTCCTGGTCCTCAGAGATCTGTTACAGTGGATTGAAAAAAAAAAGAGAAATTAGCAGGCGCAGATCTACACCGGTTTCCACTGTTTTACGAAAATCGGTTGAATTTTTCATAAATAAATATTTTTCTACAAGACTTCGAATAAAAATTTCCCAAGTTGAAATCTGGCCAATATCCTGTCCGAATGACTGTTTGTAAGTCGCTCAAAGACCTTTTTTCTGGCCCAAAATTACAACCAAGGTGCCAAGCAACTTTGATTGAGCTCATAAACTGTTTAAGATTATTCGCCTTTGAATTGTTTCCTCCAAAACACAACTTTATAAGGGCTCAGTCCATAACTAAGTTAGCAATAACTATTTATTGCTGTACCTCTACATGACTACGTTTTTATACGTTTTTTTGTATCCCAGGAATGTTTAATATAATTAACATAAATAAGGCGTTAAAATGACTTTTTAACCGTGATAACAGCATGCAGATTCTTGTATAAATAAATAATTTTTTCATTCATTTTTTTCTGTCATATCGGTGAGGAGAATTTGTTTTGCAATCGAGTCTCTCCTTGCTTCCGGATCAATTCCCTACATTTGAGACATATCTCTTTTATTAAGCGGTGATATTTTTAAAAATTTTTAAACCTTTAAAATGGATTAGACGGCCTCTAAGTGTCTCTTGTTGATCCCGAGGGCATGAACAAACTATCTCAATCCAAATAATCTCTTAAGAGGCTTAAAAGAGGCCCTGGGAAATCAAAATTAAACATTTCAAAGTCTTCTTCAAAGGCCTTGGCCAGTTCTGCAATCTTCTCTCTGGGAACTGGTGCATATTTTTGAAGCAGTTTACCTTTTGTATTGTGGGTAACAAATTCAGGAAAGGTAACCTCTTTATCCATTCCAGTTTTTTTCAGGATGTAAGCAGCTTCTTCCGGCATGTCTTTAAAATGGCCGATAAAATCGTATTCTATGTCACATGGGAGACAAAGTCGTGCGTTAGGTGCCCAGTGGTCATTTTGATGAAATCTAAAATCGTTCAAGAAATAAACAAATCTCTTGAATGTCACATTCCAGCCAGCGCTAGGATCAACTTGACTGAATTTTTCATAAATGTCCCTCTCGAACTTAAAAATATAACGCCATGGCCATTGCCGTTTTACAAACTTGTTTTCATACGCTGACAAAAGCCTCTCGAAGGGCTCCCGAACAAATAGAAACTAATAGTAAGATTGCAGCCTCATTTTGATATCCTCGACGGAATATCCTCTAAGCAAAATGAAATTTTTTTGATGGTGTTCGTTCTTTTCGTCTTCGTCACTTTGGTTTGGTTTTCAAGTGCAAGAAAAGTACGCTTCCATTGAGTACGGGCAACCTTGGGAATATAGCAGTAGATGACTTTGTATTTGTCATTAACAATTAAATTACTCAGGTCTTTTGGCCTAATCGTCTTTCCTTTGATAGCTGCAGGGTGCTTTGCTCAATCCTCTCATGGACTTCAAATATCTGCTATAGTGGATTGACGAATAGTACCTCTTAGTAAGGGAGTGAAGTGAGCTAGAAACCGGCACATCATCTGAGAAATGATGAACTTACATACACGGTTTTGCTAATTACAGACCCTTATATTGGGTCAATTAATTACTACAAAGAACTACGAGGGAAAACTACATTGATTACTTGAAGAGTTCGCGAGAAAATGCATTTTTTTGTAATATTCAAAGGAAAAATAAAGCCGTCCAAAAGATCTTGGCCATTTTATAGTAGTGTGCTCAGTCTCGGGTGGGGGACTCCCACATGAAAGGGACGGGGATGCTCGTCGGAAATTTTGAATTAAACCCCTAAAGGAGACCAATCTGGGCGTGGCCCAGCCTTTTTTTGAGCCTGAAAGCGATCATTTTAAACTTTGATTACATGAATCGAGTAAATAAAACGAATAATTTTTTAATATTTCTCGAGTGCAACCCTAAAAGAGACCTTCACGGCTAAATATAATGGTGTTTTGCCCAGAACACCCGAAGCGAGACCAAAATCTGAAATTTACACCCGAGACGACGAGCATCCCCGCCCCTTTCATATGGGAGTCCCCCCCTCCCCGGGGTGCTCAGTGCACTGGCCTTTGAAGACCTTGAATAGAAGCGAGACTAGGGGTAGCCTTGTTTTGTTACAAACCTTCCTGCTCTTCATGTGCAAATCGTGTTATTCATATTTTAACAATGTTATGTTATGTTAACAATGTGTGTTATGTTAACTGTGGATATCAGGAAAAACCCTCATTAAAAAAAGCCCGTAAACATCATCTCCTCCAGATTCCTTCTCAGTATTGTGTAGTTTGGTAATAATAAGTAACGATCAGTTTTGAAAAGGTACGTTGACTAGCATACGAAACTTCAAGTTTATGTATAAATGCGAAAGGCGCGGTTCAGAATGTTTAACATTACTTGACATCGCTTTTTGTGTTTTATTTTTGATTTAGTAACGATGGCCCAAGAACAAAAAAATCGGATCTAGGTTTCTGAAAACTGCCCACCTACCCCTCCCTAAGCTAACAATAACACTTACTTCTCACTTTGGGAAAAATTATGGCTTAGGGGAGGGGTAGGTGGGCAGTTTCAAAGAAACCTATTCAGCCTCGCTTCTATTCAAAAGCCAGGGCACTGAGTACGTTACTGTAACATTGCATATTGTAACGCTATAAGATTCCTCCACAGATTTAAGGTGACTAAGTCATGCTATTTGATATCTTTTGTAAAAAGCTAAAACTTTTCTCGTATCAATGCTATTGAAAAAAAAAATAATGGTCCATTTTTGTTATTCAATAGGCACTGACTGTTTCCTTATTGTCTGTTGCAACGGATGACAACGACCGAAATAGATTGAAACTTGAAAACGCTGGGCCAACCTTTTCAAGTTTCAATGCTCACCAAAAATATATCATACTTAGTGCTCCCCTATGAAATTTGTTTGATATCTGCTTCATAACTCTACTGGGGTATTTTGTGCAGGGGTTAAGGGTACTAAGAAATGACTTACACAGAATTGACCTAAAACAGCAATATGCCCTTTAAAAGTTAGAGCAACAGAACATCTTTTCCATATAACCTGTTCTAGGAGGGAGGGGTTAGAGGCCTGGGTTGCAAATAACTTTTAACCTACCTTGTATTGTTTTTCACCATTGCCTACGAAAGTTTTGTTTGTCTTCACTATGGTCGGGACAGTGTTTTCAGTTCCAGGAACGTACGGTGCGGCAAAAAGAAAATCGAGAAAAAAAATACAATTTATCAGTTGTGTAATATCTCTGTTTCAATAAATTCAGTGAGGGCTTTTATCAATTGAACAACTCTCCACGAGTGGCGTTGCATATGAGATAAAGCAGAGGGTCTCCAATAAGTTTTTCGGGATGCAGGATTTCCCTTATTTGAGGCTCGGATTCGGGATTTTAAAGCGAAATCGGGGCGAGATTCGGGATTGAAAGTATGCGGGGAGGTGCGATGCCAAAAGTAACCCTCGAGATTACGGGATTGCCCGAAATTTTGGGTCGGGATTACGGGATAGAAAAACCCTTTTGGGGACCTTCAAAGCATAGCCACTCCTTATTATTCCGGGTGGAAACCAGATATCAATGGAACAGCAATACTTTTGATCTCATATAACGGGTTTAAATTCCGTCAAGGCGCCTTTCACGCGATTGGTTTCCCTGTGCTCTTTGGCTAAAATCATTTTCATGGCATCCTCAAGAACAGGGAACTGTGTTTAGCTTTTTTCTTAAGAAAGTATCAAAGTTCGAATTATTTCCACCGAAAAACGATGTGGGATCGGCCAATTTGTAAAACACTGAAATTACGTGAAATAATAAGGGTCTAGTTTTAAATACTGTAATCACTTTTTTGAACACCACATTTATGTGACACATAAATGGCCAAATATGGAACTGATAATTGCCTCAATAGGATCACATAACAGAGGTATAAAACACTTTAATGAAAAAAGCAGGACATATTCTTAATTTTATCTTTGTATTAACTTCCACATCGCGCAAGACCATTATTTAAAAAAATAACGTCAGGAAAGATAACGATTGAGCGAGACTGAATTGGTTATCCGTGAGAAGAAGAACTCTGATAGAAGGCCACTTTAATACAAAAATGAATTCTTTTAATGATTGACATCGCGGCCGAGTGATAGAAACCTTTAGCTTTTAACCATATTGGACGTTGTTGCAAGTTATTAAAGTTATGCCGGAACGATTTCCATTTGTATTTTTACGTTTAAAATGCTGGACAGTCTTGATGTTTTCATCAGCGTACAGATTTAGAGGGTACGTATCAGTTTACAGAGTGTTTATCACACAAACCATCTCCAATCACAAAAAGTACAAATGGTACAAGGCATCTTAATGTCAATCCGATCTGACGGAAAACTCCTGACTATTTTTTAAACTGATCTTTCTCCTACATTCTCTTTTCTCTCTCCAAAGAGTTTGCGGTATCTTTTGAAATTCTTTTTACAAATCGGGTTAAACGGCTAATTATATTTAAAAACGAACTTAAAGTTAAGTTCACCTGCAGGGTGGCGATCAAATGTCAGCAATAAAGTCACAAAATACGTCGTAGCCAACAGGAGCATAAAGACTGAAGGTATATTCAAAAAACGACAGCGTACGAAAGCCATGTAAGGATTGAAAAGAACGAAGAACTTCTTCTTTCCGTCTCGATGTCTCAGATGCGGATTATTCTCATCCGTTTTCCAGACTCGTACATCACCTAAAAATACGCTTATGCGCAGTATACATTATAACTCGCGTGCCAGAGAATATCATTTGAGGCATTCCATGGCAACCTATTCTAAGCGGATAGATTCTGTATTGTACTCTGAAATCTGCAAGCGAATTGATCATTTCAGTCGAGGTTCAACCTCAGGATAAAGAAAAGAGTCCACACTGACCTGAGAAGGCTCCTGGTCCACAACTGGGACTGTGAGGGGAGGCCTTAAGGTAATTCCCTTGTTTTGCACTGCGCACCCTCTACTGCGAGAACATGATTTTTTGGGGGAAAATAGTTTCGTATTTGGTGTATTTGGGTCAAGGCGAGGAGTTCAAGCTAACCACGGAACTATCCGAAAAAGTGCAATATCCTTACAACCAGGCAATCAAAAACGATTTAAATGAAGCAATACTGCTTATGTGAATAAAAGAAGCTTTATGCTCAAGATAAAAGTAACAAAGAATTAATTCTGTAAGAAGGAGATTCGAATTTTTAACGCGCAACCAGTAAAAATACCCAGTTTAAGAGCCCTGCTGACGCGTAAACAAGCACGGTGACCCCATCTTTTTATTGCATTTTTTTTAATGTTCATATCATGAATGCTGATTATGCCAAGATTCAAAAAAAGTTTGATAGTAGAACAATTACAAGGGAATTACCTTAAACAGAGCTGTCCCCTGGGAAGGGAGTAAAAGTTCGATAAAAGTGCCGTTGTGCAGGCAGCAGTAAAATTCATCCAACATTTCCTGCAACATTGTTGTTGGAATTAGTGTTACTCGATTTACCACCTTTGTAAGCATTCTGTCAAGCAACAATAGTTCTTTATTCGGTTGCATGTCTGTTGCACAGACTAAAAGGCGCTTCTACTGTACTTTCTGGGCCAAACTGCTGTAATCAAATTGTTGCTCAACAAGTTGAGCGCGTGGGTAGTAAAATGAGCAACAGATCGCGCAAAAATCGCAGCAAAACTCGCCGCTCTTATCGTAACGACGCGAAAGACTGTGTTTAAGCCCCTTTAAGTGTAAATTTCTAGCCTGGGACCAAGCTCCGCCGATTGTTTTTTTTCGCCCACGTCGATTTTTTCTGGCTAACAATTTCTAGCTACAATGGTGATGATAATATTCATTTATTCAAATAACCGCAGGAGCCGCCGCATCACTATGATACTGTGTGCCACAAACCAAAGCTAAGCCCATAATGTGTCATCCTCGGAGACCCAGGGGCAGTCAGTCGGGCAGGGTTAAAAGGCGCGACAAAAGTTTTCAATCATGGGCGGAAGAGCTTTTCCGCCTGTACTTGAAAACTTTTGTCGCGGCTTTTCTCCCGGCCCGACTGACCGCCCCTGGGTCTCCGAGGATGATAATGTACTTTTTGTAATTATGTAAAATCAGGAGCCCATCAAATTTGATGGGCTCCTGCTAAAATGTAAAAATACATTTTCATTTCTCGTTCAAGGCTTTTCGATTAAAATAAAATCTTGAAATTAAAAGGTGACAATCGTATAGCGTCATTCACGATTGGCCTTTGCCGTGTGTTAACAAACTTTTTAATCAGGAAATTAATCTTCCATAAGGCTAGAAAGAGGCCCTGGGAAATTATAATTAAACATTTCAAAGTCTTCTTCAAAGGCCTTGGCCAGTTCTGCAATCTTCTCTCTGGGAACTGGTGC